TATTTTAGCGCTTTTTAGCCTGGCTAATAAAAAAGTTAGTAATAACTAGGATTTTTTTATACTTACTAAAGTTTTAGTTATAAAAAATATACTTATTATAAAAATAATAGTTTATATTTTAAATTTATATCTTAGCTATATTTAAGTTAATATAGTTTTTATACTTAGTAATACTTTTAAAGTTAAAAATTTTTTAAGTAATTAATTTTTTATTAAATAATTGGCCTTGGGCGTTTTTTTAGTACTTATAAAATAAATTATTTAAAATAATAAATTAAATAAATAGCCCTTGGGTTTTTTTATTTTAGCTAGTTTATTTTTAAAAAAACTTAATTTTTATATATTATAAGTTATACTACGCGATAACCACGGGGTTAGTAGGGTTAATTAGGTTTATAAAATATTTTATAATAATTAGTTAATTAAAGTTAGATAAAATACTAAGAAAGAGTCTTAATAAATTAAGAATTAAATAAGAAACTTAATTAAAATAATTAATATTTTTTTTTATTTTTTTTAGTAGTTTTTATAGCACAAGTGTTATTTTTACTTAATACCCTTAATTATTACCCTTACTTTAAAAAGCTAGTAATAATAATAGCTATTATAAAATTTTTTTTATATAATTAAGGTTAAGTTACTAATTAAAAAAATTTTAAATTTTTTTATTTATATAATTAAAAATATAATTTTTTAATTAAATATATAAGCAAGGTAATAACCCTTATTATTATTAATTATAAAAAAAATCCTAGCTGCCTTGCTGCCCGAGCGCGGAGTTTTTTAAAATAATAATTAAATAAATATTTTTTACTAGCGCTAATAAAAGGGGTTTTTAGGTTAAGTAATTATTAATTATTTTTATTAATATTTTTAGTATAGCTCTCGGGCCCTTTAAAAATTTTTTAAGCTTTAATTTTTTTTTTTTTACTAGAAAGGTACAGGTAGCGTTAAATAATTTATATTATTAGTAAGCCTTATTATAAATATATTATTAAATAACCTTAATAATTAGGCACGGTAATTACCTTATTACTATATTTAATTAAATTTTATAGTATTAAAAAAGCTTATTAATTAAATAATTAAAAATATACTATTAAATATAATAATACTAGCACTGGAAATTACCCAGCTAGTAAGGCTAGGTAATTAAAAAAAAATATATAAAAAAGAAATTAAATATAAAATTATTTAAAGATTTTTTATTAAGGCCTCCAAGTGCTTTATATAGCTTTTATCTAGGGTGGTAAGGCCTAAGTATTATTTTTTAAGGCTACTAATATTCCTAGGCCTTGGCATTGCCACGGCTAATAAAGTGGCCTAAGGCATTAACACCAGCAATGAAACCACAATATTATATAAAATTTTTAAAAAGGTAAGATAGTAAAATTTTTTTAAGCCTTACCTTTTAAAGGAAATAAGTTATTTAGTTTAATATTTAAGTTAGTAACCTTAATAATAAGGGTATTATTAAATATTAATAATATAGGTTTAGGTAAAAATAATAATTTTAAACTTTTTTATACTTAAGTTTATATTTTAAAAACCTTAATTAAAATAGCTTTAGTCTGCCTTTATTTATTTAAAAATTTAATTTAAAATACTATATTAATAATATTTAAAAATTAATAAAAAATATAATTTTAACTATAAAAGCGCCCTAGTACTTAAATATTTTTTATTAATAATAATAAAGCTTAATAAAGTATTTTTAACTAATAAAAATAAAGTATTTAAAACCTTAATAAATTTAACTAAAAAAATTACTTAAAAAACTAAATATATTATAATTTTTAACTTTTTTATATAAGCCTTACCTAAAGGCCTAAGGCCTTTAAATAATTTTTTAAGTTATTTTTATTTAAAAAATAAGTAGTATTTAAATATTTTTATATTTACACTTTTTATAATTACTTTTTAATTATTAAGGTAATTTAATATAAAACGCGCCTTTAATTTATTATTTAAATAATACTTAAAACCTAAGGTTTTTAAGCTAAGGTCCCTAGTTAAAGCTAATATTATATTAAATTTAATATTATATTAAATTTAATGCTATATTAAGTTTTATATAATAATTTATAATAATAAGGTTTATTAAGCTAAATAGGTACCTAAGGCATCCCACACGGGTGATGTTAACGCTTTGCAGTGGCATGACCTAGGTGCCTTAGGCATTACTTAATAGCGTGACCCGGATTAATGTCGGCCCTGACATAAACTAGTTTTAAAAAATACTTTTAAAGGTAGTAAAGTTAAAAATATTATTATTAAAGGTAGGCTTGTTATTATTAAATCAAAACTTTAAAGTAACTTTATAATAATTTTATATAAATTATATAAATTACTTAATAATATTTTTATAATTACTTTTAAGCTAGTAAGTATAGGCCTAATATATTTTAAAGTATTTATTATAAAAATAAATTACTTATTAATTTTTATTTATTACTAGCTTTATAAAAATAAAATTAATATAAATATAAATAAATAGCTTGGTAACTAGTTTTTAAGGTTATTTAAATATTTATTAAAAAGCTTAACTAACCTAGTAAGTATTATAGTGCTTAAGTAATTAAGAATTAAAAATATTAACTTTTTATATTATTATAAAAAAATACCTAAGTATTTTATTATTAATATATTTTAGGTATTAGTAAAAAGTTTTAAGATTTTTTTAAAGCTATACTTTTTAAATTAAAGTTTTAATTTTTTATTAAGTTAAAGTGTTAGCCTTTTTTAGCTTTAAAAAACCTTTTTTTAGTTTTACTATTTAAAGGCCTAAAAAATAATCTTTAAAATAAAAAACTAGTTTATTATTTTTAAGTATAAGGGTGTTAAAATCCTAGGTATATTTAGCTTTTTAAAAAGGTCTTATTATTATAATATTAAGGTAAAATTTAAAAGTATATATAATTTTATATAATATTAATAATATAATTTTTTTATTAAATACTTTTAAATAAATAAAAACTAATTTATAACCTTATATAACTATAATTATATTTTTAGCTTAAATATTACCACCTTAAAAGTAATTTAAAAAGGTAAAATAATTAAAATTATTATAAATATAAATAAAAGTACTAGTATTAAAAATAAAGATATTTTAAAATTTTAAATTACTTAAAATACTAAATACTAGGGCTGCTTTATAATATTTTTTAAAAGTTATAAATTATATATTTTTTAGCTATTTTACTAAGCTTTTTAATTTTTAGTATTTTTTTTATTTTTAAAAAGCTTGGTATTCTTAACCTTTAATTTTTAAAGCTTCTTGCTATATTTATTATTTTTTAAGTATTTTATTAATTTTTTTTTAGTTTTTTATTTATTTTATAAGACTTTAAATAATATAAATATATAAAGTTATAATAAAACTTTATAGCGTGTTTATATTTATAAGGATAAATTAATTTATTATTAATTAATATTTAAAAAGGTTTGTTAGTAAAAAAACCTTTAGTATTTAAATTATTAATAAAAAACTAATTTAATTTTTTAGCAAGTATAGTAAAGGCTATTCCTCCTGCAAAGGTTTTAGTAAAGCTATTAATAATAAAAAAATATTATTAAAACTTAAAAATAAAGGTAAGATAATTAGTCTTACTAAGTTTTTTATAATTTAATTAATTTATATGGCGCTTTGCATAAGCTATTAAGTATTTATTAATAATTTTTAAAAATATTATATTAGCTGTTTTATTATTAGCCTTGGGTTATTTAAAATATAAGATTTTTTAATAAGTATGCTTATAATTTTAAAGCTATTAGGTAACTTTTTCTTATTAAATTAATATAATAAAAGTAGTAATATAATTATTAAAAGCCTTAAATTTAATTTTAAAATTAATAAAAGTAAGTTATTACTTTAATTTAATAAAAACCTGTATAATAAGCTTATCCTTAATAAATTACTAAATAAAAAGTGTAATTAACTTTTATATAATATTATTAATATTTTAAATTTTTAAAAGAACATGCTTAGCGTGGTTTTATTTTTAATTAAATATTTTAAATACCTTTTTATTAATATTATTTTTAGGAAGTTAAGGGAGCTTAAAAAAAAAGTTTAGTAAATTATTTTTAAATTAAAATACTTTTAAATTTTTATAATAATTATAATATATAAAATATAATTATACTATACTAGCTAGTTTTTTTAAACTTTAAAAAAATTATTATATTTAAGGTACTAGTGGTAAAGCTTATAATAACTTTTAAATTAATAAATTAAGTATAAAAGTTAAGGTTTAATTAATATTTAATTTTTTAGGTGTAAATATAAAAAATAATTAATTATAAAAGGCCTTTATATAATAAAAGGGCTAGTACTTAGGGGATATAAATAGCTTTAAAAAATTTAAAAAAAATAAAAATTTAATAAACTAAATTATTAAGTAATTTTCCGGGCTTATAACTACAAGGCCCTTTAAATATCATATAAAAAAAAGCTATTAATTAAATAAAAAATATAATAATATTTAAAAGCTAGAGCTAACTAGGGTTTATATAAATAATTTAAGTTTTTAAAAATAATAAAAATTTTAAATACTTTTATTAATACTTTATAATATTTAATAAATTATAAATATTATAGTTATACAGGCAAGTAATTTAATAGTAGGCATTATAATATTTTAATTAAGACTGCCTAAGGCGCCTAAGCGCTGTTAAAGCGCTGCAGCGCTTCCTCATCGAACTAAGCGATCTCCACCATTGGCTGACACACAACAACGAGGAATGACGAAGTAGAAAGAAAAAGAGACGTCAGGACAACAAAAAAACCACGTCAGCAGAAACAAAGAGCGACAAGGAGAAAAGCGTAACGACGACACGAGCAACAGGGGAAAGGCAAAAGGGAGAAAATCGAAGACAAAACGAACGGCACGGGGCCAAGTATAGGGAACACGCAATGAACGGTCGCCTCGAGCGATCAGGGGGCCCAAGGGAAGGAAAGGAGCTCCTGGGCAACGCAGCGCATTCGAGGCAGTCCTCTAGTTGCTGGTCTGTAGAAAGACCATGAGCACGGCAGAATAGCTACAAGAAAGACACGTCAGCACATTACATTCCAGCGAAAGGCAAAGGAACTTACGCAGCCGTCGCCGCCAGCGCTTCGGCGGGGCTTGCCCTTGTGCCAATGGCAACTAGGGCCTGGAAAATCGCGATGACGACCGTGATAATGCTGAGTCTAGAACGCATCCCATCGATATACGCCAGTATCCAGAGAGGGCCCACGAGCATGACAATGCCAACGGCAACCGTAACGACCTTCAGGCAACCGTAACGACCTTCAGGCAATGTCTGATTTTGTCGTCATCCACCAACACGGTCTCCTCGTCTTCGTACTTTGGCAGCAGGGAGGGATGCGGATCCTTCCGCCAATATCGCAGTTCTCGGAAGAACGAGAACTTCTCGAGGAGGCGGTGGAGCGGACTCCTGTCGTCATCGACGAGGGCAACAAGATCAGGATGTTCGATGTATTGGCGTTCTTCGTACGCGATGGGATTGTCGTCGTTGTCTGTCGCGTGCGGCGGTCGCCTGTTCCAAAACCAGTTCTTCAGACTGTCGATGTCAATTTGCGACGGCGCTGGGCGATCCCTGACATGCCGGGCTGCTATTCGCCATACTTCACGAGGATTTCCACTGCCTCGACATTGTCGCTGCGGACAGCCTGATGGAGAGGGTGTTGTACGTGATGTACATTCAGTAACTCAGATACTGCCTGCATGGCCGTGGACCTGTGGGACCTGCATTAAACCATTAGCAGAAGATGACATACAGTGGAACACAACGTACTCATGACGATTCGGAGGATTGACTATGAATTCAAGAACAGCTCGCAGCCTGTCCACATTCTCAAAGGAGACGGCTGCATTAACCGCCGTCCAGTCTCCCGTGAGCCATTCAGGCCATGCGTCTTGAAACTGCGGCATCATCTGCTCCAGGATTGCATTGCATTTCAGAAACTCCAAGGCAAACTGGGTTATTCCTTCACTTGCATCGGTACCCTTATGAAATTCTATTCACTCTCCCTCGTTGTGTCTTATAAGCCAGAGCGCCAGGGCGTTCTCTCCGTGTCGCAAGGCACACTCAAGAGGTACGCAACAATCGGGGAGAGGGCTGTCCATTGAGCAACCCAGAGCCCGCAGTTGTTTGCAGATCGAGAGGTCACCGGTTTCTATGGCCTTGCGTAGAACACGTAGCCGTTCTGATTTGAGCGTTTTCTCTCCGTATATTCTCACTAAATCTTCACGGTCATTTCCTCCGAGGACCTTAATGGTGATCCGAGTGTCAATACCCATAGTCTTCACGCTGCCCGGTGTAGCGCTAATTTCAGCAAGGTAGTCGATGATGTATTTTGGCATGGCATACTGAACTGGAATGTCGAGTGGTGTCTCTTGGAGGTCACTTAATGCATTGATGCCACAACACCTTGAGTTTAGATACTCCAAGATTTTCTTCCCTATAGATGTCTGATGAGCCATATGCTGCTGCAAAATTTGCACATGTGTAGCCAAGGCCCGCCGGTACATTGATATTTGACAACACGCCCTCCTTGACCAAGTATTTCAGGCAGTCCAGAGACCCAGTAATAGCTGCTATATGGAGCGCATTACATTGGGGGATCTCGCGCCCCTTAAGGAGTTTTGAAGATACCACATGGCCATAAAAAGAGGAATCAAGGTCAAATGTTTTTGTCCACTTAATGTTGAAGGAATGGTTTCTTAGGATTTGAAGCCCAGCGACTTTATGCATCCACATGAACTCTAGCATTGCTGGAAGCTCGTCGTGAGAGGCGTTGTTAGGGTCGGCACCGTTCTTTAGCAGAAGCTGCATGGTCTCCACGGAATATTCGCGGGCATGGTAAAGGACTACAGGCCTTGAGTTAATGGCGCGAGCATTAAGATCACCCCTTTCTGAAGAAGCATCTGTAACTTCTCCGTCCTCCATGGGACCTCCTTGGCAACTAAAAGGTGAGTTAGCGGCAACTTGCACGTACTGTTCAATGTGTTCGGTCCACTAACGTTGGCGTTTAACAGCAGGAGCGCGAAGGTTCATGGCGAACAGTGACACCTTGGCCGGCAGGTATAGTGCAGATAGGATTCCTTGTTAACATGCTCAAGAACATTGGTACCGAGGATGAGAGCTTTATGTATTACGGCCGCCTAATCCCTATATGTATTGGTTCCTCCACGATCCCTCAGGCTCTTTGAGATAGCTGGGTTTCAGAATTTTAAGGATAATTAATTTAAATTCTGCCAAGTCATCCGCATCCACCTCAGCATCCTGGATAGCGGTAAGAATCGCATCGACTATCGGTTCAAAGGCCGGACAAGCCCTCTCGGCCTCATAGGCAGCAAAAATCTCGTGATGCAAGAATATCTCCAGGACATGGTAAGCCCAGTCAGAGGGATCGGCTGGTATGACCTCAGAACAAAGGAACTCGAGAATATCCGCTTTCAGCACATCGTCCTGAGGTATTAGCTCTCCCAAGAGCCCATCGGCGACCTCGTCATCGAAGCCTGGCAACTGTTTGAGCAGAGCTTCGATCAGCAGCCGCCCCTTATGACGTTGGCTGCAGCAGTTCTCGCGAAGAGATTTCAAGGAACGAACCGATTGTATAGAACTTGACGGGGAAATGTGATGCAGAGGGAAGGGTTCTTTCCCAAGTGAGATGTTGGTGGCGACGAACGCTTCTATAACACTGTCTAAGCCAGCTTTCAGCACTTCTTCATAGGGTGTGACGGAGCCAGTGAAACACCTGTCTGTGAGATAGTGTGGTAACAGTGATAAAATGATGTCATTTTCGGCTGCGGATAAGGCAACTGCCATCGGCGTGCACCCGTCATCATTGAGTTCCTCCAGTCGGGCTTGTCGATCCAAGTGTTTGTCCACCAAAGGCTTGACAATATAATCACGCCGCCAGGCTTCTCTTCCTTTTACTCTCAGGTGAAATGGGGTGTTACCTTGGTGATCTTTTACACCATTGGAAGCTCCATGTTCTAGGAGTATATGGGCGCAACTGTCTGTCGCATCGTGCAGTGGCACACGTCCCATAGTATCCTGCGCTGAGACATCCATACCAGCGTCAAGTAGATGTTTTAGTGCCCGAGTAGAATTCTTCCTTGCAGCTATCTGCAACAAGGAAATCCCATCTTCCTGTGTCTCGCAATATGGTTTGGATCTCGGGTCCAATATCAGGTCACTTAGCTTCGACACATTGTCATATTCGATAGCTGCTTCCAATGTCGAGTTGTATGCATTGTCCGAAAGCCCTGTTGCCTCGACCATAATAGAAAGATGATGACGGACGCTTGCCTTATTAATTGCATGACGCAAATATGCCCTTGTATAATTGTCATGAATCCCAGTTCGAGCGGCAGAGCGTATCTCAGTCAATACCCTTGCCAAGCGTGTCACATCCAACAATAGCCGGTCCAACACCTGAAATACCTCGTGAAGCTATTTAATTGATTGGCCGTGGACCTGGGCGCCCGAAATCATCGCTTTTAAGAATAGAGCCATGGAGCTCGTGATGTCGCTGTGACCTGCTAGTCGCACGATAAGGTCTAGCAGCGAGTAGCGCATTGAGCCAAGACTGACAACTTGTGTGGCTATGGTAATCCGTGGGAGCAACTATGTCACCAAATCCAGCCATAGAATGCAGGTGGCTGATGTGTTCGGCCCCATCCAGTCATAGAACAGGGACTCCATTATCGTCTCGTTGTCATGCTCAAATTGATGATCCTTGGGAACATCGTAAAGGAGCACTGGCAAGCCAAAGAGCAGACATTCAACCGGAGAGGCGATGCTGCTCACTGATTGAAACAAAGCTGCATTTTCATCAATTGACCTATAGATCAAGTGCTCCAGGCTTAGAATACTAGCCATATGAATAGTCGTGAAATCGGCATGGATAATCTTCGCAACGATATCAGACGGGTCGACACCAAGGCCATATTCATCCCGTACACGGAAGGAGAATGTAACACATCACAGGAGGAATTGTGGGGTTTTACGCAGCTGAAATAATTCATCGAAAAACTCGAAAGCGCAACTCCGCAGAGAATTGGTATGCTCCGGATTGGAGTGCATGGCCGCCCCAGCGAGGCTCATCCTCAACCAGGAGGGCCAATACCATGTTGCAAAGTGATAAAAACGGTGGTTGATTCGGGTTCTCTCCACGGCCTTCACAGCGTTCGCCGGTGCTGAAAGACAGCTGCTGAAATCATCCAGGTTGACGAATCGGAGGCAGAAATGGACGAGTAGTCAATCTGGACGTGGGGTGATGTGGTAAATTTGCAGGCCTAATTCTGGATCCTGTAGATAAGGCGATTCAAGGAACTCCCTAACGGGGAAGTGCGCAAATTCAAAATGGGATCCATCATTGGACTTTCGTAGGGTGCTGCTGCAGACCGGTGCAGTCTCCTCTTCTGGGACAGCGTTATTTTCTCCTATATATAAATCGCCCTAGCGAAGAGCAAGCGCATCACTTAGTTGCGGTATTGATATCTCCCTCCCTGCAGCTGCCACCATTCGCAAAGTCATTTGCATGATGTGTGAAGATGCTGGAACGACGTTCCGTAGAATTCGTTCATATGTTGCATTCAGAGTTGGTGGCAATTTCCCTAATGCCTCCTTGCAGAAATCGCACAGATAGTCCATTTGACAGCTGACCCAAAGGAACCTGAGGCAGAACCTGTCAGCCTTTAGTCATGCACAGTGTAATCTGGGAGAAGACCTACATCCCCTGACCTCCCTGTATTAATGCCTCGATAATCTCTCCTTCCAAGCTTGGTCGGCGAATGCGCAGTTTCTGTTCCTGAATTCTCTGTTTCAACTCTGCGCGGACGTACATATCTACATCTGCGCTCTGAGCAGCGATCTCGATGTGATGAAATGTCCCGTCTAGAAGCACCCGGATATGCTCTTCCACACGACTTAGTAACGCCACTGAGGTCGACGGGGCTTTGCATATTGGGGATGCAAGGTACTCGGTTACTTTTGACTGAAGACCATCAACGACTAGTAATACCTGGTCGAAGCACTGGGTCATCTCTACCAGCTTCTCAATAAGGACTGCGGCCTCGGGGGACCTAGGCAAGCTGTTCCCGGGGTTTAGGTCTTTGTAGTAGGCGGCCATTATTCCGAAGGCATCGTGGCTCTGTCTGGCAAGTTGTGAAGCCAAGCAGCTCAGAATATTGACCTCTTCCAGAGACTCCAGTTCCTTGTAATCGCAGAAGAAGAAACAGCACCCTTTGTTTGAACCAACGTATTGCGTCGCTGCTAGGCACTCTTGAATCATCAAGCCTGCCAGAACAGTCTTCCCGGCACCTGGAATGCCACTCAGCCAGGGTTTGCCATTTCGAGAGCCAAGCCAGTCCTTAAATTCGTCGCCCTCGGTGAGCCATAGTCCGGTGTTTTGATGCCAAAGGTTAATGCTTGTCTGGAGAGTAGGCTTTGGATTATAGCCCATGAAGAAGTCCAATACATCGAAGAAGTCCAATACATCCTGGTGGTATTTTTTTCACCAGAATCCGGGTTTGAATCTGCTCCAGCGTATGTTTGACTTTGGCAAGGTCGTTACCAATCTCATCCTGTCTGGTGAGGGTTTTCAGCTTAGCGTGAGTCCGCGGAAAGGGCCAGCGTCATTGTCGCCTTGTGGGTAGATATCTCGTCAAGTAACGCTTTGAGCTCTTTGGAAGTATACGGCGATTTGAGTCTGGTAGCAGCGGCAGTTGCACGTCCATGACTCCAATCGAGTCCTGCAGCCGTTTTTTTTGGAGGCGCAATTTGATTTCCTGGACGGTCTGCCGGCAAGGGTTGACATGATGGAGGCGGAAAGTTGTGCTGCGCCCGTCATCCTCGAACGACCTAGCGAGCAAAGAAAGCCGATAGAGCAATACGGAAGGGTTTTGGATTTCCGTAAACAGGCTAAGGATATCCTTCTTTGCGTCTTTGACTGCGCGATTGTTTACGGGCTGAAACACTTCCTCTGCCAGGGAAATCAGGTCGGCGACGCTAAGAGCGATGGAAAGAGGGTCAGACATTTCCTTGGTACATGAATCACATACAGCGCAGCGAAAACAGGTATGAGGATTCTTGTCGACTGGGAGGCGAATCAGCAGAGGGCGACCTGTATAAGCATAGTCACATTCGACCGGCACTGCCCCGCGCGAGGCTGCTTCGCCTGTAACCAATCATTGTTAGCAGAGCTCGTGCAACCGCACCGTAAGATCTTCTGCTGGGAGGACATACCATCGAAAGCTATCGCTATTTGAATAGCGCTCAACCAGCTGAGGTGACGATTGCGTTGGCAGACAAACTGGAGAGTCGGTGCTATCCCCGCCACCGCCGCGGAAGGCGGCCCTGAAGCAGAAGAGCAAGCTCTGCCCAAAGCTGCCTTCCCAGAGGTGGACTGGGTGCCCACTTTTCGCGTTTTCGGGCTGAGTTGTCGGCGAGGGCAGGGATGCATCGCCTCCTCGAATCAGGACCCTCCTGATCACTCAACATCCTAGCGTTTTGCGGTCGGCTACATGCTGGGTGTGACCACCATCATCTTCCGACGTTCTGGCCGGGACCGTTCGATATGTAGTTGCCCAGCTGAACTATCTGTTGCACGGCCATCAGAAAATTCTTGGGCTTCCCCAACAACCTCACCCCGTCCCTGTTGAAGAGGTGAAAGGGCTCGATGGAATGCCATGTCATTGAGGTGGATCTGATAATTTAGCTAAGATGAAGCTATTCGGAGATCATGGTCTCTGTGGGCGCAACTAACCTAATGAGGTTAGTGTGATCCTCAAGTCTCGTCAATTCGGTGCCGCGTACCAAAGTCCTAGTCTTGTTCTTGCCCCCGGTGGAAGTCTACGGTATACGGGGCTAAAGCCTATAGGCACAAGAGCATGCTGGAAAATCTATTAGTTTAATCCTGCAGTGTCTTGGTGGGCGTAATGCACTGCTTTGCAGTGTTGCTCTTGGCGCCCAGATCTACCCCGCTTTACGTATCTTACTAGATATAGCGCCCAATGAACCGGATGACTTTCTTAGCGCGACCGAGTGAATCGGATGACTTTCTGACAAAAATGACCTAAAGGAGTTTAGCGCCACGTTTTGGCCAGTAATCGTAGACCCACAAAAAAGCTCGTTGGCCAATAGAACGCCGCCACGGCCAACGTCACCTCCTTCACCACCAAGGCCAGGCTCTGAATAGCCTCAATTTCCGTTTTAGGACCAAGCTGGCGGGCGTACAAGGCCTCCGCAACATCCACTGCAGCTCCCGCTACGACCGCTACAATCTCCGCTCTGAATAGCTTCAATTTAGCCGTGTTAGGAAGGAACTGGCAGGCGTACGAGGCCTCTGCGGGCGCGCGTCAGATAATTACCCCTTTTTGAATTAACCAATGAGATTCCTGCATTCTATTGACGTAAATATAACTTTTAGACATTCGAAATAGCTTCAGAATGCTCAGTTTAGTTAGGATTATGAAGAATTAATTTTATTAAACAAGGGTACTATTTTGTTTGGCCGGGGTCGAGCCTCGGAGAACAATTTTACTAGTAAATTACTAGGCAAGTTGTGTGACGGGGCCAAAACAGGGCTCTGTCAGAAAGTCATCCCGTTCACTCGGTCGCGCTAAGAAAGTCATCCGGTTCATTGGGCGCTAGATATAGGTAAGCTCAACCTCATATTCGTGAATCTGACTTCAGGCGCTATAAATCCACCTGCACGAAATATTGGCCCTTACGCCGTTTGTTCTGATATGGATGGTTTGTCCTTAGCGGCGAGCATCGTGGCGGCCATTCAACTGACAAGAAGCCTTGTGGAGATTTGCGGAAGCTATATTGGCCATGTGAAAAATGCACAGGACGATATTTTGACCCTGCAAAAGGCAACTGCAAAGCTTCAATGGACACTCGAAGTCCTGGAGAGCCTTGTCCATAATCTCGATGGAAGAGCCCTATCCAACTCACGACTAAACGACAATATCACGGATTGCTTCTCCAACCTACGGCTTTAGAAACAAGGCTCGATCCGGAAACGGGAAAGACTGGTGTAAAGTGGCCCCTAAACCAAGCAGAACTGGAGGAAGTTACTCGAGATCTCCAGGGATACCAATCTTTATTCACCTCGTTCTTACAGGAGTGTCAGCTGTACGTTCAAGCATGATTATATGGCTATTTATATTTTTCTCTCTGACGATTGGTAGGACTCATGAATCGGTTCTTGCAAATTTGGAACATGTGAGGGAGGCAGAATATTCTCCATATCCTTATAGAGGAGACAGCTGTCTCCCTGGTACTAGGACTGAGCTCCTTCAGGAGATAATGGATTGGGCTATGTCACCCTCCCAGAAAAGTATTTTCTGGTTGAGTGGAATGGGCGCGACAGGAAAGTCCACAATATCTCGGACGGTGGCAAGGTCGCTCCAAGATACCAACGATCTGGGTGCCAGCTTCTTTTTTAATGCTGGCAACGGAGATTGTTGCAACGCAAAGAAGTTTTTCCCGACACTGGCAAGGCAACTAATTCTCAAAATCCCCGAGCTGGGCTTTGGCGTGCAGAAGGCGCTCAAGGACGACCCGGGCATTGCTTCAAAATCGCTTGAAGAACAGTTTAACAAACTACTACTTCAACCGCTTCTCGATCTTGACAAATCCGGCCAGCAGACACGATCTGCTGTGATTGTGGTTGACGCTTTAGATGAGTGCAAGCCCGACGACGATGTTCGAAATGTAGTCCGACTGTTACGTCTTCTACGAAAAGCAAAAACTGTTCGCGTGCGGGTGTTTATAACTAGCAGACCGGAGGTTCCAATTCAACTTGGCTTCGGAGGGGTTGAGGGTACTGGCGATTACCAGGACATAGAGCTTCATGATATGTCCACAACCCCCGAAACGATGCAGCGCGACATATCTTTATTCATGCAGGACCAATTTGCCAAGATCAGACATAGAGAGAATCTCTCTTGGGACTGGCCTGGAGATGATATTATTCAGACTCTTTCAGAACTCTCGTTCCCGTCTTTTCGTCACGCCATACGTGTGTGTCATACCTTGGGGGATTCTCCAGATCCGGTGGACACTCTCGCCAAGATTCTTCAACAGCAAAGCGGGGATGGTGAAACACAGGAAAGTGAACACACTGAGGCTGAAGATGATAAAGGGAGCTCAAAGTGGGATGCAAGTGACATTGAAAGCATTTTCTCCACAAATTCAATGTCTTCCCAATCGTCCCACCCTGACCACCCTGAGATCACCGCGATTGCTATAATTGAACTAACCAATATGCTTTTGGATGACCAAGATTTGAAGCTTCTATATCCATTGGCAATCTCGAAGGTTGGCCCCGATAGGTTTCAGAGGAACTTTGCCCGCATACTCAAACATTATGGGAGAAGCTTGCATGGTGAAGCTTCAAATGAAGTTCAGCGTCAAGCGGCACAATTCGTCCGGCTGTCTGCACGGAGGACAGCAGCCAAAATCCGCATAGCCTGCTTGCAGGATAGCCCCGAGCTTCCCTTAGGAACAAAAGTGGAATCAGAAGAATCGAACTTGGTCCTCAACGCGTGGCTAGTGGCGCAAATGGAAAATCATGCATACTCTGGTGCAGACGTGAATGAAATATCTGAGGACAGCGATTCAAGCAGTTCCGAAAGCGGCCCTCAAAGCTCACTCAGCACTCTGAAAGAGGTAAAAGAGTTTATGGTATCAACAAAAGCATTTCGTGGCCTACGTCAAGAATTTCGAGAATGGTTGGAAGTCAAAAGCAAAGGTAGCCGCGAAGGTCCAATCGAGGAAATAAAGGAGTCTCCCGCAGTCCACGGAAGCGACAGCACCTTGAACCCAAATATCACGCCAGGTTAGCTTTCGAAACTGGAATGCCTGCCGTTAGTTATGCTGATATGGCCACAGATTTTGGACTTGACGAAGATCCTATCAGTTCTACTCAACCCCTAAAAGATCATGGTAGCCCCATCGACGAGGTTACGGCCGAGCCTCCAAAGACAGGGGAATTAACCAGACTGTCAACCTGGTGGATTCGGTTAATGAATATGATTGTTCCACCCGCAGCTGGTTATCAGCGGATTTCGTATATATGCGTGAGTTTTCCTGCAATTGCTGCGGAAGGAGCGTTAATAATACTCTAGGGCTGTGGAGAACTTTCATACCTTGATGTTCGAGAGCTATCTGCGGGTGGGATTGAAAGGTTCCGGTGAAAACTTCTTAACAGCGTCGCTGCTGTTAGCAGTATGCCACACCATGATGCGTCGCCTGGTTCGAGTCGTCTAGAGCCTCCCCCTCGAGTGCATTTAAATGACCAATTTATCTCGAACCCCGCCAGAGGAAGCACTGGAAACCCATTGGTCCCATACCATTTCCCATCCCAGTCGATTCCAGCCGAGAATATCCAAGCATATAGCACAACACCCCAGATTCAGGATGCTCAATTCGTTCTCTTATGCATGAGCGCAAGAAGCTCAACCGTTCTGGTCCATATCGAAGTGAGCACCCTCACCAATGACCATTACTTTTTCCAGCAAGTACGTCAAGAATATCAGAAACTTTGTCATGAGCAAGGATTCAGACTTTCAAGGATCGTTCCCTTGTGGGCTTGTAATTTCGGCCGCGCAATTGCAATGCGGCTGCCACGGCTCCCATCAGTATGGCCGCTCTTTCGGTTCCGTTGGATACATTTCTCTGCTATGCCTGAAATACATCTCCACAAGATTGTATCTGGAGATTTTGTCCGAGTACGTATACGTATAAGGCATTCTTGCATACACCACCACCCACACCACCCAACCATCAGATCAGATCAGTGAATGACAGGCTAACTCTTCCTTTCCTTCATAGTTCTCACCAATTCCTATTGGAATCACTTGTTGTCCCTCGTGGTTCAAGACGAGAGAATTTCCTCCAGAAGTCGAGGTTACGACAAGAAGATACCTCTACGAGCCAGTACCAATGGAAGACGTTGAATTGTCTCATATCCCGTTGCAACACCTGTTAAAACCGGGACCCCACACTGACACGTTCTGGATGACCATGATTCCCAAGAAACTCCGAGATCCTTTAGTCCGAAGCCCTGGAACTAACCGCCATGTTAGAGGATGGGGTGTCCGTATTAACGAGGGTCTGAATTGGGTCTTTGTCTTACCATTTATGCTCGTCATGCTCTTAGCAGTTGGCGTCAGCGTAATCATTTACGCAGCACTCACGTCGGATAACTCGTCGGCTTTTAGCCTGGGAGCGTTCTTGGTGTCGCTACTTACCGTCTATCTTACGTATCAATATCTTGCATGGAAAGATGATACTTAATTCGATGAAAGTGCATATTTGTGATGAGCCTTCAATAGAGACTTGCTTTGGAGGAAGCGGCTTTGCCAGGGAGGTACACAAAGCATCAAGCCATGAAACAGTGAACCTAGCTTCGCACCGTCCTATACTACTTCGCTTCCAGAGGAACCCCGGGATCAAAGGCAAGTGGTTCTTGATCGTGCTGGACACAGCGACAAACCAGCGGACCAGGGCAGGGCTCCAAGAATCAGCTCCGAGCTCCAGGGCACTGAGCTCGTTGCGGTGCTTCAACCGCCGCATATATCAACGAGCTCGAGAATATGTGAAGTACTGCAAGCAGACACGGTTAAGGGCCTCGAGATAGACATACTAGATGATGGGTTGCGGAAAGATCGGGGCTAATAATATCTAAATTCAACGAGGTAGGAAGTGACAGGTAGACCGGCAAGAAGAAAAACCAACAGGAACAACCAACAAACAAACAAAAAGAAACAAGAAGAGACAAAAACACAACAAGAAGGACAAACCAAAGCACGAACACCAGCGGCCTAAAGGGTTTAGCCGGTAAGACTCAGCGAAGCAACAGGTGGCGGTAAATGGTGTAGCGCTTACAATAGATCCACGGGACCACCTCCTGGTCAATCGTGCACCAACCCGCGTCCGCAGTGACAGGCAGCTTATTCATAACAAAGACAGTGTCGGGTGGAGGTGATCCCTCCAGGAGATGAGGTAGCTTGTTCTCTTTCATTAGGCGGGCACGGTACTCCAGCAGGGGCTCAAAGATGTTGCAGTCAGCTGCGACCTCCACGTGTCCTCGGAGTTGGTCCCAGAACAGTTGCAGCTCAGGCACGTCCAGCTGGTACTTTGTAACTGTGCGCTCGCCGGGAACCTTCCGCTCCGCGAGGTCATACAACATCGCGAACCAGAGCCAGTCCAGACGGCGGAAAATGTGCAGACTCTGGCAGAGGCAGAGGAGGGCCATCTTGACATGGGCTGCTGCCACCAGGGTTTTGACGTGGTAAAGGGTTGACCATGGGCCCGAGCTTCGTCGGGTCTCGCCGGTTGCGGTTGGCATGTACTGAGTATACTCTTCAGGGCCAGGCCAGGCAGGCTGGTCACGGTCGGACAGGCGGGCCGCGTCAGTTGAGAGGACAAAGTAAGGGTCGTCTTGCGCTGGTGGTCCGACATGGAAATCCTCATCCTTGATCCACCAGAGAAGGCGCGACTTGTAATGTAGGTGGACAATCAGATCATCAGGCATATGAAAGTGAGCATAGCCAGGGGGGTGAAATTGGTCTCTACAGATCAGTAACTGCACATGGCGCTTAACAGCTTGCTGCTCAAGTGTTTGCTGCGGAAGCTGGTAGATCCCAGGGAAGCGGTCTTCCAGGACTTCAATACATGTCGAATCCCGGGGTGGCCTGCTGCAGTAGCCCGTTCGTTTGACGGGAATGCAACGTTTGATGACTCTGGACGAATATTAGCGGCGAAGTGGCAGCGGGGCAGGCACTCACTCAGACCGCTACCGACCGGCCTGATCGGTGGAGCAGAAGAAGATTCATACCTTTTGATGTGCTCGGATCGATTGATATTGTAGCTGAGTTGATAGCCAAGCCTGTTGAGTTGCCTGAAAACCGCCTTACTCGTTGCCGACTTCGAAGTCGGGTGAGGTCAAGATTCGCGCGTTGGGCAAGGATGTTTTCTGCCAAAGGCGGCGACAGATTAGGTCTAGTTCCCGAGACAGCAAAGCCATGCTAGATACGGAGTACGGTACAGCCTTAGGTACAGTGAACTGTGCTGACTTTGCAGAGCAATCACCATTAGCTCTGTTTTGCTTCAGAAAAAGCAGCACTATACAACCTCTGGTCTGCAGGGAAAAGCTTCTGTACTGTGAACCGTACTACAGAGTGCGGAAGTTTCTAGGATAGACTGGAGTAGGCCAATAAAATATATTCCAGCACTTGTGAACGATTCAATGGGTCGACAGTGACACAAGCTATTCAACCTGGTAAGGACCGCCGGAGCGAAAGACGATCTGCGCTCATCCAAAAACATGGACCTAATCAGGTCCCTGCAGCACTGCGCCCAGAGCCTAGCCGTCACAAGCGTTTCCTTCGATCGATCATCCCCCATCCAAGCTTCTCTTGCCAGGCAAATCTCGCTCAACCAACATCTCAGCAGGCAGGCCGATTCGCAGCTGACCGGAAGCTGACACCCATCCCGGCCCTTACGTGATGCTTCGCAATCCTGACCAAGGCGCCGTCCGACAACATAAAAACTCGACCAAAAACCATCCCTGCGCTCTCCTCATCTCATCTCCAGTATCACCACCACGCCCAAAATGCCCTGGCCGTGGCCTCACCAACCATCCTCCACCTTCTGGCGACCATCCGCCCACCGACCACCCCCCGACTCCAGCGCCCCCATCCCCTTCGCCGGCCGCCTCGGCGCAAACCAAGAATTCTCCCTTGACAAGCAAGACACGCAGCAAATCGAGCTGCTGCAGAAATTCCCCGATGCCGCGCCCTGGATCCCGCTGGGTGAGTCCCTCGACCTGAGACACATTCTCCAGCTCGGGCTGTGGAAGGCCGCAGTGATCGAGGGCGTGGGGAGCTGTTTCCTCGTTTATCTGACTTGCTTTGTATCCGTTGGATTGGGGGAGTTGGTATCGTGTGTTTTGCACTTCACTTTCACGTCTGGAGCGGTAATCCAGCTAATCAAGCCACCTAGTACATTCGCGTCCGGCCCCCTCGTCCCATCTCTACTCGGCGCCTGCACAGCCCTAATCTCCCTCCCGCTGTTCATCTTCGCGACGGGACCCGTCTCAGGCGCGCATCTTAACCCGACGATCACGCTGGGGACGTTCTTTGGTCGACTGGCGACCCTCCCGCGGTGTATTCTGTACATTGCGTTCCAGACATTCGGGGCCGCGATCGCGGGGTTGTTGTTGCGGGCGAGCTTTGATACGAGGGATGTATGTTACCCACACAAATACCCCTGTAAACAAATCCAGAGAAGAGAGTACGGTAGAGCACTAATAAACTTCCCAGTTCACCGTCCCCGGCTGCTCCGTCGACACATCGCTCATCACCCTCCGCAGCGCCTTCACAATCGAGTTCACAACGGACTTCGCCCTGCTCTTCCTCTCCTTCGGGGTGGGCTTGGATCCGCGGCAGAAGGACGTCTTCGGCCCAGCGCTGGGTCCCATCCTCGTCGGGCTCGTGCTGGCAATGTGCACCTTTTTCACGGGGATCAGTCGCCCGGGATACCCGGGGTTCTGTACGTGTTTCCGTTTCCCACACATGCGTGTAATGCTTTAGCGGGCATCGGTCGACTAACTTGCATTGCTAGCGGGCAACCCAGCGCGGTGTTTCGGCGCAATGGTAGGCTCGCACTTCGCCGCGTACCACTGGATCCACTGGGTCGGGCCCCTAACGGCGTCGATTGCGCACGGAGTGTTGTATTATCTCTTCCCGCCGTACTCGCAGCGCCCGCACTCGCCTGCGGAAGACGGAATTGTCCGTTGAGGTTGGGTTGAGCGTTCTGGACGCTGGGTGGATGGGTATCACCTTGTATTGGATTGGTAGGCATTCGACATCGGTGGCCACCGTGATGATTCGGGCACGAGCACGGGGACATCCACCGAACCGAACCCACCTATTGTCCGGGGAGTCTGCTGCCTCGCCCTTATAGGTTGTTTACGCCTATCCGTGTGTCCAGTGGATTGCGTCGTGGGGAATTACGATACTAGAGCCGCCAACCTTCAAATTCGAGTCAAGTGGACATGTTGGGTGTCGTAAACGGACGACTGGATTAAGAGAAAGCTGTAAGCCGTCCCGTCCACGTTGAGGAGTAGAACCCTAAGAAGGTGGAGCCAGGGGCAAGCGCAAGGCCTCGTGCTGAAAATACCCTAAGCCTGGAGGATGCGGCCGGTTGAACGTACTTGACTCATCAGAGGACTCATGCGCTAGCTATGTACGGAGGCTCTCAGTCTATGGTACAAGTCCAGGTTCCGCGTGAGGGTACACCACCGCGGCAAGGAGCAAGAACAGTCTCCCGTAGTATCAGGTATCTTGAAGAATAATGTTGTCTTATCCTGCTAATCCCATTCGGTTTGCCATGTTCGAGGGGAGGAAGGTAGTAAAGCGGGAAGATGTTGTGCGTAATGCATTGAATCTAGCCAAGAATATTCGCAGGGCACTTTGACAGCCATGTATCCACCAATATCTAGTTATCTACCAAAACTGGTCCCTAAAAACTAACAACCATGTTTTTCAACGTCTCTGGATTCCCCTTCCCCTTCCTCAACCTCAAACACATACCCCAGCCGCTCAAGAGCCCTCTTAACAATATCCCCAACCCCATCCTCAACCATCATCTCGCTAACGACTTCCCCAGCCTTCGCCAACGTCCCACTCTTAACAGTAACAAGTTCATCCCGCCGCAACTTCTTCGTCGCCTCGTCCGTCCCCGCAGCAACCATGAAGATCCAACCCACAAGGAACGGCAGCTGCGTCTCAGCCTCCATGTACTCCGGGCCGAAAGCCCTGCGCAGGAACGGGTCCACGGCAGCGTGCAGTCTTCGGAGCATCTGCCAGCATAGCTGGTGGAGCGTCAGATAGTCGAAATTCATCTCGGGTGCTTCGACCTGGAGGGTATTGCGGAGGGTCGTGAGAAGCTCGGTGGGGGTTAGGCGGCGTGCGGTGTCCCAGCGCTGTCGGGCTGAGGATTTCGAGTTTGACAATTTCGATTCCTTGTTGCCGACGCGGCGGGACATAGTGAGCACGTCTCCGTCTTGATCCTGTTCTTGGCCTTCGAGTTCGATTTCCCAGACGCCGTCGGCGAGGATTTTCTCGAGCTCGGCTGCGCTGAACCCGGTCTTTCGCGATCCCTCGCAGTACCGCTCGAAGAACATACGTGAGATGTTGGCGATGGGTTGGATCCCCTTGGGGCCGCTCCTGGATTCCGGTAGACGGGGGGTGTGCCGTCGATTCCGTCCGTAGGCTGTAGCAGAGACGCCCGTGCTGAGGTTAAAGCGTTTCAAGTAATCTTCTGGGCGGGCTGGGCGGGCCCCAACGAAGATCTCGGGGTGCCAATATAGAATAAGGTCCATGTCGAACCAGGCGCCGGACATGAGCTTTTCCTGCTGGAGGGCATTGTACAAGTGAGCGGAGTACATGATCGAGCCCCATGCGCCTGCGAATGTAATGCCTATTTCCTGCCACATGGACTTGAGGTAGTAGGTGATCATTCCGCATAGGACGGGGTGCCACTTCGTGAGCTTGAACTCGTCTCCCGGTCGCCATATTAGCTTGAGACTTTGCTTCAGGGACATTGTCATATCGGTATGCACCCACATGTCGACGACGTCGAGGATATGCTGCATCACCTTGTCATTTTGCTTTGGCCAATTGTCGATGCGGAGATCCGCGTGAAACGCCATGTTCTTCCTGATCGATGTTCCGACAGTTTCGGCGTGGATAGCGAGTTCACCATGAGGCCGCTGAAAGTCGTCACGGAGGATACGATGGATGTCAAGAAAGACCTGGGCGGCAAAAACAAGCCAGAGGGGGATTTCCTTGGTGTCAAACATCTTCCGTAGCCCGCGTGTAAATTCATCTTCGTAGGATTGCGCTGGTCCGATCCGGTGCAGAGTAACAAACTCCGGAAGTATTTCCATCAAGATCATCTTGTCATGCAAGAAGTTCTCTTTCCCGCTCATCTCGTTCCTATATCTGGTCCTGTCAAGGTGGCCGTAGTATCCCGGTCTGTATTGCGGCACATTCCTTTTCTGCACTACTTCACGGAACGCGCTCAGAATTAACCAGGTCGGGTACATCAGCGTCTGCGCATCTTCATAGACCCGGAAATTCATATCGTCGCCAGGCTGCTCTCGAAAATTGGCGTCTTCTTCTTTAAGTATGCAAGATGCCACGAACATTCTCTTAAGCATTCCTTCCGATCCTCCAATTTTAACAAACAGATGCTGAATTTCTTCTTCCATGCGTTGCGCTATATCAAAAGCCGAGTTCGTCATGAGGGAAACAGACACCAGGTCAAACTCGGCGCAGCCGTAACTCGCCCAGGTTGTCATAAGGAGCCGTCGCAGCTCACGGTAATCCTTTAGAAGAAGGCTGAAAGCGACCAATGCCTCGCCAGCATCATGTCTCAGCTCAGCTTCGTAATCAACATCTGGCGTATCGTCCTTGAAGGTGGAGATGGTCACATCCGGAGCACGCAAGAACGCCTCAGATGGTTCCTGTACGTCGAGGCCATCGAACCTATTGGCGAGATTGTCGACTCTCCCGCCTACCGAGTCGTCATCTGCGCGTCGAGTCAAGGGATCATTGACTTGGGTGCTCGGCATCAAAGGCCGAAGAGCCTGCTGAACGTGCTCGAGAATGCCAATGAAGTAGTTATGCCGTTCGTCGGACTCTTGATCCTGGACCCCCAGGCCTAGACCATCTGAGAATCGTAGTCCATGACGCCGTCTGACAGCGATAGCTCTATTCAGGACAGCAGCGAAGCCTTCAGGAACACGGATCCGAGGACTGGTAGAGGCAGCGATGTAGTCGGCCAGGCTAACGAAGTCCTTCACGGCGAGGGTATGCTTGGCTACGACGGGATTGGCAGATGACTCTGGTTTCGCACCGGTCTCTTTGGCGAGCTTTCGCGCTTTTCCCTTGAGCCGTTTAGACTGTGGGGCGGCGGGCGTAGCAGGCGTCGTGGCTCCTCTCAGCGTCTCCACGGGAAAGCCACACTTCTTCGCGGTAGCGACCAGCCATGTGGCAACGGCGTCAGTGTCGGCTTTGTACTGTGTATAGCTGCTGGTGAAAAACTCTAGTCCCATTGCGGTGCTGCTGCTGGGAGAAAAGGAAGGTTGGGAGAAAGAAAGTTGCGTTGGAAAAGAGATTGGAAGTGGAACCAGGCGACTGCCAAGCCCCAGCCCAAAAGGTTCTGTTTGATCAATCACAAAAAGCAAAAGTCTTCATTTTCCAACTATCACGCAGAATCATCAGACTCTATGCCATCTATGCTTCCCTATCCATCTTTTCCTCCTCAACTTCAGGACCATGGGATCCCCATCCCGCTGCATCCTGTCCCCACCACAACCCATCCACCGACGCTTCAACTACCTTTCAACCACCGCCAAATGCACCGTGATGCTCACACTTAGATAAGCACCTTCTCAACATCGGCAAGAGTGCCGTTGACAATAGCGGCAGCGTGGTGGCGAGCGACGAGACCGTAAGCGAACTGGTACCTATCCGGAGTCAGCAATATCCACAATACCCTCTGAGCAAACTCACTGGTCAAGGAAGGGCAGCAGCTGGGCAAGACCAGGGGTGTTCCTCCAGTCGCGCATGAGGTCGCAAACAATGGCAAAGAAGCCCATGAGGGTGACGCCAGCCTTCTCCATGCGCCTGTTGGCATCCTCCGCGAGACGGACGTCGAAGGTTCCGCTGGCTTCGGTGTTGGCGTACACCTCGTAGCCCTCGTCGACAAGTGAGAGGGCCAGGAAGGCGGTGCCTGGTCGTTCACAGTTAGCGGAGCCTCGGAACAAGGAGTTGTGCGAGACGTACAAACTTCGGTCACGATTCCACCAACAATCAGCTGCTTCTTGCCCGTGGCCTTGACAGCGTTGCGGAACTCCTCGTTGTCCCAGGCGTTAACTTCGCCCTGGCGGCGGACGACCGTGACGTTCGGGTACATGTCAAGGATCTCCTTGAGCATCTGGCCGTTGGGGCCTTCGTCGGAGGAGGTGGTCAGCACGACGGGGATGTCGAAGGCCTTGCCGATGGCGGCGTGGGCGAGCATGTTGTTGCGGAAGTCGTTGGTGCTGTAGTCGCGGACGACGGTAGCAAGACCGACCTGGTGGTCGATGACCAGAAGGGCCTGTTCACGTTAATCCCTGCGCCATGATCGTCATCGTCAAGTGCACGACTTACAGCATTGTCCTTGTCAATCCGGTTCCAGGCGTTGACGGTGGCAGAGGCGGCCAGGACGAGGCCGGCCTGAAGAGCTTGGATGAAACGCATCTTGCTGTTGACTTTTCTTGATTGACTGGAATCGAGGCGAGAGGAGCTGGAAAGACAACCGAGGGCTTGAGACTGCTTTGCTTTGCTGCTGCTGCTGTTCTCTTCAACGCCGTCCTCGTCCCCCTATTTATACCCATCCCTTCTACCCCCTTCTCCCCTTCATCGCCTCGCCAACGGCCGTCGCGACCCCAACTCACGATTTCCAATCCTCAGGTCATCACCACAAATCTCCGGACGAACCGCCTGGCACCTTCAACGAACGTATCTATCTGCATTATGTTCCCTGACAAACAGATGCATAAGCCACAGTATATTGTCTGGCCAGTCAGAGGGCAGACAACCCTGCACCATCAAGCCGCGTGCGTTTTAAGCTGACTTAGCGCCTTGGTCGGCTAGGGTCTGGGCTTGGCGAGGCGGAGAAGGGGCGTTCGCTTGTGCGTGAGAAGGATCGGAGATGAGATTGGATCGTGGAGGTGGAGGAGCCTCGAGGGCTTTTTCTCGACTATCAGGCACAGAAGCCTCGACTTGACGGCCAGCGTTGTCATATTTTGACAGTATATCTTCCACTCCGACGCTGTAGGAGCTGTCATACACGTAGCCAGCCCACTTAGGGCAACCCGCCGCCCAACCAGGTCCAGACCGCAGAATTCTATCCCGGAAAACAATTCCAGAATCCATGTAGGTAGGTATGGGAAACCAAGCCTCTCACAGTACTTCTACTACTCCCACCGGCCCGGGTCTAGCATGATACCAATCTTACCCAACGGGAAGTCTCCAAGCCGTGAGGTCTGAATAAGAACTCAGTCAGCACCCAAAACCTGTCAAGTCGGTGACAGGCGGATCGAGCCGCCAGGCCCAATCCAATCTTCTTACTCCGTATCAACCCCGTATCTTAACAGCTCCCATCGGCCAGAGTCCGAGACCCCCGACTGACAATAAAATACAGTTGTACGGAGTACTACGGTAGTAACCACCAACGGTCCAAAGCCCACCGAGTCCGCACAGCGCAGTCGCAGTCGCAGTCGCAGTCGCAGTCCGAGCTCGGCGGCTGACAGATTGATAAGTCTTAGTCTTCGTCTGCAACGCCTAGGCCAGGGCTAAATTTCCACCACGGCAATTTGACTGGCGGCCGACCGGGCGCGACGGGCGGGGACGCAAAAGTGCGCTATTTGTGGAAAATAGTTCCCTCTCCGTATGTGCAGGGTTTCGTTGGACAGAAACGCCTGCAGTTGCTGCATCGTTGCCAGGTGCCCGGCTTGATAGGCGTTTGTTTTACTTGTAAGCTCTGCAGCTAGATTAGCCCGACCCTGGATTTTGGGGGCGGAGGGATCTGGCCTATAGCACCCGTCAAGTATCCTTCCTTTGCAGGCTAGCGTAGGCAGCCTCATTGCTATTTGCAAAGCACCTTCTTGTTTGGACGCACGGTCGTTTCTGCTTCTGGCCCTGGTCCTGGTCTTTTGGCTTTGGCTTTGGCTTTTAGCCTGATGGCCATGTGTCGGGCATGGGTTGGGATCCTGGATCGTGTTCGCTGCGTCCCTGATCCTGCAGCTGTGCGGTGCAGAGCAGAGATCCTGGTGGTTTCGGGCAATGGGGTCATGTGGTAGGTAGCGAGCATGTGAAGAGAGAAAAGTTACGCTGGCTGGGGTTGGGTTGGGATTGTCAAGTTGAGGCTGGAATGGTGTGGACCGGTGCAACGGTGAGGCGAGACTGAGAGGAGAGGAGATGTTATCTGATCGTGCGTGGGTCGCGTAGGAACTGAGAAATTGGGTCGGGCTGGGGTCGCGGCCTGCATCGGGATGGGGCCGTTCTTAAGCGGTAGGGGCAGATGGACAGAAATGCCTCAAGATTGAGGTTGAGGTACGATTGTAGAGCAAAGATAGAGAGATGGACGTGGAGATTCGTATATTCTATCATCCAAACCAAGAAAAACCAAAACCAAATAACAGAGAAGAGAGTCTAGTGTTGAACACCCCAACCCAAAAGCAACGCACGCTCAAAATCCTAATCCCAGCAGTATACCAACCCAATTAATCAAGCAATCAACATCTCAAGCCCGTCGCCCCTTCTTACTATCCCGCCCCTCATCCCCAGTATCACACCGATACCTCTCGGGGCCCTGTCCCTGCCCCTCCCCAAACAGCCCAAGCAGCGTCTGCATAACAATACAACTGCGCTCATACTCCATCCCCTTGCGCCAACACCCCGGCGAACACGAGCTCTCCACGCGCCTCATCAACTCATCCGTATCGGAATTGAGACTGCCATCGCGCCGCACAATATCCGCCATCACGCCGAGGATCTTCTCGCGCCACTTGCGCAGACTCTCGACCTCTTTCTCCAATCGCCGCTTATCGCTCTCAATTGTATCATTCCGCGATCGCATCGACTCTAACGATTTCGCCATGGCGTCGTGCTTCGCTTGTAACTCGTCCAGCCGCGACAGGAGCTCCGTCTTCTGCGCCTCCTTGCGCTCGCGGAACCGTCGCTGTGCCTGCCTATTCTGAGAGCGCCGGAGCGTTGTCTACACATACTATCAGCATCCTATCCCTTACAATCAAGTAGATTATTTGAGGGTGGTAGCTACCTTCTGCACCGTCTCACCCTCCCCAAACTCGGCATCATGAAACGCAGACGTAGACTGGCGATCACTCACGCTCACCGCAAGATGCGACATATGCGGCGAGGATTCCGTGGATGTAGACGGGAACGAAAAGACGTCGTCGGTGGTAGGCGTGTGAATTGGCGGCGACAGCGTGGAGAGGAATTGGAGGTTCTGTTCGGCGAAGTGTGGCGAGGACCAGTGCATCCCGTTTGGGTGTGCGAGCCGGGACTCTTCTCCGAGGTCGAGCGCGGGGTGCGATTTGGGGTGGTGTGCTGGCATTGCGTAGGCGTCGACGCCGCCCATGTAGTAGGAGGGTGTTTTGGGGGTGTTGTGGTACATTTTCTTTTATCTTATCCTCGAGACGAGAGCAGTGCAATGCAATTGAGAAAGGGGGAAGTTGATGAGACTGGGACTGAGACAATGTATCGCGGGCGCGGAGCGGCTCCATTTAACCAAGTGCGCGAAATGACGCTTTGCCTCGTCAAGCACGCTGCATCTGCGACTGGATTGCATTTTCATTTTCATTTTCATCGCTTCCGTTAAGCTTCTCCTGCGCGCGACACATGGTTCTGCGCTGCTAGTCCTGAATTGGGACGATGTTGGCAGGCTCTTATTGCTCCGGGACGCTAATCCTTGTGATAACGGGCAACGTGGTTTTCAGCCTTCGTTTGACAGGGATAGCGGTTCTTACGGAGTACGGAGTGGGCAGTTCGATAGATACGTCGGACGGGCTCCGTGCTACATTCTAGGATAATAGGATTGTGTACTATGCTCTAATCTAGTGTAGGGATGCAGGGTTCTCGCTTGGGATGAACACACCAAGGGAGTCTGACAGGATCTCTATTCTCTAGTGCCCAGGGATGCGATCTACAGGCGCTGAGGATTTGTGGAACGGGATCGGGCTGCTGCCGAGTCATGCTGGAGTATTCTTTAGACTCTTTAGTCCTTAATGAGGGCGCTATGTATACTGCTAAGAATAAGCTGCCATGTGGTCTCGCTGCATCGTCCAATCACATCGCCACATCATATTGCCAAATTCGGTTTAACTCTGAGGCTAGGCCCCATTCGTGCTAGGGCCATCTGTATCGTCAACATCAGAGCGTCTCCATCTACGCCCGTCTCCCCCGACTGCCCCCTTCTGTTTGGCACTTGTCCTTCAACTCGACCCGATCCCGTCCCATCGGACCCGACTGACACTGGCCCCCAGATCCGGGACCCAAAGTACGCCACTATCCAGCAGCCTGCAGCATAAGTCCACCTATAACGGGACGACTCGTTTGAAATTTCCTATCACGGTAGGCTGCACGGCCGCATCCACCCAGGCAAACGATGAAAGGAGCGCCACAAGCTTGTCGAGATTGTCCGCCCCTGCATCCTGAGACAGACGGGCCATGTATGAGACTAGCGGGCTTGGAGGATTCTCATCCTGCATGCTCATTGCTACAGCCACGCACCAGAGGATCAAAGGTTGCGAGACATCCTGCGCCTTCAGAAGGTCGAAGCGAGGGTATAATGCTTCGAGGAGTGCTTGTCTAAGGCGTTGAGAGCGGGGAATGGGGAAAGTGACGTGCACTGCATACAGAATCGCGCTCAGGCGAACGGTCAGGTAGATCTCCCGCAGCAGATCAGCTTCAGGCTCAGCCGCTGTCTGTCCCTTACACTCGATGATCGCTTCGATGGGGTCATTTTCATCTGGCAGCGAGAGCAGGCGGTGGTGGATTAGGTTCCGGCTATCGCCTAGCAAATCCAACACCGCCGGACTACATGTCTCTCCTGACTCCGAGTAGTGCTGCAGGACACTGGAGTACTGTCCGAGATGGATAAAAACAGAAGCAATCTCCTGTTTCACAGGCGGCCAAAGATAGAAGAGATCGTGGAACCCGGTCCCGGCCGTGTCTTGAACCAGACCTTTGAACAGCAAGCTCGGCGGCTGCAGATCCAACGGCTTCCCCTCGACGTCAACGATCGGGTAAACGGGTTTATTTAAAGTTTGTACGGCGCTCATCAGATCAGACAAGCAGAGCAGCCAAGCCAGGGCATACATCTGCAGGCTCTGGATCCCCCCATAGCGCGCCACAATGTCCTGCACAACCTTCCAATGCAGTGGGTGGTACTCCCGGGATCCGTAAAAGTCCAACGCATGTAGGTTCGTGAAGCCTGGCTTGAACGGGCTGGGATCCCGGTCGATTTTCGTCATCTGCCTGTCGTTAACCGCCAGGTAGAGGATGCACTTGACCATCGCATCGGGTGATCTGCCATCTGCCATTTTCCCGACCTCCTTCCGCAGCGCGCGCAGAGCAAGAGTCTTCAGCTCGAGCTGCTCCTTTGACTCCAACAGCGGCTCCGCAGCCCCATACGTAACGCGCACTATATCCCGGTGAAACGACGCACTCCAGAGGATAGTATACTTGATAAGCTCATTCGGGTCATTCCACGCAAACACCCACGCTTTGTAGCAATTAACCGCATAGTCGCCGGCCCGGAAATGCGGCCAGAGCGCCGTGGTCATGTAGTCCAGCAGCTCGTGCACCTTGTGCCGGGATGCCGTGGCATCTACCGGGACAAGCGGGTCCTTGCGTCCTGCAACCAGGGCCTGGGGACTGGGGAGCACGGGCACCGCTTGGTCATTGCTGACTCTGACAGCCGCAGGAGCCGCGACAACGGTCCCTCCACAAGCCGGACAGCGATCCGGGAGGCGTTGCGCCTGCAGGGCACCACCACTCTGGGTACGCTGCAGACTCTCCTTCGGGCGAAGTGCCGGTAAGCGGGAGTTTGCGCCTGCAGCAGGTGCCGTCACTGTCGTCTGACTCGCCCCCGGCGAATCAAGCTCAGACCCAGCGCTCCGTCCGAGCTCCACGATCGAGCCACATCTGCATATAGGTAGGGCTGATCCTGTCCCTGACCCTGACCGTGGACCCTTATCCTGATTCTTCAACATCGAGTCCAACCTCGTCGCTGCATCCTCCCTCCTCTTCGCCTTCTTATCCGCCAAAATCCTCCTTAGCAGCGTCGACCGCACCCCCGGATTGCCCGCCTGCTCGTTCAGCGTGGGTCCGCCGACGAACATGAACTGGCCTGGGGGCCGGCCGGCGGCGCCGCCGCTGCTCGCTTTCGGTTTCGGTGGCATTTAGGCTGCGGTTCGCGCGGCGGGGACGGTGACATGCTCTTGTCGTACCGTATACTCTCGGGTTCGGCTAGCTCTTCTGCAGGAATCGTGTGACACTGACGTCTCGAACGGGTGGGTGGGCTGATCTCGAAGCTCCGGCGATGGATGGCCTCGGGCTGGATCGGCAGGGACGAGGGGGTCGGGTGACTTTGCTAGCTCTCGTAAAGGCAAATGAGATGGCTTATCGAGGCGCTAGGTTGGTTGGAGCTAGCGTTGTTGTCGTTGGTCATGGTGCATGAACTATATGTGCATAGGGCTTTTGCTTATGTAATTATGCGGCATAGTACCTGCCAGAGACTCCAGCTCACGCCGCCACATGCAAAGTTTCTACTCCACACTACCAGTCTAACAGTCTACTGTAACTCTGCACGCTGTAAATAGACATGTTGTCTCTAAGGCTAACTCTAAGACACCTTCCTCGACCTGCAAACTGCCCACCTCCTTTCCTCACCCACGGAATTGCAATCCCCCTGAACCAACCCGCGGAACAAAACCTCCTCTCGCGTGGCTCGCGCACGCCTGCGCCTCACCTCGCCTCAGGAACAAAAATAGCCGAATCAAAGGGGTTGAAACTTTAACGTATTCCCCACCCGCTGATCCAAACGGCTCAAGTCTACCGTACTCCGTAAGTGTCAACGGCGCTACGAAAAATTCAATTCGCGACTCCTTTCGTCTGGAACAGTGGGAACCTATCAAACTCTGCGTATAGGCCATCCTGTACCCACCACTGAGCCCCTTCTCACAAAAGAGGAAAGAGCATGGCGCTAGCTAGGATGATCTGAGTTAGAGGACGGGGGCATGGGGGAGCTTAGGGCTTTTTTTTGTTTGGGAGGACGGTAGCGGGATGGCGTTGGGACTTGGGAAATGGTTGAGCACGGGGGTTTGGGTTTGGGACGGGGGAGCTCCGTTTGGATGTGAAATTTCTGATCGCGTTTTTTTTTCTTGGGGTTTAATTTATATAGGAGTTCGTTCATCTGCGATATTATTCGAGGCTGTATTTGCGATTGTTTGGTGGTTGTTCTATACTCATCCATCCATTATGGCCGCAACGACAACCACCTCGACCCTGGCAGGGATTGAAAAGGTACCTTACTTACTGCAGCTTATCCTACATGCTGCATGCAGCTCAGCTAGACTAACAAAGACCTGCTAGAAAAAAGAAGAAATCACCCTGCAGACCATCAAAAACGCCATCCCCAAGCACTGCTTCGAGCGCTCCCTCCTCACCTCCTCCCTCTACCTGGTCCGCGACCTCATCTACGCCAGCACCCTCTTCTACCTCGGCCTGCAGATCGACTCGTTCCTCTCGTCAACGCCCCTCCGCATAATAGCCTGGCTCGCCTACGGCTTCCTGCAAGGCTGCGTCGGCACCGGCATCTGGATCCTCGCGCACGAATGCGGCCACGGCTCGTTCTCGCCGTACCAGACATGGAACGACGTCGTCGGCTGGGCCTGCCACTCGCTCCTGATGGTCCCCTACTTCAGCTGGAAGATCACGCACGCGCGTCACCACCGGTACACGAACAACACGGACCGGGACACCGCGTTCGTGCCCTGGATGGAAAACGAGTATGAGCACCGCCCGCGCTATCTCCCCGCCTGGATCGAGGTCTTCGAGGACACGCCCATCTACAACCTCGTCAGTCTGCTCGCGCACCAGCTCGCGGGCTGGCAGACGTATCTCTGCTTCTACGTTAGTGCCGGCGCGAAGAGTAAGCCCGTGCCGCAGGGGAAGCAGAGCGGGTGGTTTGGCGGCCAGCAGAGCGCGAGCCACTTTGACCCGGGCAGCTCGCTGTGGACGGAGAACCAGCGGCACCTGATTGCGATTTCGGATTTGGGGCTGCTGATTGTTGCGGCGGCGAACTGGTATCTTGCGCAGAAGGTTGGCGTGCTGAAGATGGTGCTGCTTTATGTTGTGCCGTATTTCTGGGTGCATCACTGGCTTGGTAAGACACCTTTACTCGATCTTGTCTTTTGGATGACGGCTGCTAATCTTTGTCGCGCAGTCGCAATCACCTACCTCCACCACACGCACCCCTCAATCCCGCACTACACCGATTCCACCTGGACGTTCACCAAGGGCGCGCTGTCGACTGTTGACCGCGACTTCGGGTTCATTGGGCGCCACTTCTTCCACCACATTATCGACCACCACGTTGTTCACCATCTGTTCAGCCGGATTCCGTTCTACCATGCCGAGGAGGCGACGGATGCTATCATCCCTGTTCTCGGCGATATGTATCACCGCGAGGAGACGGGCTTTATGCGGAGCTTGTTTGAGACGTACAAGAACTGCCAGTTTGTTGGTGTTGAGAAAGAGGTTGGCAAAGAGGGCGTTTTGCATTGGGTTTTTGAGGACAAGAAGGGTGAGAAGGCTCAGTAAGGCCTTCACAACTATTTTGGATGGTTGAGCGCCAGAGTTGGTAGGAGAGCACGTGTTGATTCGGACTGGTCGGTTGGTTGTTTGTTTGGTTTGTATAGACGGCTTGGCTAGACTTGACTGGGTTAGATAGTGGAAGATAGATCATCATAATGATACCCTCATCGTGAAGCAAAAAAAGGGTAGTTCAAAGGTTTATTCATATCATTCATTCCTAAATTGCAAAGTCTATGTATGGCGGCGACAATGGTATGATGCAGGCAATATAAACAAGAAATATCATTAATCGAATCGTTACTTTTAGACACTGATCGTCTTGAAGACACTGCAGGGAGAATTAGCAACAGCAAGTATAGTGATAGAGTGAGGACGTACCCGAAACCGCTGCTACCAGTCGCCATAAGCGTACCGGGCATTTGAGCCTGCCAGTGCAGCTCCTTGACTGACTCCATGTAGTGAACGAACAGCAACTGCGGCGGAACGTCATTGAGTCCAGCCTCGCGGCTCTCTTCCTCGTCCAGCTCGACGGCAAGATCCCAGAGGGTGACGGTGTTATCGGCTGATCCGACAGCAACGACACTGTCGTCCGTCGGGTGCCATTCAATACTTGTAATGGGCTCCTTGTGGAAGTCGAATGAAGCGACAGGTGACGCGGTGATCGGGGCGGAGGAGGACGGGCTAGGCTTCCAATGTCGCAGATCCCAGACGGCCCATTGACCATCATCGGCACCGGTAGCGAGAAGATGGGAAGTCTGCTTCGACCAGGTCATGACGTTGACATCGGTGTTGGAGATCTTGACGTTGACGGCAGGCGTGCGCGATTTCGAACGGACGTCCCAGACCTTGACGGTTCCATCGCTGCTCGCAGAAGCAAAGACGTTCTTCTCGTTGGGTGACCATTGCAGCTCTTCAATCGAGGAGGTGTGGCCGTGGAATGCGCGGGTGTCGGTTACCCAACCGCCGCCTTCAGTGCGAGTTGTAACGTAAATCAAACCGTCGTTGTCACCAGTAAGGAGCTTTCCAAGCGGCTGGAGGGGAGACCAGTCGAGGGCGTATCCTTCGGACTTGTGCATGCGGAGAGTAGACAGGGGCTTGGAGGCGGAGGGAGGAAGCATGGTACCGGGTACGTCGAAACTAGTAAGGTGCGGAGTGACGTCGTGGATGACAACCTGCGAGTTCTCCAGCATGGTCGCGGTGATGGTTTGCGGTGGCTTGGTGAAGTCGGATTGCGGAGTTTGATGGGCGCGGATACGGTTGGCCGTAGACCCGAGAGGAATGCTCTTGTGCTCGAGAATGGCCTCGCCCCCTTCGTCGTCGTCCGAGTCGCTCTCTGAGTCTGTCTCATTCTCTCTCTCCATCTTGCTCAGTCCGCTCAGCTTCAGAACCATCAGCTCATTCTCCTTCGCCCGACGGCCCTCTGCCTGTGTTCCAGTCACCGCATATACCGTCGCGGGATAGGTCTTCCGGTTGTCGCCCAGGGTATCGCGGACAATGTCAAAGGACAAGCACGGCCACGGCGTGCTGAGAGTGTGGAGCATATCGTATGTAGAGGGATCAGGGGAGAGGACCTCACCAGGCGCGAGTTTCGTGCGACCGGGGATGAACGTTTGTTGATCTACTTCCATGGCGTCGGCTTCAACCGTTAGCAACATCCACGGTAGTCTGACAGTGACATACCCTTTTCCTCTTCCTCGCGCTCGGCATCCGGTCGTCCGTCAACACCAGCCTCCAGAATCTCGTCCTCGCTCTCGAACTCGTCCTCATACTCGTCCTCAAACTCGCCCATCTCGTCGGGAGGGGCATCGGCGAGCGGGCGCTCGCCGGCCTTGAGGGCGGCGGCGTCGTCGGAGGCGTCAGCGGCTCTTTTCGACATTTTGAAGTAGGTCCGTAAGGATGAGCTGCAACGAGCCAGTCGTGCGGCAGAGACAGAGATGACAAGACTGAAATCGTTGACTCCGGAGTAGGGTTCAGGAACTTTTTTTTCGTTGACGGTCGGAGGCCCGCACTAAACCTATCGCGGACTAGCGGCGATCAGTTGAGCTGGAGCTGCGGCTGGCTGTGTTGATGTTGACCTCAGGCCTCCCTCCCCTCCCTTCGTCCAACTCCAGTCCCTCCTGCTACTGCTATTGTTTGCTTTGATCATTTATCTACTCTCACTCTCCTTACTTCTCTCTTTCGCGAGCTGTGCTCTATCCTCCCTCGCTCCGCCATGGACCCCGCCCAAACCCCGGTCGCAGAAGCGCCTGCGCCCGAAGTCGAACCACAACACCAGGACCAGCTCCCGGAAACCCAACAAGAGACTCAAGAGCCTCACGCCGAGCTAGATCAACTCGATCACACATCGCAAGATATCTCACAAACTTCGGAGACCGAGACTCCAACCATCATCCCAAGCGCCGCTTCAGAAGAACCTACCCTCCCCTCCTCCAGCTTCCACAACGGCTACAGCAGCGACTCGCGAGCACACTATGAATATCATACTCCGGCCCAAGACCCTCTAACTCAACTTCCGACGTCCTCGAGACCGAGCTCCGGGTTATCAGTCACCCAGAAACAACAACCGACGCAGTCAACAAAGAACAGCGTGGTGATCAAGGTCGGCATGGTGGGAGATGCACAAATCGGAAAAACGAGTTTGATGGTAAAATATGTTGAAGGGAGCTGGGACGAGGATTACATTCAAACGCTGGGTATGTTTGCTATTTCTTTCGTCGTGGGCGGCTGCTGATGGCTCCAGGCGTGAACTTCATGGAAAAAACGATTTCGATCCGGAATACGGAGATCACTTTCTCGATTTGGGATTTGGGTGGTCAGCGCGAGTTCGTCAACATGCTTCCGCTTGTCTGTAACGATGCTGTCGCTATCCTTTTCATGTTCGACCTTACCCGCAAGAGTACTCTAAACTCGATCAAGGAGTGGTACCGACAAGGCCGTGGCTTCAACAAGACGGCGATTCCGTTCCTCGTTGGTACCAAGTACGACCACTTTGTTAACTTTCCTCGGGAAGACCAAGAGGAGATCTCAATTCAGGTAAGCAAGTCGTGTCCGTACTCGAACCCGTCTAATTCCGCAGGCCAAACGCTTTGCCAAGGCAATGAAAGCCAGCTTGATCTTCAGCAGTACTAGCCACAGCATCAATGTGCAGAAGGTATGACCAAGTTCATCATGATCCAGAAAACGGTCTTCTAAGTCACCGCAGATCTTCAAAATCGTCCTCGCCAAGGCTTTTGATCTAAAATGCACAATCCCCGAGATTGAAAATATCGGCGAGCCTCTACTGCTTTATAAGAACGTCTAGCCCCGCGCTCGCGGGCTTATGTTTACGTCCGTGCGTCTGGACGAATGATGTTGACGACCAAACGTTACACCTGACTACATTGAGTTTGGCCTATATCAAGTCCTGGACCTGCGCCACGATCCTGTCTCTCTTTCCTTTCCTCTCCTTCCATCAGCATTGGGATGCGCCTGGGCCTTTCATTCTCTCATATTTTCTTTTCCTTGTCTTAAATTCCCCACTTGTCTCCTTCCTTCTCCCTGTATCTTCTTTATTGTAGGCGTACGCCCGTCTGGTCTTTGTACTTTTCTTGCCAGTCTTGCCTCAGATTGCTATGTCGGAGTATGTTATGCGGAAAGACATTCATGGTTGTCGTTGTTCCAGCTGAATCAAGATTGTCTGATCGGTCCTGCTGCATCCCTGTTAAAAAACGTGACCTTTGGTCTTGCGTGCACAACATACTACGTAACTTCACAAGGCGTGCTTTGTGCAGACCTGAGGCCGTGGAGGCGTGTAGCTGGTACTGGGGGCCGTGAACCAGGTCCCGGGGCGCGCCCAAGCCCTCCGCTCTTGCAAGATCCCGATCCTCGACAAAACACTCCTGTTTTCCGAGCAACAAAGTTCTGAAGGGCATCCTGACAATCGGCCTTAGTACCGAGCTAATGGCCGCCTTCGGGATCGGATGAATGCCGTTGAAGGTGGTTTTGACTTGGCTGTGGCAGTAGGTTGCGCAAGGTCGCCAAAAATATATATTGGGCATCTGCACACCACGCTCTCAGTACCCTACCCGGCTGGGGGGCTCCAATCTCTGAATTCAGACCAGGAATTTAGGTTGCTGATAATATATTTAGGCGATCAAGGTTGGACAGAGGCTGCCTTGTCTTGAACGACTTATCGCTTAGCCGAGATTGGCGCTCAGGACCTCACCCTGAAAGCATAGGGGATACCGTGGACGGCCAATCCTGGTGCCACATCGGTCTGATAGCCTAGCTCCTATCCTCCGCTCAAAGTCTGTTGAACGCACCGTCGCTCTGCATAAGATTAACTAAGAGGTAGGCGTGATCAGGAACGGGAATTGATATCCGTAGTCTCTCGTTGTTTCTTTTGTAAGTAGCCGTCCAGGTCCTCTCTCAACCGAAGTAGTTGACACTTCTTGATAGTATCCATACCCAACAGGACATCAAAATGCATATCAACAATGTGGAAATCTGAAGAATATGTCCTGTATCCATCTTCAAGGTGCCATTGTACGTCTTTCACGACGCCCATTATTGGGGTTTGGGCACCACCAATGCCTCTAACGGACGACACATCATCAAGGGCTTCTAATGAGTATCCAAAATTGGTACGAAGTTTCTTCCACCCATCGACACTCATCAGATTGATGTGTAGGAGTTGACTGTCAAAGCTGAAACACATGTTAGCCTTGCAGTTGCCTTCGCGAGACTTAACCACCACCTCTAAGCCAGAGGAAGCGAATAATGGGGTGCTCTGAGGTAACTTGTTTGGATCTCCAGTCTTGGCAACAGAGGTAGAAGTAGTCTCTGCAAGGCTGGCGTGTTTGCTATTTTCGGTCGGCGTATTTGTCGGGCTTGTTGGGCGCTTAGCAAATCCAGACAACTTCCGGAGGCGAGATCTCAGCCTTTGGGCGAGAGGGGGGTTTTTCGGCTTCGATGTCGGGTTGCTCGGCGAACTATGCTCCACACTCGGTTGCAAGTTCTCTTCAGCCGTCTCGGGTGATTCGTCTGGGGTGGACGGCGAAAGATTTCCCTCTGTATGTTCCGATATATCTGTTAGTGAGCCGGGCTCAGTGCTATTGACCAGAGGAAGACAAGCAAGGGATATCTCCTCCAAATGCTCGCCGAGACGAGTAGTATAAGCTTTCGGTGAGGCCCAGTCGGTCCTCAAGCATAGTGGGCATGCGTGACCTGCGAAGTTTGCCACGGGCACCTTCTCCGCGGCCTGCTGAGCTATTTTGTCCCGTTCCTCGTCGCTTCGACCGGTCTCGTTATGCACCTGAAGAAAATGGTGCATGAATTCGTCTCGGCCAAAGGCTATATCACAGGAGAAGCAGCGCCATTGCAGCTGCGAGAAGTGTTCGTCAATCTCATGCTTCGCCCAGAGGCTTCGTGTTGGAAACATTTTGAGAGCGTGTTTACAAACCGAGTGAGTGCATATGTATGACTGCAGGTCGGAAAATACGTGCATCCTAAACCATCAGTTTCTGCAGCTCGAAAGGACCAGGAAATAACCGACTTCCATTGTACACGGCTCTGCATGGATATTGTCTTTTTGCAAAAGCAACATTGAAAGTAACGGCCCTGTTCACCCTCTGCCGGAAGGGGCGGAACACGGGGTCGCCCCAGAGAGTCTTCTCCAACGCGTGAGGCAAACGAAGAATGGCTGGCAACCGAGGAAGATCCAAGACCGGAATCGTGGAAGACCGAGATTGGCACAAAGCGTGTACGAGTATCATGCGAAAAGGCGGACAGGGTCTGATTCTCTTCACTCAACACTGCATCTTCCGCCAATTGAATCAGACGGACTGATCTATCCCAATTAGCTTGTGATAGTCGCTCCACCAATTCGAGGTTTGCGTCTTTGAACCTATCATCCATTCTTAGTTTCGCGTTATAAATGCGACAAACGACAGACCTATCCAGTATGATCCTGGCGAAGGGACGGGCTTCCTCGGACACTGAAAGCTCAATGCGCTCCGGAACAGCACTTTCATCCAAAAGCTCACGTATATTGTTGGTCTGATGCTCAACTGCTATGGCTAGATCCATTAGGCAGTTGATATACGTTTCCAATCTCTCGTATAGGTTTATGTCGGATTCTGAAAATGAAGCTTCCTCAGATAGCGAACTCCCATCTGACGAAGAACCAGAGCCGTCCATATTCATGAGCTCCTCTATGGCCTGGCCATGGATGAATTGAAGATCTCTGAGACTGCTGACCGCTTGCGTTTCGATGGCTGGGATTCCGCGAGCAACTTGAAAGAGACAAATCAGCGAATTGCACATATGGTGAGACGCAATGGCTTACTTTGGATGATGGCACCGCAAATACTCCTTAGAGTGTCCAACACGTTTTCTCTCAGGTAGCTTGTGTACTGCAGTATCTCGTCTAGCCTTCCAGGAACGAAGTTTTCTTTCCACAAACAAAGCCTTACTACGGCATCTCTCGTTGCATTCAGGGCTGGCCCATGCAAATGATTTCGAAATACCGATATCCATAGCTCGCTGACATATAGCGAGAGCCTGCGGTATAGAACCTCGACGGGGCCAGCATCGGGGCCTAGGAAGTCCTGGTTTGTGGTTTGTGGGCCCGATGCGATCCAGGTGTCAATAGGCAATCCGAACGGGATGCCAGCATCTGCCAAAGTACTTTCAATTTTTCCCAAGGTAGGTGGCATCGTGGAAGGTGCTCCTACCTAGTAGGTGAGCCCAGATGACAAGAGAAGGTCGCAGCATGAGCGGGGTTTGCTTTTCAGCCTCGTGAGGGGTTCGGCCTGCCACCTCACCCTCCCCGATATTGACGTCTCAACCTCGTTTCCACTGCCCTTTCATCGAGTCCGGTCCATAAGGCCAGCTCTGCCTTCTGCTTGGAGTGACTAGGAATCTGGGATTTGCGATGAACAACTTCTTTGTGGCGATCGTCAGCAGAGTACGACCCAGCCACCCAGCTGCTCTAGCCTCGCAGCCAGGCATGCTTCCAAGCCCTTCTTCTCAATATACCATGTGAGAAATATCGCTTTTTGGAACTTAGAATGGCAGCAAAATTGCCCTCCCGCCCAAAGGACAGGACAGAGTTCGAAATCGCCATCATTTGCGCCCTGCCGATCGCGAACGACGCCGTTGAATCCCTCTTCGACCACTTTTGGGACGAAGATGGCGATTGCTATGGGAAGGCCCGAGAAGACATGAATGCATATACAACTGGAGTCATTGGCAACCATAACGTCGTCCTGGCTCACATGCCAGGGATGGGAAAGGGAAATGCGGCTATAGTTGCCACAAGTTTCCGCTTCAGTTTCCGAAACATAAAACTCGCCTTGCTCGTTGGCATCTGCGGAGGGGTTCCTGTCGGAGCGTAGTATACTGCTCGCCCCACTGTAGCCCTTGCCTATTAGCTTAGTTAGCCACACTAAGTATAGCTTTACTATCGTGGCCTAGCTAGATAATAATTTTTAAGCTTTTATTTTTAAGAGGTTATATGCCCTAGATAGCTCCTTTTATTAAAATATTATATTTACTTATATATAATTACTTTTTTTATTACTACCTTTTTTTAAAATTTATTTACTTTAAATATTTATTAAGTTAAAAATATTTTTATATAGCTTTGGGATTTTTAGCTACCTAATAAAAATTTTTTAATTACTTATTTTATATAACTCCTACGCCACCCTTATATATTAAGGCTATGTAAAAATTTATTTATAATATAGCTAATATTATTATTATTACTTTTAACTTTTATAAAGTTATTATATAACTTAATAATTAAAAAAATTATTATTTATAGCGCGAATTTTTTAAAATTATACTTTAATTTAAATTACCTTATTTTTAATTTATTATTACTAAAAAAGTCTTTTTTTTTACAAGTATTTGCTAAAGCAAGCTATTATTATTATAAAATATATTAATAAAAATAACATGGCTTAGAATTAAGTTATTAAGCTTATTATTAAAAATTAAATTAGTATTTAAATTTTTTAAAATATTAAAATAAAAGCAAAGCAAGGGCGCTAAATATAATATAACTTTTTTTTATTATTATTTTTATAATTAACACTTTATATATAATATATAAATTAAATTTTTAGCCTTTAAAGTGCTACCTAAGCCTTTTACTACCTATAAAAGCTATATAACTTATCCAGCGCTGGTTTTTTTTTAAAAAGCTAGTAAATACTTAATATAATAAAATATATTAGTTAATAACTAAAATAATTTTTTATAAAGTTTAAAAATATTATTACTAAGCTAGTAATTATATAAACCCTTAATTAATAGGCTATATAATATTTTTTTATTATAATAATCTTTAGCTTATATAATATATAGCCCTTTATTACTTAGCTATATATAATATTTTATTAAAGTATTAATAATATTTATTTACTTTTTTTATAGTTTAAACTTAATTAAATATAAATATTTAAAACTACTTAATATACTATTAATATTACTAGCTGCTTTAGTTATAGTAACTTTATTTTTATTAAGGATTATAGTATTATATAATATATATATTACTAGTTATATAATAATTATTTTTTTTTACCTATGTTAGGAATTTAGTAAACACCTAGTTAAAAAATAAAAATAATTTTAAAGGCACTAGTACTAGTGCTTGTTAAGGCTGTAGCGGTGGATTTAGATACCGTGGAAAAAGAAAAGGCAAAGAAGGCTATAGCACCTTTACCTTTATAAATATTATATAGGTAAAAAATATTACTACTAGCGCTTTATAATAATTAGCTTAAGAATTAATTTAAGGTTTTTTATTAATGCCTTTGCCTAATACTTTGCGGGCCTTTTTAGGCGCTAATATAATTAGTATTAACTTTAACTTTATATATATAAACTTTATGTTTATATAACTAGATCTTAATATTAATAAGCTAAATTTTTATATTAAATTAACTTATGTAAATATTAAACCAGTTACTAATAATAGTTAAATACTTAACTTTAATACTTTTTATTATATAATATACTTTAAGCATAATTTTATATTATTTTAATATATAAAAGTTTTAGTTAAAATAGCTAATAATAGCAAGTTTTTTATTAAAGGCTATAGTAATATTATATTAAGTATTATTAATAAGTTTAGTATAAAGTAAATTAAAAGTTTTTTATTAAAAAATATTTAGTACACGCTTAGCTTAGCTTATAATTTACTATTAATTAAATAGCTTATAAATAATAATATTTATATAATATTTAATACTAATATTATTATTAAACTTACATGGTATAAATCCCTAATTATATATGCCACCTTACTTAAATTTTATTACTATTTTTATTTAAATATTAACACTTTTTTTAAGGTAATTACCGCGCTTGCAAATATTTTTATACTTAATTAAAATATAATTTTATTTAAAGGTTTAATAGCAGCTAGGGTAAAGGTCTTTAATAAGATAATTTTTATATATTTAGCTTATTAATAGGCTGCCCATGTATTTAAAAAAAAAATTAAGGATTTTTTTTAATATATTATTAGCCTTAAATTATATAAAGGCTTGCTAGTTAAATAGTATAAGCTATATATTATTAATAAAAAAATAACACTTCCCTTAGTAAAGTAAAACCTAATTAAAAATCTTGGCTGCTAGCTAAATAATATTATATATATAAATATTTACAGGCCTATATTAATACACGGGTAAATAAGTATTTTATACTTTATTATATTTATTAATAAGGCCTCCTAGTTTTACTAGGTATTTATTATAAAAAAAAAAAAAACTTTTTAAAAAATTCCTTTAACTCCGCAACTAGCTATAAATATAATTAAAGTTAAAAATAAAGCGTATTTACTATAATAACACCCTAAAATATTAATTACTTAAGTTATACTATAAAAACTATAGTATTATTTTTAATCTAGCACTAAGATATTGCTTAACACTAAATTTAATTATTAAGGTAAAAAATTAATATATTATTAAACTAGTTATATTTATTATAATAAAAAACTAACTTTTAAAGTTTTTTTAGGATTACCTAGTTCTTACTATTATTTATATTTATAATTATTTTTATTATAAAATTATTAATAAAACGCCTTATAAAGCACTTAATAAAATATAACTTAATATTTTTTACTAGCACATGCTAAGATGTAAATACTTTTACCTTATTTTTAAAAAAATATATAAAATAAAAATTAATTTTTATATAGCCAAGGGCTGCTTTATTAAATACTTTAAAAGTTTATATAAAGTTTATAATTTTAAATTAAAGTAAGTTATTACTACTTATAATATTATTTTTAAAAAGTTAAGTACTTTCCTCCCGCTGCTTATTAATAAATATAATTTAAATACTTTACACCTTGTTACTAGCAAAGTAAATAAAAAAAAATTATATTTTTAAAAGTAAAAATATACACCCCCTGGCTTTAAAACTTTGCTAAATACTTATAAAAATATTTTTATTTTTTATAACCCTATTTCTTAACATTTTAAAATAAATTTAGAATAAAAAAAATTATTTTAAAAAAACCTTTTTAATAATACTATTTATAACCCAAAGTGGCTCCAGGAATATTAATTAACTAGTATTTTTTTTTTAATACTAGTACTAAACTTTTTAATTTAAAAATTATATAATATAAAGCCTTAATATTATCCTGCTTTAAACCCCCCCCCTTTTTTTTAAAAAGGTAATTTAAGTATAATTAATAAAAATTATAATAGCCTAGTAAAACATACCCATGCTTTAAGGGCTAATACTTAATACTTTTTACCCTTAAAAAGTAAGATACACTGCTTAAATTATTTAAAAAAGCTAAGTTAAATTATAAAAAAGCACCTTAAATTAATAAGTATAAATAAACTTTTTTTATATATAATCCTAATTTTTTTTTAAATTATCTTGCGTGATTTCTTGTGGATTATAAGCTTGCCCTTAATAACTTTATTAATAATATTATTCTTGCGGTAAACTTTAGCAAGCTAAATAAATAAAATTTTACTTTTAAAACCCTAAATAATACTAGTTATAAGCTAAAAATATATATAAATATAGTTTTTTATTTAAAAATAAATAAATAGTATATAGCTATTTATAAAAAGCTTAATAATTATTTTTTTAATAGCACGTGGCGTGTTATTAATTATTAAAAAAAATATAACTTTTTAACCTTAAATAAGTATTTAAAATTAAGTATAATAGTATTTATAAAGCTTGCCTAATTATTAAAGGCTTTTATTAAATTACTAGCTATAATTATAAGATTTATAAGGTATATATAGCTATTATTAAATTAATATTTTTTAAACTTTTTATTATACTAGCTACCTGCTATAATTAGGTATTATATTTTTTTAATATTATTACTGCTTTTTTATACGCAGATTTTTTTAAAAAGATTTTTATTAAATTATTTAAGGGTAGTAAAATTACTAGTAAATATAGCTTACTTTTAAAGACCTTGTATAGCCTAAAGTAGTTACTAAAAAAATAGTATAAAATACTTACTAGCCTTTTTATATTACTTAAATTTACTAAAATACATGTGGATTATTTAGTCTTTACCTATGGCTAAGTATTTATTTTTTTTTATATAAATAATATTATGCTTTTTTTTTATTTATAAATAATATTATAAAAATTATTAAGATACTTAAAGGCGCCTTTAAAATTACTAATAATAAAGTACTTACTTATTTTATTAATATTAATATTTACCACGCGGATAACAGTATTTATTTTTTTTAAAAATATTATATTAAAAATATTTTAAAGTAATTTAGTCTTAAAAACTATAAAAATTTTATAACTTTATATAATTTTAAGGTTATATTATAAAAGTTTAATAGCAAGGCCTTAATAAAAAAGATCTTTTTATATTAAAAATAAATTAATACTTTTATTTAAATTTTTATTAATACACGCCTAAATATTTCCTTTACTATTATACTTTTATTTTAATATATAATAAATTTTTTAAAAAATTATATTATAGTTTTAACACGTGTTTTTTACTACCTTAAGGTATTAAAGGGCCTTACTATTTTTTATTAATATAAAGGTAAAGGCCTTATTAAATATTATAATACTAACTAGGCCAGTATTCACGCTAATAACTATACCTTTATTTTTAAATATATTTTTAAGGTGGCTAACGGGCTAATTAACTAGTTTTTTAAAAAATAATTTATTATAGCCTTTTTATTAATAAAATTAAAATATATTTTTTAGGTAGTTATAACTTAAGAACTTTTATAATTTTAACTACTTTTTATTAAACTTAATATCTCGCGCCTTGCTTTAATATAAATACTTTTTATTAAATTAATATTTATTTATATAAATAACTAAGGCGTAATTACCTTATTAAAAAATTTAGAATTTTATACCTATATAAAGCATGTGGTAATTAAATATTACTTTATTTATAAAAAGGTGGCCGCTAGTAATATTAAATTTACTTATATTAATATTAAAAAATAGGTTATTAATAGCCTTATTAAGCCCCTTAAGCGGGTTTAATATTTTTATTTTATTAAGTAACTTGGCATAAGACGCCTTAGCAAGGGGGGTAATTTTTAAATAGCTTTATAATTTCTTATTTTAGCTTATATTACTTATACACGAGGGCAGCCCGCCGCGGCGCCTTACTTATTTTTTATTATTTTATATTTTATTATTTACTTTTTATTTAGGAAATATATTTAGCTTTATTCCTTTAGTAAGGCTCCTAGCAAGGGGGGTATTAAAGCGTAGTATACTACTTGCCCTACTATAGCCCTTGCCTATTAGCTTAGTTAGCCACACCAAGTATAGCTTTACTATCGTGGCCTAGCTAGATAACAATCTCCAAGCTTTCATCTCCAAGAGTTCCGATTGGAGATACTGGTCAATTGTTTCTGGGGGATGTTGTTGTCGGCGATGAGATTCCCCGGAAACTTCATTCGAAAGGACCTGGCCGACAATCATGGCGTTTCAAGTCTGGAAGTCCGCGCCTTCCTGAACAAGCTCAGGAGCCGAAGGGGCCGTCACAATCTGTCAAAGAGAACTGCCCATCATCTTGCAGCACTTCAACAAGGAACCGACAGCCATAACTCTCCGGGAATACGCCATGACCGGCTCTTCAACCCGAAATACCATCATAAGCATCCCGACAAAGCTTGCGCAGAGTGCAGCAACAGCAGGATTTGCGAAGAGGCAAGATCCGCGACTTGTGAAGATTTGCAATGCGAGAAAAAGCAGGTAATTGTGCGGTCTCGTGTGGCACGGGCGCTTGAAGTGCTACGGTCAAAGCATTTGTCACCACGGATTCACTTCGGACGTATTGCCTCAGCAGACACAGTAATGAAGTCTGGAGAAGATCGAGACAACATTGCGAGACAGGAGAGCGTTCTATGCTTTGAGATGGAGGGTGCTGGTGTATTCAGCAGTCTACCCTGTATAGTCATCAAAGGAGTGAGCGACTACGCTGACAGCCATAAAGACAAGATATGGCAGAGCTATTCAGCAGGAACCGCAGCAGCATGTGCGAAGGCGTTATTGGAGCAATGGTCTGTCACTGATCGATCTTCTCTCGGTACTACTACACTTGTTAATGGTATGATATTTTCAAATATCTCTGTCCTTAGCTACTTCGTCCTCGCTAACGCCCGAAGTACCGCGTGCTGAGCATCAACGCAACTCGGCATCTACAATCAGCACGTCAAGAAGTATAGAGCGCTTGCCGGACATATTGGACAGCTCAACAGACCGGAATTTGAACCCAGATCAAATAGCCGATCTTAACGAAAGCCCACGATCTAGTCCAGAATGCGCGGCTTCTCTAAGCGACAACGTCCTCATCAAACTTAAAGACCATGCCGAGTCAAAAGCAACAATGTTTGAAGGTAACGAGGTACCTGGAATTTTGTATCGTTTATTTCTTCCTCTTGGCTGATCAAGTTTGTTGTGTATAGTGGTTCCGGCAATCGAGGCAGGCTTTGACAATGTTTTGCGTTGCGCTAAAGAGCTTCGCAAGCACCTACCCCCTAACATCGATCTTCAAAAAACACTAAAAACTCAGAGAGTCGTTTTCCGAACGGTTATTGAAACATTTCTGTTGCGTGGCAAGGTACCGCTGGGAACTGCACAATACATGGCGGCAGATCCAGACCATCCAATGTGGCAGAACAGAACGCTGTACAATCGCATCCAGGAGAGTTTAGGCCCGTCAAACGAAGACTGTCTCGAGACATCTCACGTTATACAACAAAAGGCGACCAAACTGGGAGAGCTAACGAGATGTGCCAAGTCTGCCGGAAAGAGAAGAATGGTAGGTATCCCTCGTCGGACAACTTTTACATGTCGCCGCGTCTGAACTTTACTCTAGAGCGATGGACAATCACAAACCCCGTCCAGCCTTTCCAGGGTGAGCGTGAGCCGTCTTTCTTAGTCAAAAGAATAAGTTCTAATGATATGGGCAGGACTGTTTACAAGACTTGAGGCTGCTTATCCAACATCTTTCGTTTCTGGTAGCTCCGCGAGGAGAAAGCAGACTCGTTGAGGACGCAGGGGCTTTTAAATCCCGACCAAACACAGAAATGACTCGTTTTGCACCATTCAGCAGGTCTCAGCCAGCCTATATCGGGCGTTGCGGACGGCATGCAGCGCACATTCCACCCACAATTTCCATCTGTCGCTATATCCCGAGGTAGACGAAACTTTGACGCAGATAGAGTTCACAGTAGCCTTGCGTCTGGATACAGCGGATCCTCAGATGCCCACGCCAATTTGGCTTGGTGTAAAATCCACTACAACGTCAGAGCCACCAGAGAGGCAACCGCCGTCGGGATCACACGGGAGTCTTACCTTGTCTTCACAGACTGAACTTCGCTCGGAAGATCCCCGAACCAAGCATGTACGCTTTCTGGGGCTACCGACCTTTCCTTCTTCCAGCCTTCCAAAACCGGTTACCACTGTCGGAGACCTGAGACTCGAAGGGAATTTATGCGCCGCAATCCAGGGACCAATATCAGATCCGGACCGTTGTGTCGGGTGGCTTGGGGATGCCGAAGCGGACAGGCACCTGGTGTATATGGCCAACCAGTTCGGCGAGACCGTCGTTAGTCCTACGACTTTGTCCCAGCTGACACAAAGATCGGGATCTAGTTTGGCCAGCGGACTGAGCTTGTATGATCGCATCTGTTTGGCTAAAAAGCTCGCCACAGCAGTTCTCCACTACCATACAACACCATGGCTCGACAGGGTATGGTTCAGCAACGAGGTCTATCTTTTCACCCATGAGGATAATTATCTAAGCCGTCAGCAATGTCCGCAGAAGCCATTCTATCTCAGTACATCGGTGAGAGCATTAGATGCGTCGGTGCCATCCAGTCATTGTTTCACTGAATGTGAGGCGTTCGTTCGAAACCCAGTCCTTTTCGGACTTGGAGTTATGTTACTTGAGCTCGCATATCAACATCCGCTAGGTGCTCTTTTAACGCGTGACGATAAGTTCTATGGACAAATTTCTGGTTTATCCGTTTTCGACAAGGTAAGGAAACTGGCTTGCCATGTCCAGGTAAAAGCTGGGGCAGCCTTTCGACAAATCGTTGAAAAGTGTCTGTATTGCGACTTTGGATGCGGCAGTGATTTCCGAGCCCCTGCCCTGCAGCAAGCGTTTCACCGCGGTGTCATGGGAGGACTGGGGAAAGTGGAGGAGCTTTGTCGGGCGCTGCATGTCGATGATTCGGGCGGGTTTGAAGCGGATGCCCCGGCCTGAATCAAAACTTGGGGTTCTGCAGCGAACCGAGTCAACGAATCAGGATCAAGTCAGCTCGTAGTCTCACAGTCACTGCTGCCGAGTTTCCAGCCCAATTGGGGCCAGGGTCGGTCTTTGCCGGCTCTAACCCCAAAGCCCTGGATGTCGGCGGGATGGCAGATCACCACTGTGCTAATTTGCTTTGTCTCTATGCCGACCAGGCTGCGAGCTTTGTGGATGATCGACCACTACCGTAACTTACCGGAGTGGCAGATCTGGACAGGGTTCGTCCCTTTGTTGTTTTTTTGGGGTAATTTGGGCAGTGGAGGAACGGTGTAACTCTGTACGACGCTGACTCTGACTCGAAATTTCTACGGATTACTCTCTGAAGTTGGCCCCAAGTTTGAGACCAGGCAGGCCAGGTACAGTCTCCTTGGCAACTGTCTCTGTCTCTCAGGGATGCCTGTCAAAGTCACCTCACTCTGAGACATTTACGAGCACTTCCCAACAATATCAACTCAGACCTATTGTTCTCGCCTCAACAGTGATCTCTTAGACATTTACCCCTTGCACACCGTCCAGCTTTTCTCCTGATTTCTAGCCCTCACCACGTGTTACTGCTTCATGACCCTGTGTTTACCCACACTCTTCTCATATAGAGGCTGTCGCTGCTTCTACCCACCATTGTGTTCAAAGATTTCATCTTCACAGCAATGTGGCTGGCTCTTCTTTATCTTACATTCAGTGTTGCCACTGTGCTTGGATCTACAGCAACTGGTAGCCACATCCTGCATGAACAGCGCGATGTGTTGCCGGACCACTGGACCAAGCACTCCCGCCTGCATGGCCACGAGATCATCCCTGTTAGAATTGGATTGACCCAGTCCAGTTTGGATGCTGGCCATGACTTGTTGATGGAACTGTAAGTCCACCGTCCACCGTTGAGATTTCTGCCGCCGCACTTGACTGACTCCTCAGTTCGGACCCCAAATCACCGCGGTACGGCAAGCACCTCTCGCAAGACGAAGTTCACGATCTGTTTGCTCCAGCTGAGGAGAGCGTCGAGCAGGTTCGCGCTTGGCTGGAATCCGAGGGTATTGCCAGCACCCGTATCTCGCAGTCGTTCAACAAACAGTGGCTGCAGTTTGATGCAACGGCGGGCGAGCTGGAGAAGTTGCTGCGCGCTGAGTACTATCTCCACTCGCATGAACAAACCGGTCGATCTCACATCGCTTGTCGGGAGTATGTTCTTGTTGATCATCTCTCGTCGTCGCTCGCTGACACCGGCCAGATACCATGTTCCTCGATCTCTCCAGTCGCACATTGATTACATCACCCCAGGTATCAAGCTTCTCGAGATTAGCGGTTCCCAGTCGCGCATGAAGAGAAGCTTGGACGAAAAGTGGAGCTTGCAGAAACGCAGTATCAATGACTTGTCCGCGATCATCCTTGGGACGGATCCGCCTCTTACCGTAGCGCAAGTGTCGAAAACCCCGCTGGAATTCTGTGACCAAGTTATTACGCCCGCCTGTGTCCAAGGTACCAATGCCGACTCTGTCAGTAAACGCTTGTTAACGAGATAGTCATGTACCAAATCCCCCACGGCAACAGCGCAACCCCCGGCAACGAACTCGGAATCTACTCGAGCATAGACGATGCTTATAACCAGGAAGACCTCGACCTATTTTTCTCTTCTGTTGAAAAGTAAGTTGTATACCTCCTCAATAGAGAGCTAGCTAGTTCTGACTCTGACAGACGCATCCCAAACGGCACTCATCCCACGGTAAACAGCATCAATGGCGGGATTTCGCCAACTCCGTTCGTGAACGCGTCCGGTCCCGAATCGACCCTCGATCTGGAAATGGCGTACCCCTTCCTCTACCCACAGAACGCCATTATCTTCCAGACAGACGATCCGAAGTGGTTTGAGAACGGCAGCGCCGATCAGTACCCCGGCATGTTCAACAACTTCCTCGACGCCATCGACGGCTCCTACTGCAACCCAGCGGAAGAGGATCTGGACCTCCCCTACCCAAACCCTGCTCCCGGTGGCTACAAAGGCGAGAAGCAGTGTGGTGTGTACAAGCCCACAAACGTCATTTCGCTCTCGTGGGGCAACGCAGAGTCCATATTCCCCGTCCGATATCTCCGCCGCCAGTGCCACGAATGGATGAAGCTCGGGCTCCAAGGCGTCTCAGTCGTGAGCGCATCTTCAGACGACGGCGTGCAAGGCCAGGGCTGTGATGGCAAAGATGGTAAAGTCTTCGGGTCCGTCTACACGCCTTCCTGCCCGTACATCACCGTCGTAGGCGGCACATACCTCCCCCGCGGCGCGAATCCGCACAAAGGCGAAGAAGTCGCCGTCGATCCCGCCGTCACCGTGGGCAATTGGTCCTCCGGCTCGGGATTCAGCAATGTCTTCGAACGCCCGAGCTACCAGTACCTCGCGGTGGAAGACTACTTCTCGCGCGCCAACCTGACATACCCATACTACGAGAGCTACAACAACGACAGCTTCGCGAAGAACGGCGGGATCTATAACCGCGTGGGTCGCGCCTATCCCGACGTTTCGACCGTAGGCTGGAACAATTTCGCGTATATCAGGGGGATGCCGGCTGTTGGCGGCGGGACCTCAGCGAGCGCGCCGATCTTCGCGGCCATGCTTACCCGGATTAATGAGGAGCGGCTTAAGGCTGGATTGCCGACTGTGGGTTTCGTCAACCCTGTGCTTTATGCCCATCCTGAGGTGTTTCGTGATGTTACGGTTGGTAAGGCGCCTGGGTGTGGGACCGATGGGTTTCCGGCGACGGAGGGCTGGGATCCGGTTACTGGGCTCGGAACCCCGATTTATCCTAAGCTTTTGGAGGTGCTTATGGATGTTTGATGGGACTGCTAGTGGCTAGCTGGGCAGGTGATCATCTGGAGGGGATTATCTTGAGATGTAGTTGTGAGATAAGGCAGGACCGTTAGACTCGCCGTAATTCATCTTGCACATGCCATTTGAAGGCGAGCGCTAATCTGAGGAAGAAGATTATTTCGCAGCTAGAAATGATGAGATCGAGCGGAGTTTATGCTCCTACGATAGCTTATCTTGCCATTACCATCTAAGCACTCATTTTCATGTGCATGTAGTCTATTTGACGGACTTACATAGGAGACGGACATCTCGGAGTATTCAATTCCGGTGAAGCTCACAACCTCCGAGATTAGTTTCTACTGCGATGGCTATGCACGATGATATAGAATGAGAGCATGACGGGCCATAATAATGAGTCGAGATTCGAGATTCACTTAGGGCAGAGCCACTCCACCGCCCCAGGCTCTATTTCCCAATTGGCCAATGAACTGCATTCCAAGAATCCGAGTTGCGGACACTACGGAGTATCTCAATTCCCTTGCTGTGATTGGCGATGAGAGCAGATGATGGATCATGACTCATGCCTTGGCATGCTCCACCTGCCGGATTGGGGCTGTCATCTATCCCTACTTGGTCTACTTATAAAGAATCATTCCCATCATATCGAATCCATCAATTCCACAGCTCTATCCAACGTCCATACCCGCCTTCCAAGATGGCAGACAGCTTACCAACAACCAAGCGGGCCCTGGCCTCCGACGCCCCATCATCAGAAAAACACCCAGACCCCCCTCCACCACAACCTCACTCCAACCCCGAAGACTCACCCTCACCAACCTACCCCACCCCCCTAAAACTCACCTTCATCCTCGTCGGCCTAAACCTCTCCATGTTCCTCGTCGGCCTCGACAACACAATCCTCTCCTCCGCAATCCCAAAGATCACAGACCAATTCCACGCCCTCGCCGACGTCGGCTGGTACGCCAGCGCCTACCTGCTCACAAACTGCGCCTTCCAGCTCATCTGGGGGAAGCTGTATACCTTCTACATCGTGAAATGGGTATACGCCGCTGCACTGTTCCTCTTCGAGCTGGGCTCGTTGATCTGTGCTGTGGCCCCCAGCTCCACGGCTCTCATTGTTGGACGCGCAATTGCGGGCGTTGGGGCCGGCGGCGTGACGAATGGGAGTTTCCTCCTCATTGCGCATTCGGTTTCTCCCCCGAAACGGCCCACGCTCGTGGGGTTGCTAGGCAGTATGTACGGGCTTGCTGCGATCGCGGGTCCGCTGATGGGCGGTGCGTTTACGGATAACGCGTCCCTGACGTGGCGGTGGTGTTTCTGGATTAATCTGCCACTGGGCGTTGTACCCGCGGGCGTGATTGTATTCCTCATCCCGAGCTTTGCGGGGAGTGCGAACCGCCAGACGGGCGTGCTGAACCAAGTCAGGCAGATGGATGTTCCGGGCTCACTGTGCTTGTTGCCCGGGGTAATCTGTCTGCTTCTTGGCCTGCAGTGGGGGGGCACGAGGTACGCCTGGGACAACGGGCGGATTATCGCGCTGTTCGTGCTGGCCGGGTTGTTGGGCGTGGGATTCACGGCGATCCAGTATTTCAGCGGGGACCGCGCGACGGTCCCGCCGCGTGTCTTTGGGAATCGGAATGTCTGGGGCGCGGCGCTGTTTGGGTCTGGTGTTACGGCGGCGTTTTTTCTCATGATGTACTATGTGCGTCTGCGTCTCCTCTGCTCTTCCTGCCTCGCTCGTTTTTCGGTTTGGCTAACGTATGGTACGGCTTAGATCCCCATCTGGTTCCAAGCCATCAAAGGCGCGTCCGCCATCCGCTCCGGCGTCATGAACCTCCCCATGGTTCTCGCGTACGTGACCTTCTCGCTATCCGGCGGCTTCCTGACTTCGCTACTGGGCTACTACGTGCCCTTTGCGTACGCGACCGTCGTCTTCATGAGCATCGGGGCCGGTCTGCTCTCGACGTTCAGCGTGGACTCCGGCAGCCCCGAGTGGATAGGGTACCAGTTCCTGTTTGGCGCGGGCGTGGGACTAGGGTTGCAGACTGCGTTTGCGGCGCCTCAGTGCGCGCTCCCCATTGAGGATATTGCCATTGGCACGGCGATCGTCATGTTCCTGGAGAATCTGAGCGCGGCGGTCTTTGTGTCTGTGGGCCAGAATGTGTTTAGTAACCAGCTGAAGAGCAATGTGGGGATTTATGCGCCGAGTGTTGATGCGGCGGAGCTGGTTGAGAGGGGTGCGACGGAGGTGAGGAGTTTGGTGGGGGATGGGCCTGTTTACCAGGCGGTGCTGTTTGCGTATAATAAGGCGTTGACGCAGACGTTTTATGTCGGGGTTGGCTTGTCTTGTATTGGGATTTTTGGAGTCGTAGTTATGGAGTGGATTAATGTCAAGAAGGGGGCGAAGAAGGGGAAGAGTGAGGCTGTGGCTGAGCAGGAGGGAAGCCAAGGGGTATGATTGTAATGTAATAGATCTTATAGATGTTTGGGCAGTAGATAGGAAATGGAAGACTTGCTTCCTGCACAGCCCAGCAGAACAAACCTTTTGATTGTGCCTTGATGATCAACCCAAAGCTGCTTGTCACCCCTGGGACCGTTGCCTTCCTGTCAAGCGCTACCTCAATTTTATGACTCTTCCGGCCATATTCTGTGTGATCACTGAGCTCGGTCTTCTGTTGCCTCAGGGGAGCCAGAAAACATGCTTCAGAGAGTCTCGAGGACAAATTTGCCCTTCACCCTTGTATTTATCGCTGGTGGCCATGGAGCATGATCTCGGACACAGAAGCGCTGTTCAGTGTATTCATTCAGTGCTTAGAGATGTTGACCGTGTATCAAAACCCTAGCTGTAGCGAAATCAATGCCTTTGGGGTTTATCAAACCCCGAAGCCCTGCAGCCAGGCGTATTGCTGATTCTGTCCGGGACACGCCCGAGACTCATGACACAGTTGGAGTCCAATGTAGGGGACAAGCCGATCCCCAGGTTTGCATAACTCGGTACACATTGGAAAAGAAACGTACACGTCGAACGGTGCACACTGTTTCCCATCATGCGTACGCAGTCCCAGTCCGAGCCCTCATACCCTTCATTGCTTCTCATCGGGCTCTCAAAAGGAGCCATGTCGACGCCTTGAGAAGCCCAATCCCCCGCATTGGCCGTCAGTCCAGGATCGCCGCTCGTTGCTGGAAGTGGCTAGGGTCAGAGAAGTTGGTCTGAGGTTGGACTAACATATTTGGGGGAATGCCATCATGGGCTGGGACTGAAACTGCCTTGCGATGAGAACAGATTGAGCGTCAGGCCCTGGTCCATTGAATAGGCTGTGCTCAGCTTTGTCTTGACTTTATCGTAAGGCATTGACAGAAGCTCATGAACAAGGACTCCGGAGTACTGGCTGTCTTTGCATATTTTTCTGTGTTCTCTCGTGATGGGAGAGACTGATGTATGAACTGAGACAATGCCTCATGTTGACTGGTGCTGCGGTTCTGAGACCAGACAGGCCTCAAGCTTGCAACCACACGAAGTGCGCGGGAGTATCCGTACCTCAAAGGTTATGTAAAAGGCTATAAATTCTCGGTGGACGCCACTAAACGAGTGGTAAACATGGTATTTGACCATGATCACTCCGCCTTGGAGTCGAGGTGCAGGTACATGTCCGTAACCGATATTGTCCATTAGAGTCTCATCCAGAAGCTCCTGGCTGATACATTCAGATCCTCGTCGCCGACAGGAAATGCAGGCATTGTTGGGCGAATCGTTAAGATAGCGTAGTTGCCAGGCATCTTCTGCACGATGAAACCGTGGAGATTTTGGGATTTTGCTGGACGGAAGATGGGTGACTGAGCATTGAGGACTCATGACCGCATGAAGGGATACTCGTTTACCTATATGTCTTGAAACAAGCCCCGTTTGTTGGACTCGTATCGTAGACGGCAGTGGCGTAGGTAGGAGTCCGTTTGCCAGGGTCGGAAATGGAATAGACATGATCGACTAGTCCATGTGACAACGGGCTCGTGCTTCTGAGGATCTTACCAGCATGTGTACTCCTCAAGTCTTCGGCCCTGCTATTGATCGTTAGGAGCACTGGCCTTGAAATGAGTACCAGCGATTCATGCACTTCCTTGAAATTATTATTAGCTTTATATACAGTACGTGAGTCCAATAGCCCCAAATCAGCCTCTAAATTTACACGCCAGATATTCATCCAACCAAAGAGAAATTACAAACAGAAATTACGCAACAATCTTGGTAACAAGCTTGCCAGTGTTGGCGCCCTCGAAGAGCTTCATCCAGGTGTTGGGGATATCCTCGAACTTGCTCTCGACAACAGTCTGCATCGACTCATCGACGACGATCTTGCCCTCCTTCCAGGCCTGCGTCAGCTCGGCGACGACATCGCCGAACTTGTGGATGTAGTCGAGCACGATGAAGCCGTGGATGTGCAGGCGCATGGAGACGACTTCCTGTTCGTTGTTAGTATTGAATGGCTGAATGATTTGAGACATAAATGGCACGTACGAAGAAGTTCTTGAGACCGACGGGGTCAGGGCGGTTGTAGTTGGAGATGGTACCGCTGGGGTTTGTCAGTTAAGGTGCACATAATTGGACATTGGGGATAGCATACCAAGCAGCGATGCGGCCGTGGCGCTTCATGCGGGTAAGCATAAGGTCGAGGATGCTGCCACCAACGTTGTCTATATTTGTCAATTGATGAACAGTAATAGGGCGCATCAGGAGAAGACATACCAAAGTAGACCTCAACGAAGCCCTCGGTCTCCTTGATGAGATCCTGCTCAAAGGAGTCCTTCTTGTAGTTGATGCAGACGTCCGCACCGAGCTTCTCAACCCAGCGGCACTTCTCGTCGGTACCGGCAATACCAATGACCTATCGACAAAACTGTCAGCTCTCCGTTCCAGCAGAGCTATCCATGATAAATTCCGGAGACTTACCCGCTTGCAGCCAATAATGTTCTTAGCAATCTGCACAACCATGCTTCCGGTAGCACCAGCAGCACCAGAAACAACAACAGTGTCATCCTTGGTCGCGCCAACAACCTCCTTGATGCCATAGTACCCAGTGAGAGCAGTCAGACCCAGAGCACCGAGGAAGTGGCCGAGGTCCAGTCCCTCAATGGGCTTGATCGCCTGCAGTCCCTTGATCTCGTGGACGGAGTACTCGGTCCAGTTCGTGGGCGCAAGAACAAGGCTGCCGACAGCCAGGTCGTTGGGCGATCCGGACTCGACGACCTCAGCAAGCGCGAAGGAGGACATGGGCGAGCCCACCTGGACGGGAGGGGCGTAGAGGCGGTTGGGGTCGGCGTCGGGGACGATCCATGTTCGCTGGGCGGGGTCGTTGGAGAGGAGGAGAGTCTTCACGAGGGCTTGCGAGGAGGAGGGCTTAGGGACGTCGGCGGTTTCGAGCTTGAAGGTGGGATTGGGGCCAGACACGGTAGGGAGGTCGGTGGGCTTGTTGGCCAGGACCCATTGCTTCATGGAAGGCATTTTGGCGGAGTTTGTGGATGTAAGAGTTGGATAGGTGAGAGGATTGACGGGAGTGCTGGACCGCTGACTAGTTTCTCAGCTCCGTAGTCAGGTATCGGCGTAGTCTTATAGGTACACGGGAGACACGGGAAGGTCGATGGCAGTCGGTGACATCAAGCCCCGAGAGATCCACAACCGTTGGAAAGTGTCCGAGATTTGTAAGGGATCCACTTGAGTCTCGAATTCTGGGCTTCATCTCGTAGAGCAGAAGGCAGACTTGTTGAAGGCTCATGAGGAATGAAAACAATTGGAGAAATTGAGATGTTGTTGGCTTGAGGCTATAGTTCAGTTGTATGCATAATCAGCATTAAGCTTAGGTACCTAAACTCCTTAGTGCTGACATGGAGCATCATCCCTGCTAGTGTGGGGCACCATTATACGAGGTACCTACTTTAGAACCAGGTCTAGGTCACCTACAAATGCACAACCTTCCCAACATCAAAGTCCTTCTCCTCCATCCAGGGCATCGCATAACCCCTCTGGTTGCTGACCACCCTAATCCCGCCCTTCTCGATATCTGTCGAGAAGTGCGTATGCCCAAAAACCCACAGCGTGACCCCGTCCCACTCCCCCTTTTTCAGCCTGCTACTAATCAGCAGATCAGTTGCAAAGGCTGAGGACACTGGGCTGCCCGCGTGTTGCGGCTCAGACGTCCTCTTCATCATCGGCGCGTGGTGTGTGACGACTACAACCTCCTTTACGCCTCCCTCTTCTTTAATGAGACGTATCTGCTCTTGGAGCCATGCGAGGTCTTCCCCATGAGCGTGATTATGCGAGTCAACAGTCCAACCGTTGATCTTTCTGTAATCCTGCACCTTGAGCCTCACGGCCTCTCTGTTGCTCTCTGGGATAAAGCTCCAAAGCGAACATCCAAGGACGGTCACCTTGCTATCGTGGATATCGTATTGACCGCGGTTCAATAAGATCACCCGCCCCTCTAGCAACGGCTCGTCAGCTAGTTCTCCTGCTTTCTGTACCCCCTCATCGTACGATAACCCATAGAACTCGTGGTTCCCGAGGACGAGAAAAACGCGCTCAAATTGGGCGGTCTGCTGTTGAAGGAAGTAGAGGTAATCCGCGTAATCGATGAGGCGGCCAATATCGCCGGCTAGGATCAAATTTGGGCTGTGTGCGGGAATAGAGAATGTTCTGTAGGATTTTGTAGCCTCAAGGTGGAGATCAGAGAGAATCTGGAAGGACGTTGACGGTGTTGGATCAGGTTGGGTCTGAGATGCGGGGTTTAATCTGAACAGAGAGGGGATAGACCATTTTGTCATCGTATCTGTACATTTCTGAGCTGTTAGCACGTCAAATGAGCCTCAATGGACGGTTATATGAGTACCTTGCTCGGCAACCGGATGAAGCTATCCGCGAGATCCGCGGGTGGAGGGGAAAATGACCCCGCCTGCTTATCAATCACTCTTATCGATCAACGACATCATAGCTTTTTCTCTTAGCCCGCCGTCTTCCTAGCTTTTCACTCTCCGCACTGATTCAATTGTCCATCGCACGACTCAATTGACCTCCAAATATGTCCTCTCAAAAGACTATGCGGGCCATCGGTACGTCCCCTCACCCCCCCTCATACCACCATACTAACCCTCTTCTCGTCTTGCAGCCATCAAAAATGGCAAAGGTCCCGCCGATGCCCTCTTCATCGACAACATTCCCGTCCCCGAGCTCGGTGCCACGCAAGCCCTCGTCAAGGTCAAAGCATTCGGCCTGAACCGCATGGACCTCCTCCAGCGCGAAGGCCAGTACCCAGTCCCCCCTCAAGCCCCCTCAACCCTGGGCGTCGAATTCTCCGGAACAATCACGGAACTCGGCAACGGCGCGACAGAGGACTTCAAGGTCGGCGATGAGGTGTTTGGACTGGCATACGGTGGCGCCTACGCCGAATACATCGCCGTTGCGACGGGAATGCTCATCCACAAGCCAAAGGAGTTGTCGTGGGAGGAGGCGGCGGGTATTCCGGAGGTACGTTCTAGTCTAATCCCACCTGCTAATCGCGCAAGGCTCTGTACTACCTGCTAATTGTGTACTCTAGACATGGATCACAGCAACCCAAGCCCTGCACCTCGTCGGCGCCTTCAAACCCGGCAACTCCGTCCTCTGGCACGCGGGCGCCTCCTCCGTCTCCATAGCCGGCATCCAGCTCGCCAAAGCCGCCGGCGCCTCCGCGATCTACGTGACCGCGGGCTCCGACGAAAAGATCGCCTTCTGCGTCGACAAGCTCGGCGCAACCGCGGGGTTCAACTACCGCACCCAGAACTGGGCCGAGGAGCTCTCCAAGGCGACGGAGGGCCGCGGCGTTGACGTCATTGTCGACTATATCGGCGCTGGCTATTTCCAGGATAACTTGAAGAGCGCGGCGCTGGATGGACGCATCGTTAACCTTGCGTTCCTGGGTGGGATCAAGGTTGAGAATGTGGATATCTCGTACTTCCTGCGCAAGAGGGTGAGGTATGAGGGGAGTACGCTGCGGAGTCGGGATGAGGAGTATCAGAGGAAGCTGCGCGATATGGTTGTTGAGAATGCGTTGGAGAAGTTGACGAGTGGGGAGTTTAAGGTGTTTATTGAGAAGGTGTTTGGGTTTGAGGATGTGGTCGCGGCGCATAAGTTGATGGAGAGTAATCAGACGAAGGGGAAGATTATTTGTACTATCTAGATACGGCGCAGTGCATTGCTTACGTTATAGCTACGATATAGAAGCAAGAGCATGAGGGTGTGGGATCATCTATATTTTATTCATCCATATATACATCTCATTTCATCGCCAGTGACCAGCACCAAGCGCGCATCTAAACAATGACCTTGTGGCCAGCAGGCTTCTCATCCTCCTCATTGAAGATGTTGATGTTCCAGCGAGGCTTGTTAGCCACGTAAGGGGTGTTGTAGCGGCGGCGGTTCTCGCCGAGCTTGGAGACCTTGGCGATCTCCTCCTTGGTGAGCTCGACCTCCTGGAAGTTCTCGGCAATGCGCGAGGCAGTAACGGACTTGGGGATGACGGAGTGGCCACCCTCCTGAGACCAGTTGAGGATAACCTGGGCGGGGGTGACAGTCTTGCCGAGGCGCTTGGAGGCCTCGTCGGCGACGGCCTTGACGTCGGGGTGAGCGACGAGGAGGGGGATGTTGAACATGTTGTTGCCGAAGGCCTGGTCGTGCATTAGTATGCTTTCACTAGGAGAGTGGAGATGAATATGGTGAACGTACGGAGTAAGCAGTGATGTGGATGTTCTTCTTAGCAGCGTACTCGATCAGGTCGTTGCTCTGGAGGACGGGGTGACGCTCGATCTGGTTGGCAGCGGGGACGACGCCGGTGGCGTTGATGATGGCCTCGAGGTGCTCGACAGTGTGGTTGGAGACACCGACGGCGCGGGCCTTCTCCTTGGGGAGCTTGGTCATGGCCTTCCAGGTGTCGACAATGGAGATGTTGTCCTCGATAAGGACATCGCCGTCGGGGTGGCTGCTGCTCTCCTCGAGGGGGAAGTAGTTCTCGCCGGTCTTGAAGGCGACGGGCCAGTGGACAAGGTACAGGTCGAGGTAGTCGAGCTCGAGCTCGGCAAGACACTCATCCAGGGCCTTCTCGACAACGGCGGGGTCGTGCTGGGTGTTCCAGAGCTTGGATGTCTGGAGCGGATTGTGAGTTTTATGGCTAAAAGAACACGTTTGCAGACGAGTCGACGTACGATGAAGATGTCCTCACGCTTGAGGCCGGGGACGTCCTTGTAGGCGCGCTTGATACCCTCGGCAACCTCGCGCTGGTTTTGGTAGATGGTGGCCAAGTCAAGGTGACGGTAGCCGACCTTCAGAGCCTGGTAGACGGCCTCGCCGACCTGGCCGGGGGCGGACTGCCAGGTACCGAATCCCAGCTGGCTAGAGGACGTTAGCAGGCGTCAGTAATGGCTGGCTGCAGCATACGTACGGGATCTGGGCACCGGTGTTGAGAGTGACCTTCTTGCCGAGAGACATTGTGAGTGTAGATGGATGGATAGATGAGAGGATGCAATGAGGAAGAGAACAGATGGAGAGATGAAGACAGAAGGTTGGGAGGGGAGGGAGGGGCAATAAAAAGGGCGCGCAGCAGCTCCGGTGGGGTGGCCTTGGTAACCTTGGAAGCCATCCATCATCCATGCCACCGTCGACGGTCGATTCAGGATCCAGGTCCAGTCTCTCGATCTTCCCCGCCAATATGGCCTTTTACCCCTCGGCGGGGCTCCCTGATGGCATCATAGCAGCAACCTGCACTCCCTGCCTGCCTACCGCTGCACATGCAACAATTCTGTACAGCATGCTTCAACCCATGTAGAGCTAAGCTATTGCGGCCTTTCTAATGGCCGCTCTCATCAACATCGCATGCGCTCAACAGTTCCCAATGATGTCAGTCGGTAGACACTCCTCCGCGGAGGCCGATGGGGTAATTCTCCACCAATTCGCGCACGGATAAATGCGTCTTGCACTTCGTCCAATCACCTGTTCGGTTCGGTTCCTCGCTCGGAGTTGTCCCGGTGGCGGTTAAATTTGTCGAGTTCGGTCTCACATATTGCGCTTCCACCTTCTGAGCCTGATGGTGATTCGGTTGATTTCTATCGCGGTCGACCCGAGTCGCGACAACTCACCCCGCGCCCACCGTCTCCGGGTAACTCCAACCGCAATCGCAGCATTCTGGAAGGTTTGACGAGGACCTAAGCCTCTTCAACATACCAGAACTGGATCTTGAAGCTCGGTGTCGTGCAGCATCATCTAGATGGTTTCTCAAGTGGTTCGACTTGCTCGGTATCCCGCCGCGGAAATATATTGCACGCGGTCACTTGATCACGCAAATTGGAGTCGGTAATGGTGCATTTTTACCGGGCGACTCGCTTATTTCAATGCCGGCTTCGGGCAATAGCTCATCTCCTCGTTAGCATTTGAACGGAGTCAGTCTGTCCTCAGTTCTTGATATGTACACAAGCTCCATTGCGCTATGCACTACTTCTAGTGCTTTGGCAGCCACTCGCCATCGCCGTGGAGGAACTCTTCGTCCTTGTCAGCGACCTCAAATCCGACTTCAATATCGATGTATCGCCGGTAGTTGACAAACGTAATTCGTCATCATCACTTTCCTCTTCCAGTGACACCATAGTCCTGCCCTCCCGGCTGAACGTCTCTTCGAGAAAACCACCCAAGATGAGCATCAGATCTGAATTGAAGGTATTGCGAAACCATTTCCATCTCTTAGATCTCATGATGGCACTCTCATCATCGACCATCCTCAGGTGAAGGTAGTAGGTTTTGTCACTGATGCTTACACTGATGTCGGCTTCGTCAGGTAGTTGTCGTTGAGGCGCAACTGAGACCTAGTGATCGCAGGGCCAGATCGAATTCATGCACACGCGCAGGCCCAATTTTCTCCATATCAAGATAATAACCCATGTCTAGGAAACTCTCGGTGGCGGAGAAATCGCGTATTACTGGAGAGCAATGTAACCGGACATGGTTCACAACGCTTTGATGATCTGTTCATTGGCGAAGACAAGTCTGCATAATGGGCAGTTTCGAGGGTCCGAAGGCTGCTCTGGTTCAATCGGCCATGGCCAGGCTTGAAAAGAATATGTCCGAGAAACTTTTCCGAGGCCAGTAGCAGAGTCTTCATGCGTTAGTTGGGCGTCATGCTTGAAAGAATGGAAGAGGAACTATGCCCATGAGGCTGGCAAGGCAGACTGCTTCGTCGTCGCGACGGCTAGTTATGCGGCCTTGGATGCTGACAAACAGCACCGCGCACCGGCGTACAGGATCGCTCAAGCTCCTTTCTAATCTGGAATCAATTGGACTCTGGTAGTGAAGGCTTGCTATGCTCTGCCCTCCATGCTCGATGCGCCGCATATCTGTAATTGGACGTACGAGGTCAAGAAAATACTATATCCACATTCCCTGTCGATCGATGATGTTTATGAAGGTTGTTTCATCACATTTGGAAAAGCCAGGTGCGGCTAACTTGATAGACCCAAAGACAGGCGAAGTCGAGAGGTGCTGTCGACGCCCGCGCTAGGGACAGGAGCCAGGAGACCGGAGCATGTTCCGGAATCACGCCGGATCAGCCATGCTAACGCTATTAACACGCTTTTGGCGTTCAATCTCGCTGGGATAATAATCCTCAACGCACAGCCTGATCAGTTTGTACTGTCACGCGGCATATCTGAAAGTCGTGATAGAGTCTCTTGGCCAAGTAGACTTTCGGGGGCGTCCAGAGCCGCGGGTCCATGGACTAACAGCCACGCAGAACAGGAGCTGAAATGGGGAAGATGTACTTAAAGAAAGGCAATGAACGGATCTGCCTATCACAAGCACCTTTCCTGCGGCCAGATATACCCTCATCGAGCCTCGCCTTGCTTGAATTCGCATGGTCCTCTCCCGTGGCACACAGACGGTGTCTATCCAATGGTACGCGTCCAGGATATTTGGGACAAAGCCTTCAAGCTCAACTTGGAGATCCTTCCAAGGACATAGCGGCAGATTGTTCCCCTTGGTATTATCAGTACCATTCAACCATAGGTGAGAAACTGCGACGTACGTCAGAGAACGGGTCACTGCACTAGAAACCAAGCCAAAGACAAGCATAGGTCTGCTACCGGAGTGCTGGAAGTGCCTGCCACCTTTAGGTACTTGGTAGCTGATATATTGCCCACTTCCAGTTGAGTTGTTCGACCATGGCCCGGCGGTGATGCCAGTACAGCGTGGCTGCCACCGCTCTCCAAGATTCCCTTTACTCGAAACCAATGTCTTCTTGAACATGGTGATTACATATGCAATTGCTCGTGACGTGCGCTGTACGATACACACTCTCATCAAGCTGGTGAGCAACGGGTTTTGTCTTGCGGCAGCGGCTGTGGTCTGCCATCTGGATCTCTCCAACCAATCCGTCAAAAACGTTTTCCTCTCCGGATCTCTTCTCAGTTCGTTCGCCAAAGTTGAATCAGCGAAATCACAGCTCAATTCGTGCGTTGCCTCTATGTGTGATATTTGTACTGGGCGTAAGTGGCATTGCTGGTATTGTATGCCTGCAGATTTTCCTCCAGGGTCGCTTCAAGTCCTGCGGTGTTTTGGTCATCTCATCGGTTCTTTAGAGATCATGTCCGAAATCATCCAGACTTTGACTTGTTCGATAGAATCTAGCCTGTTGAACGAGTAAGCCTTTTGGACATTCTGTCAAGATGAATGTATGATCTTCACTGGTTGTAACCTGCAGAGTGCTGCATTTGATCACTTTTGCAACCCCAATCAGCGTCGGACACGTCCGAGGAGCTGTATCTGCTGGGTTGTTTGTTTTCAGCTGACGGTGCGGTGATCGCTGCCGCTTGACCCTTATTACCCATAGGCCCTCTTGATTGCTTTTTCTTCCTGCGGCTCGCTCAGAATGTTTGGATGATAGCCTGGGCTACAGCTCATATTCTCACCTGGTACAGCAGGAACACAACCTTGCATTATGCCTGCAAAGATGAAGTTTGCGTTGCAGTCTCTATTACCATGCCAAAAGCCATACCTACCGTTACCAACGTTGACGCCGATGGCAAAGCACTCACACGCCAACAACACCTCCGATACCAGAAGCTTCTGGCTTTCGTACACGGTCACATTCCTCGAATTGCTGGCTCTTTTCTTTGCCGCCACCTTTCTAACCTATGGTGGGTTTTACCTTGGAGCGGTAATCTTGATATGCCTTTTCGACATCACGGCCCTCCTAGCATCCCTGCAACATTTAACAGGCCCATCTTCGCCAGCCAGGCCTCTGTCGAAGAGCACACCAGAATTCAAGCACCGGAGGGAGCAGTAGTGGACGTGCACTTCCTAGCAGCGAACTGTAACGCCTGAGGCCTCGGAGCTCGAGTACTCATTAGATAATCCTCCTAACTCCACGCCCTAGCCAACATCCCAAGAACTGACAACCCGCATCTAATACTCTAGGTAACACGCATTCTGGCCGTGGTCTTAGTGACTCAAGCTTCGCTACTAGACTGTCTTCATCGCCGTGATATTACTGGTCTCCTTGTTCCTGGTAGTGAAAATAAACTTGCTGTGGCTAAAGTATATTTTCCGCCAGTGCGAAAATATATGTAATCACGAATAGCTGCCGTGTGTTCTGAAATAAAGCTCACAATCACTGGACAAGAACAAACCAAGGTAGTCCTGACAGAGGCCATTAAGCATCGCCATATTCCATTTCGATGGCGTCTTTGCAGTGTTGGAGTAGCTACATCATCGCATTGCGTAGCCGCAATTTCCCATAGACAGAACCGGCAACTGGGCACGTGCCGAGCCTTATCAGGTTATTTGAAGACAATCACATATTCAAAATTGGAACAAAAGTACAAGACCAATTGCCAGTACTTATGCGCCCCCGATTAGTTAGATTTCATCCATAGTTGACCCCAGTGTGCCCTGAAAACGGTGGTTTAGCTGTAACACTGGTCGTTCTCCGAAGATTAGGCGGAGTCCACAAGGCTGATGGATATTCGGTGCTTGGCGCGCAGAAGCCACGGTGAGACTGGCTGGGACAAATATGAGAAAAAAAAAGGAAACCGAGTCTACAGTCACTGAATTGCGCAGTTGACGCATTTGGTTGAGATTGTTAAGATATACAGTATACTTCGTTGCTGAAGACTGAAGACGTCGGGTTCTAAATATAAAGGCCTAAGATTGAGCCCAGACGCGAGTTGTGCGCGTTTCCAGACCAGGACAAGCTGGATGCATCGAACCAATAATAATCAATGGTTCAAGGGCCACAAGCGCAAGCAAACAGTGTTTATTGGCCAAAGACTGCCCCTTTTCTTCTCCATCCCTGCCGAGCCAGCGATTACGTACCGTACGTGCGGCGCGAGCGTCCACGGGTGCAGACTGACTCGCCCAAACCGGGCTAGTGACACCAACGCCTCGCCGACCTGGACTTCAGCCAATTTCATCCTCCCCCAATGTATCATTTATCGCCGTGATCCCTTATTCTCTTACACTTCCTCGGTTGTTCCTCGCCTCTCTGATCCGCGGAGAGGTTCGTCCTGATGGCCAAGCGGCGACTCTTCCGTTGGCCAGCCCCCCGGACCACGGGCCTGACCTTCCTCGCTCTGCTGCTCAGCACTCTCACATTGTTCCTCTATGGCGGGGGGTCATTTCCGCTCACACCGGCCCAGCGAGGTTCGTCTTCAAATTCTGCGCTGTCAGCGAGCGATGCTGACGGCGTAATCGCAGCCCAGGAATCGCTCCACGACCAGGTCATTCGCGAGCTCTCCGAGATCACAGCGACGTACAGCAATGCGAGCCAGGTCGGACTGGTATTAGCGGCTACGCAGTCTGATGACTTGCAGTGGCTGCTGGAGTATATTAAGGAGCGGTTCGTCAGCCCGATCGAGTTGACGGTGAACTTGCGGAGAACTAACTTGTGTCACAGCGGCCCCGGCACAATCCCCTTCATCTACAGCACCGACGATAAACCTGACCCGCGCCTCCTCCTCCCGCGCACTACCCGCGGCCGCGAAGCAACCGCCTACCTCTCCTACATCGTTGACCATTACAATAACCTCCCGCCGTACTCGATTTTCATCCACTCCAACATCAACCAATGGCACAACGACCTCTTCGGTCCGTTTACCAGCAACGCCCTGCGCAATCTCCGCCTCGAAGCCGTCGACGCGATGGGCTACGTCAATCTCCGATGCCAGCATGACCCCGGTTGTCCGACGAGCGTGCACCCGTGGAGCCCGACGCAGATCGATATCGAGAAGAACGACATCCGCGCGTTCTTCCCGGAGGTATACCAAGACATCCTTGGTGTCCCTGCAGAGCGGGTCCCCGAACACATTGGGAATGTATGCTGCGGGCAGTTTGCCGTGAGCCGCGAGCGCATTCTGCAGCGGCCGAGGCAGGACTACGAGCGGATGCTAAAGTGGGCGGCGGAAACGGACCGCACGGACAGTTTTGGCGTCGGCTGGGTATACGAGAAGATCTGGCACATTATTTTTGGGATGGAGGTTATCTAGTGCGTCCCGTCCCTCTCGCCTACCCTCTCTCACTTCGCCGCTAACCACTGATTCGCAGCTGTCCCCGATACGAGCAATGCCGCTGTGACGTTTACGGATGGTGCGGACCACTGGCAGGCACAGGCGAGACACTGCAGGCAGTGCGCGGCCCGGCCCCGGCCGTATAAAATCTACACTACGTAATTTAGACGATTGACGGAACCCTTTTACCCTTTTGTTGTTTGTTTTTTGAATAGTTCGAATTCCCACCCCGTTTCGTTTGCTTGCTTTTACCCCTTCTTCCCCTTCTGTTGCATCGACTTTGTATACTACATACCTTACCTATCATGAGTGAGTCCGGACGCATACGCTGCATTGCATTGGCATTGACATACACGGTGTCTGGCGATCGGAACGAGAGAATGAGAATGTGCTTTCATGACTTGGATAGTGACTTTTTCGGGTCGTTTCGTGGTGGTTATACCCTTTTCCTTTCCTTTCCTTTTCCTTTACTCACCTTCTTCCCTTATTTATCACTCTTAATTGGGTAGATAGGATAACTTACTTAGCCTAGTTTAGACAGGATACGACAGAATGGACATGGTCATCATCATCATAACTCGTTTCAGCATCCCTATATACAATCCCCTCTATCATAGCACGCATTTCTCAAGCGTGGGAATCATCCCCAGCCTCCCCATGAATAACCCTCTGATGCCTCGCCCCCTCAAATCCCCCATCAAGCTCAAACACCGTCCCCTCGCCAACAACCCTCTCCGTCCGTTCCGGTGCCCTCGGCACCGCAACCCCAGAAACCTCATGTACATTTTCACTATCAAGCATCGGCACATCAGACTCCGATGGCCGGCGCTGAGGACGCGGAGGCGGCCGAGACGCATTAGGCGCCGCGGTGAAGAATAGCGCGTCTCCTTCGCCATTATCCCGACGACCATCCGGCGTCGAAGTCGGCCCATTCGTCCCCGGTATCAGTGCCGTCGGGACAGGCATCGAGGCCGGATTCGTGGCGCCGGCTGTGAGCGATGAAGGCAGTGTGGATGAAGCTGGATCAGTGGACGTTGGCGAAGACGAAGACGGCAATGTGAACGCTGTTGATGTTGAGACCGGGCGGCGCGGTATGGATCCTCCCCCTCCTCCTGCTACAGCAGCTACGATTCCCGCCGCTGCTAACCCGGATCCAGGACCGTCTGTTGGACTCGTGCTCGTGCTCTGGCTCGGCTGCTTTTCCGCATCACCATTTATGCCCTTGGCACTCCCGACTGCAGCAGCAGCGCCAGCAGCACCACCGACAGCAGCGGCGGCGTTAGCATTGGCGCGGTTCTTCCTCCTCTCACGCAGAAACAGCCAAATCAGGACGAGGATGATAAGCACGCCGACCACGACGCCAACGACTATCCCCGCTATCGCGCCACCGCCGAGGCCCGAGTCATCTGAGTCCGAATTCGAGGGCGCGGACTCATCCGAAGCCGTCGGGGTAGTCGTTGCGCTGGACGTCGAGCTCGAGCTCGAAGTCGAAGTGGACGTACTAGTCGTAGTGGTAGTAGTAGTGGTAGTAGCACACGTCACACCACCCTGGAAAACCCTCCCCTCACTCTCCTCCTCGCCCTCCCGATCCAGCGCCTCAACGCCCGCACAGCCCGCAGACCCCGTAGCCACAACATCCGACTCCGCACCCACAGTCTCCAGCATCTCAAAGCTCAGCGTGTTGAACCCACCAGATAGATGCACGCCGCCCCTAACAGTCTCCAGATCATCGAGCGCCAGGTCAACAAGCGCATTGTTCCCCTGGACATTGAGGTCCGCGCCTATGCTGGATAGACTGCCGAGGCTGAGGCGGGTGAGCTGCTCGTTGTCTGTGACGGTTACGGAGCCGCCGACGTCTTCGAGGTCTGGGATGGAGACGCCGACTAGGGTTGTGGACTCGATGATTAGGTTCTCGCTTATGCGCTCGAGGTTTTCGAGGTTCAGGGTGCCTGAGGCGGAGGGGGAGATTGTAACGGAGCCGGAGATGCTTTTGCAGGAGGAGAGGGCGGAGGTGGCGGAGGATTGGGAGTCTATTGTTATGGAAGAGCCTGGAGAATGTGTTAGTCTTTTTTGTCGAAAGGGAAGGGGGAAGGACTTGCAGGATTGCGCCGATACGGGCGTCGAGCCCGCGAGGGCGTAGACTAGAATTGGTATGGGTATCATCTGGCCGGCATCAGGAGGCTTGCAGAAACAAAAAGAAATGCATTATGGATCGAGAAGCATGCAGTGATGCCTGGAGGGATTGCGGTCTTTTATTTGTCTTGCCATGTCGCTGGATGGGTCTAAGGGCTAGCTCGCTTGGCTGTGTCTTGGGCGCGGTGATCTAAGTGATTATTCATGTTTTATCTCCGAAGAATCATCATATACCTCGTATTGAATGATCTTTTTGCTCTAGTTCGAACGAACGACCATTGAGACGACAGATATCTCCGAGCTCTCTGCTCTAGGGCTAAGGATTGTTGCGGAACGGCGGTGCCTGAACTGGAGACGAGCCCTCACAGTCACGCCAAGTTCGACACTGCCACGCCGACCCACCCCATCACAGCACCCTCCACTCGGTGTTCAGGGTCCAGCTCTCAAGAGGCCAATCTCCAGCTCCCACGGGGTGGTCGCAGTGCGATCCGAGTCGTGCCTTTCCCGATTCGATCTATTTATATCCGTGGAGACCCTGACTGCCAGTGCACTAAATCCAGGCATCATAGTTTCTGTTTCCGGTCTTGACCATGGTCTTTTGGTATTTAACACTGCTACCTAGACTAGATGGATGAAAGTTGTGGCTAGGGTTAGACAGTATTGTGCTGGTTCAGCTGGCGCTCTGCAAGTTGAGACCTTGTTCCGGATCCTGACCAATTGCCGTCCGATCCAAGGTGTCGTTCTGCAGTCGTGCAGGTTCCATCTCCTGGTGGCGCATTCGGGACGGTTATTAATTTATTGTCGGAGGCGGTGCTGCCTTGCGGTATGTGGCAGGTTTGGTTCTGATATCCGCTGGGTAAGGAAGGGTTATTTTCACAGCCGAGCTCATGGCGGGTCTTGTCCTCTGGGATATTTTGGTTTCCGCACCCGATCGATTGCACCGATGAACATGGGATAGCCGAATTGTCTTCCGAGCCAGGCTGCTTTGCCTGAAGGAGGTCTGGCACAATATCGAGATGTTCATGCTTCAGCGCCAGAGCCAATGCGGTCAGTCCATTATCGTCCTTGCAACTGACATCGGCCCCGGCCTTGATAAGGCACCATATCACCGCGCGTTGACCGTATACAGCTGCTAGAGCTAGCGGCGTCTGTCCATTCTTGTCTCTGAAGTTCTTATCAGCAGCGTAGTTGACAAGGACCTCAACGACATCGCTGTGCCCGGTCTTTGCAGCCCATGACAATGGTGTCTGGCCACTAGCATCTTTCAGGTCCGGGGCAGCAGCTTCGTATCGCAGGAGTAACTCGACTAGCGATTTATGTCCTTCGGCAGCTGCCCATGAGAGAGGGCTCCTTCCTAAAGAATCGACCATGTCCACGTCATGGCCTCCGGCAATCAGTCTGCACACAGCATCTTCAAGCCCAAAGTACGAAGCAAGATGGATTCCATGGAGGTCTGTAGGTACCGGCCAAGCTTTATCCTCTAGAAGGACTCGGGCCGAGCGTAGCACATTGAGTCTGTTCTCTAGAAATCCCAAAACCATGACCGGGCTCAGAGCATCAGTGGGTCCATGACGTCCCCAGTTCTGAGCTGCATAGCGATAAAGGGGGTATTTGTCGAAAAGGCTGGCCTGGTGCTTTGGTTGCAAGTCTCCCAAAGGCCTGTGTTGGTCTTCGCCAAAATCAAATGATAGGTAAGTGATGCACGTAGCTGCTATGTTCTTTTGCGCGTCTGGAAACCACTCAGTCCAGGTCCGTTCAAAGTATTCCTGAGCCGTATAATGAACCAGGCGAATGATATTACTCTGCTCGTCGACAATGACCAAGCCTGCACATACCGAAACTATATCTTCCACATCGGAGATGTTCGTTTCGTCCAGCCTGGGATGTCCAATTTCCACAGCGAGAGCATGTTGTAGCTCCCGGGTAGTCAACGGGCCGGCACAAGTAATCCACGACAATACCTGCTTAGCCATCTCTTTCTGATCAGAGACCTGTCCTTCGATGCGTTCCATAGCAGTTCGATATGCCGAATCATATGCGTTAGAACCGGTAGGTAGGCTTTTCAGCGCCGTCCGTAATGCTTTCTGAGATCTCTTTCCAACCAAGGAGTCCAGGTGCAGCTTGGCGAGGAGGAACCTATCCACATCAAATCAGTACAAGTTCCTGCTGACGTGGGGGCTACTCACATTCCGCCAACGGCTTTGGAGACCTCGGCTATAATTTCGCATTGGAGCTCTTTGTTCCGAGACACGAACGATGGTAGTCGGGATAGCTGACTGCGCAGATATCTCCACACGTCTTCCATTGTTGCGCGAATCTCCAGCGAAGGGCAGCCTTCGAACGCGGCAATCGTGTCTGGGATATACCTAGACGTGGCCAGAAAGTTGACGTTACATCTATCCTGGAGGGAATAGATGGCTGCTAGTAGTGATTCGCGGACAGTGCTCTCACATTCATCAAGAGCGTCTACCACAATGAAAACACGAGACAGCTGATTCGAAAAGAGCTGCAGGAACTGCAAGAGCTCGCTCACACTGGGCTGAATCTTCTTGTTCCGCGCCTGAGAATATGCATCCCTCACACAATCGGGGATTGCGTGATCCCGCTGTACAATCTGCCTTACCAAGCTCGCCAGTAGATCTCGAAATGTCTGTGTGGGCCGCTGTCGAAAACTGCAGTATAGATACGCGATGCCGATATTGCCGCGGCGGCCGAACTTTTGCTCGAGAAAGTCGATAATCATAGACACCATGATGGTTTTCCCGGCGCCAGGTATCCCGGGACAGAACAGTGTCTCCTTATCCTTCTCTGCCCATTGCCGGAACTGACTTGCCCCGAGAAGCCACTGCCCGCTCCCTTCCTGGTGTTGATTGAGAAAGTCGTTCTGTTGCGCGGCGTAGTTCACAGGACTCAACCAGTCGAGGATCTTATCGTACTCTTCGTCTATCTGGTAATGCTTGATCGCGGCAATTTCTTCCCTCGAACGAGCTGTTGTTTCGCATACGGCAAGGTTGACGTCGCTTCACTATGTTAGCAACTGACTTTCAACAATGAGCTCCAAGAATTAACGAACGGGTGCACGGCATACAGATTGAGCCGAGCTAAGAAGAGATTAAAAGTGACAACCTGTCCGCAAATGCGCCGTTCAAAATTCTGTATCTCTTTAGGGTCCCAGTTCAGTCGCTGCCATACGCGTCTCGAGAGATAGCCTAGGCCACGGCTAGCACGCGTATCAATATCCGTGCCCGTGTTGTCAGTCGAACTAGAGTCCAGATCCAGGTCTTGAAATTTCCCCAAAACATGGTCGAGATCCTGAAGCACGGTGTAGCAAGACCGAGATATTTGCTCGAGATGACGCTTCTGCCCATTGCTTAGTACATTCTCCGGGTCGATATCGTCGATGTCGCGCAGGACGTTGGACAGAGACTTGATACTGATGGTGACCCTGGAGTTAGGACTCTCGTCGACTGGCTGGGTGAAGATCTTCATACCTCTCGGTTGTGCTTTTGAATTGTGTGGGCGCGTAGACGAAGCGCTTGCGGATGTCATTTGCGATGACCATGACCGAGAGGAAATCCCCTGCACCGTACCCGAAACTCATGTTGGATGGCTGCTGTTGACCTCGTTGGGTAATGTATATACAGCATACAAGAATATACAAGACGACGGACGTGTCCAGCGGCCGGTTGGAGACTTGCGTAGTATAGAGTGGCGGTGTCAAGGTAGGGCTGAAGGGAGCAGAGAAATCTCCACAGCCTTAAACGGCAGGAGCACCCTGAATACCATGGGGAGTACGGAGTTATTGGGTCCAGAATTGCTGGGGTGTTGGGAAACGTCACGCGTTATGGTCCGTTCGGATATAACGAACGCAACGAAGAACCTGTCGAACTCGCGGTTTGGATGTGGACAAAATCGTCTCATATTCTCAACCACAGGTCTATAGGTCTGCGGAAATGACGTGAAGGCGTGAGTTCACGACATGAAGGGGTATATACATAAGACTTCAGCAATCAACCAACGGAGATAGGCCGGAGATATCGTCTCAGAAACGTGGGCTCCAGGTTTTATCGAGGGCGTGAAGCTCATTCCACTCAGCTTCTAGTTGGCCGACAATCCAAGCTGTCGGCCAGCCGATTTTCTTTTCCACAAATTCTAGGAACTCAAAGGATCCCAGATGCTCTGCCGGGTGACGAAGGCAAAACCCGTCTATACAGCATTAGTGCCGAATATTCTTCGAAGGTGACGAAAAGCATACAACGATGTAATAGATGGCACCCCATAAAATATGCGTTGACGACTGTTTCATTGGATCTTGACAATCCAATCACGTTAACAAGGTGGTATGCGATGGTTTGCTTCGGACGGTCAGCATAAGTCAAGCAGGCTGAGATGATTACAAACCTCTTCTATACGCCTCAGTCGAGCCCGCTCAAAGTCGTTTACAACTCCCTGGTGCTTATTTGAAGTCGCAAGGATGATTCGAGACGCATGATAGTATTGTAAACCGACAACTGAACGCTCAGTATATATTCGGTTCGAGGATACAAAAACATACCTGCAGGTGGGGACACCAACCACAGCTCTGGAAAAGGTCTATTTTCGCCAGCATTGGCCTCCTGATGTTTCAATGGCTGCCAGCTGATGGGCTTTTCCCGATACCACTGCTCAACACAGTCGGACAAGTACTGCCAATCGTCTTCATTGAAGCTGTATGCATTGGGCTCGGAGCGAAGTTGAATTATTCTCGCACATAGGAAAATTATCCTATTAGCATAGGCGGCATCATCCATTCGTTGAAACACGGAAGAATGCTCATAATTCTCTAGATTTAGTTGCATTGGCTGGTATTCAACCAAGCAAGCATATATGGCTTGCCGAAGAAATTGCCAGCTGATAGCCTCCGCAAGGCCTCCAGACGATGCTGATTTTGACATTGTATTCAGAAGTCGAGTAGAGCCCAGCCAGTGGCACTTTTCGTCCGTGGCCCGCTCCAACTCTTCATAGACACGCAGGATCACCACCGTAATCAATATGTTATCGTCGTAAAATCCTTCGGCTTTCGAAAGCGCCCGAAGAAGCAACTCAACGCACTGACTGTGGTACTCTGAGGCCTCCCAATCATCGGACCCGGACATGATCGCCGCATGTCGAGCAGAATATGCTAGGATTGCCTTCATAACCATCGGGACTTGAAGTGCTCTCCGAGGGATCTCGCTTGAGAAGTGAGAATTCTGGTCGCAGATATCAAACTAGTAGTTCAGTGAGTAGTCCGACGTTCGGGATGCAGAGACCTACCCTGGAGGAAAGATCATGAATGAACGAGCGGAGAAGGGAGGCTTCGCGCGTCGTCATAGACGAGTTTGAGCTTTGGCGAGGGCTGAGAGAACTCAAAGAAGGTGAGAACTCTGCCCAGGTGCTGACAGAGGGCAACGGGGAGGGCCCACTTGCAGGTTTAGGAGATATGCTGATAGAGGATATTGTTCGTCGTTCGTCTGGACTAGAACCAGCCAATTGAGTGATCAAATGGTCTTGATTACCAGGTTCGGCGACATCTGCGTTCAGACTGGGTGCGCTAGAGACATGCGGTAGCGGCAGCGATGAAGCCCCATCAGCAGGGGGTTGGCTATTCCTCAAAACGTCGGGCATAACATCTGAGTCGGGATCTTCCGCCGATTCTTCAATAAACATCACTGGACATATCATGAGCACCGATCGAAGAAGACATGGACGGATAGCAACATACAAGACTGAGGAACTTTCACCCAAGGCTGTCGGGCATCCCAGGCCAAATCATATTTGCCCGTCGCGGACCCTTGACTCTTCTGGTATACATGGCGGACCGTTTTAAAACGGAACGGTGGATCAAGGCGACAAGCCCGCGATAGCCGGGTACATTCATTACATGACGATGCACCTTCAACAATAGTACACTTGATATGGCGAAGACGACAACGCTCACATCCCCTACCGATGCGCATTGCAAGTCGGGAGCTGAGCGTCCGCTAAGTAGAAAGTCGATGATGGCAGGAACATCGGCAGATGGAGATACCCATCGATACAGTTGCACTAAGTATCAAGCGGGGAGAGATGAAGGCAGGCGGAAGAAGGTGTAAGAGACAAGCAGGAAAGATCCCACGATGATGCTGAAGGTCGGCTCCTTCGAGTCCTTCGACTGCACGCTCCCCCGCAATCCCCCGGTTTGCTGAATCAGCGGCTGCCCACGGCTTCTGATTGGTGCCCTCATGACTCGGACAGTCTCCGAACCCATCGATCGAGTACGGCTGTCAGGCTGAGTTGGCGAAATAGCCACTTTGCCGCCGATCGAGTCTGGGCACTCGGTCAGGACGTCACTCGTGCTGTCGCATTTTTTTGCGTTCAAGGTCTTCGTTTAGTCGGACGTCCTGGCGGAAGTGGATGTTTGTTGCCTCGTAAAAGACCCAGCTTTCGGTGCCGCTTGAAGACAGCTGTATGGTATCAGACAAGCCCAGGCAATAGTAGAATGTAAGGAGTAATCCGCCTCTATAGCGTTGGGACGCCGTTTGGAGTGTTGCGTTGTTGGAAAATCCGCGATGCATGCATGTTCCCAGGCTTGTCGAGCGGATCATATTGTTTCAGGCAAAAAGTACGGTACATTCAAACCCATGCAGGCAAACGCCGCCGAAGAATGGCCCAACCATCGCCTTGGCGAGCGCATTGATTCAAGTCCATGGTTGGGATTAATACTCCGTAGCACTCTCTGGTTTTGTTAACCGGATTCGATTGCTCGTAAACACTGGATAGTAGCCACCGGTGAACTGGCCTGGTCTCAGCCCTCAACGAGACTGATCCGGTCTTCAGAAGTCAGAACCAAATACGCGTTCGTAAGGCATACCGATACCGATAAGGCAGCGCGTGCTGGATAAGCTGCACCACACCTAAAGAGGGAAATAGAGTTAATAGGCACATCATTCAAACTCTCCATCCAGTATAGTTTGGAGTGATGTACCATCGCAGCCGTTGCCGCCATCATAGATCACTCAGAGGCCCATTTAACATCATTGGCCATGGTCTATACGGGATAGCCATGGTGCTGTAGGCGATACAACTCGACCGGGTTGCTCAACATTCGATGAAGAGGCTGGTTCCGACATGTCGGTGGGGAGATATGGAGTTCGTGTTCTAACCATCTTGGCTTGCACACGAATAGATGAAGCGCGTTGAGGTAGGCCTAATGATACTTCATACCCTTTCCAATCGAATGTTATATGAGTGTTTCTTCAGAGGACTGTCGAGGTGCCGAGGGTCAAAGTCGTATTTGACCACCGCTTGCTTGAGTTCAGTGTCATGACCGAACGCTCCGTTCTTGGGACTTGCTCATTTGGACGCTCAGCACAAAGTACGGGGGCTGATTAGCTGGGGGTTCATAATTAATATAGACCGTGTCCGTACAGCTGCGCCGGAACATAAAAACCGAGGCCAATATATCGTGGGGTCGCTTGGATGCTAGGATCGTATGATCTCGCCGTCCGGCGAGTTAAGAGCGGAGATCGGATTCCAGATCTGACGGGAGACTCGACAGATGATTCAGGAGTCAAAGGGGCCAAGGGCAATGGAAACAATTCGTCGTGGATGGCTTGCTCTGCCTAATTGCAGACAGTAACGTACCAAGATAGGAATCGAGGATGTGGTGAGAGGCGGCCCACTGATCGGCCATGGCCCATCCATCTTACGTCTCCGCGGCGGCGCGTTTGAGGAGCAAAGAATTCTCCTTCAGCACGGACACGGTCAACACCACCTCGACTCCTCCACAACTCAGGATGCAGCGGTTCGAGCCGCCATGACAAACCGCGATCCTGACTTCCGACATCAGCTGGGAAGGTTCCGTCTCCAAGTCGATCCCCTTCCTCCATCACAGCTCCCACTTCCGACCACGTCCGTGACGCCCCCGACTTCGCTGCCCTCTCCATCCGCGCCCTCGTCCGCGCCCCCTCCCCCTCTCCCTGACCGTCTTGCGTCTCGCCCCAAACGCGTTTCAACTGCCTGCGATTTCTGCCGGAAACGGAAAAAGAAATGTGATTTCCGCTACCCCAATTGCTCGGCGTGTACACGAGCCGGCGTTCGTTGCACCATCGCTCCTCCAGGACCGCAAATCACATCTGTTCCCCGCGATCAGCTCGAACGGCTACAGGACCGCGTACAATGGCTGGAAGAAATTGTCCGCCGCAAGACGGGCGTTGCAGTCGCGGACAAGCCGACAGGCAGCGCGTTGGACGAAGATGGCGACCCAAATTCGTGGCACCAGCTGCCGGCAATTTTGATCAAGGTTGATCCTAGCAGTCCGCAAGCCGCTTCCACAGTAGCAGGGTCCACGACCGGGGTCGAATCGAGCGCAAGTCCAGGGTCGACGGAGCCATCAGCAGTCGGAACTGAGCTTCCCAATGTTGGTGAGATCTTTCGCGACAAACTCGAGCATCGTCGCCCTTCCATCGCACGACCGGTCATATCTGCAAGCGCTCCGCACATCCTCCGGCTCGCATCCTTGGAGGAAGCCGAACGGGTGGCCGGGCAGTACTTTGATAGCATGGGATACCAGTACCCCTTCCTACACCGTGTTGAATTCTTCGATCATGTCCGACGGATCTACGCCGGTGAAGTTCCCACCCCTGAGGTGCACTACAGCTATCACATCACGATCGGTATTTCTCTGCTTATCGGATCTGCGGAAAATGCCGAGGCCAGGGCCATGGAGTTCTATCGGGCAAGCAATGAAACACTCTCCATAGCATTGCACAACGAGGACCTTACCGCTCTTCGCGCATTGCTGAGTCTAGCTCTTTATACGCTGTTTGCGACAACCGGCCCCAGCATATGGCATGTCCTCGGGACCGCTTTGCGCCTTACCACCAGCTTAGGGCTACACAAAGCAAGGCATCCCACCAACCTTCTTGACGATGAAATGACCAAACGCGCATTCTGGAGTCTATACAACCTCGATAGGCTCATCGCTAGCACCCTAGGCAGACCGCTCGGGATTGCCGATGAAGACATCACCGTGTCTCTTCCCCGAGAGTTGAATGACGACGGGACTGAAACGCCAGGAGCGAGCGCCATGACCATCCCCATACAAGTCATTCGGCTGCGCCGCATCTTCTCGCGAATCTACCGTTACCGTAAGCCGCATCCATTCCCTCCCTTGGAACACCTCAACTAACAAACTCCCAGTATACAGCACCAACCAACCCGCCCCATCGCCACCCGAACTATCCCTCAACCTCCGGCACTTCCGCCAGGAACTCGACGACTGGCGCACCACGAGCCCCGTCTACCCACCAGCCCTCCTCTACTCAACCAGCTACTTCGACTACCTGCACGCAACAACCCTCCTCCTCCTCTACCGCCCCAGCCCGCGCAACCCAACCCCGGACCAAACCAGCATCATCAGCTGCGGCAACGCCAGCATCGCGGTAATTCGCTCGTACTGGGAATCCTACTGCGCCGGCAAACTCAAATGGATCTGGCTCACGCTCAGCCAGCTCTACTTCGCCGGCATCACGATCCTCTGGTGTCTGAACCGGAATTTCCACTCTGTAAACGAGGGGCTTGGGCCGGTTTGGGAGCCAGACGAGCAGATGATGCGGAGAGGAATCCAGGCGGTCGTTGTCATCCTCGAGGCCTTCGGGAAACGGCGAGCGGGCGTTGATAAGCTCGCCGAGACTTTCCGCGCCCAGAGTACAACGATCTTCAGCCATCTGGCGTACCAGCAGCAACAGCAGCAGTCTATGATGCCCCCGCCGTTGCCTCCGCCACAGCCGGCTCCCAACCCGGTTTATATGGCGCCGCCAGTGCCGCTTGCACCTGTTCTGGATGATGTCTTGTTGGTTGATGCGTCCGGGACGATGCCCGTTATGGATCCGCAGATGGCGGAGCAGTTGTTTTACTCTTATGATTGGTTCCAGGAGGAGATGGCGACGTATTATACCTTATAGATGATCGGTGTATGGAGGGGGACCTTGTATGTTCTGTGGCGCTCAGCGAAATATGGCTCTTTGATACCGAAGATAATTTTCAATGCAGTAATGAATTCTATTCCCGAAATGTGTTGGCATATGTACAAGATGCTAGATGGGTTCAATAAATATGTACAATTAGAAGTCTAGCGTTGATAAACGAGTGGTGTATTTGGTTACTCCCAACTGGTAGGTCCAAACCGCTCACCGGGGGAAACAGTCTTCCATGGCGTGCCTCGACCGTCGGCCGTCCTCATGAAGATTTCATTTCCCCACCATCTGAGCGGCCCAGCGGGTAGCATGATACAAAAGAAAATGACCACGGTCGAGACGGCAACACCCGAGTCGAGGGCTGCGCTGAGGACAAAGTCTAAGTTTTGTCAGCCGTGCTGCCAGTGCCAAAACAGGAAGATATAAAAGGGCAGGTGAAACTCACTATACTTTGACCACCAAGCTGGACGCTTCCGTTTGATAAGGCCATTGAAGATGACATTAACAACCCACCACGATGAGAAGTTAATCCCTGTTGCGGGTGGCACCATGCTCATTGCGCCGAAGGCGACGGGCCAGGATATGTAATTTACTACTTTCCAGCGCCGCCCGAGGAGGTAGGTAATTACGACTATCACTGGGCCCGCGAGAAAGAACCAGACGAGGTTTCCGTAGATTTGGCCTGGCGCGAAGTTGCGGGCGGGGCCAAGGGCGCCTAATTTAGACCATGGCCGTTAGTTTGGGTTCTGAAGATGGGTCAAGGCACTTACCCCAGATCAGGGACGAAGAGAATGTAACTAAGCCATGGGGACAGGTGAAGCCGCCTTCAGCATGAGGAGTGCAGATGCCCTCAAAACGTGTGAGCATGAATACTGTCACGCCGCATTGCACGATCGCGCCGATTAGTGTAGCGAGGCCTTGCGCAAAGAAAAGGGTGCGAGGGGCGATGTGGAGGTAGTGCGCCAGTTTCATGTCCGCCACGAATCTGTATCACCAGTCAGAAAAACTCAACGTATATATAAAATTGAATGTTGGCGCTTACTCTAGTCCCTGTGAAACGGTCACATATCCGTAAAACTTGAAGGCCATGTTGGCGATGGGCTTTCCGAGGAAGGCATAGCCCCCGATAAACTCGGTGATGAGGTTCAATTGATTGCTCGTAATGTTCGTTAGAGCTTTGATGATTCCCACGGGAATGAAGTAGATTATCGGCAAGACGAATGCTAGAAGTACGCCCCACGCCGGCAGGCCAGTTTCCCACACTTCGTTGTTGACGATGCTGAGTACAAACATCAGAACCGTCACTGCACCAAACCACCACCAAGGAACGGGGGCGTAGGACTGCATGAGCCGTGAGTGGATGTCTTTCTTGTGTCGACCACTCCACTGCTGAATCAGGTCCTTTCCATGGTATAGTGCTATGTGAAAGAAGATCCCAGTAAGATTCGCAAATGCCACGCCGTACGTGACGGCAAACCCAGCAGGTATAAACATTGGGGAGTATTTTCGATAAGCCTCCACATTGACGGTGCCGTTGTTGATGTTCATGACACGTCGAGTGTCATACATGCGGCCAGTGTTGTCAAAAGTATTCGAGTCCAGGAGTGGCAAGTAAGCAGAATACCACGTATTCGTGTAATATATGATAGGGACAAGAATCCAGAAGAAAAGTACGAATGACCCCATCACGTTCAATCCTGCCCAAAAGGGAACCAAGAGAGGGCTATCATTGGCAAAGACGACTTGAGACCAATCAAACGTGAGGAGCGACATCCCAAGTCCAGTTTTCTGCCCGAAGAGCTGATTGACCACGACGTTTGATGGCGCCAACCAGCAGACGAAACTGAACGTGCTGAGGGCAGTGAAGATGTACCCTGGAAAAAAATACCAAATGGCGCCACAAACAAACACAACCATGAAGAAACTCAGCCGCGTCATGGCCCAGCCATCGGCAACCTTGTTCGATCTTGAGTGCAATGTGGAGAGGAGGGCTGCATTCGAGAGAACCTGTGGCCAGATCATTGTGGCAGGTTCCACAAGCCAGCGCGAAACCATCCCCGCAATACCGAACCCGAATAGCTGAGTCGTGATGCATAAAAGCACCTGAAAACCACCTTGCGAGGGCATGTGGTAAAATTTGACCATGACCTCAATGACCTGAGTCGCTGAGGCAGAGCCGAACGAGACATTGGCCATAATCGTGATCAGAGCATGCTCTTTGATATTGAAGCGGCGGTCTGGGTTAAGCCAGCCCAATGGCATCCATCGCGCCCATGCACAACCAATGGGATATGCTACCAGCTGAGCGACCAGCGCGCTGATTTTGACACTAGGTTGCCGCAGGCTGAAGAATTGATTCAATCCACTTCCGATCTATAGTGGCTCCAAGTCAGTTGGGAGTAGTGGGTCGAATAGAGAGAGGTCTGAACGCTCAAGATGGCCACATACAATTGTGAACAGAATGCCGATAACCCACATCCGAGCCGTATTTAGAGGCAATTCGACTTCGTCTACGGGCCGAACAACAGCTCGCACCTCCGGGAAGGGGGAATCGTCTGCTTCATACGGAAGTATCTTCTCCGCATCACGGTCGTCAAGAATGACATTGTTGCTGCCAACTTCGTCGTTGTTCTCCACGTTATTAATCTGCGATTCCTGCGAAAGCACAATGTTCTGGTTAGCACTTGACCTACAGAAGGCGGATTCCAGACCGACGAGATATTACTCAATGCAGTAATACCGTGAAACGAGCGTCATTTCTCAGGGTCGGCAAGAGCACCAATGGAAGCGCATTCGAGTTGCAGGATCGAGCAACCCACCTTGTGTGAGCCTCTGCTAAGAGGTTTCTCCTCGGCTTCCACCATCATCCATAACACGCCAGGCCGGCGGGTGATGGCCAGCTTACGGCGGGAGCGAGACCGCTGGTCTGGGGCGTCCGAAAGCGAGACAGGTGGAGTCAGTGCCCCCTGGGGGTTGATCATCGATCACCCGGATCAACCGGGACGTCGGTAATTGGGTATGGACCGTGGACCGTAAAATATAAACCGAGGATTAGGCGATGATTGAGGGTTGTGTTGTTGCGGAGTCTGGAACGGTTTGCTCAGGAACTCAGGGGAAAAGAGCCTGCGGAAAAGATACGAAGTCATGCCTGAGGCGCCCCCGGACACCGCTCTGAGTGTTACACAGTCACTTCATCTTCACTGTCATCAAGCCACTACTCCTTCTTGTTCTACGATTCTGGGTGTACTGATGTATACAGGGCTTCAACATTATTGTCACAGGATTACAGCTGCTATAGCACCCTATAGTGTGCACGTCCCTATGCAGGCGAGTCTGCGAGTCACGACCCAGTCGGAATGAACCGCCCAGTCGTTAACAGAACCAGCCACTCATGTGCCAGCCCGTGACCTCTGCCTGGGCCCTACCAGAGTGGTGGACTGATGGCGGGCCAGAAATTAGACAAATAATTCCTGCAAACGAAAGGCCAAGGGAGGGGTGGGAATGCGAGAGCAGCGGATACAGCCGACTGATAACCCACTGCGCGATGTCGGAACAGGAAAGTGTCAACCAGTTGGAGCATGCAAGCTATCGGCCTCCTATCGGTGCTCCCCTCCCTTGATTCAACAATATCTGCAAATCTGTTGACTTCGCTCTCCTATATATCCACTGTCAAACCTGGTTCAAACAGTCTATTCCCGTTACATCTCGCCAAGGCAGTCCTACAGTGGGCATCACGGCATTCACTACTCCACAAGTATCAGCATCAGGCGAAATGGGAGAGTGTGGCCATTTCTTTAGCAACGTTCCCTTTCCTCAACGTCCAATCGTCATTTTAGGCGCAGGAATCATAGGATGCGCGACAGCCAGACAGCTTCTGCTTGATGGCTTTTCCGTGATCTTGGTGGCGGAATTCCTACCAGGTGATCAAAGCATATTCTACGCCTCTGCCTGGGCTGGAGCCGCATGGCACGCAGCCGGGGGAATCAGTCCTGATCACCGTTATATCCAGGCTGTTACTTACCGACATTTATTAAAAATGGCGCGCGACGAGCCTGGATCCGGAGTTTGTATAGTTGGCGGCCGAGAATACGTCGAACAACCTCCGCCTGAGAACTCCTCCGCTTGGGGACGGACAGTACTACCCAAGGTAAGAAGACGTCAGCGAAGCCACGATTTTTGTCTAATCTCAATTCAGTTCCGCGATATGAAACCGGGCGAGTACCCTCCGAATTTCGATTGCGCCTGGGCATACGAAACTGTGGTTACTGACCCCACGCGACATATGCCCTGGCTCAGAGAGAGGATTATATCCCTTGGAGGTCAATTCGTTCGTAAGCGAGTTGAGTCTCTAGAGGAGCTTTACGACATGTTTCCCGAATCAAGGATCTTCATAAATGCCAGTGGTTTTGGCAGTAGGGATCTTAACGACGTCCGGGATGATAAATGCTTTCCGGAACGTGGCCAGAACGTGTTCTACCGTACAAGCAAGTGTCACACTCTCTACTTCCGGAACGGCAAAGAATACACATACATTATCCCTCGACCATTGTCTCAGGGTGTGGTTCTAGGGGGAGTCAAGCAGAGAGACACTCTGTAAGTCAATGGTTTCCCCATCGTGACATAGTTACTGATGGTAGCAGTTCGCCAGAAGTGGATATGGAAATAGCCCGGGATGAGATTGCCCGTGCGCATCGTCTTGCCCCAGAGATCGTTCCGGCGAATCCACCGGAAGACTCCATCAGTCATATCATTGGTATACGCCCTTCGCGAGATGGAGGTTTTCGACTGGACTCTGAGACTATCGGAGACCGCGTTATCTTGTCCGCATATGGTTTTGGCGGTGGAGGGTACGCCTTCTCGTACGGAATTGCGGATGCTTTGGTGAACATGGTCGAAAAAGCCGAGAGAGAACACATAATATTGTAATATCTCGAGGGTATGCAAATGTCTCGCTCATGCTCTTTACTAGTCAACAGTATGAGATGTTTATTCCAAGTGCTTCTGCTTTGAAAGTCTGAACAGCGTGCTCTCTTTTCCATTTTCAGGAGCGAATTATCCACCTTGAGCAAGTCAGATGATACAACCTCACAAAACCTGTTTGCTGACAGACTCATTCTCCGGCCTTTCTCTTTGTCCCCGTCACATTCCCCAGGCCGAACATTGCGTCCAGTTTCTTCTGCCCTTTCTCCTGCTTCTCGACTTTGATCTTTTCAGAAACCGGCGGCAGACCCTGAATACGCGATTTGGCGTCATCTAGTAGCTCAAGCTCCCGCTCTCGCTGTTTCCTCACCGTTGGAACGGACCACGAATTCGAAGCAGCCGATTTGTACGCCAACTTGTACTTGGACCCCTCCAGAACGGTCTCATATGTGTTGGCATCGATCTTCTTCACATGCTGGGGCCAGTATCAGACAACGCTTCCAGCTAGAAGCCCACGCCTCGTTTCCGAAACAGAAGTACCTATTGGGAAGATCATACCTGATGCGCAACAATAAGCCAGTGATACTCTGTCCCCACGGGCGCACCACTGCCCTGCGGGGCCTTCCTCGCGCGTCTCTTGTTAGTCCTATAATCTATCCTCCACAAATCCGGCTCCTCCTTCGTTTCCTTCCAGACGCCTTCATCATAGTTCCAGGTGTGCGAGCCCCCAACCGCCATCCCTGAGTAGTATTGCCCCTTGTATGACTTCAGCGCATTGTATCCGCCGGGAAAGCCCTGGTTCCGCTTTGATGTGCCCTCACCAGCCGATCCTGCTTCGCTAACCGTATGCTCCGTTTCCTCCGGCATCTCTTCATCCGTCTCTAGAACCGGCTCCGGTGAGTTAATTTCCTCCGGCGTAAGAGGCTCTTCCGGTTCGTCACTTTCTTGGTTTTTGATTTCGGAGTCATTTTGTTCTGTGTGTTCTCCTGGAGCAACCGGTTCTTGCTCTGGGGACGACGGGTATGTTGGTTTTCGGGTTTGCGGTTTGGAGGTTCTAGTTCTGCGCTTTGGTGGCATCTTGTGAATCCTCAGATCTGTGAATGTATAAAGCTAATGGAGTAGTATGCTTAGAGGTCTTTTGCATTATATAGGGCAGGGTCTGTAGCACATGACCTGCTAGGTACCGTCACTATGACATCCACCACAATCCTATTCATCACTCATTGGTTATACAATCCTTCATGTCATAATATAAACTACTATGAACTGGACATGGTTGAAGGCCTATAAACATATCACCAATAAAACAAGAACATCATTCTAATACCTCTCTATACTACGGTAGTGCTAAGTACGTAAAATACTATAGAATAGACTATGGCCGTAACCGCTGCGCAGTGATTATCAAAACAGGTGGATATTCATTATACGCAGGCCAGAGGGTGTAATGAGTATTTTCGGTCATGATCCAAAAAGCCGAAGTCGGTTTCTATACCAACCTCCATGCTGGATGGCGGGTATATATTTTGTAAATATATATATCCGCATCCTCTGGCGTACAGTCCCCTGTTCTCACGGCTACGTGCTTATCCATTCATATTAATGCTTCATGATGTACTTGAATGGGTTGGAAATATAGCCCATGAAGCATTGTCCGTCCCCTTGCCAATAAGTATTTGGAGTTGACATCCAGTCTGTATAGTACAGAATGGCAAGTGGGCGGAGCACGGACTCAGTCTCGACCTCAGGATTGGAGCAGCCCGCTTAAGCGGGAGGCGATCGATGGAATTTATTTCAGGGCCGAACTGGTCTGGTCGGGGCACAGTCACAGCCTTGTTTCTCGCATCCCTGGAGGGGCAGACATTCGTTTCGAGCTGGGGCCAAACCTGCACCTTTTTATATCTCATCTCCCCTCGTTCTTTATCCTTTCCTCTCTTTATGGCTTCTGTCGCTGTCGAGGCCCCCTTTTTGCATTCTTATTGCTAGGTCCGCTTCCCGCCAAGCGCCCCATTTCGCGCCGCCCTTGTGAACGCGATCGCGATCAATTAGAGTTCCGATCTTGGTTGGCGTCTCGCAATCGACAATTATTGCAAGGGACCATGGCCGAAGAGACCCAAGTCCTGTCCATCCAGGACCGCATCAGGGCCCTGAAACAGGCACAAAGCCAAACCCAAAGCACCGATGCTGAGGGGACATCGCCGTTCCTGGGATCACAGCCAACCGCATTCGCCCTCCGTCCAGCGTCATCGCATTCGAACGGTGTCAGCACTCCCCCTCCCCCTTATAGCAGCCAGCCGCCGCCACCACCGGTTGGAAGAAAATCCCCGGCCCTCAATAATGTCCCGCCGCGGCCAGCGCCTCGGTCAGTTTCGACGGGCGGCGTCTCGACTACGCCAGACTCCAGGCAACAGCCAAAAAAGCCCCCACCCCTGCCCGCCCGCAAAAGCTCGAGCCAACAACTTGCCGTGCCGTCGCTGCCACCACGGAGACCGTCGATCGACTCGATAGCGTCTGATGCGTCTCGATCAACAGCTACCAGCACGGGGAAATCTACAGGGACGGGGACAGCCACCAGAGCTTCGACGCCTGGGTCGGTGGTGAAAGCTCCGCCATGGGGTGCTACAGAGCTTCCGCCGTTGCCTGCAAAGCGCCAGAATACCCAGCCGGCTGTATCGCCGTCAAAACCGAAACCTACAACTTTGGGGAGCAATGGGCGTTTGCCGCCACCACGACCGGTACTTCCCCCTCGCCGGTCTTCAGGTGTATCGACTGTGTCAACGGAGAGTAGCGCCCAGTCACGGCCGACCCCACCACTTCCTCAGAGGCGTGACCCCTCTCCGAACCCGTCAGCCCAGGAGACAAACGGACAAGGGCAGGAAAGACGGCTTCCGCCACCAGCTCCGTCTGGAGCGGCGTTGGACAAGATTCGGATTACGGGCTTTGGAGGACTGACTAAAAGAGCAACTGGGGCTGCCGAAGCGCCTGCCTCGGTCGGTGCACCACCGCCAGTGCCGACGGGATCTCGCCCAGATCTTTCTGCGATCCAGGCGACCAAGCCGCGCGTTGCGGTATCAAACGCGGTCCCCGCGGCCGCCGCCCCAGTAGCAGCGTGCTTGAAGTGCCGCGACTTCTCCGCACCGGATGCACATGCTGCGCTGTATCCGAGACAGAGTCTTCCGAGCCAAGATCTTGGATGGCTAGCCAGAGAACTTACGGCGCCATTCATTTCGGCTACGGACAAGGCACGGGTTATCTTTACGTGGTTGCACCACAACATCGACTACGATACGGTGTCGTTCTTCAATGGTAATGTAAAGCCGGCTACCCCAGATAGCACATTCGCCACGGGACTTGCTGTGTGCGAGGGATACGCGAAGTTGTTTGCAACACTTGCCGCTCACGCGGGTTTGGAAGCCAAAGTAGTCTCCGGTCATGGCAAAGGCTTCAGCTACAATGCTCCAGCGCCTGGCGCATCACTGCCGGCGTACTCACCCACCGGTCACGCATGGAACGTGGTCCGAATCGACAATGGACAGTGGAAACTCATTGACCCCTGCTGGGGTGCAGGACACATCCAAGGCAAGGGGCAGCCCTACGTCCGTAGCTTCAACCCGGCCATGTTCACCAACACCAACGACGAATTCGGACTCAAACACTTCCCCAGCGACCGGGCCCATTTCTACCGTGATGACGGGCGGCCAGAAATAACCTGGGAAGAATATATTGTGGGGAATCCGAACTCACCACTTGGCGCCGCGCAGCCGATGGTCTGGGGTGACGCAAAGAAGCACAGCATCGGCGAGCGCTCGTTCCGACCGGCTGCGGCGCAAATCTCAATTCGCGACCCTGGCCCGATGCGCTTCCAGTTTAACCTCATCTGCGAGCATTGGTCGCTAGAAAAGCACAGTCGGGCTAAGCCCGGGCTCTTCTTGTTGATGACCAACGGATTGGATGGTCGGGATGAACAGCGCATCCCCTTGGTGCATTGGCGGGGAACAGGGGCCAACGGTGGAGGAGATGTGTGGTATATAGACGTTTTGGATCCTAGAACGTTGGGCGCGCCCGGACAGAAGGTGCGCCTGGCAGTGCTCACGAAGTTTGGGGATCGTGATGCCCGTGGGGTCACGGTGGAGGAGTATCAGCAGCAGGTTGGGCGAGTGGGGATGGCGTGGGCGTATATCGCAGACTGGGAGCTCGTGGTCTGATGTGAATCATGTGATGGGAACTACCTACTCCACTGGGGGGACGGAGATTTCCGATGCTTTCTCCATTTCTCCATGTCTCCAGAGTTCTCCAGGTTTTGTTTGTCTTGTCTGTCTTTTGTCTATACCCTCTGCTTCTGCTCGCCTACTACTACTGCTCAGAGTACTCCGTAATTAATGTTAATGAGAGATGAACCATAATTTCCCTAATAATGACTTAATGTCCGACCCCAGCGCCTCTGACGCAGGACAAGACCCGGAATCAAGCATTGTGGCTTAAAGCTGGCTTTTGGTTGGGACTCTTGCCAGAGGCTCGGCTAATTGCGAGCCGGCTCCTGCGGCATTTCTGTGCGCTTGGCGACATTCGCTGCTCCAGAGATTTAACCTCCGGCTCACAGTGGTTGAGGGAGCTTTAACCTCTGGCCAACAGTGGTTGAGTCCGTTGAACTCTGCGGAGAGCTGTTAGCTGGAGACTCATTGTCCAAATATCTACCGGTCTCAGTATCACTAATGCCATCATCAACGGATGGCAAACTGGCAATGCCATGTCCTGGCAGGTTGGCTGCTTTCGGCCCCCGACAGACCACGGACGTCGATCTCGCCGCTTTTGCAGCCAGGCCGATTCCTTAGAGTTCTCGGCCTGCATCACACTTTTCACTTCCAAATCCGCTCCAATTCGGGATGGACCAATGGCGCTCGATGCCTGTGTGGACTCTCCGTGCAGGGTGACATTCGACCCCAATCCCCACGGGCGTCCCGCATTTGGCTGAAGTCTGACAGCCTGACTGTCGGCCTCCCCGTATACCTTACCTTTTGCTGCACAGTCGGTCTCGGGATAGCTGACTGCGCTCGAAGCCGTGAGTGAAGCATGCCGAGCTCCTAGGTGCTACTGCTGCACCTGGCTTACCTGCAGGAATCCTGCAATGGTGGGCCAGAGAAGATGGGCCACTGCAGTCACTATGCAGTGGGAGTGACATGAACAGGAGTGACTAGTGACGAGACAAAGACCAACCCCATGGGCCCATCAGAGTTTTCTGTTTCGCTGTCACGAGTCCGGGGTGCTTCTTCTCCGGCCCACTTGAGCTCTTTCTATTTAACCTTCCTTCTCCCCCAGCTTTTGCTCTGCGTTTCCCTTTGCTTTTTTCTCTCCCCAATCTCTTCTTTCTCGAGACTTGCTTGCCCAGCGCCCACCATGGCCGTCGGCAACATCTACGTTATCGCGGCCATCGCCGTCATTGGCGGTGGTCTCTTTGGCTTCGATATCTCATCCATGTCTGCTATCATCAACACCGATGCGTACCTGTGTTACTTCCAACAGGGCCCCCTCAAGCCCGATGAAAACGGAGTGCTCACGTGCAGTGGTCCTACTGCTGACGTCCAGGGCGGTATTACTGCTGCTATGCCTGGAGGCTCCTGGCTCGGTGCTCTCGTTTCTGGTTTCCTCTCTGACATCTTTGGTCGGAAGACGAGTATCCAAATCGGTTCTGTGATCTGGTGAGTTTGCCTGCAAATCTGCCTTGTGGTATTCGTCTGGTCTAACTGATACAGGTGCATTGGTTCCATCATCATCTGCGCCTCCCAAAACATCCCCATGCTCATCGTGGGCCGTGTCATCAATGGCTTCAGCGTCGGCATCTGCTCGGCTCAAGTCCCAGTCTACATTAGTGAGCTGGCACCCCCAACCAAGCGCGGTCGTCTCGTCGGTCTCCAGCAATGGGCCATCACCTGGGGCATCATGATCATGTTCTACATCTCCTACGGCACCAGCTACATCGACGGCACCGCGGCCTTCCGCATCCCATGGGGCCTGCAAATGATCCCAGCAATCCTCCTATTCTTCGGCATGATGATCCTCCCCGAGTCACCCCGCTGGCTCGCCCGCAAAGACCGCTGGGAAGAATGCATGAGCGTCCTCACCCTCGTCCACGGCAAAGGCGACCCCACCGCCCCCTTCGTCATCCGCGAATACGAGGAAATCAAAAACATGTGCGAGTTCGAGCGCAACAACGCAGACGTCTCGTACCTCGAGCTCATCAAGCCAAACATGATCAACCGCACCCACGTCGGCGTCTTCACCCAAATCTGGTCCCAGCTAACCGGCATGAACGTCATGATGTACTACATCACCTACGTCTTCGCCATGGCCGGTCTGGAAGGCAACAACCTCCTCGTCTCCTCCTCCATCCAATACGTCATCAACGTCGTGATGACCGTCCCCGCCATCATCTGGGTCGACCGCTGGGGCCGCCGCCCAACCCTCCTCCTCGGCGCAGCAGGAATGCTCGCCTTCCTCTTCGCAAACGGCGGTCTCATGGCCAGCTACGGACACCCCGCACCCCCCGGCGGCCTAGACGGCATCGAGCAGCAGTCCTGGATCGTGCGCGGGCCCCCCTCAAAGGCCGTCATCGCCTGCACCTACCTCTTCGTCGCCGTGTACGCGATCTCCTGGGGCCCCGTGTCCTGGGTGTACCCGCCGGAACTATTCCCGCTGCGCGTCCGCGGCAAGGCCAACGCGCTCTGCACGTCGTCCAACTGGGCCTTCAACTTCGCGCTGGCGTACTTCGTCCCCCCGGCGTTCGTGAACATCCAGTGGAAGGTGTACATTATCTTCGGCGTCTTCTGCACGGCGATGTTCATCCATGTGTTCTTCATGTTCCCGGAGACGGCGGGCAAGACGCTCGAGGATGTCGAGGGCATCTTTACCAACCCGATGGGCATCAAGTATGTGGGCACGCCCGCTTGGGAGACGAAGAACGAGCGTGGTCGGGCGGCTATGCTTGAGCGCACGGGATATGATGGCGATGAGGAGAAGAGGGCTGAGGCTGTGGAGGAGGCTGCGCCGAAGAATACCCGTGCTCTGTGAGCGTGAGTGAGCTCTTCTCCGTTCGTCCTGACGATCGGCGATGCGACGCCAAGTTGCATGAAACAAAAACTGGAGTAAGATGATATCCTGCTTTTAATATTTGGATCACATTCCCCTTCGCAAGGTCTTTCTCGTTCTGTCTGGTCTGGTCTGGTCTGGTTGGCCCAGTTAAGTCTTCCTTTTGACCGTACCCTATCTGTACTGGTAGACGCCCTGGTCTTGGTCTTGGTCTGGTCTTGGGTCTTGGGTTTTACAACACTTGCTGCCATACAGAAAGAGAGACGATTCTTCGGAAGAATATTCATGTTTTAATGATAGTGATACGCAATCACGCATGCCTAATTTAGGTCAATGAGATAATGATACCTGTCTGTCTACTTACCTACCTATTTCATCCATTTTCTAGAAGCACTGTATCCCCGTCGCGAAGTCTGGATCTGATCATGCCGTGTTACGCAGACCTCAATAGTCCCAATGCATGTCGGTAATAGTTAATACTAACTGCCCTGGTGATCCGATTGATATACCCCTTGGCATCCGTCCTATCGATCGGTCCACTTGATTGACAGAGCCGCGAGCATCAATTAACTAACTAGGTTAGGTGCTGCGTAGGATGATCGTGACCTCACGCCCTTTAGATCGAGGCGTAGAGGATAACAGGCTGGAGTTCTGTCGATACAAGGTAAGATCCACGCCAGGCCGACAAGGCCTACTCAGGACAGAGCGGTCCACGAGTTCCTTTGAGATCAACCAGGATCCAAACGTCTGGGGAGGAAGCGCAGGGGTCTGGATGAGGTGCGGATACCCAGATCCCCCGTCAGCCTCAGTATGGTATAAGGTGCGTATGAAGCGGAAGCATCAGGTCATTTCGTAGGCACTCAACCTAGACCCGGGTCTCGATTCTCGACGCTCGGTATATAGTCTCTGGACCCTAGCCTAGGACTCTAGATGGAGTTTGTGTCCAGGTCTGGTCTGGCTGGAAGGGCCGCCTTGGGATTTGGGCCCCTTGCAGCGGCCCGCAGAATGTGTATCTCAGAGTCAGGCTCAATTCTGGAATGCACACAGCTTGAGCTGCTAGATAAGCACTCGTATCGTCCCAATGCTTCCTCCCTTGCTTTGGAGAAGAGATCACCAAGCAAGGGAGGATCAGATGCAAGAGCCAAGTAACCTAGTTCCCACCTAAGGCAACAGCGGTAGCAACGGATAGACAGACTTTCGCAAAGCATCCCGAGCCTACATAACCCTTCTTTGCCTCGGTCTCATTTGACTCGATCTTCTCACTCACTCAGGTATCGAAGGAGAAAGCGAAAGCCGATGTGATTAGTGGTTTATCTTGGCTGTTCGTTCGGTGCGTACTGCAATGTGTCCATAGAAGGTGTAATCAATGGCACAGTTTCTCGCCTATGGTGTGGTGAAGGGAGGTTTCGCGGTCGATGTCTCGTTGCCAGGTTGGGGTGCTAAGGCAGATACTCTATTGAGTATGGAGTAGGCTTACATGAAATGTCGGCCAAGGCAAGTCATGTAGGATATCTGAGCGGAGCATATGTTATAAAGCTAACCTGGTACTTAGTGATTGTCAGCTCAAGTTCGATCTAGCAAGATGTGCTTTATTGTATAAGTGCTTAAGAAGGGCCAGGGGGACACACCTGAAGCTGGGACCGCGAAGTGAGATCAACTGTGTAAACTTTAAAAGACGTCGTGTTGTTCTCGCAAGCGATGGCCATGGCCGCGGTGTGCAGAAGGGTGGCTGAGCTTGGAAGTCTCATTATATCGGAAAAGTCAAGTTCAGATGCCTAGCAGGCCTGGGGCTTCTCTTCACTCCCCTCCCCTTCCAAACGGCTACTGATACTTATGATCGCCGTCAAACACCGCTTCACTTACCGTCTTTCCATACCAACAGCCGACATTTCCGTGTCTCCCATGCTGAGCGGAATCGAAACCGTGGCGGCTCTTCCCGGCCTGGATAACAAACGTCTTCCAGGAACCATTGGATTCCAAGAATTCGATATAAAGCGATAGCAGTAGGTGTCTACGTAGTGCTGGCTATGACGAGTATAATTCCCGGCTACTCAAATTCAATGGTCGGGTAGTGTCTGTAGACGGCTCCGCAACTTGCTGGCGGCCTCTGAGATTTGAGAGTACTGGCAGGCTCAAGGAACATCTACCCATTCAACTGAGTATACCTCCTCCCCTGGCCTCAAAGAATTCCGCCCATTATGAGAGGCAATGTGCTTCTGAGCTTGTGGGCTAATTCCTGGGCACAGCTGTTGTTGCCTTCCCGATAAAATCGCGCACCTGGCATTGCACGGCGTAAGCACAGAGGCATCGGAAAACCGTCAACAAACTCTATATCCAAAGACCGCCTTTTTTGAAGCTCCGTGCGCAGGGATGTCTTAACTCGTATGAAGTATCCGATAGGCCTGATGGGATCGGGTGGCAAAGTGACAGAGTCTTGGTTAGGGCTGGGCTTGATATGGACGGACACAACCAAGACCAGGCATCGTTGCGATGATTGGGCCGGCTTAATCCATTTCCACGACGTACAAGGTTCAGGTTGATCACGAATGGCAATTCTCGCGGCACGGCACAATCCCGATGGCTTGAACCAGCCAGGAACATGGCATCCTTGTGTAGGCGGACATGGAGTGCAATGCAGATGTTTGTTTCCCCGCACAATCAGCTCCGGACCATGCCTAGACAGGCGGAACGGCGTGGAATGCAACAGAAGACGCAGTTGGGCGACGAAATGTAGCCATTTCAGTTGCAGCGGATGCGCATCGGCCTCGGCATCTGGCCAACAACCCGGTCTCGTTTTGTCGCACAGATCGTGCGCCTTAGCCCGAAGATGAACCGAGCCTGAAAGTGTATAGAGGCAAGTTAGGGCTGATGGAACTCTTTCCTGGTCAAGGCGTGGCGCCATCTAATAACATCCTTGCATTATATGACTCAAGATGAATAACTTCACAGTATAGCTCGAGGAGAATTGAATTGTACGGTCCGATTATGCCACCACATTCAACCCAGCGACGGGATCCCGGCGACAGAACAGCCGATTTTATCGAATGAGATTATGACGCTATCTTGCAAGCCCGGTTGTTGGACTAATTCCTGAAGGACTGTGGCCTGAGACAAGCTGTTCTGCGACGAGATAGTGAGGCTGGTCGGTGACGTTGGGAGGTTCCAAATGATCAACTGTCGCCTTTCTGCATCGCGTGGCTTTTTCCATATCTGCATACGTGCAAATTACGCGGAGTAAATCGCGGGGTTACTCCATAGTCCTGGCTAGGCAGGCTGCTAGATAATAGGTAGCTCGAATTAACAAACACCGCCCTGATGGCGTCACACGTTTGCGTACTGCGGTTCAGCTCAGGAGCGATAACCACAGAGATCCGGTCTTGGCGAGTATTCGCCTATAGCGTTCCTGATTATCATGCTTATTTTTTCCAGAGGCAAATGGCTATACCCAAGAGGTAATCTTTTCCGCTTTGTTGTTGACCTCGTTTTTCTTCCGTTGTTCACCCATTCTCTTTCAACCCGATTCGATATCAGTATTGTATCGGATTATAATCGTCACCATTGTCCTCACTATCACAACAGACCAGCGGGTTGCGAGTTCGACGTCATCACTTTCTGGGAACTCGGAACTTGCCCGGGGAAATCTGCCCCAACCAGCACTGCGGAGAAGATCGGCCTAGTTGAGTCTCAGGGGGACAAGTCGGACGAGTCACGAGAGAATGACGAGAAGAAGTAGCGAAATACGTTGCTGGGATTCGCTAGGTCGTGATGATGGCGTTGCGCGCTTGGCTGGGACAGGCTTAGGGCGCGAGACGGCCTGGAGACGGAAGGAAACCCCGGATTTCGAGCCTTCTCCGCACTCCGGCTATTGAGTCGGGGGTACTCCGCTCATTGGCTGTCATCTTCTACACACACTTTACCCAAACAGGTAGGCCGTGGGCGTGCCGACAGTGGGCAACTGTAACATTCCTGGGCGTGAGGGCGTTGGGGTTGAGTATATATAGAGCCTTCTGGCAGCGAGGTTGCCTCTCTTCTGCAGCGGTGTGTCCGACTTCCCAACGGTTCAACCACCATCCAATTCCAACAACTTCTCTTTTTCCCTCTTTATCTCTTCTCCCTCTGTGAACATTATCTTTCTGAGCACTGGTCTGTTCAATCTCCCCAATCATGTCGACCGACTATGAGAAGAGGTTGAGCCTCGACGACATGGCCCTGAAAACTGGTGACCATATTGAGTGCGTCGACAAGACCGCCGCCGTCGAGGCCACCGTCGCCGCCGATGTCGATAACATCCCTATCAGTATGTACGTGTGGATGGTAGCTTTGTCTGCCTCGATTGCGGGGATGCTCTTCGGCTATGATACTGGTATCATTTCAGCTGTCCTGGTTTATATCAAAGATGCCCTGGGCGGGCGACACCTCACAAACTCCGAAAAAGAACTTATCACTTCGCTCTGCTCAGGAGGAGCGTTCTTTGGTTCCATCTTTGCCGGAAATACCGCCGATAGGGTACGTCTCATTTCCTTGCAGATCGCTTTGAAAGTCATGCTGACAAGGGCACGAGTGGGGTCGTAAAACCGCAATGTACCTAGGATGCGTACTTTTCGTGATCGGCGCTGTCTTGCAGGGAGCTGCATACACCATCGCACAGATGGCCGTTGGCCGGGTCATTGTTGGCTTCGGAGTTGGATCAGCCGCCATGATTGTCCCACTTTATGTGGCCGAAATCGCTCCATCCAAAGCTCGTGGACGGCTGATTGGTTTGAACAATGTGTCGATTACTGGAGGCCAGGTCATTGCTTATGCCATTGGTGCCGCCTTTGCCAGCGTTCCTCATGGTTGGCGGGTTATGGTTAGTCTTGGTGGTCTGCCGCCCATTATCCTGGCATGTCTGCTGCCGTTCTGTCCTGAGTCACCTCGCCATCTTGTTTACAAGGGTCGCATGGAGGAGGCGCGCGGAGTCCTGCGCAAGCTGTACCGTGGCGCTACTGATGTCCAAATCGAGTCCCTGCTCGCTTCTATCCAGGCCGGCTGCGAGGAAGCCCGCGCAATCAGCGGAGATGAGGGTGGCTGGGCCAAAATTGTACGGCTGCACACCGTTCCTAGCAACTTTCGGGCTCTGCTTTGTGCATGTGGCCTGATGGTGCTCTCCCAAATTTCTGGTTTCAACACACTGATGTATTACTCCTCCACAATATTTTCCCTGGTGGGATTCACCAGCCCAACAGCAGTTGGTCTAGTGGTAGCTGGAACAAACCTTATCATGACTTTCGTCAATATGGTGCTGGTAGATCGCCTTGGTCGCCGGCGTCTGCTGCTATCCACTGTCTGGGGAATGAGCGCAGGTCTTATAGCTGTCTCGGTGGCTTTCAGCTTCATTGATGTTGATGTCAATGCGACGGACATAGCCCCCCAAGCTGTGACTACACCGGCGATTGTGGTGCTCGTTTTCATCATCTGGTTTGTCGTCTTTTACGGCGTATCAGTAGGCAATACCGCCTGGATGTCCGCCGACTTCTTCCCCTTGGAAGTACGAGCAATGGGTACCATGTGGATGACTTGTTCGTCATGGGCAAGCAATGTCATCGTCTCCAGCACTTTCCTGTCCATGACCCACGCCATGACAATGGCAGGAACTTTTGGGTTCTATGCCGGTATCTGCGGAGTCAGCTATATCCTCATCTACTTCTTCTACCCAGAAGTCTCCGGGCTGGTGCTCGAGGAGATCAAGGAAGTTTTCGAACATGGCTTCGGCGTGAGATACGCGAGGAACCTCCGAAAAGAGCGGAAACAAGTCATCGAAGAAAGACTGAGGGCGAAGAAGGCGTCAAAATCTGCTCACTGATGTGCTATAGATATTCCATGTTTACTTACTGACCTTAGCCACTGCGTAGAACGCAGTGTAGGCAAACTGAAGATGAGCTCAATACAAATACGTTTAACTCTCGTGATTCGTGAATGATCAGCTCTCCAGTAGTGCGGAGTAGATACCCCAGGTAGTTTGCGTTCGCTCTGATTGATGGATAGTAAATTTTACCCACTCCCAAGACGCGGGGTCTCGATCTACCATTCGACCCATAAAAGATCGGTCAGCGGGGGCGGCTTTTGAATAGAGGTTTCCGGAAATGTCACTCCGATTCGGCAACCTGTCGCCAAATAGACGTTGGGGCAAGACCAAAGTACTATGGGTTTGTGGAACAAGGATTCCGCCTGTACTTCCAGGCATGTATAGAGACCCGGATAAGCAAAAGCCGTCGGTGGTACTGGTACTCCATGCTTGAGAGGTGATTCATATTTGTTGAGCGAACTGAAAGTGATTACAAGGCTCGCGCGACTCGCACCCATCCACGTATTCTGCCGCATCTCGCGAGCTAGGAACCTGGCATGCTTCCATGCGATATCGGTCGCGAGCCTGAGAAGAAATCTTCGTGTCCTTGACGCGTCCGTTCTCGATTATTGACCATATAATATCTTGGGAGACTTGGTGTTAACTTCGTGATGTCAGCCAGGCCTTCTCACAGAATGTTATTGTTGACTCAAGGAAAGTCTTGCGTATCGCCCTTTTGGAGACGCCACGTCCCTCAAACATCCCATCAATCATTCATCCCGCGGAGCGAATCTAGAAAATGATTTCTCAAAGCTGAGGCCTGATGATACTGCTTGTCCACCAAGTGGAGGTCTTGTCCTTCAGGGTGATAAGCTGAAATGAGTGTTGGTTTCTGTCAATAGAGTAGCAGCCAGTGTTTGGAAGGTTGGTGGCATTTGGGATTGGGCCATGGACAGGCTTTTACCGACGGGTCTCAATCCTCTCCGCGATTCAATGCGGCTATTTCGATAACCCGCCTCGTTGCTCCCTTCTCGCACTCGGCGTTGAGTGAATTGGAAGTTCGCTTGGATAGACGGACGTGGGAGCTCTTGGCCGTGCTGCGCTTGGTTCTACGCAGGCCTGTTTTGGGTGTACGAGAAGGACATGGGACTTGCACATTGAAGAACATGAGACGGCTTGTGTCCACTGAGACAATTGTCGGACTTTGGGCGACTTCGCTGCAAGCAGGCCGACGCTCGTCACCAGTTCCGACAGATTGTATAGGGCTAATCTCCGATTCTCCGTAGAATAGAATTACTCAGGGTAAGCTTCGGTAACTTCTTAGCTCGTCCAAGTCCAGCAGTGAGCCGGATAGTCTCTCAAAGATCCGGATGAATCCTTCTCTCGTGTCCGTCGTATTCATTTCTGGAAGAAGCAGCTGTACCCGGCAACCCTCCGAACGCCACGCAACGGGCCGCAAATGTCCCTGCTGGGGCCAATGCTGTCAGCGACTAAGCTCTTTTGAAGAGACCTTGCGACGATTGTTGCGATGATGGAGCCACGGAGATGCAATTCATCCGCTGCGGGCCTGCATTGATCATATAAATTGGAATTAGCGGATGCGATAGCTCGACGCTACTGGCGATCTGTGAGATTGAAGAGTGACGAGATTGGTGGGTGAGCGGTGGAGCGAGGCCGGAGAGGAGGGTGGAGTGCCAAGGCTGCCAACGTGATCCGAGCAAAATTGAGGCACCCCTGGATTTCTTTCAGCTTGACATCAGCACGCCCTGTACGACTCTTCTTCTCCTCTCTTCTTGCCTGTGCGTACTTTGTTTATTCTCTTCTCTTCTCTTCTTGCTGCTGTGTTATTCATCCTTTTTTTTTGTCGCCATTGTCCTCCTTCGCGGCTCCCAATCAACCTCAGCTTGACGGCCGAGTCCGGACCCTTGTCGATAAGCCACGGTGTCGCTGGGAGAGCGTCTTACAATTAAAGACATTCTCCCTACAGTTCGAAGGAAAGCCATTCGAAACTCCATTTGGTCATACCCAAGAAATCCGCCGTCATGGTTCGCACGCGCAAATCCAGCAACCTCGGGGCGGACATTCGGGGCGACACGAGCGCTCCCGCAATGTCCACTATGAACGAGGTCAGTCCAATTGATTCGAAACCTCCGAGTTGGGAAAATGTATGTGCACTGCTGGCATCTAGCCGGACGACATCCTCTGCGTTAGAAGCTCACTCGTGCTCAGGTTGCTCAACCCGCTGAAAAGTTGGCAAAGTCGCATTCGAAGCGCCGCAGGAGCCGATCACTCCTCAACCGATTCAAAGACACATGCCTGAAACATACTTGGGTCCTCCCGCTTCTGATTCTGGCTGTTCTCCTCGCCGCGTATGCCGTCAACCCGACTCCCTCGAACCCGCTTCACTACGCCATTTTCCTGTCCTATCCCGAGCCTCCGAAAACCCCAGGCGGTCCCACTATGTACGGCAAAGGCCCGAAAGATATCGCATTCGTCTCCTTCTACATGGTTGTGCTCTCCTTCACTCGTGAATTCCTGATGCAGCGCGTGATTCGTCCTTTCGCTATCTACTGCGGGATCCGTGGAAAAGGCAAAACGGCTCGATTCATGGAGCAGGTGTATACGGCCATCTACTTCGCCATATTCGGTCCCTACGGCCTTTATGTTATGAGCCGCACCAACATTTGGTACTTCAACACAACTGCTATGTTCGAAGGGTTTCCCCACCGGGAGCACGAAGGACTGTTCAAGGCTTATTACCTGCTTCAAGCCAGTTACTGGGCTCAACAGGCTATTGTTCTTCTACTGCAGCTGGAGAAGCCTCGAAAGGACTTCAAGGAGCTTGTTGGTCATCACATTATCACATTGGCCCTCATCGCCTTGAGCTACAGATTCCACTTCACCTACCTCGGTCTTGCTGTGTACATCACCCACGACGTCTCTGATTTCTTCCTGGCGGTACGTTCTTGGCCACCCTTACCCATGTCTCGGTTGAGGACATGTACTGATTCATTAATTTCTAGACTTCCAAAACCCTCAACTACCTCGATGCCTACATCACTGCTCCCTACTTCGGATGGTTCGTCTGCGTCTGGATCTACCTCCGCCATGTCCTGAACCTCAAGTTCCTCTGGGCTGTTCTTACCGAATTCCGCACCGTCGGACCCTTTGAGCTGAACTGGGAGACCCAGCAATACAAGTGCTGGATCAGTCAGTACATCACCTTCGCCCTGCTCGCCAGTCTGCAGGCCGTGAACGCCTTCTGGCTCTTCCTGATTCTGCGCATCCTCAAGAACTACCTCTTCACCAACATCAAGAAGGACGAGCGGAGCGATGACGAAGACGAGGAGGAGGAAGAACTCGAGCAGAATGCCAACAGCACCGCAGCTCTGGCTACCGGTACCGAGTCGGCGTCTCTGACTGCGCGCTCTGTCAATGCGACACCTCAGGTTATGATCAACGGACAGCCTGTTAAGCGGTAAACGTTCAGCCAGATCACCCGCAGCTGTCCAACATTAGCCGGAATGTATACTCCGCGAGACATTTACTTTGCTCGCGCCATTACCAAAGGTTACTACTCTATCACCGCGTCCCAAACAGCACGCGTGCTTATATTCTCCTATCCCCCATTTAAAATTTACTGCATGTGCTGACGGGAGCCTTGTAAGGTCCCCGCCGAGCATCCTTTTACTTCTTCCTCTTGTACCACATTTGGTTTGTCTTGCGTCTGCACAACGCAATTGAATGGATATAGCGACGATTCATGAAGAAGTAATTACGGTGGAACTAGGTAGCTACCTACTTATCACCGTTCCCTAATACTAATGTTAATATGAAGCCTACGTCTACCTGTCATCGTCGACCGAAGCTTGTGACGTGCGGTTGGAGATGTACTTGTTTCGTAGTCTCATCCTATTCAAGACTGTACATACTCGCCAACTTGTATATACAGTATGGTATGATACTCAAGTACGCAGTTGCTCAAGACCGAAGACTAAGCTCAAAAGCGAAGTCAAATGGCTCCGTCTTGCATCGGTACTGCTCAAACGGCTGGGGCCCAACACTCGCAGAGCCAAGTCCATGGTTATCGTAGTCCAGCCAAAGAATCGTCATATCCAGCGGCTCCAGATCGAACGGGTGCTTCGCGTTGTTCAGGTCAATGGGCATGTACTGCGACGCCGTGAAGCTGAAGACTTCGCCTGCGTCCGCGCGGCGCGCATCCAGACTCACCCCGCTCTCGGCGTCCTCGATCTGCAGCCACCGCAGGTCTTCGCGGTTACCGTTTTCCTGGGGGTAGTCGTAGTGCGTGAAAAGCTCTTCCACGGTCGCGGAGTATTCGCCGATGCGGCATGCCTGCTTCGAGTCCTTGTAGTTCTCGCCGGGGCCGCGGCCGAACCAGCGGACTTGGTTGAAGGAGGATGAAAGGATGGTTTGCAGGCCGATGCGCGGGACGACGTCCGGGGTGTTTGTTCCTACGAACTCGCCGGTGGCGTGGATGTGGAGGGTTGGTTCGGAGTCCCCTGTGGAAATGGTGTAGACGAGGTCTGCCTCCACGCCCCATTCCAGGACCTGCGGCGCGACACGCACCTTGAAGTGCACCGTTGCTTCGGTGTCGGTGCTGCTCCAGGTGACGTCGCGGACTTGGGTGTGCATTGTTTCAACCCAGGCGTCGTCCCACTCGGCTTCGTTGCCGGACTGGCCTTCATCGTTTTGGGTCATAGCTCGGATGAAGGAGAGTTCGGGCCCACGCTGGAAGAGACTTTCTCCGTCGGCTTCCCAAGTGACGTTTCCTTGCAACAAGTCAAAGCCGATGGTTGAGGTGCCGGCGGTGATTTGAAGTCTTGTTCTGTTTTGCTCGACTTCTAGGCCTTCAGAAGCCTGGCGGGCGACAGGCGGGGAGCGCTTCGTCGAAGAATTGGAAGAAGAAGAGCCGGGAAGATATAGCTGGTCCCAGGCAACGACGTGGCCCTTGTCTGCCCAAACCTTGTCTTCCTTCAGCTTGAATTCAACGGTGAGCCAGGTCTCTCTCGACAGGTTTGATGGGTCTAGCGGTAGTTCCACGGTGCGGTTCTCGCCGGCAGGGACGCGCGGTAGATCCAACTCTTGCGACTCCGTTGTCTTGCCATCTTGCACGGTGTGCCATGAAGCATCGAGTCCGCTGAGGTCGACGAAGGCGTAGTGGTTTGTTACGACCATGCTGGTTGAGTCGTTCGCCAGACTCACGGAGACGGGCTGAATGATCTTTGCATATTCGAGTAGACTGGGCATTGGGGTATGGTCTGAGAGAGTCAAGCCATCCATTACGAAGTCTGCATCGTTTGGTTCGTCACCAAAGTCACCACCATATGCGTAATATTCAAGATCGCCCTCCTTTTTCAGCAAGCCATGGTTATTGAACTCCCAGACAAGTCCTCCTTGGGAGAGTGGGTGTGACCGAAACAGCGCGATGTATTCTTTCAGACCACCAGGGCCGTTTCCCATTGCGCTATGGTAGTCAGCAGTCTGCTTGGTGGACATAGACAGAAAACCTACTGTGCAAACTCGCAAAGAATAAGAGGTTTGTCCGTGTGATTTCCCATGTGTTCCAGCATCGTATCGGGTGAGGAATACATCTGGCTATAAATATCGGCCGATTCTGCATCATGGTCCTGTTCATAGTGAATGATCCGTGAGGGGTCCCGTTCCTTGATCCATTTATACATGGCCGCCTGGTTTTGGCCGTATTGGCACTCGTTTCCAAGCGACCACATGATGACTGACGCATGATTCTTGTAACGCTCCACAAGCTGCTCCGCCCTGTCAAGGTATGCATGAGTCCATTCCGGATTATCAGATGTCCAAGCAGCGGCTTTCTCTTCGGTCCCTTCGATAGTAAGAAAGCCGTGACACTCAATGTCCGCTTCAGTTATAACATAGAAGCCTAACTCATCGGCGACATCGTAGAATGACGGGTGCTGAGGGTAGTGGGCAGTTCGAATGGCGTTAATATTGGACTGCTTCATCAGGATCAGGTCCGCGCGCATCGACTCGTAGGGAACTGTCCGACCAGATGTGTAGTTATGTTCATGGCGGTTGACACCGTAGATGATGATTGGTTCGCCGTTGACAAGGAAGTTGGAGCCGCTTATTTCCACGCGGCGGAACCCGACCTTCTGGCTGATGGTGCGGCCGTTGAACTCAATGAGGACGGTATACAGGTTCGGCGTCTCGGCGGACCAGAGTAGAAAATCTTCGCCTTCTATATCCCTAGAATAGATGGTAGAAGAAGAGCCAGTCCATTCGTCAAGCACATCGCCAGCAGGAGACAAAACTTTGACGCCCAGGTCACCGTGCTCACCCTGAATGGTAACATTGACCTTCAGCGTACCGCTAGCAAATCCGTCATCGACTTCTGGTTTGATGAAAAAGTCCGTGATCGCAGAGCTTTCGAACGCGGTCAAATATACGTCTCTAAATATACCAGAGAGCCACCATTGGTCCTGGTCCTCAAGATACGTGCCATCAGACCACTGGTATACGCGTGTAGCGAGAGTGTTTGTGCCTTCCGAAGAGAGGTAATCGGTGATGTCAAACTCGCTGGGGTTGCGGCTACCCTGGCTGTAACCGACCTCTTCGCCATTTACCCAAACATGAAAAGCGCTATCCACACCCTCGTAACGTAGGCGGATTTGCTGCCCATTCCATCCCTCCGGGATCTCGAACTCTCGCCAGTACGAGCCCGTGGGGTTCACATACGAAACATTTGGCGGAGTAACCGGGAAGGGGTAGACAATGTTGGTGTACTGCGGGCGTCCATATCCCTGCATCTGCCACACACCGGGAACGACAATATCATCCCACTCCGTAGTGTTGGCCGTGTCCCAAAGAGGAGCTTCGAAAGGCGACGCATCGTAGTGAAACTTCCAGGTGCCGTTCAAACTCTGGAAAAAGCTCTCCTCGCGGTCGAATGTGAGGGCTGTTTCCTCATTGGGGTATGAGTAGAAGTGTGCTCGAGGGGGTAGGGTATTGCGGTGCAAGACATTGAGATTAGACCAGTCAGGGAGAAACCCCGGCCAGCCTGAGACTGCAGAAAGTGAGGCCATCCTTCCTGGTTTTCACGCAGATGATCACGGTTTCTGTCACATATATATTCCTCAGTGGCTCTCCAGCCATTTTATATCCTTCCGCTCGGACATCATGCCGTGCCACCGGTATTGCCAAGAGCAGTGTTGACGGTCCTTTCACTACTATGCTGACCTCAAAGTTAGACACCAGCGCATGGCAAGTTGAACTGATGGTAGCATTTGCCAAGCTTGAGAGGCATAGTTCACCCCGCGATGTGGAGATATTGTATATGAACGTTACCCTAAACGTTGGCTGATCGTCGGACACCCTGAGGGGCCATTTCTCCGATTGGATATATACTCGTGCGAGGACCCGATCAAACAAGTATGTAGGGTTTGTTGTTCGGAGTCTGTGTTGTATTCGGTTAAAAGCCGGCAGAAGCATAGGTATTTGGTACGCATGGCACACGTCATTGCGAGACCGGGACTCGGCGTTGAGCCGGAGATTCCGGTGCATAGTCCCTTGTACATCATACCATCGGTGCGGAGCATGGAAGACTGAGGTCTTGAGACCAGGATACAAACTCGGGGCAGATGGGAGCGATGGTCGGAGGAAGAGAAAGCCCAGTGGAGAGATGCGGGGAACTCTTGGCGCTGGGTCGGAGAGACTCGAGGGGACTTGAGGGGCGTAGCCATCGCTTGTCTCCCATGATGCCTGAGTGCCATTCCTGTAAAGTAGTCTGAGTAGAGCCTACCTATACGTTGTCTAGTGCCTGGTGTGTATGAATAACTGTTCATTTTATTCCTGACTCTACTACTGTAAGGAAAGCTGCGCAAGCGGTCTCTATGGCGTGCTGGAGAAGCTTAGCTACGAGATGGCCTTGGGTCCCCATCTTTATTCACAAACCACAACTCAAACAACAATCAGTTTTTCCCCATCTTCTCTTAGTCTAACATTCTCCTAACTATCCCTCCGTACTTGTGGCGACCGTGATAGCCTCAACTGAGCGACCGGAGCGACCATATTCTCTTTACCATTATCCGTCTCGAGTCCATCTGTTCCACGCGGGGTTGTGCTCAAGATGGGAGATCGACACACCGTCCAGCAAACTCTCAATGGCTTACTTGCGAAGCTGGATGACGCGGACCCTGATATGAGATACATGTCTCTGAATGATCTTTACGGTGTTCTCAACAATCCCAACTCGTCCTACCTGGCCCACGATCAAGCCTCTGCAACCAGACTCGCCGAAGGCTTGCTGAAGGCGTTGGATGACCAACACGGCGATGTCCAAAACCAAGCGCTGAAATGGTTAGTTAAAGCCCTCGCTACTATCACCGCTCATTGACTGATATAACGTTGCTCTCAAGTCTCGGCCCTCTTGTCGTCAGGTTGCCCCTTGAGGGCCTTCGGATGCTGCTCGAGAGACTATCAACACTCACTACTTCCCAGACCATTGATACATCCGTTCCAAACACTGCACTGCGAGTCATTGTCACAGCGCTACCGCGTCCTCAATTGAACCAACAGCCAACCTCCGACGCTACCACAGCGTATTCTGCAGTTTCCGAAGTTCTCATTCCCCGCCTGATCGGACCCGGACCCTCGAGGCGAAGAGGCTCAATCACAAAAGGAATGCTGGAGAAGGATCCTGCTAAAGGCTTTAGCAGTGATGCAATCGACGTTGTCATTCAAGTGGCCTCCTGCTTTGGTACACTTCTCAAGGAGAGAGAGTTGACAGCTCTAGAAAAGGCCGTCATGTCCATCATCGATAATGACACGGCCGGTACTGTGGTCACGAAACGGGCATTGGCTGCTATTTCAGCATTGGTTGTTCATTTCTCAGATGACCAGTTTGGAATCTTCGTCTCTGAACTCGTGGAAAGGTTCAACTCTCCTCAGCTGAGCACTGTCCACCGGCGGCATTTGGTTGCCGCTGTTGGCAGCCTAGCTAGGACAGTACCGGCCAAGCTGGGTCCTCATCTGCCTACTTTGGCCCCGTTCATCTTTTCGGCTGTTGGCGAAGATAATCTCGAGGTAAGTCATGACCCAGGTTGGTTACGTACGTCAACATCTAACGTATGCAGTAGCCGAAACACGATGATAATCTGCGACCGATACCAACAGCTGCCTAAGCGAAAGTAATTTGTGCTGGTATGTGGTCTAGCACAAATTTATGGGCAGGAGGGTTCCAATGTAATTTGAATGCTTCTGGCTAGATCTCATCACCTTACGATGGACGAGCTTAATGATAGAATATCATCCCGTGAAGTGACTTTCCGAAGCTATGCTCAACGACTGTTCAAAGTATTCCCGACTGTCTATGAGTAGGCTGCTGGCCTTGTCCTGAGGCGTCAGGACCTGCCATAGGTATTGGCCCGGCTGTCTCACCCAGGCCATGGTCCATGATGAATAGCCTAGGATCGCCCGGATTCCAATTGAGTTGAACCATGCCCTAGGTATCAGCCAGCTGATCTTTGGACGGCGCCCTCGGTACTGCATCCTTGCACACTCGATAATCAGCACCGCAGTAAATCCCGTCAGCAAGGCTAACTTCCGAACATGGACATTGCTCGCAGTTTCCGCCACCCAGGGTGCTTCCGAAAGATGATGTCCACGGGTGTTGGGTGCTCCTTCCTCTTTTGACCTGCGATGAAATGTTCGTCAACAGTGTCGGGCTCTTCTCCCCTCCGTGTTTCTTCATCATTCTTCTTTTGGTCCTACGCCTGAGGTACTTTACGAATTCATCTCATAGCTTATATCATTTCTTCCAGAATCCTTTACCAGACGAAGGGGCATTCAAAATGCACGTACCTTATCTTTTGGTTGCTTCGACTCTGAATATTTTGCCGAGTGTCTTTGGACGCAACATCATTGATCTCCCCTCCGACTACGAGACTGTCCAAGTCATCTCTGGGCTTCAGGAACCTACGGCTACTCAGTATCTGCTTGGGCGTGACCTTGGCGGTGCGAGATGTGGCGCGGGATTTGGTCGCTGCTCCAACGGCAATTGCTGTTCTACTGCCGGTAGGTGCTCTTTGGACGGCTGCGAAGAGCGGAAAACTAAATTTGCACAGGGTACTGTGGAAACACTACGGCTCACTGTCGCTCCCCGGATTGCCAAATCGACTATGGCCATTGCGATGCACATGCCACTCCAGGAGGCCCGTCGACGGAGGCCATTCCACGACCAAAACTTGGGAAGGTTGCGTACGGCCCAACCGCGATTCGCTCTTGCACTACCCCCGGAACCGTTGCTTTAACCTACGATGATGGACCCAACCAATACACCCGTGATCTTCTGGACCTTCTCGATAAATACGACGCCAAGGTGACATTTTTCGTCACCGGAAACAACAACGGCAAGGGCCAGATTGACAGTCCGGAGGTACCTTGGGCCCCCCTGATCCAGCGCATGGTGCTTAGCGGACATCAAGTGGCTAGCCACACTTGGTCTCATCAGGATCTCAACAAAATTTCCCAAGTCCAGCGCCGCACTCAACTGCTGTGGAACGAAGTTGCACTTCGGAACATCCTTGGCTACTTCCCTACCTACATGCGTCCGCCTTATTCGAGCTGCACTACAGATACCGGCTGCTTAAGTGACATGGGTGATCTCGGATACCACGTCATTCTCTACGACATCGATACCGAGGACTATAGCCATGATAGTCCAGAGACAATCCAACGCTCCAAGGACATCTTTGATGAGAACCTAGCTCGTGAGCAGAGCTTCTACAAGTCCTGGCTTGTCATCGCACATGATGTACATGAGCAGACTGTCCACAACCTCACAGAACACATGCTGCAGAAACTTATGGCCGACGGATATCGTGCAGTGACTGTCGGAGAATGCCTAGGTGACGCGGTCCAAAACTGGTATCGCAGAGATGATCAGGTCAAGGTCCCGGGAAACCCCAAGCCGGAACCTCCTGTGGAAAACATCTCGCCTGACGGAAAGTGTGGTGGGTCAGTGTCGTGCGTCGGATCTGACTTTGGCATGTGCTGCGGTGGAAAGGGCCTCTGCGGCAACACGACCGAATTCTGCGGAGAAGGTTGCCAGCCAAATGCCGGTTATTGTCAGGCCGACTTCTTCGAAAGCAGCCAGCAACAGGCTGGGCCTGGTATTGTTGGGTCTGATCCATTGGGCGACAGCATCAACCAAGACAAGAAGTTTTTCAAGTCAGATGCAAGCTCACGCTTTGGTCGGGCCTCTCTATCACTGGCTTCGGTATTCTTATTTGCCATGGCATTACTGTAATCCGCCACTACATTCCTGGGTATTCTTTTCCCAATCGCTCGGTCTGCCAACACCGGACGTGTCCTGTGTGAATGTTCTTACGGACAATACTGGCTGGTCGCCGGTCGACGTTGTTTGTCCACTTCCCAGAAAATTATGAGTTATGTCTTAGACTTTCGTTACTGTCATTAGTTCCTACAAGCTCAACGCGAAGGTAGAGAATGAAACTTCACCATTGTCATGTCATCCATTTCTCTGCAAAAAGAATGCTGACAAGGACGAGATTCGAGCGAGGTGTAAACCACTGCGGGTGTTATGTTAATACCTAAACACAGCCCCATAAGCACTCGGGCACCTTGCCATGGCAGTGACTAGATGCGTACAACGGAAGGTTGATCTTTAACCGTAATCAGATGAGGCTTCCCTTATACGATTGTATTAGAGATGAAAGCATAAATCCACCGAAGGGGACGGAGGCTTCCCCAGAGAACCTCACTCACTAACACCAGTACCCATGCCGCATGAATAGCCGAAAGAACCACTGCGCCGAAAGAAAAAAAAAAAAGTGTAAAAGCCCAGTATATCATCGATAGCATCGGGAGGTACATATACAATAGAAGAGCAAACTGGCATAAACAAATCGGACGCACAAGATCAAATCCCGGGAAACCGCACGACTTAACAGCGACGTACGGGCATCTTGTGATGAACAAAACGGACATGGTCAATGGAGCACCCGAAAGCGGAAGAGGATTATCCTTTTTTTGTCATGAAGAAAAGAGATTTGTAGATAGAAGGAGTATAAGACGAAGCACGTCATCGCTTGATGATCTTCAGCAGCGGCGCAATTCGAGCCTTCTTGCTGAGTCCGACGCGGTAGGGGACTTTGCTTGTGGAAGAGATAGGACTGTGTTTGCCGGGTCCCTTGTTCGATGGGGTTTTAGGGTCTGTTTGCTTCTGCGGTGTTTCGGGCGGTTGTTGGGCTGGTGGTGAGTGTTCTGAGCGTTTGGGTGGTGAGGTTGGTTGTTGGAGGTTGAGATTAGGGGGTGATTGTTCTTCGATAATAGGGTTTGCGAGCTCTGGGGATTGGATGCGAGTGGTATTTTTGGTGGGGAGGACAACTGATATGCTGGGTTCGTTGTGGGTATCTTTAGGTCGAGGCGTGTTGTTCGCTTCATTGGAGTTTGTTGTTGGTGCATTAGGTTCTTCTGGGGCTGGCGGCGCGTCTGGTGCATTTTCTAGCTGCTCGGGCGCCTTCTTCCTCTTGCGGCCGCGCTTTTTGGGAGCTGGTGCCTGTTCCGCAGCTGCGTCGTTACTTGGTTCGGTAGGGTTGGTGAGACTGTTGTCTTCGAGAGGTAGAACGGGTCTCTGGTCTACCCAGATCACATCGTCTTCGACCTCTGACTCGTATGTCTTGGTTAGAGTTACTGAAGTCGTTTTGCCGCGTTTCAGTTTCTTCTTCTTCGGCTCATCGATGGATGTAGCAGGTAATTGTGGACTTGGTTCTGGTTCAGGCGCTGAAAGCTGTTCGCTCTGATTATTGTTCGAGGTTTCGTCGATAGCGCTCTGAGGAGGAGCAACAGTGACAGTTATGCCATCAGGCGGAATTTCCAGAGCACTTGGAACGTTGATCTCCTGGTTTTCCGCCAGTTGATTGTCTGCAGGCTCGGGAAGATCAACAGGGCCAGTGCTGACCGTATCATCCACTCTCGCGCTCTTCGGGGGTCTACCTGGCTTGCGCTTTTCGGGCTTCGTGGGTGCCAATTCATGGGTCTGTAGGAGAGCAAGCTCGTCATCGTCGTCGCTCGCAGGAACGACCTGCTTCTTCTTCCGGCCCCTCTTCTCAACCTTAGGTATCTCCGTGGCCACTGGTAATGAGAGTTCATCAACATCGGCAGACGATGGCTGCACACTGACAAAAGCAGCATTATCACTCTTTGCTCTGGTTGCCCCGGGGGAAATGACTGATGAGAACGGCTCTGTGTCGTGTGGAGACGAAGTCGACCCCTGCATAGAAGTCCATCGGCGAAGCTCGGGGTTCTGGATAAATTCTGTTTGTGCCGTGACCCCCGAGTCACGGATAAAGTCGGCTCTGTTAAGCAGGGTAGAAGGAGTGTGGGATGACGAGTCGAAAATATTGTATGAAGCCGTCTGCGACCAGTCACCGCTTGCGTCTACCCCATAGGGCTCTGGGCGGAGAAATTGGTCTTGTGCCGACAGTGCAGTGGGGGGATCGCGGGGTTCTGTGATACCCTCCGGTTCGGCTATAGCATCGTTGAAGTCTTGTACCTGCTCTCGTTCGTGGGATATGGTAAGTTGCTGGGCATACTGGGCTTGCTGTTCATCGTCGAATAGTCGTTGTTGCGCGAGGCCGATTTCCGTCATCATGTTCCCTGTAAATAAATGCGTTTTATTAGCATCCACTATAACAAAACATTCGAGTATTGCCATGAGAAGGACCCCAAGGCTGTCAATCTAAGAGCTTCATACCCGTGGATCCAGTACGTCCTGTAGATGATAGCCATCGCTCTTCCCTGCGCTGCTGGGAGGCGGACAATATCGTTTGCGGAGCATCTTGCGACTGAAGGAATGCGTCAAAGTTGACAGGGATATGAGACTCGTGGTGGGTTTCCACAACTTTGAGACTCTTTGCATCGTCCTGCGCTCCATAATTTGTCATGGGGACGCGCTTCGGTTGTTCTGGGGAAAGCTCCCCGAACGACTCCCCTTCATCGTCGGAGTCCTGAATCACGCGATCAAAGGGCATTTGATATATGATGTATGCCTAAGATATGTATGGACGTGTTTCAAGGCCAATTCCGGGGTAAATCTGCTCCACTGAGTAACGGTTTATTCTCTCAAACGCGTCTTAATCAACGCTCAACGCGGAGTCACGTGCTGATAAGATAAGCCGAGATTTCTAAGCCTGGAATATCAGGCAGAGAGGTGGTATATACAAAAACATCATAGCAAGCCGAGGGTATTTCCTATTCCATAGTAGTTTGGGGTCGCATCACACCTCTCCCAAAGAATTCGCTTATCACGCCGTATCGGTCCTTGGACCGCTGAAGTTCTGCCTTGAAAAGATCATGTTGGTCTGCGGACTCAACCTGTCTCCTCCGAATTGCCTTTATGGTGGAGTTCTCTGGAGCACAGGCTGGACATTCCGCATCCTCCCCTACAGTGTTAAGACAGCGCTGGTGGAACGAGTGCTTGCAAAGGAAGTGGACGGTAGGAAGATCGAGGGATCGGTTGCAAGATGTACAGCGGCGCGCCTGGAAAACGACGGGCTTGGAACCCAGCTGCTCCAGCTCCTGCATCTTGTTTTCGGTTTCGGCACTATAGCTTGATATGAGGCGGCGGTTCGAAGATATCTCTTTGCGTTCCCTCTCAATGTTGTCACTCAGATACTTCTTGATCCTTCCCATGGTCACAACCGCGTTGTTACTGAGCGCTTGAATTACCTGAAGTGGTGACATCAGGCCATCCTCGGAAATTCTCTTCAAGACAACATCGAGCTCATCGCCAGCTTCATCAAGAATTTGGGGGCTCGATGTGAAATATGTCAGCGCATCCACATATAGTTGAGGTTCCTCAGGGCCGTATTTTTTCAAGGCCCGAATAGCCCCCTGTGTGTCCTTGGCGGTAGTAAAAGATCGAAAGATATCGGATCGAAGACCAGCTTGCTCCCGGACAAGTGTAGAACCCTCCTGGAACTCGGACAGATCGGAGAGAAGTAAGACGCTGGAGGTGGAGATCGGGATCTGTGGATGTCAGTCTCGCAGAAACCAGGTAGGGATCGTTCTTACATCTTTACCCTCAATCAACGTTTTGGCCTTGCTCTGCCACTTTTCCTTCTCTGTAGTGTCTTTCTGCCGTCCCGCTACATTGAGGTACATTTCAAAAAGCGTGGTGTATAGATCAACTTTATCCTCTTTTCTGAAGCTTTCTCTGCTGATAAGGGCCTCCAAGAAAGTAATAAATTCTTGAGGTTGGCCAACAAAAGCTGAAAATGCTGTGCGCGGTTTTGGTATCTGATATTCTGGCGCGCGTTCCTCCTGAGCCTCTGGAACAGGTTGAGGCTCGACAGTTTCTGTCTTTGAACTTCCGCCAGTGTGGAGCAGAGGCAAGGGAAGAAATGCCGCCAGACTCTGTAAGGGATTGTTGTGCTGCGCTTGAGGCTCCGGTAGTGGTTCAACTTGTTGCGTCCTTGGTTGGTATTCTCCTTTGTAGTATTCGATAAAGAGCTCGGTCGTCGTTGAAGGGCAATTTGACAGCAGCACTCGGGCATATTTCATGAGGTTATTGTAGGCCTTGGATTAGTCAGTATAGATCAGATAAACCCTGTCCTGTCATACGTACCAACTCAGGCTCCAGTCTCCAGATGTATTCCAGTGCTTCAGCATACTTCTTGGAATCCTCAATCAGTATATCCACGACCATGTCATTCTCGCCGTACTTCGTAGCTAGATAAGCCGCTTGCTCATAGTAGCCACCTTGCCGGCACATAGCAATGGCTGTTTCAAGGTCAAACTTGAGTTCACCTGGTGCTTTAATGAAAGCATCTAGTTTCTTCGTGTCCTTTAATTTCGCGTAACAATTGAGCAGCAATGTGGTGTGGTCTACTGAAGCTCGGTCGTGGTCATGTAATTCTTCCAGGTACTCTATTAGGTTATGAATCCGTTGGGTGTCGAGGTACTAGTCATCGCAATCAGTAAGTACATCATTATTGCTTGAGAGCGAGTAAATACCTTTCTGATGACTTGAGATGGCTCCGTATTATCAATGGCCCTCAAGTATTGCTGCATTGCAGTATCGTAATCACCTTTCTGGTACAGATAGTCTCCGTACCTGCGGTAGATGGCGTTTTGTTGATAAGTGTCAACCCCGATTTTCTGTGCCAAATTGATAGCTAGGATATAGAGGTTTCGTTGGTAGAGGATCTCCAGTTTCTGCTGGAGGCTCTTCTCTCTGTACCGATAGATCTAAGCAACAATCAGCGAAATCCAAAAACCCGGTTTTTCATAGCACGTACTTTTCCATCTGTAGTTAGAAGATAGAGGTTGCCCCATTCTTTGAAAATATGTCTTACGGAAGACACGAGAGCCTCTGAATGAGCGATGAACTTGAGATCGGTATCTAAGAGAGTGAAAGTGGCGGTACTGAATATTTCATCTCTACCGACTCCAAGGGTCTGTAGCCCAGTTGAACCGGGTGCGCCACCTCTGGGTGGGCAGACCAACGTAACGTAGTCTTTGAAAATGTTGATAGAGCTCTTGGGGCTCTCGAAAGCGTAGCTTTGTCCACGTCCATGAGGACCATACGTATATATTGCGTCCTCCCTAGCAACAAGAACATCGCCGCTGTCTTTGTCCAGAGTCATACAGCCAAGGCCGCACCCTGTGTCTTCTAGTACCCGTGCTGGTTGTCCCTGTCCACGACCGGAGATCACCAGCGCCAGAATCCGGTTGGTGGTAGATATATAGAGGGTGGTCACCGGCCCACTTTGTACCTCGAGTCCAGTGATAGGTTCCTCCGATTCAAAGACGATGCGTTGTCGCGCACCCCGGTCGTGTATCAGGTCGCCTCGAATAATTGCGACGGAGCCATTGCCGAAACCAACTGCGACTTGGGACAGGTCTCCGAGCGCTGCGAATGCGGAAACCTATGCATTTAAAACTCGTTATATGGCGATTGAAGTGCCGTATCTCGGAAGCCACATACCGGAAATAGCCTCCTCGCGTTCTGCACTGATGTTGTTGACAGACAGCGCGGAGTCCCCGTTTTCTTCTCGGGCTTGTCGAGCGCCCAGACCTTCAATATCGGCTCGTTCAGCAAGTCCTCCGCTATTGTTATGAGAAGCGATGTCCCTTCCACCTGCTTGATATGCGTGATCGATCCATTATCCGACGCTTTGAAAGACTGTACGACCTTGAAGGACGAAGAAACGGTGTGGACGAACCCGTCGGCTGTACCAAGAAAGAGATTCGCAGAGCCGGAGCATAAACAAGAGACCTCGGACTAGTATACGGATTAGAACTGATTGAAAACGTCGAGCCTGGAAAGGAATATGGACCATACATTGAAGAGGGTTGAGCTGTCTTCGGGAAGCTTCACCGGAGATACTTCGAAGAAGTTGAACGCTTTCCACTGTTTCGGGCCACATTAGCAGGCCGTGTGAGAGATAAATGTAGTACAGCTTCCATACCGAAGTCAGAGCCATTTTGACGTGGCTCACGCCATGGGCTAGATTGAATCGACAGAGCGAGGTTCACAGGCGCCGGCTTTGCGGAGGTTATCGCACTCCGCCGCGCCAAGACCAAGAAGCTCAGACCAGGTCGGAAGAGCCCCATCAACGTCATCTTAGGAACAATGTACGAATTAGGGTTATCATAAAATTTATTCGCTAGTTATATTTATAAGTAGAAACATGATCCTGATAGTGCGTACCCAAACACGCCGTGGACAAAAACAGATCGCTATGCTACATCAAATCACAAGGCAAGAGAGCATGACAACAGAACGCCGAATATGTCTCTGGGGAAATGCAGATAGAGAGTCCATGGTTGAGGACTCCAAGCTTAATGCGTTGGGTCCGCAGAATGGGGCTGTGGAAGCACCGCAGTCCTGCAGTGGGTGATATCCTTATTGATTTCAAAGCTCTGCTGCAACCAGCTGCCGGCCTCCGCAATTGCCTGGCTTAAATCGAAGCTCTCTGCGCCTTGGCCCTCTTGGGCCGTTGGTGGCGTTGTGCCGGTCAAAGTCATTGGGAATGCACTCCTTTGCGATCCAGACGGCGAATCGGGGGCTGCAGTGGGATGGTCTCGTACGGCGTTATCAGCGTCTTCGTCGGATGTGTAATGGTCCGATGGTATCTCAGATGGTGATTCCAAGGCGAAGCTAGTGGTCTTCCGCTTCTTGGTCTTTGATTTATCCTTTCCAGATGATAGCGTGCGAAAGCCTGCTTTCTTCTCTGTGCTAAACGTAAAAGGTGTGGCAGCATCAATCATGTATTGCGTACTTATCATCGGTGCTCCTCCACTCTCTAGTGCATCGGATCGGTCGACGATATCCCGGTCGGGAGCATTCACTTTATGGAAAGGCGTGATGTTAATTGCGTTTGGAGACTGGTAATCCGAAGGCTGAGATGCCCTTCGTTTCCTTGTCGATGCCATCGGACTGTCTTCCGGGCTTCGGAGATCATTCTGGAAAGATCGCTGTGCCATCATAAGAGCTGCTTGAGTTGAGAAGTGTTGATCGGTGTTATGATCCTCAGTGCGGTTCGAAGTGGCTTTAGATATTGCGATTGAATAGAGAGACGTAAGATTATCGTAGGTCGGCGGATTACCAGGTAGAGGCTGCGCTGATGGTAGGTTGTTCTCACTCGTTGCACCAGTCTTGGTCTGACTAGCCTGCTGTGCGTGGTCCACGTTCGTTGTTGAAGGATCCTCAATAATGTTGGAAGCGCTTGTCAAGGTCAGTGAGTTTTCTGTATTCTGCGCAATGATAGATTCCGCCGGATCAGAACTCCGCGTTGAGGAGGGTTTTTGCGGAAGGTTCTTAGACCCAGCCTCGCCGGGTTTATCCTCAGCCCGCTCAGGACTAAGTTGGCTTTCTGCGTTTGCATTCAATTTGTGGCGCTGCTTTAGCCGATACTCAAATTTCGGTAACTGGGACGACGACGACACCACATGAATCGATCCGTCTCCGTTTACGGATTGCGAGCTACTTTTTCGCAAATTCGATCCAGGTGTATGGCCATCCGGAAGTGCGGCGCGCCTCTCTGGTTCATGTCTAGGGCTTGACACCTGATGCTCCGAGGACCTGGGCGATACATATCCGGCCGTCACTGGTCTGCTAGTTGACTGAGATTCGGTTATTGCGCCTCTTTTTTGATGACGTGAAGATATACTGGTCGTGGGAGACGTTGGCGGTTCAATATTCTGAAACCGCGTGGAGACCTTGTCCTTTTTCAACCACCTCGTGTCTGTAGGTTTGGGCCGGGTAAATCGAGGAGATTGATAGCCAGCTGCGGGGCGCTCTGAACGGAGTGGTCTGTCCTTAGTATCGGCTCTGGTGACTTCTTTGCGCGGGCTATCAGCGTGAGATGCAGCTCGCGGAGTAGCTGACGATTTCGAGCGAGGTACGGCGGGCGGGCTCTGGTGGTGTCTGCGTTTGAGTGAATTCGTTTCTGGGATGACCCGTTGCTCCGTCGGATGGTTGCCACTTCTCCTATCTTTTTTCCATGGGTTTATCCAGCCTTTGTCTAGTGGGCCGCGGAGAGAGGCAGAAAGGATGAAGAGAGGTGTACCCTTGAGATACGCCTCTCCAAGCCTCTCGATCCTCCGACGTTGCGCAGAGAGTTCGCCCTTATCAAGCTCATCGTCCGAGCCGGGAAGCCAGTAATCATCGGGGTCTGAATCGAGCGGTGCGCATGTTTCGAGGGCCAGAGGAGAGACTGGTCGACGGTGTGGAGGTGGCATCTGGAGGCGGGGTCATGAATTATTGCTGGTGTTTACAGTGCTGCTACCGCAGGTCACTGCGATCGACGCGAAGAAAAGGGACGAATGGGTTGTTTCGCAAGCGATTCCTCATGTCTCCAGTAGCGAGTGTCTCCTATGTGTTAGTGAGGGGCAGCCTAGCCTGCGACTCTTCGCCGAAGTCTTCGTTCTCACTTTAGGCCAACTTGGAGCGCGCGAAAAACCACTTAACGCGCCGGGATACCCCAGCAACGTGGGCCGCCGGTTGTGTCATTGGCTGTGCCTTGATCATGTGATCTATCATAGAGCCTGAGCCTCATTTTGGTATTGGGCTTGGGCCATCTACCGGCCCCAGCATTTGGCCTTGAGACGGTACTGTAGTTATCAAGCTGCTTTTCGATCTCCATTAAAATCTTATAACAGCTACTTAACTCCTTCGCTTCGTCGTTGAATAGTGCGAGGTAGAACAATACATGGCTGATGCTGAATCGGCCTGGTATTACGAAGTAGCAGGACGGTCCGACAATATATACCTACTCTACCAGAGCTTGGTGTTGGAACGGGTGTATTTTTAGGACCATGATCGTTATAACTTGCTCTGTGATATAATGCACGTTTAACAACAGCTTACAGAGCGTTATTGCGTACCTTATTTATTTCGTACATGAACAAACCCTGACTAGTTGAAGAAAACTGTTTGTCTCACGCCTTGCGCTGGTGCTGCAGGGCTGGGATGGAGAGTTCGAGTCCTTGCAGCGGGGGTTCGTGTTTTCGTGAATTTCGCCCGAGCTCATATTCAAGACCCACCGAAATACCTTGCTTTCGTGATTCATTTTGATTAAAGGAACCTTAATAGACGGTTTAATCTCATTTGAGACCCAGGAAATCCCTGTTTCGCAATTTGTATTGAGGACGAAACTCGTAACAAAAATACATGGTTCAATCCAATGGCCGGGACATGGAATAAGCATTTCGAGCTCGTGATATTGAACTAGCACTCAGTAGTCAGAGCAATTCAGTTCCTAGCATCCTCAGGTGCATGTGTGGTATCATATTCATGGATCCATTGCTGCAGGGGGAGGGCCCAGTAGATACTGCTCCCACGATCCTTAGCGGGACGGATGCTGGAGCTGTGGATCGTCTGGAGTAAGGATCTAGGTACTGCCGAGATGAAGTAAAATAGTATAACCCGTGCTGAGTCTCGAGAGGAGAAGAGTCTAGTGTTTCTATGGTATTGGCGCCAGCAGAATAAGCGGTGGCTGACAGCTCAAGCGGGCTTCAGGTACCGTGGAAGCGTTGGGGTTGCCCCGAGCACCCGAACCAAGAGAACCGCTGCTGCAGCACAATAACAAGATCAATATCAACCGGTTCAGTTCCCCTCCAACTCATCAGGATGCTGCAAAACCAACCAAAGAATCCCTGAGACTCATCCTCTATCATACTCTGCTTTATTGCTAATCTACATATTTGTTTACTGCTGTGCCCATCATTTCCAGGTGCAGCTGCTCTATGTTTTCCCTGCATTTATTAATTTCCGCAGTGCTCGGATTCACTGCAGTGCTGTTGCTGCATCCTGCTGAGCTGGTTTCAGCAGAATTGCCTTTCATACTGAGACAATGAGTAATCAGCCATGGCTGGAAAGCCTTTCAGACGACTGGGTGTCGTTGCCAGGGACTCCCACCAGTCCTGGGCCCCCTCGCTCACCTATCAACAACCACTCCCGCCGTTCTAGTCTACAGACCACACCCAGCCGCATTCCTATCCCCGCGCGCCGCTCAGTCGAACCCTCTCCATTGTCCGATTCAAAGAAGAAAGTCCCGCGACCGTGCCATCACATCAGAAGAGAGCTCCCGACCCCCAAGACCCCGCGCACCCCAAAGACACCTTCCAAACCGAGATCGCCCTACCCGAACATCGTAAATACCAAGCCGAACCCGCCTCCTGGGCCCTATAAACAATCCGTCATGGACGGGAGATCGCCTTTGCGATCGGTTTCCAACGCGTCGAGCCAACCCGAACAAGAGGGCACCGTGCAGATCAAACCGAAGAAGGAGAAAGGCAAGCAGGGCACCCCAGAGTGGCGGAAGAGGTTGGTAAATGGCGATATACCTGCAGGCGACCAACGCGATCTGTTCGCGCCTATCGGGCTGGAAAGCGTCTTCAAGCCCCCGTCGCCGGGTTCGCCGCTGGCAGGGAGCACACCGATACCGCGGATGAAGCAACCAGATGATCGTTGGAACTTTAGCGCCAGCTCTGCGGCAGAAAAGAAAGGGAAACCTCCGGGGCAGGTCTCAAGGAGTAGCCGTGGAAGTGCGCGCACGGCATCCGGGAAGTCAGCTAAGCAAGGGTCGCGTACCGTGGAACGAGACGGCAAACAAACAACAAAGTCGCGAAACGAAGAATCGCAATTAAAGAAACCCGCGGCGCACTTATCACCACACATGGCCGAAGGTCAGGGTGACTCAACGGATACCGCGCAGATGCGGTCTGCCAGCGGCCTGGAGGACTTGCGGAATGAAGATATAACCCCCATCACTTTCTCCCGGACAAACACAGTGGATGGTGAGGGCACGGCCGAAATCATCAAGTCCGCTTTGAAGCAAGTTACTACAAAACTAGAGAAGCTACAGCTGGCGCCAGTGGATCGCCCTGTCTCTAGAGCGAGCGATAGTCTTTTAATGAGTCAACATAACGATATTATTGTTGAAGCCGCCGCTGAAGATGATCTTTTTGACGTCACGAGTCACTCTCTTCCCCAGGATCTGTCAATGGGGACATTGGATTATAGGGGCCGAAGCGCCTTCACAAGTCTGCAAGGAGATTCATTTGCGGATGAGCGCTCCTCCCAAAAAGACCAGCTCTCTCCTGCAGGATTTCCTTCCCATCGCCTTACGCCGTTCATTCGTCCCAGTACGAGGATTCGAAGCTCGCCTCCTTTCTATAATAAAAGCAATGCACAAAATGACCCGCTCTCATTACCGCGGCCTTCCTCCGCCCATGTCGGAACGTCATCGAACAAGATTGGAGATATGCCCTCCTCCGGGAGCCCCCTGAAGCTGTTTGCGAATCACGATACATTCACAAATAACAAACTACTTCGACGGATGAGCCAGTTTGAAGAGACTCTTGGGGAGGATTCGGACGAGGACGAGCCAGTCTCGCCGTCAGAGGAAGCCGGCCGCAAACGCGAGAATCGAAGCTTCCTGCACCCTGGCGAACGTATCGGACGGCGACACGAGCGTTCGAGGTCTCGAAACACCCAGACTCCCCGCATAAATCGCTTTGGGGAAGGCCAGTTGGATAACTTTGACTTTTCCGATGCTAGCCCCTTTGATGCGCAATTCCTCAATACCGATTCCCCAGAACCCGACGTTTCTCCGCCCGGTTACTTGTTAGCTTCTGGAGGAAGAGCCCAAAAGGGGCGTTCGTACAGGCAGACCAGTGGCGAATCCCAAGCGTTCAGCTCTCTATCTTTCAAGCAGAACAGCACGGACTTGACAGGCCTGCGGGCTACCCGGCCAAGGATCAAGACCACGCCTAGTAGCCCTGTCAAAGATCCTACGCCAAAGAGGCGGAGAATGGCCAGGCAATTCAACGGCTCTATGCTAGGTGATGCAACCATCGAGGATAGCGAAGGCACCGACGACCTGTCCTTGCTTCAACGGAGCCTGATGCAACATGGATTGAGATACAGTGAGAACGAAGAAGAAGGATTTTCAGAATCTGCAAACCGCCCACGGACCCCTACACCGCACCAAACAGGGTCTTTCGAACGAAGACAACCATCACCAGATCGGCGAAGAGAGCAGCTAGAGCCTGATGGCCACGATTATTCCCTCTCACCACTTGCCCAGAATATGCCCAATGCCATCGGACGACAAGGAAATGAAGAAGTCCGCAGGGGATCCATCACCACTCAAGATTTTCTCAATGAGGCGACTAAGGTTATGAACTTCATACGCTCCAAAGGCACAGCCAAGAGCAGTTTATCCAGGGTGGATGAAACCGATACCGAAGAGCACGACGGCAATGAGAGCTACGAAGAGGAGTCAACCCTCGAAGAGTTCTCGCGACCTCCCAGCAGAGAAGGCGGTGATTTGCGCAGGTTGCGAGAGCCTCAAGAACCCAACCCAAGAATCTTGAATCACTTGAAGAAGTTCCAGGAGAATGACGAATTAGAATTTGGTGTTAGTGGTTCTGTCACATCCCTTCATCTGGGAGGCAATGACAGTGAGCGTGGAGACTCAGATAAGCATCGGAAGCGCAAACTTCCTGCACCGCCACCAACTCAAGAAGATGACCTGTACGATTTCCTGCGGCTCAACACCGAGACCTCGTCAAAAAACTTCAGTGCTCGCTCGGTTCAGACTGGCTCTTCACAGGGCTCACACGCTAAAGGTGTTTTATCTTCCGATATTGTGTCTCACCTGATTCCAGAACAGGTGAATGGATTTACCTACGACCGTCTTAAACATTTGTGGGTGAAGGAGGATGAAAGAAAGTCTCGTTCTAGTCAGCAATACAAGAACAGTGATGAGGATCCTTTTAAAGATATCCCCGACCTCAGCGTTGACGAGATGGATGAAATGATGAGGACTGAAAAAGCTAGTTATCCGCGGAAGGAAAAGGACTCAGCCCATGCCGAAGAAACCGAACCCCGCGGAGCAGAGATTGCCGGGACTGACGGTAAAGCCTCGGACCCTGTACTCGAAGATGCAGCAGCAGCACCGTCGGTCAATCTCAGCTCTCTCCAGTCTGGAGTTAGCCGGTCGAGCACAACCAACCCTACTTCGGGCACCAGAGAAACGTCATGGGGAACTGAAGTACCTAAGAGCACGACGTCTTCACATGACATTGAGCACGAAATCAAGCTGCATGAAGGTCGCCTGTCTAAATCCCCTCACCTGGCAAGAAAGCCGGCCCACCAAGCCCGTGTTGTTACCATAAGCTTTTCCTCCCCGCTCGTCTCTCAAATCGAGTACAGCGATGATGATAGCCCTTCCAAGCTCCGAAGGATCGCGATTGCCGCACAGGCGCAAGCCGCGGCCGCAGAGAATTCTGCGTTGCAATCTTTCAATCATGAGCAGGAGTTCCCCCGGCGCTCTATCTCAAAGATCGACGAGCAGAACGAGGATACAGCTGAGGGCCACAGTTTGATCCGGAGGGCTACACAAGAGCTTGAGCCCGTCTCACCCGAAAGAAATGTGGACGCCTCGCTCGCCTACGTTCAAGAACATGGATTGGACACCAGCTATTCCTTCCATCTCAGTCCACTTCCTGACTTCACAGTCAATCAAATCGACCAGCCATCACAGCTTGATATAAGCTATGTTGCTCAACGCACACACCCGACGTCATTGCGTCAAATCCACGGGACCTTTGCTTTGGCAACAGAGGATTTGATCAAACACATCACCGAAGCCGAACCGTGTGAGCCTTACTGGGAGCATCTTCGTCGCTTGGTCATGCGTCGCAAAGGACTCATGACTCTCCATAAGCTCAGCGACTTTTGTCCGCGTTTGGAAGAACTGGATGTGTCGGAGAATGATATCGGCCAGCTGAGCGGCGTTCCTTCAACAGTGAGGAACTTGAGGATCCAAAACAACTGCCTCTCAAATCTTACTGCATGGGGTCACCTGGGGAACTTACAGTATCTGGATATCTCGGGAAATGAACTGGAAAACCTCGACGCCGTCAGTGGGCTGATTCATCTCAGAGAATTGATAGCGGACAATAACAACATCCGGCATATTGAGGGAATCTTCGGACTGAACGGACTTTTGACCTTGAAGCTGAGAAATAACCGCTTGGATTCCATCGATTTCAACACAGCGGAACTGTGAGTTAACCTCGCTACTTTGAATGGATCGCTTGTGACCGCTGACAACAATGCTCAAACAGGACTCGCTTGAGCGAACTAGACCTGAGCCATAATGGGCTGACGTCCATTAGGAACATCCATAACCTTTCGACTCTTTCCCAACTAGACCTGAGCAGCAATCGCTTGGAATCAGCACCATTCTCCTCCCCGTTAACCATGTTGCGAGCTTTGAAGCTATCCGATAACCGCCTACGCAGTCTCGATGTTGGGCTATTTCCCGCGCTTATTCTTCTCTACGTGGACCAGAACTGTTTGTCCACCCTTTCAGGCCTCGATAATACCCGGGACTTGGAAGTATTATCCGCACGAGAGCAGGAAATCCCTGGCAAAGAGTTCTTTGATCTGGACCTTGGCATGGTGAAGGACATTAGGAAGGTGTACCTTTCCTCGAATAAGCTCTCGCCACAAGCACTTTCACCATCTGCGCCTCTTCTCAGTTTGCAGCTTCTCGACATCGCGACCTGCCGATTGAAAGAGCTCCCTATAGACTTCGCCGCAAAGTTTCCTAACATCAAGGTTCTTAACCTTAACTTCAATTCGCTGGAGGGGGTTAACGAGCTGCTCGGCATGAATTGCCTTTCGCGGCTAACTGTCGCTGGCAACTCCATTTCCCGCCTTCGAAGGATCTGTCAAGTCCTGAGTCGGATTGGGCGCACACGCAAATCGAATACTTGCACGCTCCAAAAAGTTGACATCCGACACAATCCCCTCACTGTCCGATTCTATCCACCTGCCATAACGGGGAACGGCAAGCAACATACCCAGAAACTGATCTCAAACGAGAAAGCACGTTCTAGGAACAGCCAGGGTCTGGATTTAGACATGCCTCTCATGGCGCAGCTCGACCGCGATGGCCAACTGCTTCCGATTGAAGACGAAGACGATGAAGGTGGAACACACCCCGACCCCGAAATAAACGACCCATATACTCTCCCTCCAGCAGATCTGTTGTTGGATCAAAAGCATCTAGCCCACCTGGATCAAGCGACTAGACTCAAACGTAGAGTCTTTGAGCTTATGCTCTATGCAGGCACAGGTGGCGCAATAAAATACCTCGATGGGCTGGAATTCCGACCAGCACTTGAGCCAGGCTCAGATATGAACCAGGCTTGGGCTAGACTCGAACAACTCGGTGTTCTCAAGAAGAAGGCAATCACTGGTTGATTTGTTGTCTCTTGTTGATTAACATATGTGTTGCTCGATACTCCTTCTCTTTTCTCATAATCTCTTGCCTTTTCTTCTGTATTCTGGGTTGGAGAGGCATCGCGTACTGTTTCTCTGATCCCTTTTCACTTACTTTTTTCTGCACCATGTTTGTTCAATGTTACTTTGGAGGCTGGCTGGGTTGGTTCTTGGCGCAGCATTTGCTCTTAGCGGATTGATTTTCGTCATACCTGGGAGTTTGGGATCGATACCATCTGTCTCTGTCTGTGAGAGTCTCTCTGTTGTCTGTCGGCGTCACCCCGGATTTGGGTGCATGGATGGGTAAGGTACATAGCGAGCTTGTGTTTATCTTTGTCTTTGAAAACTACCACTTGATCCGCGTTCTTAGCTGCAATTGCATTTTCGACTTGAGTTCTACTAGATTTCCTACCCAATGCTGACACTTTAGGTAGAGGGATGTGTACGAGGTAACTTGCGTGACTTTGGTATTTAACTAAAACGTAACCAGCTAGTTCTGAAGACGCTGTAGGCCAAGAGCAAGGGGATTCAGAAGTCAAGGCTTGCTTGACCCTAAAACTCGGCCTCAAGGTTACTCAGCTGCGTTCCAAACTGCGCCCTCACCATCTCCATATAAGCCTTCCACTTATGACGATCAGCCGACGCCTCAGCATTCGGGAACGCCTTGGACAACTCGCGCGTGATCTTAAGCACACCCGTTGATGCCTCCTGCGCCTTCTCAATCTCCTGCTTGACGGCGTTCTCCTTGGGCTTGAAGTTCAGGACGCCGGTGTAGCGCTCCGAGAGGGCGTCGAGATGACGCTGGGTTTCCTCGGGGGCGAGTGTAATGAGTTTGGAGGTCATGAGGTTGCAGATAGTGCGGATGTCCTGCTCGTCATCGATTCCTGCGAGGATGCGGCTGTAGAGTTCCGGGAGATGCGAGAGGGAGAAGGAGGTGTCCAAGGCGGCGTAGACGGTTTCGTAGGCGCTCTGGTGGAGGCGTTAGTCTGTTCTGCTTAAAATGGTGAGATGGGGTTTGCTTACCTTGCGCAGCTCGAGCCCGTCGTCGACCTTGTGCTTGAAGGGGCCCATTTGTACTTCCCTGATGAGCTCGGGTTTGATCTGGGTGTCTCCGAGAACAGCGGGGAGGAGTTCGCCTAGGTGGGGGAGGATGAGGGCGAGTTTGTTGTGGATTGCTGAGTTAAGTGTTGTGAGGGCTAGGCGGTGGTTGCCTAGGTCTCGGTCACTGAGCATGTTGACTAGGAGAGGCACGATCAAAGGCCTGAGAACGTCATTGAAGACGTCTCTTGGATCGGAGAGGGTGAAGCGGAATGCGGATATCACAATGCTACGAATCCCAGCGTCACCATTGGATAAATATTCCTGTTTTAGAAGAATCGTGATCAGCAACAGAAAGACGGAGTAGTTTGTATGATTTACCTGGAATTGCGGGATGTAGGCAGCGGGGTCGAGTAACGCCAACCGTCCAACACATTCAGCTCCGACAGCACGGTTATCTTCTTCCTTGGAGACGACAAGCAAAGCCTGCCAGAGCTTCAAGGCTGAGGGTGCCACATCCGTCCGGACCATCTCAGGGTGCTGAAGTAGCTCCTTGACGGAATGTAAGAGAAGGTAGTTCTTAGAATCGGATTTCTCTAGCCCGCCCAAAATTGTTGGTAGGTAGGCTTTGACATTACCCGCAGCTGCATTCCCAAGCGCATTCGCCGAAGCCAAGCGGACCTTTTCAGACTTTGAGTTGAAGTGAGGGATGAACACCTCGGGAGTTAGCGAGCAACTGGCACCCAAACGAAGCGCAGATTCTCCCAATATGGCAAGGGCGAGACATTGACGCTGAGGATCTTGCGTCTTCTGCAACTCAGCCAAGAAATCTTCCATGCGCACACCCACATTTGAACCGCCATGGACCAAGAGGGTGCCGATTGACCGTCCGACAACAGAGGTATCGCCATTGATTCCAACATCCTGCAGCAGCTTTTGCATCAGAGCTGATCCGCTTTCCTCTTCTCCAATAACTTTAACAAGTAATAGCAATGCCTTAAGAACTGTCCCAGCCAGAGATGTACGGACTATTGAGCAAATAGCCGTTACTAAGTTGTCGTTGACAAGAAGTTGGGCATTTCCGGGGATGAGCTTGGCAATGATTATCAGCGACGGCGCCAATAAATGGACATCCTCCACGCTGATGAGAGGAATGAGATGGTCTTCGAGGGTTTTGATGGAGTTACCATCATAATGAGCTCGTGTGTTGGGATTCATGGAGAGACTGCGAAGAGTCTCCAAGCTGGCACTGCGGAGAACACGGTCTGACTTGCGCAGCTGTGCCCCAAGCTCGGAAGTCACTTCGCGAACCCAGTTAGAGTCAACATCACCCTTTCGCGAGCAAAGGACAGCCACATCATCGATCGCGCGAACAGCGGAGAGACGTGTTGTTTCATTCTTCAAGCGATCGACAAGGGTCATAAGTCCTTTGGATCGATGCTGCAAAGAGAGAAATGCGGAGCCTTGTTCGCCAGAAGTCCGAGCAAGAAGAACACCAAGAACATGGATCGCCCGCTGGCGGACTTCGAGATCGGCGCTCGTATCGGTAATGCGACCGTGGCTGACATCATAGAGCTTCTCCAACTGAGAAACAAGGTCTTGTGAAGCAGCAGTCACCCGAGGCGGCGTAAGAGCCTTAACAATCTGCTCGACCGCGGCAAGCGCTTCACTGCTCACTTTGTAGTTCCTATCATTGACAGCACCGATAACACCAGGAATCAGGGCGATGAGGAAAGGAAGAAGAGCATCGGAAGCATGTGTCTCGGAGACAGCAGAAATGAGGTTGAGTGTTTCGATTTGCAAGGTCCCCGCGCTCGCAGAAGCTCCGACGGACGCAGAGTTAGCACCAGACAGCGACGATTTGAGCACATCTGCAATTGGGTCTTCAATCTGCTGAAGATGATCGGCGAGCCCTCCATAGCGAACCAATGCTAAGCTCTTAAGCAGTACTATGATAGCTTGTTTCAAGGGGATAGAGGCCTGCTTCCACATTTTGACGAGACTCCGGACAATGACCGGCAAGGCATTGGCCAATTCTGACTGGGGGCCGGATTGTGGCGAAGAGGGTGCGACCAGCGGAGTGCCTGCTGCAGACGAAGTGCCCATGCTGGGCTCGAAGTCGATCATGCTGGCATCGCTGTCTTGACGCCTTCTCTTTCTCGAGATCTTGGATCCACTCCCGACAGATTCCAGAAACCCATTGGAAGTGATTATCATCGAACCCTCTGCAGTTTTACGCACAAGGGCGTCCATAGTAGAAACAAGCTCCAGCTTGACGCTTTCCTCTCTTTCTTTATTGAAACGAGTGACGATAGCAGGTGCTATCTGTTGATACAAGGATCCATCGTCCAAGGCACGGCCACGCCCATATGTGGAAATAACGGCATACAGAAGCTTCGCCGCACATCGACGGACCTTCCAACTCATATCATCAATGTCGCTATAGCCTCCTTCTTCCTCGAAGTCCTCAAAGTCGTCATCTTCCATATCAGGCTCCTCCGTGGCATCATCCTCCGACCCATCGTCTTGTGTTCCACCCATTTCTTCGTCTTCTTCCGCATCGGCCACGTTCGGGTCATATTTCAGGAACCTCAGCGCCGAGTTAATGGTATTTGGTAGGTAAGATTGCATCTGAGAACTGCATGAGCTGATCAAAGCCTCCAACGTCACCAAGGCGGTCTCGCGGAGCTCGTCCGCCTCAGGGTCGTGCTCATCATCATGGGAGTAGTCTGACATCGCGTCGGAGGACATTCTGGCGGGTTGGAAAGTTCCACGAGTGAGCAAACAAAGCGCAATCAAGAGAACTGGATAGTTGGAGAACAAAGGCCGAGCTCGAAAGCTTCAGTGTCAGTGAGAGGAGGCCCAACACTGAACAGTATTGCGCCCGTAGAGAGCCCCGCGCTAGTACCAATTTGGATTGGATTGCACCCACTGCTCTGGGCTCTTGGCATCAAAGAATGAAGAGACAAACAATAGAACAGTGAGATGATGGTGACAGTCTCTATTGAAGAAAGTCAAACAAGTCAAGAGATTTTGAGGGCCCAGCTTGAGACTGCTTTGTAGCTAGCAGAGCCTGCAGCCCACCCTGCTTGCGCGCCTTGGCTCTCTTCTTACTACTGGCATTTTCTGCAGTTCTACTAGCAAGCGCCTGATCAGGCTGAGCTTTGGCTGCAGTAGAATCGACAATGGGGATAATTGGTGGAGCAGGCTTCGAAAGGGTGCGAGATGGGGTTACCGTTCGTCGTCCGCATCGCAGGCACTTGTAGACAGTAGCCCCATCTGCAGTCAGACCTTTTGCTGGGGAGGGGGTAACGCGCTTCTGGCTTTTCTTAATGGAGGCTACCTTAGTGTGTTCGCTTCTTCGAGGACAACCACAGGCGCCACAGAAAGAGTCATGGAGGCGTTGGTTGAGCGGCTTGTGGTCTTCATGGAAGATGGCATTATGGGCGGACATGAGGTAGGCGGCAGTTGAGGGACTCATCGAACTCAGGGAGCTGGCCGAGTCTTTTAGAAAGTTCAATCGGGGAGTATAATCCTTGAAATGCATTTTGTATGATAAAGGACCGAGTACAAAACCGAGTGCTAGATAGGCTCTAGGAGGCAAGAGTTAGACAAGGAGAAAATTGTGAGGGAAAATCGACGCCTGAGACGAGAGCTGGAACACAACCACCACCACAGCCTTCCCGATAGGTACAACTTCTCTTCCTCTTCCTCTTCCTCACCCTCATCTCATCTCTTTCTATCCCCAACCTTCCTCTTTCTAATCACACTTACCTTTCTGATCTCTTCACTCATTACTGCATCAATAGAAACTGAACACAATCTTCTTTCTTTCTTCTTACTTTAATCCTCCTGTCTCTGCTTGCTCTGACTGTTGAACACAACTGTACCTCGCCAAACAACACTATCCCAGTTGACCTTCCTGACTTCACTGTCACCCACCTACACTAATCTTTCTTCCTTGCTCCTCTTTATTGCTCTGATTAGATGTGTCTTTGACCACATCCGAATATTTACTACCAATATCCGGGCAAATACCGAACAGCATTGTTGCCATGGCTGACTCGAATGCAAAATGTGGTGAGGGACCAGTCAAAGCACCCTCAGCGCCCTCAGCACCCTCAGTCCGAATTGCTGTTGAAGGATGTGTAAGTTTGCTTCGATCTATTCGATATGCTACGTGGATCATTAACACATCTCTTTAGGGTCATGGGTGCTTACACGATATCTACGCATCTGTAGAGAGAGCTGCGAACTTGAAGGGTTGGGATGGTGTTGACCTGCTGATTATCGGGGGCGATTTCCAGGTACGTTCCGGATTGTTATTGCCATAGCCTTTCGCGGTCCATCTGACTACCCGCTAGGCTGTTCGCAACTCGAATGACATGGCTTGCATGTCCGTCCCTGATAGGTTCAAGCAAATAGGCGATTTCCAAGAGTATTATAGTGGGCAGAGAACCGCTCCGTACTTAACGATCTTCATTGGGGGAAACCACGAGGCTAGCAACTACCTCTTTGAGCTTTACTACGGTGGCTGGGTTGCCCCAAATATCTACTACATGGGTGCCGCGAACGTTCTTCGGTATGGGCCTCTTCGTATCGCCGGATTCTCCGGTATCTGGAAACCCTACGACTATGACAAACCGCATCACGAGAGGCTGCCGTACAATGTCGATGACATTACGAACATCTACCACGTTCGAGAACTCGACATTCGCAAGCTGCTGCAAATACGCACACAGGTTGACATAGGCTTGTCACACGATTGGCCCCGGCAGGTGGAGTACTCTGGAGACTGGAGGCAGCTCTTCAGATCTAAACCTTTTCTACGCGAGGATTCCGAGAAAAGGAGACTTGGCAGCCAGGCTGCCGAATACGTCCTCAAGCGCCTGCGTCCTGCGTACTGGTTCTCAGCGCATTTGCACGTTATGTTTGCAGCCGTTGTCCAACATGCACCCCAGAACATTCACGCTAGCCACCAGTTCGGACTGGATGGGGCATCTCTGACCAACATGTTTGGTGATGATGAAGAAGAAACCCAGCAAACCGGATATGGTCAGGTCGGGTCACAGCTCAGTGTACGCCCAGATTCTCAGCTTGAGGGAAGTGAAGCACAACACGAGTCAAACCCTGAAATTCCGCTGCGTCCAAGCAACGAGAATATTCCAGTCCCCACTGAGTTTGAATCCTCGCAGGGTAACACAGAAAATACTTCTAGACTGGTATCAGCGTGGAACAACTTTCAGCACGTTGCTGCAAAAAATGAAGCCGCAGATAACTCTCGCTTTCTTGCAGAGCATGGGAGAAACCAGGGTCAATCTACTACACTGGACGTCCACAATCATAATGTAACGTGGAAAAAGATTGAAACAGATGAAGATGGATTGGGTCGCAGAAAAGCAGGCGTGGAACGAAGTGGTCCACGCGAAAACAAGAAGCAGAAGGTCCAGCACGAGACGCAAACCCCGAAGAATTCTGATGAAATCGAGCTTGACCTAGACAGCGACTCCGATCCGGATCATGAGGCGGCACCACTAAAATCCCCAAGCATGACGGCGACTGCGGCAAATGTCGCTCCTCCTCCGTCGCAGGAATTTTCAAAACCTCGATACTCAGAGGTATCGGACGATGTCCGTAACCAGCTTCCCCCTAGCTTCTTTAAGCCACAGCAGTCCCCTCAGCCGCCCAATCTTCCATTTCCCTGCAAAATACATAACACAACCACAAACTTTCTCGCGTTAAGCAAATGCGAACCGAACCGCCAGTTTCTCCAGCTGTTGGAAGTTAACCCGATATCCGAACAGTCAGACGCAGTTGGCGCTAAAGGCCCCTTTCAACTTCACTACGACAAAGAATGGTTGGCAATCACGCGCGTCTTCGCAGCAGATCTCCAGCTCGGTGGAAATCCAGATGATAAAATTCCCGTTGACAAAGGTGAAGCTGTCTACAGGACGCTCATCGAGGAAGAAGAAAAATGGGTAGATGAACACATTGTCCAGCCTGGAAGACTCGCGGTTCCGGCGAACTTCACCCCAACTGCGCCGTTCTATGACCCTGAGGTCCCCATTACCACAGATCAGCAACCTCACGAATATAATAACCCACAGACTGCTGCATTCTGTGAGCTTGTTGGCATAGAGAACCTATTTTTCTTGACCGATGCAGCGCGCGAGAAGAGAATGGGAGATGGGCCTCGACCTTGCCATCCGGACAAGGAAGCATGGCGTGCTCGTCGTGCAGCTGGCCGGGGCCGGGGAAGCGGCCGTGGAAGAGGCTTTGGACGCGGCCAAGGTGGGCGAGGTGGCCGTCGCCACTAGGCCGATTATTGTACTACACGCGCTTCTGTACTGATTCTTTTACTCTACTCTGATTGCAATTTAAGAAATTCCATAAACACGGCACTGAATGATATGCTGTGTTGGTGACCACCATCCAAGTTGAAGAGAAACTAAGTAGAGGTAATCAACAATAAGAACCAACGTCGACAAGTATATCCGCATATGTAACAAGCATATCTACTCAATTTCCTCAATCCTCGGCCTCTCCCCACGACCACCACCCCTCCCAGCCAAAGGATTGACCCTCAACCCAGCGATCTGATCGCCCAGCTCCAATCTCGGTTCCTCATTGTTGGTCCCATCCCCAGCGTACTGCCCAACACCCCACAAAAGCGACTTCTCAATCCAAGCCTCCAAGCTCTCCGTCAAAACCCGAATATGCCCACGGACAATCGAGTCCGTCTCGCGGGCCTCCACGCCCGCCAAAGTGCGCAGCATATGCGGGATATTCCCAATAGTACTAGGACCCCTCCTATAATCACCGCCTGCTCCAAAACCACGAGACGACTCGTCCGCGAGCGTGAATCCGAAGCCTAGATCCTGCGTCTTGCGGTTCTCGCGCGCGGTATCCATGGCTTTCAGGATGTCTAGGAGGAGGACGGCGCTGGCGCGTCTGAGAATCGCCCACTCGTTGTCTGGTTCGAGGGTTAGGGTTGCGAGGGCGAGGTCAACGGATGACGAGAGGATGGAGGGGCCGAGGCCTGTGATGCTCGTTTGGACGGCTGTTGCGAGAATGGAGAGTGCTGAGGCGCGGACGCGCAGATCGTCGGGTTCTTCGTCGCGAGCAGACCCAGCTGCCCAGGCGGAAATGATGTTTGCAGAGTGGGCTGCTTGCTCGGGTGTCTCTGAGTCGGAGTCGTCATTGCCTAGGATCTCTTCCGCAATCTTTGGCGCTGAGAGCTTCCATCCGGACGCGGCGTCTTTCTGCTGTTGGCGCTCTTCGCGTTCCTTTTTCCGCCTCTCCTGATCGAAGGCTTGCTTGCGGGTTTTCTGCGCTTGGGGTTTCAATGCCCGTCTTCCTGCGACGGAGATTAGTCCCTCGCCTAGGACCTTGGCGGTTTCGCCGGCGAGGGCTTCGCCGAGGTCCTGGACTGTCCGGAGGAGAGCTTCTCCGACTTTGAGTCTTTGGTCGAGGGTTGCGTTCTCGCTTCTGTCGATGTAGCGCTCGATTAACGTCTTAATCACGGTGCGCGGATGCCGGGAGGCTAATGTGCCAATCAATTTGATTGCGTTTAGGTATATGAATTCGTCATTGGCTGTTGTTTCTGAAGAGTCGGTTATGATGGACAAGAGGAGAGTCAGTGTAGATGGTATATCGAGGATTGGGGAAGATTTCTTGACCAGGTCCGAAAGAAGCGTGAATCCTTCTGCTTGGACCGGCGGAAGGTCCGAGTTGAGGTTCATTAAAGCACGGCGATGGATTTCGAAGTCTGGAATTTCGTTTGACTTCCCTTTAGATTCCTGGTGTTCTGGTGAGTCGAGCTGGATTTCAAGGAGCATGGAGGCTGTTGTTCCGGATTTTGATAGTGATGAGGGTAAATGTGGAAGAAGCTGGTCTAGCTTCTCTTTGACCTCTGCGAGAAGATCACTCGTTTCTTTTGATATGGAGAATTCAGGTGACGCGAGAATTGTCGAAAGTAAGCTGAACACGACCTGAAGCGACTCAGCAGAGTCGGACTCAGTCGCCTCGTTGGGTCCAGCTTGCTCCGATGGCACGATATTGGCCAAGGACGATAGGGAAACCTTTCCGGAGGCAGGGCCTCTCGCTTTCGCCAGAGTACTCGCTTGCCTGAGCTCGCCATCTATTATGTGCTTGACGAGCTCAAGGACCTTGAAAGGCCGCCGTGAAAGTGTGTCTTTGAAGGTATCCAGAAGCGTTTCGGCAAGCTTCGCGCTAATTAGCTTTTGAATGATACCCTCGGATCCATCATTGTCTGGATGTAGTTGAAGATGATTCAATGTGTGAGCGCTGTTCGAGTGTTGTGTAAGCCACGTTTCGCTGACATATAAGAAGACTTCGCCGGTCTGCTCGTCACGGCTCGGATCGGCATTCAGTAGGCTCATGAACAACTTGGCTCGAGATTGTAGGTCATCGACAAGCCCGACTATGTTTTTGCCAGAGCTCTCAACGCTCGGCTTCCTCAATAGGATTCTGTTTGACGCATCCGAGCCGTATGTGCATGTAGAGCCACCACTCCACAGGAAGTTATCCACAATTTTCTTCAAAGGGGGAAACCCAACGGATATACCAAAGTAGGTTTGCAGTATAATCATGACATCCTCATGGATAAATTTAAGTTGCAGTTGTGCGCTGAAGCATGCCAATCCCCAGAGCGGAAGAAGAATTGGGTAAACAACTCTTCTGACGAGTCCAGGATTCGGCGGCTGTAAGACCAATGTTTTCAGCCTGCTGATTGCCAGTAAAACCTCAGGCTCGCTAGCCAGGACGTTCTTGGATTTTGGTCTTTGAATATCTTGGGATGACACAATATAGGCAAGCGAGGCTTCGTCTGCTGTTCCTGTCAAAATCTTGAAGATGGGCTCTACAAAAATTGAATGCCCGTTAGTACCAGGAGCGCCATAAGCCTTTTTACCAAGAATGCCGTTCCCCACGACATATGCAGCAGCCTTTCGCAGGTCTGGATCATCGCCATCAATTAATGCTAATAGCTGTGGTCCTATGATCTTGAAGTAGTTATCGGCCTCCATTCCCTGGGGAACAGCCGAAAGCAGTCGCGAAGCGTGCATGATTGCGTTCACAGTAATATGCAGGCCACCCGGCCCTTGCTCCTGGGCCTCAGCGCCCATGGATGGGGCAAATTGTGAGGCGAGAAAAACGATCGTCTGAAGCACTCCATTGCTGCGCAAGGGGACCCTTGAGAGAAGCCCTGTGATGATAGATTTGAACCACGGGACAGGATTTGATTGAAGAAAAGCAGACAATGTCGGCAGCAGATTTGCACTTGGTGTGCTGAGATCTGTCAACATACGGAAACATGATGACATGCGGAGGAACATACTCTTCAACTACTCTGGCTAGAACTTGCCGGTATTGGATTTGGTCATTGCTAGCTGGTAGTCTCGGATTGAAGCCTAGGTCCGACGATGCACTTATCATATCACTCAGAATGCGGCCAGTGATCACAGGCTGGATGCTAGGCCGAGGATCGAATAGGATACCGGATAATGCCGTCAGTATGCGGCGCAGTAAGGGAACATCCTGAGGGTCTTCATGCGCAGGAGCATCTTGCTGAGCAATCACGCCAGCTGGCAAGACAGATATCACTCTTTGCTGGAGGGGGATGCCTACTCCAGACGAAAGGGAAGGGTAGATCCCTTCCAAGGATATGAGATCCAATAAAGCATGGAGTGTGCGTCGCCGTTTCGCATCCTCCAGACTCGGATCTTCTTGACCCTCACTGACTGGGGCGCTCAGGTCTTCATCGATTACGGGAGTGACAAATGCTACATGGATTTGAGAGAGCAAGTCCAAGGCCTTGCCGATGACGCTTGTTCTGGCGGATGCATCGTCTGCGAATGATTCGCGAGAGGTTTGACTCATTATATCTACCAGCGACTGGCCGCGAGACTTTTGCAGTTCATCTTGATTCAAGTTAGCACACTCCTGCATGGGTATGATTAAGTCCAGGTTTGCATGCCTCGTTGAAGAACCGGGTTCAGAAACTCGCTCGCCGCAGCAAATGCTTTCCGAATCGCGGCCTGGTCTCCCATTCTCAGTCAAGTAAACCACCGAGGTTTTCACATGCCGGTAACCACTAAGTCTTATAGTTCAAGAAAGACTGTTCTTGGGTCTGGTTGCGGTCTAGATATTCTATGGGCGACGCGGTGGAAACCTTAATACTGCTGGGTTGATGCCTTAAGGCAGCAATCTGCTATCGATATGACTAACGTTATCTCCGATTATTAACCCCTCCAGCAGAAAAAAAATTGCCCCGCCGCGGTGGAAGGCCCAGGAACATTCCGTCATAAGACTTTCATTCCCCTATATACATTTCTTCGTTTACTCCGAAGTCCAGTGATTCCAGTCGACATCCTCGCCAAAACCGTATTTCCAAATATACAAACAACAATGTCCGCCGATGACCAGCCGGTAGCGCAGGAGGAGGTTTTCCAGAAGCCGGGAGACCTCGTCGAGAGAGATGAAGAGACTGGTGTCATGCAAGTGGAGAGCTTGTGCATGAACTGCCATGACAACGTACGTTTTCCCAAGAGAGATATAGAGAGGACGTGCCTAATAATGCGCTCAGGGAACCACCAGATTACTGCTCCTCCGCGTCCCCTTCTTCCGCGACATTATCCTCGAGTCTTTCGAATGCGAACACTGCCACTTTAAGGACAACTCAGTCAAGTCCGCCGGCCAAATCCAGGAGAAGGGCTCCGTATACACCCTCGACGTTGAGAACGAAGACGACCTCCAGCGCCAGGTTATCCGAAGCGATGTGTCCATTTTCAAGGTCGAGACATTGGGTATCGAGATGCCCAAGGGTGAAAGTCAGCTGACTACAGTGGAGGGTGTTATTCAGAAGATTCACGAGTCGCTCTCCAGCGAGCAGCCATTGCGAAAGGAGCAGGCGCCTGAGCTCCACGATGCCCTTGTGCCAATCATCGACAAGCTACAGAAGATCCTGGACCGGGAAGGCTACCCATTCACCGTTTCTCTGGATGACCCAACAGGCAACTCCTGGATTGCGCCAACAACCCATGATACCGGACGCAAATACAGGCGCCGCGACTACGCTCGTACCCACGAACAGAACGAGCAGCTTGGAATCGCATCTGATCCCGAAGCCGTGAAGAACGAGGGAGAGACCATTGGCAACCCAGACGACCTTGATATTGTTGACGGAAAGGTTTACAGTCTTCCCGCCGATTGCCCTGCCTGCGCGAAGGATTGCGTCGTGAACATGCAGAAGGTCGATATTCCGTACTTTAAGGAGGTTTTCATCCTAAGCAACGTCTGTGACCACTGCGGATACCGCTCGAGCGATGTCAAGACCGGTGGCGAGGTTCCCGAGAAAGGAAAGCGCATTACTCTCAGCGTTGAGACTATCACCGATCTTCACCGTGATATCCTCAAGTCCGATACCTGCGCGCTCCACAGTGAGGAGCTCGAAGTCACCGTACAGCCTGGTACTCTTGGTGGACGGTTCACCACCGTTGAGGGTCTCCTCACCGAAATTCGCGATCAGCTCAAGGGGCAGATCTACGACATTGACGACTCCGCGCAGACCGGGGGTGACAGCATGTCTTCTTCCGACAAGGAGAAATGGGCTCGCTTCTTTAAGCGTCTCGATTCCGCCATTACTGGCGATCTGAAGTTCTCCGTGACGCTTGAGGACCCTATGGCCAACAGTTACGTTCAGGATCTGTGCGCTCCTGCTGCCGACCCTCAACTCAAGACGGAGGAATATACCCGTACCGAAGAGGAGGAAGAGGAGCTTGGTCTTAAAGACATGAAGGTTGAGGGATACGAGGAGGAAGAAGCGAACGAGGAGAAGAAGGGTGAAGAGGAGAACAAGTCATGATCTTAACGATACCCACTCAGACATTGCAACGTCTCCATTTATGATCTTTGATTTATGATGTGTTTTATGATATCTTGGCATCTTGTGAGCATGCTGATGATGGTGCTTTCGTTATTTATCTGTAAATATGGGACTCGACCGGTGGTGTTCGAAAGGGGTTGTTGAAGCATTGGTGATGGGGCACAAAAAGTCTGCTTAGAGGTCGTATTCATGATAGAATTCAATGACGCTTCTCCCGCATTGAACTCTCGTGTTTCTCATTACTCCGTAGGAACAGATGTTGACTATCCATTCGGAGTTTGTCGTCTTGTCATGTTGGTAAGTCGGGCCTTGCGGCCGCCGAGGTTGAGCAGCGGGAGCTGTGACGATAGCAGGAAGCTTCGCCTACAATAGGTTTGGGATCGTGCAGTTTGCTGGATCTCTCTGAACTCGATAGACACCCAAGTTGAGAACAGTCTTTCTGCCCAAACGAGCATGTCTAATCTCTCAGAGGGGGGACGCCCTGTTGCCGCACTCCGTAGTCTTAAGTGATTGAGCGGTACTGCCTTGTATATCGCCAGAGCAAGGTGGACAACCTCGGCCATAGATAAGGGGTTGTTGCGCTGTTCAAGCAAACGGGTTGGCATGAATCGTAACGTTATTGATCCGAAGCGCCTCATATTCCGTCTCTTCGCCCTCCTTCGGCTGAACAACTCTCCCCTTCTTATCAATCTTTGCGTTTGCCTTCTCCAACTTCGTGAGTACATCGCCGCCCTCATCTTGCGCTGTTAAGTTCAACACCTTGCCAAAAACAGTGCTCGTCCCATCGAGATGCGGAGCCGCAGCAAAGGTAATGAAGAACTGGCTTCCGTTTATCGTCTGACCGGTAGCACCCTGAGAGCCGGGCGCTGTCTGGTTTTTTACTGGCCGAGAAGCCATAGACAGGATTCCGCGCGTATTATGCCGAAGGGCGGGAAGCTGGATTTCTTGGTTCAGCGCTGAGGGATGGTAGATTGAAGTGCCGCCTTTCGGAATGTCGTCGAAGGGAAGTATGGCCTTTGTGCTTTCGCCAGAGCTCACTGCTGGTCCGAGGGAGATGTCGCCGCCTTGAATCATGAAGCCGGGCATTAGACGGTGGAACGGGGTGTTGTTGTATGCGCCGGTCGCGCAGAGGGCAATGAAGTTCTAACCAAGGCTCAGATTAGGTACTAGTCGCCGGAATATTGGATATTGAGAGATAATGGATTGTGATGGTGTTGATTCTGGCGCGGTCACCTACCTCCGCGGTCTTGGGCACTGCTTCGCAGAAAAGCTCGACCTTGAGGTCGCCGTGCGTGGTATGGAGCTATGCATTGAGCTTTTGTAAGCCTCTGGTCAAATTATAAGAGCCCTAGATGTTACTCACAGTGACCGACATCGTGCAGAAGTTGTCAGTGAGATGTCAAGAATGCGGAGAAGTATGTCGCGCGGAATGAAGCCTCGGAGGAGAATAGGCTCGGTCACATGACAAACAGTGATATACAGGCACTAGACATGGTTCGAAGCAACAACCACTCCAACCATTTCTCCCCTATCTCGAAGCAACTGACCTGAAGTCTATCACACAGCTAGAAGGTATCTAGCGAGCCATTACTGCCAAACCCGTCTCCCAGCGCCCAGATCGCCCACTTGCTCTAACCATAAATTTGACCATCACTTCTGAACGATCGATATCAACGAAGCCCAACAAGATGAACAACAGGCCTGTCGATCAGGCACTGGCCACTCTGCTGCCCACGCATGCCCAAGATCTCCCGCAAGAGCTTCGGAGCCTTGCCTTATCTTTCGTGGCGCAGTCACGAAGTTCCTCTTCAAGCTTGAGACCGGATGAAGAAATCGCGCGTCCGTTTGCTTGCGCCGAATTGGCTTGCAGAAGGTCCATATATATTATCCAAATCATAATGAGTTGTGATTGTGCAATCAACTGACTATTTGTGCTTCATATAGGCTCGCGCGTACGCTCAATCTACCTCCACTACTCGGCCACCCGCCCTGCCCTCCAAAAACCTACAAAAAGCTATACTCATTCCTTGAGCGATCGTTAAATCTGGCGAGTCCAAGACGTACAGAAAGTGCTTCAGCCTCGGGAACACCGAACCGCTCAGGATCCGCGCCTTCAACGCCGACGAAACAATCAAGGGTTGTACGGAGCCCATCAAAGGCTGCGGCGACGCCGCGCGGGTTAGAGAACACCCCCAGTAAACCAACTCCTCTGAAGAGAGCATACACGAATGACAATGAGTCGCGTACTCTGCAACGACCGAACAAAATACATAATGAAAGCCACTTGACCTCGACCAAGATTCCCGATGCACCGTCTTGGGTGATGACTTCCATCCGGACGGTGTGCAAAACATTATCGACTCCAGCACCACGAATGAGCACATGGTCTAGGCCGCCAATCTCAAGGACCCTCCCTCCACATATCTTCGCGGGTGTATCGTCAATACTTCACTTGGTCGACGGTAAGAATGACTTCGACGAAGACGCAATGGACTTCTTAGTGCCGGTTCTAAACGCCAAGGACAGAGAAAAGGACGATGACTTCAAGGAAGTTGTCAACGCCCTAGTGGTAGCGGTCTATTTCCTGGTTCTCGCCCGCCGACGCCAACCAGCCGAGTCCTCGACAGACACTCAACAAGAAGACACCAGGAAAATGGACAAGAAGACCTTCACCGAGATGCGCCAGACCGCACTCATGAGCCTCGGTCTCCCTCATTCTGAGCGCCGACACCGCGAAGACGTTGACCAGTGGATCGCGCTCATCATGGAACAGGACTGGGCTCATGGCAAGGAGTGGTTTGAGAACATTCCGCTAGCAGGAGATATAGACGGTGACAATGAAGCTCTTTCCGATGACGCCGGAAACGCAGGTGATGATGGCAACAAACGTCTCAAGGCATTACCTGGCGACCATGATCTGTTTTCTTCGGGAGAAGCCTTGAGGCGTGGACTCCTGCCGGGCTTGGGAACAATGATGCAGGACCGCGTGGACTGGCTGAGTCCCGAGCGTCGGGAAGACTACGCCGAGTGGAAGGCAGATATTCTGACTCGGATCGAACAGGCGGAGGCAGCTGCTCGTGGATAAGTAGTATCTTGGACTCCCTACGCGCCTATATGCGGATTCATTAACTATAAACTTGAATGCCATGATACCCGGCCTCGCGGCCTCTCTGTTATTGTCTATCACCATATCTATTCTAATCTAGCATTATCAGCATAAATGACGCACATCCCGGCTTCCAGCGCTGAGAGTCTCAGTAGGAAAAATGGCCGAATCTATAGATGTCCGAATTTCCTGAACAGTTGCAAGTAATATCAAAAGGGGTATAATGAGTTGCAAACCGGAAAAAGCACCAAATATCAATTAATACCAGATACTCCTCGTCCGATGATGAGGGATAGTTTCACGCCCTTGCTTTTCTAATTCCTTCATCGTATCATATAGAAAGAAATCAATCAAAATGGCGTTGATGCCGATGCCTGCGCCTGGTTGGGCGTTGCTCGCACTGCTGCTGTGCCTCGAGTGTCGTCGAAAGTGGCCGGTATGCGCGGCCTGTGTGTCAGTGTGGCTGTCATTGCCGTTCTGTTTTTCAGGAGGTTGTCTGGAATGTCCATTGGGGTGGGAAACACCATTGGAGTGCGAGTGTGAATGTCCATTTGAAAGTGACTTGCTGCTAGTCTTTACCAACTTCGCCTCGGGGTGCTGTTTTTCGATTTCGCGTTTGATCATTTCCACGCACCATATACTGGTTGCGCGAAGTTCGATTTCCCAATTGGAACCGCTGGGGATCTCCTCTTGTTTGCGAATGCGGGTCTCTAGGGGCGGAGAATACATGAGGCATCCAAGGTGGTGAAGCATTTGGGGAATGCGATAGTCTGAAAGCTGATTAGCAATCTAGCTTCAATTTGCTGGATATCCAAGGGAAGAACATACCGGCGAACATCGTGATCTTGTCAATGTCTTGAAACTCGCCGTAGCCCGCCCCGTCGAAGCACGCCCATAGATCTGCAACCAGGATTTGTGCCCGTTTGTAGAGACGTACACGGCGACCGTGGAAGACGGCCTCGTCCCGGAAGCACGAGAAGCTCTCCGCTAGAAGGTTGACTAGAGCAGCGGCTGAATGGTTTGCACTGTAAATGCAATTGGTGAAACTGCCATCAAAGTCCTATGAGAATTCAATGTGTCAGTGGAAATAGTTTTGAACATGCGCAGATCAACATACATTGCATAGTACTCGTCCTGCTTCGCGCAAGCATTCGAGACGTTCTTTGAGCAGAGGCATCTCTTCATCAGTCGCAGAGCGGAAAATGTGCTTGATCAACTCCTCTGTGCACTCCTCCTCGTCTGCCCAGAATTCCGGGTTTGTGATTTCAATTCCTTCGTCCAAAGCTCGTTGCAAAGCAGCCACCAAGCTCCAATATCCGGTCCACTTCTTTCCCCGGTACTCGATCGCAAAGCGCTTGTCCTCCGGCTCGGCGGACCAAAAGCTAAAATTCAGCAAATCCATGGTGAAAATAAAGTCGACTGTGCTTTCGTTTTTGGCCTTTGGGTGTAGCTCATGTTCCGACCAGCTGCTGGTTGAGTATTCTTTCTTTTGCATCTGGCGCCAAATCGTCTCTGCAGCCTCTTTGGTTTTGGAGGGATCTAGCGCGACATCGATAGCATTGTCGAAAACGTATTGTGAGTTTTGCAGGACCTTTGTCTCTGCTGCTCCTGGGTTCGCAGCTCCTCCACCCAGCCCAAGTGACTTGCGGAGAAGCGCGATCAGCTCGTGGTCTACCTCGTCATCAGACATGGGCGGCGATACTTTAGGACAAGCTAGATGCGACGGATAATGAGGACGAAAGATGGAACTCGGATAAATGGTATATGAAAAGGAATGTAGAAATACAAATTATGTGAGAAAGGAATGTGCAAATTTTTCAGAAAAGGAGAGAATGAGAACAAAATAAGACAGCAAATGCCTGGTCCAGTCTTTGTCTTAAGGAGGACCGTCGGTTTATCAAGACCCAAAGATGGACCCAGGAGGCTCCGCTGTGGCAGCCGCAGCCCAAGAACTCCGTGACAGCTGCCAGAAGTCCCGCTGAAGAACGCAAGGTAGCCAATTGAAGTCACTTGCCTGAAAATATCAATATCTCATGAAAATTTTGAGCTCCAACTCAGTTTGTGCGACATCAAAGTGATCTCTTCTTTGTGTTATCCTCTTTTCTTGAGTCATTGCGGAATGCGGAGGAATGCCATACTTATGCAGGGTTATCTAAGCTAGGAAAACGCCAGATAAGAGCCTCAGGCACATTAAGGCATCAAGCATATGCCCACCCATTGTGCTTGAGTGCAACTTGCGTTCGTGTTGCTGAACATAGGACATGGTCTGATGCATCTTATAGGATAGTCTAAGGCTTAGCATAGAAGCTCTGTCAGGGTGGCTTTGGACTACCCTTGTTGGCTTTACATTGATGCCGTGCTTCTAATTCTAACTCTATACCACTGCAACCTGCGGGATTTTATGCCCTTCATGAATCGCTAGCACAAGTCCCTTGTAGATAACGGCTGCTCAGACATGTGTCAGGCAGGGCTCATACAACAAGCCACAGTAACATAGCTTCGGGTGGTTGAGCTTGTATATCGGGACAAGTGCTGCGGGACGGAACGAATTGGCCGGGGTTGCACTCTAGCTATACTGAGACAATCACATCATTGCGGCTGCATCTGAGACCTGTTTACCCTGTTTGATATCTAATTCAGTCAAGCGCATTGCGCATTGGAGTTGCCCATTTGACGCAGATGAGCAACGCATCTGTCTAGCACTGGACCTCAGGTATTATTGAGGAGGGCTGGACTGTCGCTTCGTCATTCTTTCATGTACCGGATTTCCAGCGGCAACCTCTCCTCCTACTACTCTCTTGTGTTCAGCCGCGCCCTGTCCTCAGTTTTTTCTCTTTGTTTTTGCCAATTCTTCTGATACAACTCCGGCTCTTCCTCTTGCGATGCATCTGCCTGCAACCAGCTGTCTTTACTGAGTATCGATTACACCATGACCCGTGACACTTATCTTAAGCGCTCGCTCGGAACGCAAGCCAACCGCATCAGAGAGGTACTTGACCTTCTCGCATTCAGCGAGACCCATGCTTCTACTGTTCAAAGACTGTTCTTTGCGGTCTACTCTATCTTGCGAACATCTGGCTAACACCGTGATCCTCACGTAGTCCCGAGTTCTCCTTGTCGGCGCTGGCGGAATCGGCTGCGAGCTCCTCAAGAACCTCCTCCTCACCGGGTTCGGCGAAATCCACGTCATTGACCTGGACACGATCGACTTGAGCAACCTAAACCGTCAATTCCTCTTCCGACCTGAACACATCAAGAAACCCAAGGCCTTAGTACGTTGCTATTCCTGAGCGTCACCCTTCGCTTGTCGAGCTATTGCGCCTCCGTCCGTTCTTGTGGTTTTGAAGCTGTTCTGACATAGCTGGATGCATGATTAGGTTGCAAAAGATGTTGCGCAAAAGTTTCGGCCCAGCGCGAAGATTGAGGCTTATCACGCCAATATCAAGGACAGCAACTTCGACGTGGATTGGTTTGCGACTTTCAATGTCGTCTTCAATGCGCTTGACAACCTTGATGCGCGGCGTCATGTCAACAAGATGTGCTTAGCTGCTGATGTGCCTTTGGTTGAGAGTGGGACAACTGGCTTCAATGGCCAGGTGCAGGTTATCAAGAGGGTTAGTATATATTGCGTTTTCACTCGGAAGCACCACTGACTTTCTTAGAATGTGACCGAGTGCTACGACTGCAACTCTAAAGAGGTTCCCAAGACATTTCCTGTGTGCACCATTCGAAGTACGCCAAGCCAGCCAATCCACTGCATCGTATGGGCGAAAAGCTATCTCTTGCCGTATGTCGCAAATTCCACGGGTTTAGATTTTACGCATACTAATTTATCATAGCGAGTTGTTCGGAACGAGCGAGGCTGATGCTGAGAACCTTGACTACTCTGAGGATGCCGACAATGGTTTGTTCGCACGTCATTTCAATAAAAACTTCCTAACATTTTTCATAGTGCAAGAACTTGAAAACCTGCAGAGAGAAGCGAGGGCTCTGAGGGAAATCCGCCAATCGATGGGGTCGGCCGAATTCGCCCAGAAGGTCTTTGACAAGGTCTTCAAGGAAGATATCGACCGATTACGCAGAATGGAAGATGCGTGGAAAACCAGAAAGGCTCCGGAACCTCTGGACTTCCGGGAACTGGAAGAGACACTGTCTAGTGTAGAACCCGGTATTTCTTTGAAGGACCAAAAAGTCTGGACAATCTCGGAAAGTTTGGCGGTGTTCAAAGACAGGTGAGTTGGCATCCCTGATCATCAGCCAACCCAGCCCAGCCGCGATAAATCTGCTTTGATGCTTGAACATGCGTCATGTCATTTTTCATGGAGATGTTGTGGCACCTGCTAACTGACTACCCAGTTTGGATCGCTTAAGCAACCGACTGAAGACACTACAAGCGTCCAAAGATGGCTCAGCGGTGATCGAGTTCGACAAGGACGATGTCGATACATTAGACCTCGTCACGGCGAGTGCGAATCTTCGCGCCGCCATCTTCGGAATCGAACGAAAGTCAAAGTTTGACACAAAACGTATGTCTAGCTTCTTTAGCCCTCAGTATCAAGTATCATCGCTAACGCCTGTCCCAGAAATGGCGGGCAATATCATCCCAGCGATTGCAACCACAAATGCTATGACAGCCGGCCTTTGTGTCTTGCAAGCGCTGAAGGTACTAAAAGGTGATTATGACCATGCAAAAATGGTGAGACTTTTCAATCCATTTCTGTTTATCCATGTTGACCTTTTTGTCTTTGATTAGGTTTTTCTCGAGCGATCAGGAGCTCGTGCACTCAACTCCGAAAAACTAAACCCTCCAAATCCACACTGTCCTGTCTGTTCTGTTGCGCACGCTAAAATCGAAGTTGACTTGTCTCGCGCCACATTGAATGACTTGGTTGAGGACGTACTCCGAACACAGCTCAAGTATGGGGAAGAATTTTCGATCAGTACTGAGTTGGGCCTTATCTACGATCCAGACCTCGAGGATAATCTTCCCAAGAAGCTGGTCGATTTGGGAATCAAAACTTCAACTTTCCTAACCGTTATCGACGAAGATGAGCAACCAAGAGTTAACCTCCAGCTCATCGTAGTTGTTCCTAGCGCGCCACCATCAGACGAAAGCACTATCGTGCTGAACAGGATACCCGAAATCCCGCGGAAGCCACAAGCACCTACACCTCCTCCAGAGCCTGAGACCAACGGCATATCAAACTTAGGGAAAAGGAAACGCGACGTTGACGAATCGGAGCTCAACGGTGATCCTCCCACCAAGCGCGTGGCAAGCGTCTCGATTTCAGATGGTGTTGACAAGGCGCATCCCATCGATCTATCAGAGGCTGAAGGGGGCGCTATCCTCATCGACGATGACTGAGGGTGTCGGTACGCAGCAACTATCTACGGCCGACTCTGTAAAATCTTCTTTTTGTTTTAGGCGGCACTTTGGGGTTTGGATTATCGGTCTGCATCTCCATCTTCTTACAAGTGCAATTCATGTATCATACGTCAACCAATTTTCACGATTACGGACGATCTAGCTGGGAATAGATATCACGGCCTTTTATGTGAACCCGAGCTCGCTCCTTCTGATTCCCGGGCGCATTGTTGGCCAATGTATCTAAGCGTTAAGCAGTAGGGTTGCCTCTTCGTGTGCTCGTGGCACGATAGGTCTGCCCAGCATTTTGTTCCTCTTAGTTAATTTGCAGTCAGCTATCCTCTCGTCTGAAGGGCGATCGGGCTAAATCAAATCGCACTCAGTCCACCGTCAAGGTTAATAACGCAGTTATTCGCATACTCGTTCTCAGCCAGAAAGACCGCAGCGTCGGCGACTTCATGAGGCTGACCGAAGCGTCGGAGCGGAATATCTTCTTTGAGCCTGTCATTTTCAGACTGGCTGAAATCTATCAATTGCAAAATAATCCAATTAGTCAACATGCGCAACTAGAAAGGTGAAATAAAGACAAAACTGCAAGCCATACCAGCAATCATAGGCGTCTCGATATACCCCGGCACAATGGCATTAAAGCGGATAACCTCATTGCGCAGCGTCTTGGCCGCCTCAACCGTCAATGACCTCGTCATTCCGAGGACTCCAGCCTTTGACGCAGCGTAGGGGACCGCGCCTGTGCCGCCTTTCAGCGCTAGGAGGGAGGAGATGTTAATGATGCATTTGGAGGGGGTTGCACCGTCGCCGGCACGGTTCTTCATTCGGTTGCGGATTGAGGCGCGGATAAGGGCTCGCGAGGTCAAGAGGGAGCCTTCGAGGTTTGTGCGCAGGACTTGTGATATGGCGCTTGGGTCTGTGCGGGGGAGGACGGTCGAGGTTGATATGCCGGCTGCGTTGATGAGGATGTCGACGGGCTGCTGCGGGTAGGTGTTCAGTATGGAGGCTTGAGTGAGATGACCAAGGACATACCATTGCGCTCTCCAGCTCCCGCGTCCACTCTGCCGCCTCTGAGATGTCACCCACGAGCAGACTAATCCGGCTTGATGAGTCCAACAAGGTACCCGGCGGGGGCTTGCTTCGGTCCTGCGCTTGGTTCTGGTCTTCCTCTGGCGCCCTAGTAGCAACGATATTATCCGCTGTATCAATTTGGCTGGGCTGAGCAGTGGCGGTTGGACGCTCCAATTGCGCCGCTGCGCGTGCGAGGCGTTCATGCGATCGTCCGACGAGAATGATGTGCTCAACTCCTTCGTTGAGAAAGCGCTCCGCGATCGCGAAGCCAATGCCGGAGCTCCCGCCTGTGATCAAACATGTTCGGCCGGCGAGTCTGTTGGAGGGGTGGAATGAGGCGCTGCCCTTGGTGTTTGGGTCGTAGGAGGTGAATAGGCGGGTTTGGATGATGGTTGTTCTATAGTCGAGCTTTGCGCGAATGTGCGCGCGGAGATGAGGGATTGGAGAAGCTGATACCCTGCGGAAGGGATGGACGCAAATGCGATTCATTGTTTGGTTGGATTAGTCTCCGATACCTAGCTGAAATGGTGAGAATATGTGCAAGTATGCTCTTATTTGCAGTCCTGTCGCAGAGCCAGTCATTAACCCACTGGTCAACTCTTAGCATTGGCTGTATCGCATGTGGAAAGATATACCTGGTAGCCGAGATCTATGAGCTCTACATTTCACCAAGAGTGTCTCTCAGACAAGGTCGAGACATTCTTATCCGCGGAGTGCGGGCGGAGCTTGAGCACGGACCACATTTCTGATGGCTGCGCCCCTCCAGCTTTTCTCTCTGAGTTCTGTTTCTCCTCCATCAACCCACCCATCAACATCTACTCTCCAGATACATGAAGATGGCATCTGGAGAAGCGCCACAGCACGAATACGTTACGCTCGTGTCCGGCGACGGGTTTGAGTTCATCATCCCACGAGACACAGCCTGCATTTCCGGCACGATACGTCGCATGCTCGATCCCTCAAGTCAGTGTCCTCGGCTTTACCACGACTCTATCAACACCGGGAAGGGAAAGAGCTTAAGCTAACTGTTTTCTTTTTCGAACAACAGGTAGATTCTCAGAAGCCTTGACCGGTCGCTGCGTCTTTGAGAACCTGAGCGGGGTCGTCCTCGAGAAAGTATGCGAGTATTTCTTCTACAACCAGAAGAACAAGAATCAAACGAACGTACCCGATATGGATATACCGCCGGAGCTGTGCTTGGAGCTTTTGATGGCTGCGGATTATTTGGATACATGATGCCTGGGTATGTTTGACGTGATGGTCGTCTGCTAGGCTGACGGGCTAACGGGCTATGCAGCACCTCTAGGCGATACGATTGATGGCGAAACGATACGGATCTGGGGATGGCTATTTGCATCGGCACGGGAGTTTTATTGGTTTTCTGAGGCGGAACATTTTACTACAATCGGCGTTTCTGGCACATTGGTATACGGGTTTCTTTTCCGAATAGATACGCTTTCTCCGTTTTATTCACCGCGGTGCGTACGGCTTGGCGGTTGTTTCTCTTATTCTTCATACTTTTGTGATCTGAAGTCATGCCCTTTCAGGCTGCCGAGTTTAGCCATCTATCGCATCTGTGTCCAGCCTTTCCTATGGCTGGAGGCTCTAAAGATGATGGCAGATCAGAAGCATCCCCCTCTTTCAGCCTTTTTCCACTTTCCGATGGGTATCTGGCTTCATTCAAGGGGAGACAAGCCGCTCTTGGTTTTTGCCGTTGCGGCAAAAATGTGTAAATCCGTTGGAAAGAGGGTTGGTAGCCCACTCGGCAAATAATCATCGCTTTTTGAATTTGTGCCTGGGCGGCCCCCGGTTCTTGTTCCCACCGGAAGGCCGTTGTGCATAAAGTTTCTCTTTTCCAAATGCCGCGTCTGCGATTTTGAGATAACTTACGACGCCTTGATCAACCACGGCCAGGATGACATTTCGATAGCCGTTCTTCAATCGCACATATAGCTGGCTGTTAGGACGAGGCGGGTTCAAAGGCGTGCTTTCAAGTAGAGTCCAGATTTGGGACACGGTAGGTATGGTGGTAGTTCGGGCGTTTATAACGGCGATCTTGAAATCGGGATCCGGTGGAGCGGACTTGCGGAAACTAGTAGATGGTTTGTAGACATGCCACACGACGGCGTAAGGAAGTCTTGGCTGTGGAGAAGGCGAGGCGGAAGTAACGGGGTCATAAAAAGGTATCAGTGAGAGTTTGCGGTAAATCCTGTCTGTTGGGAAGTATCAGCAATGCTCAAACAAAGTTGGCCGGATTCTTATACCGTAGCTATGATGGAACCCAAGACCAGCAACAGGTCCCACTGCCGTGGTGGGCGCACCATCGCATAGCCATCCCATGAAACGAGAAAAGATCCCAGCTAATCCTGGTCCCTGCCGGGCAACAGACTGTGCAGCCGCTTGTGAAACTTTCTCTTCGTCGCTTTCGCTCCATCCAGGTGCTCGAAGAACAGCGTAACCCAGTCGTCTGAGACCGGTGAAAACAGAGTACCTCTCCATCGTCAATCCTCCACGTCCCATTAAACACGCGTAAGCAGCTTGTAAGCTCATAGGTAGCCCAGAGTCTTCAATGTCGTCTTCGTCTCCGTCGCCGACAGCACAGCGGGGCCACCTTATATCCAGGGTCCCTCTCTCCAGCAGATACAGAGCCTCCTCCGGAAGCAGCCATACCCGGCTCCAGCGATCTGCCTGTCCCAGTGACTTGAAGAATGGTCCCTTCGCCTTTGTAACGTAGACGCATGCGTCCGCCGGTACCTGTGCGCCAATTGAGACCGGTGCTGCTTTCTCGGCTGCTTTCTCGGCCGGGGCCTCTTCAGCAACTGTATCCAGGGACTTAGAGATCGCAGGCGGAGCAGGTCCATTTGGCGCGTAGACTCCGATGAGTAGGTTCTTGGGATGGTGTAGTCGAGGGTATGCGAGGGCATTATGCATAGCCTGCCGCGATGCGGAGAGGATGTCGGCCTGGAAGACGGTCGGGTTCGGCTCGAAGTCCTTTTCACCTCGTTTGGGCAGAGAGAGATTGGCAGTGTCAAGACTATTCATGCGAGAATCAGTATGCTTCAATAAAGGCTAAGTAGAGCTGTAGCGACTGACAAGGAGAGGTTGTTGAGCATGCGAAAGTCCTGCGTTTCATCCGATAAGTCGATGTCGGCATGAGCTCCTCCAGTGGTAGAATTGTTGATCGCATCCTCATCCAAGTCCGCCATGATGAAGACTGGAATCAGCTTCGGTTGATCCGATGGAAGACTGGTGTTGAGTGTTGAGTGGTTGTGCGGAGACGGTAAGGTGCAGTCGCAAAAAAGTTTGGATCGTTATCAGTCGACTGAGGACTCACACTCCGGTCCAGATCTTCCCCACACGTTCCCCCGACTTTATTTACTTCTCTATACATACACCTACTTTGAATCATTCGAGTAACATTATGGATTCTGGAGCTGCGATGAGGACCGGGGTCGACTACAATGAAGTTCTTATTCAGGTATACGCGCTGCCATCCTACTTCGTCGAGACGCCCCGCCTAACCAACATGGCAGATGTCGACGAATCTCAATAATGTTTTGGCCACCTACGGAGCGTCGTCCACTCAATATCAGACAGTGCTGGAAATGCTCAAAGACTCTATGCGCGAAGTGGACAAGACCAGGAGCCAGGGAGCTCAGGAAATCAATCCCGATGTGCTCAGCGTCGCAATGGGTTTCCTGGAAATCGGGAAATGAGGCCGTTTATCTCGCTAGCTTGGCGACGTGAAGCTTACCATTGACTGGGCGACAGTCGGAATGGTAACGTCGGTGCCTGTGAAAGCGCAGCGCAAAAGGGCTGAGCATGAGGGGTACAAACCTCCAACTCCAACATCAACCTCACTCGCCGACAGCCTGTGGATCAAGTCAGCGTGGCCTGAGACCTGGAAGATTGAGTCGCACAGTTTACATCTTTAGGATGCAGTCAACGGCGCGCTCAAGGCTTCTTATTCGGTGACAAGGAACTTCCAAGCTAAGGAAGCACCGGCCCGGTCCTAACTTGGGCCCCAAGCAATATAACTATCTCCTCCTCCTATTCATTTACAACGCGTCTCCATCTCTCCAGCACACTCCCCAGCTGCAATCATGGCCTCTGTCTCAGAAAGCACTCCTCTACTAGCCGACTCAGGCCCCCAAGAGGTCGGCGAATACGGAATTGCTCAAGAGAGCACAGACACCCCTTCTCCGCAAGCGAGACCACCTTACCACCGAATTATAGTAGTCCTCACCCACCTTTCAGCGGCCCTGTCAGTCCTTGCTCTAGTCTTGTACTTGACAGTTGGCTCCCTCGACGCCGCTGGACCAGGCGGCTTCTACCTATTTTGGAACCTAGTTGTAGCCATCCGGGACCTAGCTGCTATCGTACGTACCGACTCTTCCTTTCAAAAGAAGAGGAACAAGATATGCTAACTGAAACCAATCCCAGTGTATCCTAGCTTCCATCGCCTCATCTCTCAATCTAGCTCGCCTTCGACACGCGCGTCGCCCGCTCTGGCTCTGGCCAAACCTACTCGTCGACGCCGTGGTCGTGTTCTTCACCTTTATCATCGTACCAGGAGCTCTAGCGGAGGCCTCCGCCATTAATCCTGACTCGTGGCTTCCTGATCGCCGGGGAGTGGCGACCGCCAGGGCCGTGATCGTGCTGTTGATTGTTGGGCTGATTGCTAGTTTGCTTGTCGGGTATGTTTAATCGCTTCCCCCACCCTTCTCATTGAGGTGGTTATGGCTGGCTAAACCTCAAAACTATAGGCTGGCTCATTTGGCTCTGCTTTTCCTGCGATGCTTTGCATTCTTTCAGAGCGAGCCGTCGCAGGGTCCACGGACTTGGAGGGTTCCTGGTGGCGAGTTCAGGGTTGAGTTTAGTATTAAGTTTCTGCGACAGGGGGATGGTGCTAGGAGGGAGTCTAGCGATGCTGAGGCATGATCTGCCGCTATACTTCTGCCAAAAGGCCGTAGAATCTGGTGTACAGTGGGTACACTTGTCGAGAGATACTTGACTGTACATTCACAGTGATTGAAGTATATCCTACCTGCAATGGTACTGGTACCGTTGCTGTGAACTCTGAGTAAAAGATGGTGCAAGTTAAAGGTATATTCGATTAGGCAGAGCTAGATTGTAACCGGTAGCCAGCCAGATTATTCTGAAAGCAGTCGAGCATAAACTCCTATTCCTACTCCAACCCCTAAGCTCCTCCTAGATTCAACGGCCGTGGCGGAAAGAACCAAGGATAATCCAGAAGAAAAGACCAAGACACGCCCCAGTTCCCAGACCCGACCAGAGACAAGGACAGTAAATACAGAAAGGTATGGCTATCCAGGAAGAATTGAAAGAAAAATAGATAATGAATAAACGAATAAAACGGCAAGATGCAAGAAATAGGTATGAACTCCGTATGCCATGCATTCGTGAAACGTAGTTGGCCTGCTTATGCTTCTGCCTCTGCTTGCCCAGGCTGCAGTGTTGTACGGCGACACGTACGTCTGTGTATATGTGATGTAGTGAGATCTTGCAGTGCAGCACAGGCTGACCTCAGCTTGCTAGTTAGCCACAAAATCGTCAACCCATCGGTCCGTTCTGTATAGTGGCAGTCGGTTCGGGTGGTATGTGTAGAGTGAGATCTTCGGTTGGTGCTTAATGGTGAGGGCATGTTTTGAGTGTAAGCGTGATGAGTTGCGGCACTCCCCGTTCGTTTAATCTATCAGGGGCTTCTTTTGATTGCCGACGATGGCGACTCCTAGATGTCGAAGGCCGTTGGGGTCCGTGGGTCGAACTATTGAAGGTAAGGGTAATGATGGGTTGTCCGGGTTGATGTGGGCGGCTTCTCGAGCTGCTTGTTCGATAGCTTCCATTTCCTCTTTGCATCCAGCGTGATCGAGAGGGCAGACGACGATTGGTTGTCTTATCACAATATCTCGTGCGGATGCTAGATGGGCCTGGAAGTCGTTAGTTTGAGCGAACTATCCTTTCAACTGGCTCCTAGCACAAACCTTGACTGTCAAATAGTATTCAATCTTATAGAGGGTTGCTGTAGTGGTAAACCCGCTAACGGCGTATGTGGGGAATCCTGACTTGCCCCTTGGGAGGATTCCCTCTCCATCACGCATATCCTTCGCTGGGAACACTAGACCCATATTCGTCAGAAATCCAGTCGGAGGCATCTTCACGCCAATTGGTTCCGTCCGTTTCGTTAACGTTTTGACCTTACGTTGAGGCTCGTCACCCTCGTGGTTGTAGATAATCTCCTCATCAATTCCAATGGTGATCTTGTTTATCGTAACCTTTCTGGCCTTGCTGATCCAGTCGGGATTCGGGGACAATTTGACGTAGACACTGACGGGATCGAGAGGGCCATATGACCACCGCGGTAAGGAGATACCCAGCGTCACCAGATGATCCGATACACTTTCCGCAGACTCCGGGCGATTGTACATCCCAAATGTCGATAGCGTGTCATACCGTGCGATAGGAACCGGAAACGAATACTTTCTCTGGTCCGAATGCCCTTGCTGCACCATCACCACAATCTCGTAGAATGTTTCCGCGGTGCGACTGGGCAGCTGCAAGCTAGCCGGCGGAACTCGTCTAGATGCGTCCGGTCCGCCCCGTCCGAAGGGAATAAATAGGACGAACGGCAGGTCCATTGATAGAACTTCCTCGAACTCTCGACCAGCCGGACAACGGAAAAGGAGCATTTCTTTCCCAACGGTATCGGAGATGTCTTTCCTAGGAGGCGCTAGGCGCTTCTTTGCGACCGAGTCTGCTGACGGGTGGATCGTTTCTCGCCGGACGAGAGATACTGTGACGAGCGATACGTTGACGGGGGCCGTGATGCCGACGCTGGGTCTAATCTCGACTTTTCCCTGTATTCGTGGCTGGAAATAGTGAGCGCAATGGTTTATCATATCCTACAGTATATAACGCACCATGGTCGCCGATATCCCCGGGTATCCGATCAGAAAGTTGCCATTTGCAGGCCCCGACACTCGCACAAAGGCGGCCATTGTGAGAGCGCAGCTCCCGCACCACCATCGGCGGGTGGTATGTGAGGGGAATGCGCTTCAGGGAGTGATTGCGGACTATTTGAGCTCGGCGTCAGTAGCCTTGAAGGGTTCATAGAGGGCTCGAGGCGGCACAAGAAAGCTGGCGGTTGATCCGGCGACGCTGACAGTGGTGCAACGGCTTGGAATGGTACCGGTACCTTGGCAGGTCCAGGCACTGCCACGGCCGGATCAAAGCGTTTCGAGAAGGGTCAAGAACGAACTAGGGTTGTCTTGTCGTAAAGGGGTTGAAGTCTCAAGACAGGATCAGGATGGAGAGACGGAGCCGCAGAGGGCGTTGAAAGCGGCTAAGAGTGCAAGTTGATTGTTGGTGCTGCCGGCGTGGTGGGGAAGCTGAATGACTCGGAATACTTAGTCCAGCCTTGCTTCAGCGATGCGAAGTATACAACAACCACTTCAGGCGATCGTAAATCGCAGCGCTTCTCTCTTCGGGCTTATGAGCTGAAAGCACCCCTCCTCACTCGGTGCTCGCTAGCTGATTCCTTTACTCCGTTAGTTCTCCATCTCCAATGATTATCATTACTTCTTCTGTCGTTCGGCGTCTCAAACGTCATCGCTGTTTGGGGTCATCTTACCTTCTTACAAGCAAAGCATCCAACAGATCCTCGAGCAAGCCTAGGCCTGCCGCCTGATAAGATCAACGATATTCCATTATCAATGGGACGCTGACTCCAGGTCTGACGATGGTGAAACCTGGGGCGAGGCCGATGGTCCGTCTTTAGGCGAATATTGCCTGCATTTATATATCACTGCAATCGCTCATTCGTCCAGCGTCCAGCAGCCGGCACATTTGTCGAGTCTACAGAGTACTAATTTGGGTTGTCGTATTGGTGGGGTTTCACTCCACGGAGTACGGAACAAAATGAGGCTCTCTGCGGCTCGTATACTTTGTACCTTACTACCCCGTAGTATGGAGTTGTGTAAGGAGAGCATAAGCACCTACTCATCATAGCAACCCCGCAGGCCTACTTGCACCATGTCGCATTACCAAGAACTAGAAAATCAGGGATGGAAAATTTTATTATGCAAATGTACGGTTCGAGTATGTAGTATTGACCTCTGCAATCTTCTTTTCGTCAGTCCGTGAACTGAGTCTTGACTCTGGATCGGTTGCCCTCGCAACAGGCGATGACATCGTCCCCCACACATCCCGAGCCAGACTTGACCTCCGCACACTCATCGACCTCAACGACATCCTGCAGCCTAGACCGTGAACAGCATCGATATTTCCGACTACAGAATCTCGAATCAAACAATATGCCGCCCGCCCGTCGTCGTGGAGGCAACACTGCTTCCGCCCGCTCCAATCAGCCCGTTTTATCCTTTGGTGCAAAATCCAGGGTAACAAAGCCGTCTGCTGCCCCTTCGACGCCGTCCGAGAAGACCAAAGCTCTAGAGTCCCTTGATTCAGATATCTCCGATAAAGATGTATCGAAATATCTATCAGATTCGAAGTCCGTCGAACCCGGGCAGCCTCATGTGGCTGAGCTTGCTGTGAGGTCTCAAGCAAAGGCCGAGATCGAGCAACCGTTATCGGAGGAGGATAAGAAAGCGGCCAAGATCACAAAGAAGCAGCTGCAACAATATTGGAATACTGAGGAGTCGAAGGATAGGGGCCCCAAAGGTTGATGGTTGCCTTACTTGATAGTGGGAGACGCACTGACCGTCCTTAGTTCATCAAGAGGGCCTTTCGCTGGACGAGAAGATCCTGCGGCATTTTGATCTTTCTAGCCAGTATGGGGTACGTTCCGCACAAGCAGCCATTGAAAATACCCGGCCATTGGGAGGCAACCTCGCTAATAATAGCATCTAGCCTTGCATTGGCATCGCCCGTCTGAAACGATGGAGGCGAGCAAACTCGCTCAAACTTAACCCTCCAGTGGAAGTTCTCTCAGTGCTCTTGAAGCAGGAGGGAACTGCTGGGCAACGCGCTTATATCGATGAATTGATGTCATGAGTCATGCTCCAAAGACGGATGTAACAATTCACCTTGGGCTAATGAGGTGGTTTCTTGACATATATGTTGGCGTTCGACACGAGGGCTAGGTTCGGCGTTTGGAGCATACTGTACATACCCTTTGAAGAATCTCATTTCTATTTTTATTCACCATGGGATACATCTTCAGCCTACCGACGTGTGTCCGTGACCACCAATTGAGTGCTATAGGGGACGGGAACTATCTGCAATCTCGCACAACAGCAAGCAATATTCGAGGGAAATGAGCCGGAGTTCCTCGAGACCCCAAGCTCGAGTGGCTAGCAAATGTGCCGTGCTTCTTGCCACTTCCTCCCAGGCTTTGCCTGTTCCATCTTGAGTTTGCTCGTCACACCCTTTTCCCTGCTCTGACTCTCAACAGAAAGTCTAGTGGTCCTTGAATCCTTGCTCTTTGCTGATGCCTTGCAAGTGGTCATACCTTCTTCTTAGCTGTGCAGCATTGGCACAGATTGCATGCTGGAGAATGCCTTCTTACTCTCTGCTGTATTTTGTCTTGGTAATGCGGAGTCGAGACAAAGTTTTGCGCCTGCGTTAGTCCATTTCGATGTCACCTCAGCAGCCTCTTACGAGCCACCGGCCTGTGTCACTACTCAGCGCGTACACGGGCCCTCAGTTCATCGAAACCAGGGACATTTCTTGATGCACCGTCCAATGAGCGGCTATATACGGAGCTCCTTTTCTCGCAATGCATGTGATCTCAGTGTCTAAAGGGCAAGCCATATGGCCCTTGAAAAGGGTATAAAGTGAGCTGATATTTCCAGAATTGAATGCTGCTTGCTACTGTCTACATTGCCTGTTCTATTCCCTTTGGCTTTATAAAGATAAGGTCCGAGGTTTCCGCAAACCACTTTCTCATCAGAATGAAGCTTTATATCGGGTTTACATTGCTGTTCGGTACCAGCCTCACACTGGCCCAAGGTCTTCCCGATGTGCCCACCTGCTCTGTGAGTCCACCAAAGCGCACGAGAATTCTGCTTATACCTGACTCCCCGGATAGCTACAATGTTTCCTCAACGCCATGTCCAGTGACGGCTGCCCCTCTCTCACCGATTTTGCCTGCCACTGCCGCGAGCCCGCCCTTGTCGAACAAGTGACTCCCTGCGTCGAACAAGCTTGCAGCGAACCAGACCAGTCCTGTACGTCTTAGGTCATCGAGCACTGCATCTCATCTCATGCTCTACATGTTCATCCTCTTCAGAGACTAACCTGCTCAAAGCCGTCTCCAACGTTGTGATGACCGCATGCTCCAGCGCCGGCGTTCCTATCTCCATCCCGCCAGTCGGCGCAACTACAGCTACAACTACAGGAGATGGCCCAACCACGACAGGTGAAAGTGCCACGCCCAGTTCGGTCAACCCCTCTGGGCCTCTCATGACGCCTTCCACTTCGACTGATACGACTACTCCGATGTCGTCGCCGAGTACCCCTGGTGTCTCGAGCCAGCTGATCCCGTCTGATCCGGCTGCTACCTCGTCGCAGTTTCTCGGGGGCGCTGGGTCTTTCCGCGCTGGAGGGAAGTTGGCTGGAGCTGCGGCAGCTATTGCGGCTGGGTATCTGATGTGATGAAGGGATGGTACTAGAGAATTTGTTTCCGTAGAGAATCTATTAGAAGGGCTGTGGCAGGAAGGCTGGGGAGAGAAAGTAGATGTTACATTGTGTCAGTCATCGTGTACTGAGCTTGCTTGATTGCAATTCATAACCTAAGCTATTTGACCTTGAAAACATGCCTTTGGATAATGATCAGTGCGTAGAGTGAATTTGAAGCCACACCTGCAAGCCAATAGGTGGTAATAAAGAAACTAAGATGCAGTGTGCAATGCCTGCTCACTTCTTTGATACATCCAATCTGTACATTTCCTGCTTTGATGCAGTTTAGGGCTAGTACCTCTAGGCCATTGGACTACAAACATCACAGCCCTACTCCAGCTCCAGCACAGGTCTTTGTAAGGATAGTGACCCAGTATCTTTAACCATTGTAGTGCTACCTCATTGCAAGAAACTGAAGTTCACTTGATTAGTCGTGGCTTAGTCGGCGCCGAGAACACAATCACCACAGCGATGCTTGAAAGGCTCTATTCATCTAGGGACTCTTGCTCCTTCCCCTCTCACACTGGAGACTCCCATCGCACCTTCCCTTCCCACTCCACCAACAAAGCCAACAAACATAAACCAAGAGCCCAAGCCAGTATAAATGGGTTCAAGCGGCGCTACAACAATTGACATAACGACGTTCAACGATTTAGACAACCCCACCAAAAAGGACAACGGAAAGAACACAGGAGACCCGACAATAACTGCGAAATGCCGTGGCGTCCTCGACGGTTCAGACGGCCTCAGACGGGGCTCACCGGCCATGACTTTCGTGCTTATCAGATAGTCATGTTCGTCTTGGTGATCCTGGGTTCGCTTCTGTACTCATGGGTTCGCTATGTCTGGCGTACAGGCTGGCTCATATATCAGTGCGTGAACGACGTGTTTTTTGGGGGAAGCAGCGAACCTGTTCAGATATTGTTTTCCACGCTGGAGCTTATCTTCTCGATTCTGGTGAGTTCTCTTTTTTCTTGGGGAGCGCAGCTTGTGGGTCACGGACATTGGGATGCGTTTGTGGTTGCAGTAATAATGATGTGTTTAGATGATGGGGATACTGTTTATACTGTCTTGGGGAACCTCTGAAAAGGGCTTCCGTCCTTGGACCTGGGGTTATCGGGTGTTTTGGTACTTGGCAGGTTATGTTCAAGCCGCTGGATTGACCGGCGAAGGACCGGGCTCGGTAGGTGTTTCGTCTCTGCGAGATGCTTTTATCAGCTTAGTGTTCCTCATCTGCACTGCGAATGGGGTCTGATATGAAATATGCAGGAAGTCGCATCATCTCGCGGTGCACCTGAGCCAGGGAACACCGGGAATGAAGACGCTGACGCCGGTCATGGCCCACATCAAGAGGAGGAGAGTGAAACACATGGCCAAACTGCGCAAGACAGCGATGCTGAGACAAGAAACGCACCATTGCAGGAGGGGACGGCCAATTCACCGAAGAAGACAAGCAAGAAGCAGATCAAGAAGAGCAACCAGAAGGAAAAGGAGAAGAAGAAGAGAAGAAGAGGAAGGAAGTAAACGACAAAATAGTTGCTTACAGCGTCTCGATTTCTTGCTGCTCGCATCACCAGCCGCACCACTCGAGTCCTCAACGTCCGCCATTTCTCCAACATCCTCGATGTGTTCCACGGTAGCTTGGTCATGGTCATCGGCGTCCAGGTAGGCCTGGTAGGTATCGAAGCCCATATCATTCAGGGAACATCCGATCACTATGGTTCCAAATTCTGCATTATCATCGCTTCGAACTCCTGGACCGGCATCTCGCACATCGCAGCCGATCCAAATGGTTCCTGTTTCGGGCTCGTTGTTTTCGTTGTTTTCGCCGCTACGATCGTTCACGGCATCGGTGGTGGTTACAGTGCTAGCTTCAGAAATCTGGTCACTGATGTCGGCTTCGTATCCCGAAGAATGAGGCTCGCTATCATTGGGATTGCTTGAAGACATGGTGGGTTTCAGTGAATCGAGAGGCTGCAAAGAGGAAGTGTATCTGTATCCAGGCTCTATCCAGAAGATATGCTTTATGCTTGGAGTTGATATGACAACAGGAAAATGACAAGGAAGATGCAATGTCCAAGGGAACTGTTTGAAGTAAGGGAATGAAAAGAAAGAGGACGTAGAAAAAGACTAAATGTCAAGGCACAAGAGGGGAGGGAAAAAGCGCGCAAAGGCACACTGCATGCTCGCTTGGTGAATGACCACACCCTAACACCAGAACACCAAGCCTAAAAGGTTCGTCACCAAAGGTCATAACACAAGAAAAATGACATGAAAGAACAGGCAGAGCCCAGGCAATCAGCTGCAACTCAAGAGAAATACCCATTAATAAGTGACTATAACTGGATGTGGAGCTCCCAACATACCCCAGCATCAATATTAAACACCTTTTTGAGAGCCAGCTCTCCATGCCCTGCGCCACTTAAAATCTAGAGTTGTAAGTGAGAATGGTATCACAATGCATCCAAAGATAAGAAATGAATTCAGTGAGTCCCGCAATGCTATATTATGACCATGACTGAAAGAAAAACACAACAAATAGGGATATCAGATACTAGAAGAGAAAACGAGATAACGACAGGGCTACTATACCAACCCTACGGCACCCATAAACGTACAAACCCGCCCACCTCCTGCCGACAGGTCACGCAGCTCCCGAAGTTGTTCATCGCTAGACTCACCCTGCAATCCTCACATATACACAGGCATCGGCAGGGCCAGACGATGATGGAGCGAGAGTTTGTTTGGCAGACGACACAGGGAGGGCCGCTAGATCCTAGGCCCGAGGCGCCGGATTCCCAGGTTTGCTCGGTGTTGCCGTTGCTCGAGGAGGCTGCAGAGCGCTTGTCCAGGATGAGTTTCTCTAAGATTTCGGACTCTTCCTGTGTGCTGGGCTTTTGCTTTCCCTCACTCGAGCTTCTCGCTGCTAGATGGGAGTGCTGCGGGCTTAGCAGGACCTGGGCTCTTTGCCGTTCGACCTGTCTTAGATATTGAAGTCTTGTCATGATTCGTCCTTCTCGCCCGGCGTTGAGGTGAGCTGCTAAGATTCGAGCTTCCTGTCGAGTGGCTTCGTCGCGCGGGTCGAGAAGACGAGCAATCGAGCCAACGTCCATGAGCGACTCTGGCGCAGGGGTGCCATCTCTGGAATACCGGCCGGGGAACGGGTCAGTCTGTGTCGGTGTGCGTCGGCCATCCGATTCGTACTCCCACTCGGAGTCGGTGGCCACGGTCGATACAACACTAGTTGTGTCATCCCAGTCGTCTTCAGGCAGATGATAATCCGGCGTTTGATCTTGGTTGCCCCATGAACCCCCCGCTTTCCACCAATTGTAGAGCTTCTCGTCCAAGCGTTGCTCATCGAAGGAATCTCCGTCACTTGCATTTAGCCGTTCTCTTTTTCTCATCTCTCTCTCGACGTCAAACTCATGGTTGACCGGCAACTCTAGCTCTCCGTCATCCGTAAGCATCCAGAAGTCCAATGGTTCGGCAACGGCCGTGTCTGCTAAGTTATCCTGCGTATCCTTTCCCCTTACAACCCTCCTCATCCATTCTGGCCGAGCAGTGATACCAATCCGAGATAAAGCTTTATCAAAGACATATGCTACCCACTTTAACATGAGATAGAAGATTGCGCGGAAAAAAGCAATCCCCTGGTAGCATCGAACGAGCCCACGGAAGGCACCAACACCGCCAGGGTTAGTTTGATACCGTGAAGTTCGTGACTTGTTGTTCTTAGGCTTCTCAAACTTCTTCTCCCGCCCGTAGCCGGTTTCCCATTCTGACGCAGTTCCCTGGATCTCAAAGGTGACAGGCTCGCCACTTTCCAGCGAAATATCTGCGGTTAGGGGACCCGAGCTTTGCGGCCATGGTTGAGAGGAGCGGCGGCGGGATTGTTCGATCTCAGCAAGTCTATCCTCCTCCAGCCATGTCATATTGCGCGCAACAACCCTCCTTCCCTCGTTAAGAAAGACAGCTTCGCTCGCAGCCGTCAAAGCGGTGAACCCAATCCTGAGCAGGGCAGTGTAAAAATCCTCGTGTCTGCTAAAGCGTACACTGCCAACCTGGTTGGATCCTTGCATATTCTCATGCGCCAGGCCAAATCTCTCACGGAGAGATAACTGTTGGGGGATATCAGAAGGTAGAGAGAAAGCAGTTATGAAAAGGGCAATAGAGTAAATTGCCGCACATACAATGATGCCGACTAGAATCATAAGATGGGGTATGAAGCCGACCACGCACACGGTCGGAAATCTCATAGATAACCCATCAATTTCCACTGGAGATCCATAAACAAGACCCCATGCCATTGCGGCCATGAAACAGAGACCCCAGAAAGTGGTGTTGGTAAGGCGGTATCTGCTTTGCTTGCCGAGAACATCTAGTACATTGGAAGATAAGCAGTGGCAACAAGAGATCAACGCAATCAGCAGTAACTCTGGGGTGACATTCATCCGGTCCAAAATTTGAGATTTAGTGAGCAGTTGAAGGGATGAGCGTGAGCCATCACCGCTGCTGTCTCCGCCTGTGCTTGGTTTGGGTGAGCTGAATGGCCCCAGGCCTAATGACTGACTAATGGTTGATTCTGCTTCGGCGAACGAGAGTGAATGTTCAAAAATGGACATTCCTCCCTCAGGGACAACGGGACGTCCCTGTAATGAGCTTGAGAGTGTTTCCACGAAGTGGCCCAAGCATATTCGCAGAAAAACGGGCCACAGCAACCTGAAAGTGCCGTTAGGAATCTCGGACCCAACGCGGTTCATGCCCATCGCACTGCACGATTGTTGGTCGGTCTCCCATGGAAGTAAAGCCGAGCTGAGTGAATATAGAAAGCCCCCATCTCCACCATGGTCCAATACCAGACTCTTCCCGGGGGCGCCATAGCGGAGTTCAGGATAGCCAGGCGACGTTTGGCATTTGATGGCCCGAAGGAGGGTGTGTATTTGGGAGACAAAAAGAAGAATAGGGATTATGCGTAACGCCAGCCGCCTTGTCCAATCCAAGTGGAGATGTCGCCTTGTAGAAGCATATATCGTGATCCTGTTCAAAACGAGCGCCTCCAAATAATTAGAACATTGGCTCAAGTTAACCAAAAAACCGGAACCCTCACCACTGTGAAACAAGCGAGCGACCACCGACTGGTGAGGTAGGAGAAGAAGCCGCTGAATTTTATGGCGCCCTGTACAAGGTCTGCGAAATGAATACTGGTATCGGCCTGGGCTGCGGCCCCTACCGCGCCTCTTGCAGCCTCCCCAGCAGCCTCCGTTGCCGCCGCCGCAACATGTATTTGTGGTCCCGCACCAGGTGTATTCCAGAGCTGTGTGTTCATATCCTGAAGTCTGACTAGTCTTGCAAGGCGTGTAGGGACGAACGAAATGGCAAACGTTTCTGCTCGTCGGAGCCCGCGGAGGGGGAGTGAGAGAAGATCGCGTGGAGTCAAAGATAGATTTACGGCTGATAAAGAAGATGGCACTGCGGAAGTATTCATGGCGGCCGAAATAATCTCAGCCGCCTGTGTAGAAGACATTTATGTCCGATTCCGAAGCACCTGGAGCAATGCCGACGGACGGTGCCTGGCCCTGGCCGGGGTGAAATGCCGGGGAAACGCGGTAATAGCGGAATCAGCGAGTATGCATGGTATTTGACATGCTAGAAAATCAAACGCCAGCTCAATAAGTGCGCATTAGTACTGAGCGTATAGAGCATTAAAAGACGTCTTGATTCGGGAGAAGTTGGTAGTTGAGTTGTTCAAGACATGCTCATCCCTCCACACCACGGCCTCACTTCCGACTCCGCCACTAGCCCGAACAGGCAACTGCTGCTATCGCCCCCACGTGCTATTGCCGAGGGTTAGTAACTTAGTATATAGCCATGCTACGAATATGACCAGGACCCGGAACATAATATGGTAATTCATGACTTCGTATTTGAGAAGCTATTCTAGTTATAGCCAATTTCATATCAGCGTCTTCCGGTAATCTCACACAGCGTATCCCATCATAGCTTGTACATGGCGCTGCTGCTGCGGATGCCGTTGAAGATGCATGTATTATCCAAGGGTACATATTGTCTCGTGAGCACTTTGAGGGCTTCCTGTGCTACTAAGCCACCAGTAAGGGAGGAAATGTTGTGCAGTTCGCCACCCTCCGTTCTCCGCAGCTCCTGTGCGGCTTCAAGGAGACGAGTTCGGACTTCGTCGTCGATAGGCGCGTCCGATGCAATGCCAGCGAGAATACGATCAATCTCGACAGACCAAATTGCTTCGTCGTCCAGGGAATCTTCGGGGTATTTCCCCTCCTGAATCCCCGTCACCACGATGTCCAACACTTGAAATGCTAGATGAACAGGAATAAGAGATTCATCGTTGTCAAGCTCGACTCGAAGACGCTTCTTAGTGTGCGCATCTCCATCCACCTGTGGAATATCGCGTCCACGAATAACCTGTATATGAGAAGCGTTTTTGCAGAATAATTCAATATCCTTGTCGGGAGCTCCGAAGGTGCGGCCCAACTGGGATTCGATCCTTCTAATGGTCTCGGTAACTTCCGCTATATCTTTTCTCGCTTTTGATTTGTAAATGTTCTGCAGTGAGACATAGTCGGCTGACTGCGCTTTCATGTCAGGCAGTGACCCAGGAAGAGGAAGGACTTGATGTGTTTCGTAGAACTCGCGAACGGCCGATGCAATGACCCAGAAGTCAGCAGAGTCCGCGGTCAACTGCTTGCATTCCTCCATCTGGAATATTTCCCTGGTGGAACTGCGCAGACTGAATGGGTTGAGTGCCTTTAGAACGGCTGCGACGGCTTCATCGTAATTCTCTTCACCTCCTTGGGGGATGTTCGCTCTTGCGCTAGACCGCACGAAGTCTCTGAATGCTGTTTTCTCTTTATAGTTTGATGGCGCATTTCCATCATGACTTTCCCTCCACTTCTCTAGGTAGTGGAGAAGTAATAATACGTATGGGACGTGACCGTGCTGATGATCGTCGAAGCTGTCCAGATTGCTAATGCCACCAGCAGCCGCAGCCAACTCCGGCCAAGGGCTGAGAAGACGAAGGTCCTGCGTTGACTCTGGATCTGGGTGCGTCTCTACAATTGGGAACACAGCGGGGAGCTGAAGAGAAAATGTGGAATAGAACCCAACAGACCGCGTATAGAGAACTGGAATCCCTAGCGTTTTGGCACCCTCGCAAAGGGTCCGCAAGGATGATTGCTTTATGGGTCCAGAGACCAAAACAAGTTTATGTCGCGCCAGGAACCCAGGGTCTTCCTGGATTACCTCCGCAATAGGCTGGTGTAGCAAACGAATTAGCATCAGGAAGCTGGCTTGGGGATTTGTCCCTACGTTGCAGGTATACCTTAGCTTGGAAGTTTCCCTCTACGTCAGGATTCAATTCTGTCAACAGCCGGCATGTCTCTTCAGCTCTTGACTTGCCTAGACTCTCGTTCTCCAGGAAGAAGTTGACCCCAAGATCTGGCTCGGTCACAACAGCAGGGTCGACGATCGTGAAGCCTCCGATGCCTGGCAAGACGAGATTCTTAAGCGTTTCGACGCCGACTACGCCCGACACACCCGTGCTCTTGTTTCCCCACGGCCCGTCAGAATTGACCAAAAGCACCCGCGATTCTTCCAGAGCTTGCTGTCCACTGGCAGCCCAGAGCCGCAGCTGACGATCATACTTTCTCTCCTTAGACGACGGCCCAGCCAGTGCGTGGGGAAAGTCCGATGCCATTGCAAACCAATGACCACTGTGTGTTAGGATAAAGAAGAGATATACCAGAAAAAGAATCTGGATATTATATCTTATGGGATCTTGATGCCGTTGACTCTTGAAGTTGTAGTGATCATCGGACAGGCATCATTAATCATCCGGCCGAGGCACGTGATATGTGCACGAGGATGTTGTCCTGAGGCCCTAAGGCCACAAAGCATATGACGACAATGCACCCCACCATTTGCTTGAGCCTCGCATCGAGGTCAACATGGGATCGTGACGACTACTGGACGATTTTTCTGGTACGTACGATAGAAAGGAGATCATGCAGTCTAGAGAGAACGCCAATTAAAAGGGTGGGTCTCTTTCAACGTGCCAATTGCAATGCAAATTCTTCCCCGGAATGCCCCTTTCAATCGCTGGTGAGTGGCCCATGGAAAAGTCGCTTCGGAGGGGTATATTCCCCCCACCGGCCATCTTTCCCCCGGACTCTTCCACCGAGGCCGCATATTAATAGAAGCGTATGCGCAGCCTGCAGCTTCGGTCCGCTTCCTATCTTTGTTTTCCATCATACTTTCGTCCTCGTCCTAGCATCAGCGCTCGCTTATCTTCAATCCCTCCCGCACCCCTCCGTTTCAACCGCACGATGGCCGAACTCGTTGAGAAAGCAAAGCGCGCCGCTGGAAAGGCCGCCGTCGACAACCACTACCCCAAGAACGCCAAATTCGTAGGCATTGGTAGTGGATCTACGATCGTTTACGTCGTTGAAGCCATCAAGGAGCTAGGCATCGATACCTCCAGCACGTGCTATGTGCCGACGGGCTTCCAGTCCAAACAGTTGATCGTCGCGGCCGGCCTGACAGCGGTTGATTTCGATGCCATTCCCGAAGGAACAGTGCTTGACATTGCATTCGACGGAGCGGACGAGGTGGATGATGAGCTTAACCTGATTAAGGGCGGCGGTGCTTGCCTGTTCCAGGAAAAGATTGTTGCGTTACAAGCGAAAGAGTTCATTTGCGTTGCCGGTTCGTGATTCATTCGGCGCATTTGATATTAGCACCGTTTGCTCACCATCTCTCCATGCAGACTCAAGAAAACTGCAGTCCCGTCTCCTCTCCAACTGGAAGTACATTCCCATCGAAGTGGCTCCGATAGCCGCTAAGCGGGTGCTTCCTGCCCTAAAACAGCTGGGTAGCATTGATCCAGTGCTCCGCCCTCAGGCCACCCCTTCGGCTGGCTCCAAGCTAGGCCCCCTGAAAACGGACCAGGATTTCTACATCATCGACGCCCCATTCCAAACTCTTCTCACAAAGGCGGACGTCGCCGCTGGAAAGGACGGTAGTGGAAAGGATGGCATCTGGGAGGTCGACGCTCTGTCATTAGCGATTAAGCAGATCCCCGGTGTCCTAGATGTTGGTATCTTCTCTGGCATGACAGGTCCTCAGGCCCAAGCCCTCGGGGGCATTGGAGGCCAGAAGCCCGTTGCGGCCTACTTTGGAATGCCCGACGGCTCAGTGCAGGTCAGAAAGGCGGCTGATTGAATACCCTGAGAATCTTACGCATATAAAGACAGAAGCGGTGATCAATTAAACACGACTGGTACGATTAGAGTATACATAGAGCGACAATACTCCAGTTTGAAACAACAACGTACTTGGTTAATACACGGTTCATAAAATGTCATTTCGTGATTATGTTCCACTATTTGGCGCCTTTCCCCTTGGCTTCCGTCTCCCCAAGTTCGCGCACATAAATCTTGACCGTCCCATCAACGACATCGTCCTTTCCATCCTCGTATCCGGGGCTGATGGCAATCGCAAGGTATTTGCCATTGGAGCTGAATCCCACTGCGGCTATACTAGAGGGATACCTCTGGTACTGCCTGATCCTCCTCTTCGCGATACCATCCCAGAGGGCAACCACACCGTCACCTCCTCCGGACGCAAATGTCCCATGAACCGGATGAAACGCCAGCGAGTTAACCGGATATACGACATCGACATCATCCGATGCCTGTCGGTGGCATTTGAAAGCATACTTCCGAGCTTGCGACTCGGCTGAAGGATCAAACCACTCAACCGCCACCCGCCCTTCGATACTCGACGAAGCGTATCCAGCGTCATCGGGCATGCAAGCAACACAGCGCGTCATGAACTTCAAACTGCTTTCCCTTCGTTGCCACGGTTCGATCTCAACCTTCGCAGGTGCCGTCCCTCCTTCCGCTTGACCTGTTAGAAGCGAGAGTGATTTCAGGTCGTAGATGTGTAGGGCTCGTGAGGCCATGCCGACGACGAGCTTCGTTGCTGTAAGAGACATGGAGAAGGGCTTAGATGGTAGAGGGATTGAGGCTGTATTGGTGACGGTCCTGTCATCAGCGAGGCGGTGCACGTGTAACGTGTTATCCCACGAGGCGGATATGACCATGTTGTGCTCTTTGCTGTAGACGACGCTTCGGACGCCGGCATCGTGGCTGCTCAAGACTGTTTGACTAGAAGAGGCTATATCAATTCTATCAGAGATCACCCGGTCAGTAAGCCCGCGTAATTACTTAGACGTAACGAAAGGACGACGCACTCACCTCTTCACATCCCAATCCAGCCCGGCTGTGAAGATCTCGTCCTCGGTGGCGCCGAAACAAACATCTAACACAGGGGCACGGTGTTCGAATTTCTGCAGTAGCTTCCCTTCACCAGCGACTCCGTTCTCGTCCCGCAAGTCGTAAACGTAGACATTCTTATCCCATGAGGATACAACGAATCGCGTAGAATCAGGAGCGTGAGAGAACTTCAATGCGGAAATAGCATCCGTCGGCGGGGACGTGATGGTAAATTGATCTGAGGTGGAGTCAGCGTAGTCCTGTCATAAACCACACCTTCAAAGCTTACTTGATGTCATCTTGCTCCGTCCGCAGTAAATCAATGGCTGTGTCTTGAGCTCCGAAGCTGTTGCGGTTTGCAGATCGGCCTCGACAGATGATGCGGCTCCTTCCTCACTTCATTTTCTGCCACCGCCTTTTTATATCCCCCGCTCGGCCCTGGCCCGTCGCAATCCTCGAACTTCTTCTCTTGCAGATCAATCATTGCGCTTTTTCTTCAAACCTATCAGCATGCCCTTTGCGCAACTGGTAATAGGCCCCCCGGGTGCGGGCAAGTCAACTTATTGCAATGGCATGCACCAGTTCCTCGGAGCTATCGGGCGCAAATGCTCAATAGTAAACCTCGACCCCGCAAACGACAATACATCATATCCGTGTGCGCTGGACGTGCGCGATCTTGTGACGCTCGAAGAGATTATGAGCGAAGACCAGCTAGGTCCGAACGGTGGTGTTTTATATGCTCTGGAGGAGCTAGAAGAGAACTTTGACTTCTTAGAGGAAGGCTTGAAGGAATTGGGAGGTATGCGCATTATGAACTGATGTCCTAGCTCCTGCAATACAGCAGTAGGCTAACTTTCCTTCTTAGATGACTACGTTATATTCGACTGTCCTGGCCAGGTAGAAATCTTTACACACCACTCGTCCTTGCGGAATATCTTCTTTAAGCTCCAGAAGATGGGATACAGAGTGCGTTGCGCATTTGCCGACACCAAACAGATATGAAACCAGCTAACATCGCCCTTACAGCTCATAGTATTACACCTGATCGACTCCTACAACCTCACCTTACCATCGATGTACATCTCCTCTCTCATCCTCTGCCTCCGCGCCATGCTCCAAATGGACCTCCCGCATCTCAATGTTTTAACGAAAATCGATAACCTATCCAATTACACTTCTCTCCCGTTCAACCTAGATTTCTACACCGAGGTCCAGGACCTTTCATACCTTCTCCCGCACTTAGAGGCAGAGTCATCCCGACTGTCGCACGAGAAGTTCGGACCGCTCAACAACGCCATCATCACTCTGATCGAAGAGTTCGGACTCGTGGGCTTCGAAACACTTGCCGTTGAGGATAAGAAGAGCATGATGAACCTGCTCCGAGCCATTGACCGAGCAAGCGGGTATGTGTTCGGGCCAGCAGAGGGCGCAAACGACTCTGTTTGGCAGGTAGCTGTTCGAGAAGGGATGGGGAGCATGGATATCCGGGATATTCAGGAGCGGTGGATAGATGCCAAAGACGAGTACGACGAGCTGGAACGACGGCAACTAGAAGAAGAGGCAAAAAAGCACGAGCAAGCCGCGGCCGCTCAGACTACGAATGATGATGATGACGACGAATTCGGGCCCGGGGCGCCTATACCAGATGGCGGAGTCAAGGTAATACGGAAGAAATGAACGATCTCAAAGTCATAAAAGCGCACTGTAACATAGGGTATCTCTAACGAATATATATATATATGTACAACAACCACCCCAAACTCTCCAGCTGCTCAGTGAAGCAAACTATCCCGCAATCACCGCAAGGCCAAACTTTATCCCTCACTGAATCAATCATCGTCGCTATCCACATCCACATCAATGTCCATATCATCGGCCTCGACCCTCTCCCTTCCCCTCTCAATATTTTTCTCAAGCCCACCAACCAAGCCCCCAAGAACACCAATCTCTTCCTGCCCCCTAAGCCTGACAATCTCCCTGCGCGCCCTGCGGACAGCCTCCTCCTCCGCCTTCTTAATCGTCCCCGACACCCTAACCACCCGAAACACACACGGCCTGCTCAGGTTAGCAAGGTCCAGTCGCTTTGACCTCCCCGCGCTCCCATCGGCCAGGTCCGGAACGCGGGAGATATATGTGAGAGCCGTCCAAACGAGGCGGTATGATGCGCGCGGGCAGCGGATAATGGCAGTTGAGGTTGCGGGGGAGAGATATTTTACTACAGTGGCGGACACAGTCAGCAATTGATCGCGCAACCTGTAAAGATTTCAGGGAGAGGAGGAATAGCCGGATGGCATACCGCTAACACCACCAGCGCCAACCCCGCCGAGTCTACCGATCCCCCAGTCGCCATACATCTGGGCGACTTCGTCGCGGACAAGTTTCGCTAACAGGCTGGGCGTTAGGGCATCGGATGTGGGCGCGTGAATTCGTAGTTGTGATCGTTGGCCGTGGTTTTTGAGGGATGTGGTTGTAGATAAAGACGGACTGGAGGATGGATCGGGGTAGAGGATCTCGACTAGAAGATAGCGGTGTTTGACGCGGACCATGATTACCGGAGCAGGTAAAGTGATTGCGTAGTAATTTAGTCTTTCGGGTTTGTCGGAACTCTATTGCTCGTGTTAGGACTGTTGAGATCTTGAGGTTTCGGAGGGCGTTGATGAAGAGTTGGAGATGGACTGGAGCCATTTTTTTGAGTTGCTGATAAGAGGTCCGATAACTAGCAGACTGCCAAGCTTTTCCGTCTCCGGAGCCTATAGTATAACTAAAGCATGCTAACTACTATGCTCTTTGGCTTTGCAAAACTGATTCGTTTCGTTTGATTAAGGTTGGAATAGTCTGTGGTGATAAATAATCTTATTGTCTGTTCAAAAATAAGAAAGAATAGGACTCTATTCCGAACTACAATCAATCGGCGAAGGAAATCATCGACGTTCGTGTCTCATGCGCTCTAAGATGTATTCAACAGTGGGTTGGAAAGAGTAAGTAAATTGAAAAATGCATAACATAGGCCATCATAACTCCTGACGTATTTTATGAGCCCGCAAGGTCGCTTGTGTCCAACACCAGGTTCCTTCACGAGAGAAAATGTGGAATAATTAGAAAAGGTATTAAAATTATACGTTGACCTCAACACGACCCTCCTGGCCACCCTTCTGAAGGGCGGGGAGCAGGTATGTGATGTCATCCCAAGGGTGGCGGTAGAGACCGGTGCGCAGTCTCTTCTGGTCGAGGTAGTGGGCAATCAGACCCATGCTGCGACCCAGAACGAAGAGACCGTTGAGGACACCCATCTTCATGTAGTCCTCGGATTCCTCGGCGGAGAAAGCACCGCAGTTGCGCATGAGGTCGACAAAGCAGACAGCAATGCAACCGTCGACGTTGAGGATCAGGTTGTCCTTCTTGGAGGTTGTGACGGTCTCGACGGCGATGGCGTAGTCCAGAAGCTTGGTGCTGGGGAAGTGCTTCTTGACATAGTCCTTGACGAGCTCGACACGGAGATCGGGGTTGTTGCGAGACTTGATACGGTGACCGATACCGGGAACTAGAAGTCATGTCAGTAAGGATTTCATCGTTCTAAGACGATGGGGGTTGACGTACTCAGCTTGTTCTCCTTCCTCATGGTGTCGACGAAGTCACGAGGGCTCATGCCCTTGTCGAAGGCCTTGGTGAACTCCTCAGCAGCGCCATCCAGGGCACCACCGAAGCGGGAACCGATGGTCAACAGACCAGAGACGAGAGCACTGATCAGATCCTTGCCAGCACGGGTCGTGATGATGGTGTTCATGGCACCAGACACAGCGGGACCGTGGTCAGCAGTGAGCATGAGAACCATCTCCAAGAACTTGGTAGCGTAGCTGGGCAGGCGGCGGCGGAACCAGAGCAGGGACATGACACCACCGATACCGATGTCCTCCTTAAAGACATCAGAGATGGGCATGCCGGCGTACAGAAGCTCCTGGCCACGGTCGTCGGAAATAGTGGAGATGAAAGCAGCGGGCTTACGGATAAGACCCAACTCCTGCGCCCAGGAGTAGTCGATGGGGATCTTAGGGGGGACAGGCTCACGCTGGGGAGTGACGACACCCTTCTGGACCTGCTCGTCGTAGACTTTCTTGAGGATGGCGGGCATATCCTCGAAGGTCTCGGGGACGAAGATACCGGCCTCTCTCATAGCCTTGTTCTTCGCAACAGCAGTCTCCAGGTCAGAGTTAGCGGAAGCACCGGCGTGACCGAACTGGACCTCGGTCTTGAACATGCTGGCGCAAGTACCGATGGCCCAGGCGACGATGGGCTTGGTGATGACACCGTCCTTGACAGCCTCGATGACGCGGTATTCCTCAACACCACCGACTTCGCCGAGCAGGACAAGGATCTTGCACTCAGGCTCAGCCTGGTAACGGAGGAGGTGGTCAATGAAAGTAGTACCGGGGTAACGGTCACCACCAATGGCGACACCCTCGTAAACACCGTCGGTGGTTTGGGAGATGATGTTGTTCAGTTCGTTGGACATACCACCGGACTTGGAAACGTAACCAACGGAACCCTTGCGGTAGAGCTTGGAAGCGACAATGTTGTCCATCATACCACCGGTGTTACCGATCTTGAAAGCACCAGGCTTGATACCACCGACAGTAGCAGGACCAATGATGGTGATGCCCTTCTCCTTAGCGGTGACGAGGATCTCACGAGCTCGCTGGGTGTATTGTTAGCACCATGAATCCTCTTGTTGTCAGACGACCGGCGAACGTACCCTTTCTGGGACACCCTCGGCAATGATGGCAATGGACTTAATCTGAGGGAACTGCATCAGCTCCATAGTAGAGCTGTAGACGGAACGGGAAGAGGCGAAGTTGACAACGGTGTCAACGTCGGGGTGCTTGGCCATGGCCTTAGCGGTGTCCTGGTAGACGGGGAGGAGGGTCTCGCTGGTACCCCAGTACCTGCATAGTCGTCAGCGGCATATTCCACCACAAATCGGCGATTTCGACCTACATCTTGCTGACGAACTGGCCGCCGAATGTGTAGATGATACCGGCAACGGAAGGAGTGGATCGCTTGCAGATGAAGTCGAAGTCCAGCATACCCTGGACAGCTCGGGGCTGCATACCGCTAAGATGGCCGTCAGTTTGTGCAACTGCTTGCCAAGTTCACGGTCCACTCACTATACGAAACATCTTGTCTTGTTGTGGAAGAGAGCGTCGGCGAAAGGAGAGCGCACTCGGCTCGGGGGCTCAAAGCGAGTGATGTTGTCGTTGGCGTTGGCGCCGTTGGCAGTGCTGACGAGAGGGGCGGCAGGCATGATGGCTGGTACTCTGTTTATTCAATTGATATTAGCTGAATGTGACAGTGCAATGGACTCGATGCGCAGCAACGACTAACCTGTCAACAGAGCTTTTGAGATACAAGGAGGGAGAGGAAGAGGTTGGTATTAGGTAAAAGGAAGCAAGACAGAATTAAGCAGTCTGCGACCTTGTAGTAGGGATAGGAGGGAGAAAAGATGGAGAAGAGGATGATGGAGAAGAATTAACGGGAGGATGGAGGAGGTAAAGGTAGAGGAAAATCAGGAGGAGAGAATCGAGAATGACCCAGGTTGAGAATAAAGAAAAAGAGGACGATATCGGGGAGCTGATGGGGGGTTAAAGAGGATGAATATTATTATTATGGAGCTCTGATGAAGGTGAGTAAAAAAAAGGATGTACCGTATCAATTGTATGAGACAGCCTTACGGTACATAACAATACGATGGGGCTGGATCCACCAACAAGTTGGGGATGGAAAATACACCGACAACTCACAGTCCGGATTGGAGTCTAGGTATGATCAATTGACTTCTAGATGACCATGGAACCACTCAATCAGATACTACTTTGAGTCTGATCCGGGAGTCGCTGTTGTTAGATTGGCAAGGAACTGCGGTCCTAGAGGTAACAGAAGACGGAACCGGAGACCGGAGTATCTACGGAGTATAGAGACAGCATCAAGAGAGCAGAATATTCAGCTGTGAGCGACAGCGTCGCATTCGGTTCAATGACTCGGTCGAGAACGGAAAGTGGTCGGTCTTGTACTTACTCAGAAGACTCTATCATCTGATGGAGATCGTTCTTGTCGGTACCATGAAGAATCTGTCATGAAAACGGTTGTTGTTGACTCGTTCCTGGGCCTACTTCGCAGAATCCAGCATCTGGTGGGTACCCCAGACTTGTTGGTCCACGATTAGATACGGGCTGCGGGCGGCGGGCTGCTTTTTCCGCTGGCACCCCGCGAAGCATCTGGATTCGATGGGCGAATGCTCCGTATAGTAATGATTATAGCCACCATGTCAGCTCACCAATGCCTATTATCCAGAATCTGGGGCGCGGAGTATAAGTATCTGATGTATGTACTCTGTCCCGAAATCCGGAGTCAGCTCCATGTATATGGCTCAACAGTCCATACGCTGCCCCTCATCTGCTAGAAGGCTAGAGATTAAGCTGGCCGAGGCACGATGAAATCTTCAGCGCAGCATCAGCCATCAGCATAGGAACCCTGCATAGCCCAGCGCATGCTAGTCTGCTCTTCTAAGCCCAACAAAACGCATGATGGTCCGACATGTCTGGCGGTGGGAACAAGTATTCAGGCTACAGCGTAGGGTGCATACTGCGACTAAAATTACCGCGGCGACGATCCCCAACGCTATCACGGTATCGATAAAGCTCCAGTAAGAATTAAAATTCCAGACGCCCAACAACAGCTCCTTTGAAGCTGACCCCCACCGCTCCGCTTGTTTCCAGGCCAGCATCCAAGGGAATTGACTTTGTTCCTGTATCCATCGGTATCAGAATTGTCAGTAACAGACTATCAGCCAGTATTGGCCCCGTTACCAGGTACATCAGACACCTTTTTGTTTTCCCCTCTCTCCGCCCCTTCAGCATAATTTATCTTCATCCGGCAGGCCTTTTTTTCGCCGACCTCGCAGACAAATTATTCTCACCTCCTTCCTCTCTTCTTCTCATCTCCCTCTTTCTCTCTTTCCTATACTCTACATAATCATTATCCGGGGTTGCTTCCCATAAACACACTCCGCCTCCTACCTACTCTCTTCTCTCGACCTTCTGATCTCACACCCTCCAATCCTCCCACCACCTCACATACACAATGTCCGCCAAGTCGATCTTCGAAGCCGATGGCAAGGCCATCCTCAACTACCACCTCACTCGCGCCCCCGTTATCAAGCCGACTCCTCTCCCTCCTTCCAGCACTCACAACCCTCCCCCCAAGCTCGCCTCTCTCTACTTCCCCGACGACCTTGCGGTGAAGGACGTTCTCGACCAGGCCGAGACCACATACCCATGGCTGCTCGTCCCCGGGTCCAAGTTCGTCGCTAAGCCAGACCAATTGATTAAGCGACGAGGCAAGAGCGGTCTCCTCGCTCTGAACAAGACCTGGGCTGAGGCCAGGGAGTGGATTGAGGCTCGTGCTACAAAGGAACAGCAGGTTGAGACCGTTGTCGGTGTCCTCCGCCACTTCCTCGTTGAGCCTTTCGTTCCTCACCCTCAGGAGACCGAGTACTACATCAACATCCACTCCGTGCGTGAGGTAAGTAACATATCTGCAAGACTATCTCCAATTGAGTTCCCAGTCTAACAGTTCGCAGGGTGACTGGATCCTCTTCACCCACGAGGGTGGTGTCGACGTCGGCGATGTCGACGCTAAGGCCGAGAAGCTTCTGATTCCCGTCAACCTCAAGAACTACCCCTCCAACGAGGAAATCGCTTCCGCACTCCTCAGCAAGGTCCCCAAGGGCATCCACAACGTCCTGGTGGACTTCATCTCCCGCCTCTACGCCGTCTACGTTGACTGCCAGTTCACCTACCTCGAAATCAACCCTCTCGTTGTTATTCCCAACGCCGATGCCACTTCCGCCAATGTCTACTTCCTTGACTTGGCTGCCAAGCTTGACCAGACTGCTGAGTTCGAGTGCGGTACCAAGTGGGCTGTTGCCCGTAGCCCCGCCAACCTTGGCCTGGCTGCTCTCCCCACCTCCGACAAGGTCAACATCGACGCTGGTCCCCCCATGGAGTTCCCCGCTCCTTTCGGTCGTGAGCTGAGCAAGGAGGAGAAGTTCATCTCCGACATGGACGCCAAGACTGGTGCCTCTCTTAAGCTCACTGTCCTGAACGCCAACGGCCGCGTTTGGACCCTCGTTGCCGGTGGTGGTGCCTCCGTCGTCTACGCCGATGCCATCGCTTCCGCTGGTTTCGTCAGCGAGCTCGCCAACTACGGTGAATACTCCGGTGCTCCCACCGAGACCCAGACTTTCAACTACGCCCGCACCATCCTCGACCTGATGCTGCGCTCGCCCATCCACCCTGACGGCAAGGTTCTTTTCATCGGTGGTGGTATTGCCAACTTCACGAACGTCGCCTCCACCTTCAAGGGTGTCATCCGCGCCCTGCGGGAGGTTGCCCCCGTTCTCAACGAGCACAAGGTCCAGATCTGGGTCCGCCGTGCTGGTCCCAACTACCAGGAGGGTCTCAAGAACATCAAGGCCGTTGGCGAGGAGCTCGGCCTCAACATGCACGTTTACGGCCCTGAGATGCACGTCAGTGGTATCGTGCCTCTTGCCCTCCAGGGCAAGCAAACTGATATCAAGGAGTTCGGTTCAGCGTAAACAAAAATGGGGCGTTTTTTGATCTACTTAATTTAATTCTATACGAAGTTTCTTTTCAACGCACGGCATGATGGCTTTTTCATCTTTTTGTTCCGATTTTCTTTTAGTAAACGACTGACGAAGGTGATATTCCCTGTGCGGGCTTCATTGCTTGTTTCTGTTAGACCGCTAAAATAGAGCATAAAATCCGAAATATTCAAAAAGGGGCCGATCTACCGTACTAGGCAATCATTGTTTATAAGGTTGTTTATTGAGAGACTCAGTGAACTTCTCCCGTATAACGCCCAATGGCTTCAGAATCCGCCGTCGGTAGTTCTATTCACTGTTACAATACCAAAGCGGATGAAGCTTGAGCTCTGCAAGCCCCAGATAGAAGCCCGCCCAGCCAACTCTCTGCTCAGATGCACAAAGATCCTCGACCTCAAATGCGAGCCCTGGACCGCATTGTCCAATCCAATAGCTCCTCGATAGTATCCAACGAAAGGCCTCCAGCAAGTTGCGCTTGTCCTCAAGTTGCCCTCGACATGGCGCGATGGATCTCGCCAACTATCAGAAGCGCAATGTCCATTGGCAATCCAGACATGGGAGAGGAAGGCGTTGACTCTTGTGGCTCGTTCAGAGAAGAACCGACCATATCTATCCCCGTAGCCCTTGTCATCAATTTCTGGATATCCGGCATCCTCAATGGACTGCCCGGTCGGTGATCGACGTGAGCATCGTCCGCGCGCTTGCTCCTCTTACGAGAGCCCTTCTCCTTGCCGCACCAAGCCTCCATGACAGATGAGACGGGCCGAGCACACGATGAGCGAAGCATTCGTCTTTCTCTTCTTGCTCCTGCCTGCTCGACCTTCGAGGGCCTTGGCTTTGTATGGGGGGAATAAGCCGCCGCAGATAATGCAGGCAAATGAAGGCTGCCCGCCAGGGCTAAGGCCATGGACTCGAGCCATTTCCACTGGTCCGCTATGCTAGGAGGAGAACTGATGAAGAGGAGAGCTTGGGATAACCTCTACGGCTAAAGACCCGTAAGGTTGGCTGGTGCTGTGGCGAGGCGGAGCGCTCACCCGGTCGTGGAGAGAAATAAGGGGTCCAGGATCAGAGACAATGTAGCCATAGTGCGCTTGGAGGGACTAAGTGATGTGTTGTGCTTTGGGTAGGAGAAGGCATCTATAGCACGGTAACAATACAGGTATTAGACGGTAAACAGATACGTGTAAAGGCGATACAGGCGTCCAAATAAGCTTAAATTAGAGATCGAGATGAGGAGGTCCACAGAAGCTCTTTGACAGGGAGCCCCATGCAAGTCGAGATCGATTCAGTCTGATGAAAGATGGGGGTCGTGGACTCGTGGTTGGAGCTTCGGGTGGATGGCGGGCGGATGGATGGCGCATGCGATTTGGGGCTGTCCTGCTTCCGTCCGTCCGAGACGGCGCGGGTCACCGTATCTAGCCCTAATTGTGATTAATTTATCTGTAGGTTACGAATTGATAAGAAGAGTCGAAGACTCGTAGAGAACACTGAAGATTATTTTTGCTTTGCTTTTTTGTGCCTAAGGTTGTTGTTTTGCTCTACTTTGACTGCTTAACGCTCTGCCCTCGGCGGCAGACATTGCCCTAAGTATGCGACTGAGAGGTCCTGGCCGAGATGGAAAACATCGCTAAGGTGCTCAGATCTTGTCTCATAGGATCTATTTGAATATTGTAATGTCTGTCTAAGGCTGTTACCTATATGACCTTTCGTCCCCTTCTTGAAGTATATTTTCGTCTTTGCAGACAATATATATTTTCCACCGACGGATCACGGCCCGTGGTGATAGAGATGAGAATCTCCCCTATACAATGTTATATGCAGACCTCAAAGATGTTGGTTCATCGTGCTGTTGAAAAATGAGCTTATTCCCGGAGCCCCATCCGCCGACCTGTGGTTTTGAACGTTCAAGCCCTCTCGATGGGTAGACTGGTGGGCAGGATGGTGAGCAGGATGATGGGCATTTTGGTGGTGATGACCGTTTGAGAATCCCTCAGTGGGTGGCCGATTTGTATGAAAGCGTTCCAGCATTATGCTGTCATTCGGAAGTTGAGATAGCCCGGTTGATGGACGCGAAGGACCTGGAAATCGTGTTCGATGCTGCGGCGTTGCATTTGGAGGTTCACCTGACGCGGGTTAGTATCTTCAGGCTATGGACAACACTGAACGCACCTCTTCTCAGACCAACAATAGGGCGATTAGGAGGAGGCATCGTAATGGCGTCGTTCTGCTTCGCACCCTTCGAGCTGCCCGTACCGCTCCGCTGGTGGCGATGGAGCTGCTCCACCCCTTCCAAGTCCACAGGGTATGACCTTTGTGGATAGGCTGACGGCGTCTGCGGGGGCGCAGTCACCCCAAGGTTCTGTACCGCTAATCCTGCAGGGACATTGCGCGGTGCTTGAGCTTCAAGAGAGCTGATTGCCTGCGTAGCAGCAGCGGTCTGCATCTGAGATCGCATAGCTCGAGATTTCAGGACGTTGTATAGGTGCGTGATTTGAGTGAACTTCTTGCATTTCTCCCGGTACATATCGGCGAGCTCCTGGTTCTTCTTGCGAAGTTGTTCCTGCGCTGTCTGCATGTCTAACGAGGCATCATCAGACAACGTCCCAAAAGACAGCTATATTGGAGAAGCACGAACCAACAAGCCTGCTCTGTAACGTCGAGATCTCTTTGTTGGCGTTATGAACCACCTTGTCAAGCTGAGTATTCAGGTTGGTGTATTTATCCGCCAGCGATTTCCCTCGAACTTCCTGGTAAACACTTCAGTCCTGATCAGCCTCGTTTTTCCATCGCAGCGAGCATATGGATTTCCGGGCCTACATCTCTTGGCTCATCTGATATGTCCAAAACTGTAAAGCCCGCCCAGTGCATTCCATAATGGTATCCGGATCAAGACCACTCAGAACGCTAGTTTTGTAATCCTCCGTTGGTTGTAGAACGGTCAGTACGGCATCGTCCGGGTTGATCAAGGTCATGCTGCAAGCGGGACAGCGACGTTCGCCTCCGGGACGCGACAGGCCAAGTGTTTCGGCGCACTGGATACAAAAGATATGACTAGAGGTGAGTTGTTAGCCCTGGCGAGGCGCAGAGGCTGGGCTCGATGCAAAGATAGCACTCACGAGCAGGTAGTAACAACAGCCCTTTCCTTGAGTGGCGTCCGACAGGTGAGGGAATTGCATCGTAAATACAAATCCATCTCTGTCTTCGGGCCTAATAAACCCAATGAGAAGACTGAAGAATTTTGTAGAGTTTGTCTAGGGAGAGTTGAGGTGGTAACGAGGGAGGAAGAGCTTGAAGAGCCGCGGCCGAAAACCGCAGACACTTACGGCGATGACATATAAGTCTGGCAGCAGAGCAACTTTGAGCAAATGAAGTAGAAAATATCAGATAAAGCAAAGGCAAGTCTCATTTTCATCGGGTATCTCAAAATCATGCAAAGTACTTTTCAGCTCAACGCACCCGTCTATATAGTGATGATCTTTATGTCTTGCCGTGAAAGATAGATTCAGAAGAAAAATGTATTTCCAGAGGCGTCACGCCTCGTTGTACGCATCTTCTCTTCAAAGTCCGGCCCAGGTTCGTACTCCCGCCATAAGCTTGCGGGAAAGATGTGTTTGTTCCGCTCGTACCACCGTCTATCGACTACCTTCGTTAACGTGGGGTCTTTGTTGCCTCCTTCGAGCTCCTCATTGCTCGGCCGGTATAGAGGATCGTCTGTTGGAGGCGGTGGTGGAGGCTTGTTGGAATAGTCGAACAGTAGCCCTCCAGCGCTGGAGAAACTAGGGACACTGTTTGCGATGAAATAGTAGAGTTCGTAGTGCTATAAGTACCTGTTAACGAGGTGTTCAGATAATATCGAACAAGAGAACATACATGTGGAATGATAACCTCTCCTTTGACAAGCATCAAGTCATCGACACTGACCCTCGCCCATTCACGGCGATTGTATTTGCGGCCTTTGGATGCTCCGCTGGTACCGCTGACACCCAACTCAGCAGCCAATTTTCGACACCGGTCTAATAGCAACCAAACTTGATCTCCTTTTTTGACTTTCGCTGTACCGGCAGGAATATTAGTGCCATCGTAGAAGACGAAAGGCACAAGAATCTCAGTGTTTTTGATAGCGTCCTGCATCACAAGAAACTCTTTCCGCAAAGCATCTCGCGCTTCCGCTTCCGCCTTGAGCGAGGCTTTCGTAAGCGCCTTCGGAGGCGGCGGCGCATTAGGGTTTGGCGTGATACGACGCGAAGGTGGTGCTGAGCTCCCAAGAGGTGTACCGGTGGCAGACCGCGAGGTACTTAGTTCGGCGGGCGTGGGCGTGGAGTCTTCCGCAGCTTTCGCTTTCGTTTTTCGAAACAATTGATCGTCCTCTTCTTCCTCCTCATCGTCTCCAAATGATAGTTTGCTCTTAGCTAGTGGCTTCTTTTTCTTCTTCTTAGGCGGGCCCTCGCTCCGTGACGTCGAATTCCTAGTGGTTGCGCGCGCGATCAGCCAGGGACCGCAGAACAATCATGGCCACCTTAAACTTACCCGTCAGTTACATCGCCTGAAGGAGTTGCACTTCTTGAATCACCAGACGTAAACCTTCCTAGCGATTTGTCATGCGCCTCGCGCTCTTTCTGCTCCAGAACTTCTGCGCGGCGTTTACGGAAATCGGAAAGGTGGACAAGTCCGACTGTCTGTGACTTGAGGAGGTCTTCTGCGGAAGCGGTTTGACTTGTAAAAGATCTCGGAGTCGAGCTATGACTTGGCTGTTCCGACGGTGGCATCGTGGCGTCTTGGACACTCGGCAGTTGATCGGCGCAGTTGTTGGAGTTGGAAGCTTATCGCAACCTGCATCGGAGAAGAGACGACGCCTGGCACGTGACTTTACAGCAAGCACCCAAACTTCAAACGCAGAACTTGGCTTCTTTGTTCAAACTGAAAGGAATACCGACATTACTGCTAATTGAACCCGTTTCGAATTCTATTGCAATTTTGCCATTTCCACGACCGTTGCGGTCATCTTTATCCCGCCAAGCAGCGACTGAAGGAAGAAGCAAACAAGACAAACTTGGTATTGTCTCCGCAGGATCGGTGGAACAAGGAGCAGAGCTTCGACATTTTCAACTCTCACGCGAAGCTCACTACCTACCATTACAAAATGTCTCACGCCATGGATGACGACGACGACGATCTCTATGACCCCGCTGATGCGGTCCCGGTCACCCAACCCAGGGACCCCCGAAGACCCCCGGCCGACACTCCGATGAACGATGATGCGGAGGAAGAAGAGGAGGTAGAGGAGGAAGATGACGAAGTACGGCGGGCTCCTAGCGTGTCGCGATGCAGTCTGCTAACTAGATACCTAGGACGACTTTAATATTATTACAGAGGCTCCTCCAGATGCGCCGCCCCCAGAAGTGTGAGCTCTACCCTCTCTATTGACTCTAGGAGCCTTTGCTAAGTCGCACAGTTCACATCCTCGCCATGCCAGCTTACGAACCGACTCTCAACGCCCTACATCCGCCGACCCCTCCTCCATTCCGAAATCGCAGACGCCTACATTAACGCCGAAAGCTGACGCATCGGTCCCAGTGCCTGCCGGTACAAGACCCGTGTCGCAAAAACCCGGGTCCGCATACCCCCCGGTGCACGCGTCAACGCTCGATGTTAATGCAAACCCAATTCACCCCGCGACTGGCAAACCGATATTGCTGACTGATATGGACATTGATTTCCCCGACGATGATAAGCCATGGAGGCGGCCTGGGACGGATCTGACGGACTATTTCAACTATGGATTTGACGAGTTTACGTGGGCAAGCTATGTCCTAAAGCAACAAGAGTTACGGAAGGAAGTTGGAGACCAGAAGAGGCAGCTGGATGACATGCAAAATTTCCTGACCATGGGACTGCCCCCAATGCCCGGCGCTCAACCTGGGGCTGGGCCAGCTGCGGGTAGTGCACCACCTCCAATGCCAGGAATGACGGGAATTCCAGATATGAATCCGGACATGATGCAGGGAATGTTGGCCTCAATGATGTCTCAAGGCTTAGATCCCTCTTCCATGGATCCCATGGCGTTCATGCAACACGCCCAGGCAATGATGGGCGGGCAATCCGGCGCAGGCGGCGGACAGCAGGGTCAAGGAGGATTCGGCGGTCAGGGTGGTCAAGGTCAGATGGGTTATGGAAATGCTGGAGGCGGTTATGGTGGAGGCCGTGGCCGAGGAAGAAGATGGTAATACAAGCGTGGCATCAAATGGTGTTCTTGGTCATGGAATATGTGTAATGCTTATAAAAGGAAAATACAACTCCCGGAGGGCGAACCTCTTCAATCACTCTTGCACAATTAGCAGTTAGTAGACGCCGGATAGCTGTGCTTTCGGCGGTAAGGAGCTGTCGCAGAGCTCTTCAAGACGACAGAGTTGGCGTTGGTTGGCTACAGAGCTGAATCGAGATAAGCCAAAGCGGTACCTATCGTAGCAAGAAGTCACTGAATGGCCTGAAAGCTTCGCTGATTTATTGATCTTGATCATGGTCGTAGTCCAGCGTTTGAGAGCTCTCAATACCCTCGGCAGTCGTGGAGAAGCTGGAGGTCTTGGCATTCTGGAAATTTCTCGCGAGTCCAGATCGGATCTTCTTCCCCAGCTCGCCGGCCTTGCGCTTTTCTTCTTCTTTGCTTCCACGTCCCAATCCTCCTATCCATCCACGCCTGCTTTCGCTCGTCTCTTACGCCCTTTTTTGTGTTTTTACACTTTCCACCACATATCCTCACGATGGTACGTCAATCCAGCAATCTCCGAGCTGCCAGCGGGTCTGCGTCAGAAGTTTTCCATCGCGAGCTCCTACGGAAGCCAAGCTTCGGCATCGAATCCGGGATACCAGTTCTGCGGATCAGAATTGCTAACATGCAATGTGCTCCTAGTCTCTCCTCCGCAACGTCAAGAACCTTGCCCCCCTCCTGGACCGCGTCCTCGTCCAGCGCGTCAAGCCCGAGGCCAAGACCGCCTCCGGTATCTTCCTCCCTGAGAGCAGCGTCAAGGAGCAGAACGAGGCCAAGGTCCTCGCTGTCGGCCCCGGTGCCGTTGACCGCAACGGCCAGCGCATCCCCATGGGCGTCACCGCTGGTGACCGTGTCCTGATCCCTCAGGTATGTTGCGATCCCTAGTCACATTGAATAAAATGAGCTTGATATCTCGAGGATACGCCCATCTCCATTTCCGTTGAATAAACAAGGTGCTAACGGTACTTTTGCTGCAGTTTGGTGGTAGCCCCATCAAGATCGGTGAGGATGAGTACCACCTCTTCCGGGACTCTGAGTACGTCTTTCATATACATACCCCGTCATGATTGAATCAAACCTAACATGATAAACAGGATCCTTGCCAAGATCAACGAATAAGCAGGCCATGAATCGGAATGACTCGAGGTCTCCATTCGTTTCGCTCACTCGGACCGAGACGTCCGAGTCCTTGTATTATACCTTTTGAAAATCATGATCTCAATGTTCGCAATTTCCTATAATCCTAGAAAAGGAGCCTGGATGATGCCAGGGGGGCATCCAATGCCTCCCTCATATTCTTGGGATATTGTTTCTTCTTGCATTTATTGCCGAAAGCGTGAAATGATTGTTTTGCATACCACTTGATGTACTCTAAACTAAACTTGGCTCTCATCATGCCTTACTTGCGGGCGGACATGACGAGCATAAATAATAATCTCCTCTCTAACAAGCCATGTCTTTAAAGTTGCGCACAGCCCAATCTAACTCAACAAGCAGTCCGCCTTTCTTCATTCAATTTATTCCATCCCCGAAGTTCAACGCCCAATCGCACTGCCAGTCCATCTCAATCAACGCCGCAACCCTCTTCAAAACCTTGTCACCCAGCAGTCCACTAAAGATCTTTTCCCTCTCCGCCCCCGACATCTCCACAAACCTAGAAAGCCCCGAGCGGCCTCCATACTCCCTCCTCAAGACCGCCAACACAACCTGCGCCGCATACGGATTCAACCCCGTCCTCCTCAAGAAGCCCTCCCAAACACGTTCCTGCGTGTCTCCCAACAATTCCACCAGCTGCGGTCTCGGGTTAACAGGCGTAAATGCAATCCGATACTGAGACTGCGTCTGGATGCCAGCCGGCGGAAGCCGACAGATATGTTTATGCGCGAGGGCGAGGATCCACGCCGATATTGACTCAGACACAGACGGGACAAGCAGCGGAACTACGCAGCTATAGTCAGCGAGCGAGGCGCAGAACGCCGATAAAGACGTCAGCGCGGTATTTAGGGCTTTATCCACCGTGAGTTGCGGGTTCGAGGCACGGGCTTTCGAGCGCTTCGACTGGTCCGGATTATGGGCTATAAAGACGTATAGCTGTGCGTAGCGGGGGGCAAGGCGGAATATCGACTCGCGGAGAGGTGAGTTGATGGTTTTGGCCAGGGACGATCCAGCGGCGCAGGTGGGTTTGTGGCCTGGGAGGTAGAGTTGCATTGTTGCTTGGGAGGTTGCGAGGCAGATGCCGGTTTGCGGGGAGAGGATTATGTCTGCTTCTGCTGGGAGCGGTGCTGGGGCTTTCGATTGCGGTCTTGGTCGGCGGTTTGATGCGGTGTCGGTGTGATAGTCTCTGTATATAAGTTTAGGTGGGTGTTCTGCCCCCTCGAGGCATTGGATGATTCGGAGGTGGGACTTTAGGAGCGCGGTTGATATGAAGAGGACTAGGCCTTCGTGGTTCGGGGGGACTCGTGGTACTTGGGTGACGGGGAATGAAGGTGTGCGGGTGGACTTGTTCGTGGGTATGTCTGGTTTCTGTTTCGGCGCTTGTGGTTCTGGGATAGGAGGCTTGGTGACAGTGTTCTGGTTCTGGCCCTGGCCGTCCTTGCTTGGGAAGTAGGGACTCTCCGCGGAGATCTGTTTTCTCGTGCTTTTCCCTCTTGTCTCCATAAATGAGGACAAGGAGCCTAGGTTTACGCGTGGTGGCTGTCCACCCTGGCGTTGCTGACATGTTTCAACCTTGCGTTTGGCATCGTGACTTCCATGCAAACTTTTCGGGGAGGGCTCTTGTTTTGGTCTTTTCTGAGAAAGTTGTTTGGCCACAGGAGTAGCTGCTCGTTTTTGTGGCGCGTCAGATTTTGACATATGGCCCTCGTTTGCAGAAGCCAATTGGTGAGCTCTCTTCTCATCTAAGTCTTTGCCAGTGTTGTTAAACTTTGCAGGTGATGGAGCTTCCTCAACGATTAGAACGGAGTCGGATACTGGCTTATCTTGACTAGGGCTGGCCCTTTCAGGTGAATCGACACGCTCATATTGGATATCTCGACCACGGCCGAAAGAAAGTGGTGTCTTTTCGAATGCATGATCCAACATAGGCTTCCCGTAGTCCGTTTTGCGACAAAACAGATCGAACTCTATCGAAGCTGCGGACACCGGGCTCGGCAGCATGTGGTCTTCAGGAGCAGGCGTCGGGCTCGGAGGGAGATAATCGGCAGTCAATGGGAGGACGTCGGATTCTGGCTCGACCGGAACACACTGTAGCGACCATATTAGCTGGACATCTTGGTATGATTACGAGAAACGAAGTACCTTCAGCAGCATTCCCAGAATATCTTCGAGCTCCTTCACCGACGGCCCAGCATTGCTTCTGATGGTCTGTATGAGCGAAAACGATTGCTTCGAGCATCTGACTCTATCATTCTTCTTGACCTCATCAAGCAAGCGAGACCCATTCGTTCCCATGCGATCAAGTGGACTCGGACCAGAACCGCTGGATATATCTTGCGATCCATGAGGCAATTCGATGTCGCTCACGACGTACCGCAAACGGCTCCTCGACAAGTTCACATCAGTCTCCCGCTGTAGACTAAAGATAGGCGATTCGACTGCAGCATCATAGCGGTGAAATTCCGGTAGGATATCGTCCCAATTGACGACGATGCCCGTCTGAGCTTCCCGAATAAGCGCTGTCAGGAAACGAGCGCTTCCTTTCGAGGCCCGTATTTTCTCTCCACGGATTCGTTCTTTGAGAGCCGAGCGAGCAGTTTGAAGGCGATCACTGTACCTAGAAAGATTGTTAGGCAATAAATCGTCTACACCGTGTCCGAAAGTGTCGTCAACGTGTGTTAGCGGGTTAATGGCCAAGTAGTCACTAGCGATTCCGTGAAAACGAGCGTATTCGAGTAGCGAAGGGTCCATTGGCGAGACAGGTTTGAAAGAGTAAGGGGATTCGGGCCATCTAGTAGAGAAATAGTTAGAGAGGAAGTTGCTAATATGGCAAGTTCTAGCGGTGATGTTAATAAAGTTGAAATATCTTTCTAGGATTGGGAATGTTGACCACGGGGAGTGCAGACCTACATTCAGCTTTTGTCCAGTAGCATGGAGGATACCAATAATATCGAGGCCGAATCGTGTCAATATATATGTTTGCATCATGAGGAAGAAAAGCACTAGGTATATTCTCCTGATTGCTCTATTGAAATTAACGCCGTGTCCATAATCAGAATAAGACGCATAAGTATGGCTTGCCGCTCTTTGACCTTAATATCCAGTTCATATGCCGTCATAAAATACAGAAGGAAGTAGATGGAACGTGTGCTGTACAGAACTACGCCTGTCTCCGACCAGATGGCGCGCCGAGCACGACTTCCTGCGCCTGCTCCGTGACCGCACCCAAACGGCTGGCAACACCCAAAATACCCGTCTCGACATCACCAAGAACAGCAGCAAGGTCATTTAAGACTGTCCTTGGAGCACCATTTCCGGCACTATCACGATTTCGGGAAGTTGTGAACTCGTGGATCTGTCGTTCCAGAGTAGATTCGACCCCGTGAAGATGGTCCTCGATCTCCTTCAGGTTCCGGGTATAGCGCTCAAGGACGTCGCCCATCTCGTCAGACCGCTGAGTAAAGTAGTCCACCAGGTTCACAGGCACTCCGTTGATGCTGCTCGTGGATGGATCACCTTCAACATCATCCGGGAGCGCCAGAGTGTTCTTTCGCGTCGATCGCATCGATTTGGAATCCGATACCTTCTGGTTTTGAGCAGACCACCATCCAGAGCCTCCGGTTGACTGGTATTGCATCGGAAGTTTGAGGGTATCGATCGCACGAAAGGCGACCTCCGCCTCCGCTGCGTCTCGAGACACGAGGCTTCGAAGCTGGTCGATATCGGTGGCGTCATTTTCCAAGGCGTGTTGCATTGTTTCCAGCTTGCCCTGGACATACTCCACGTCATTCGGTATAGTACTGCCTTGAGACGAAACCAGAGGCAGAATACTTGCGACCTCATTGCACATTTTGATTTGGTTAACGATGAACGTATCGAACAGTTCGAGATCTGCTTTGACCTCATCCGCACAGCTTTCGTACTTTGTGGTTGGCAGAATGTTGGTAGTGTCGACTTTGGCACCCTGAATTACTGTGCTAGCACCAGCTGCTGGCGCCTGTTGTGTGGGTTGCTGCGTAGTAGTATTCTGGGTTCCGAAAAGGGATAGCGTAGGCTTTTGGGCCTGCTGTTGCCCAGCGTTTGTATTCGTGCCACTGATGTAGATGTTAGCATCAACTCGTTACGCACGCAACTGGCTCAAGGGCTCTTACAAGATACCAGTACCGGTTGTGGTCGAGCCTAGACTGAACGCGGGCTTCGACTGAGCCTGAGTAGTGGATCCCGCTGCCATGTTTCCAAAAAGCCCTCCAGTATTGCTTGTTTGCGTTGTGGTATTGTTCGCGCCAGCAGTGCCAGAGAACAGACCGCCGGTTTGTGGTTGAGTGTTGGTTGTGGTATTGCCAAACAATCCGGTCCCCGACGTGCTGTTTTGCTGACCACCCAACCCTGAAAACAAGCTTGACCCAGTGTTTTGCGTCTGTTGTGTATTTCCAGTCCCAGTGTTTCCGAATAGGCCACCAGCTGGCTTCGATTGCGTCGCGGCGGTCCCGAATAGACCTCCAGAAGCGCCTGTCGAGGCCGGCGTAGTCGCGGAGGTATTGCCGCCACTATCCAAAGCAGGAGCAGCGTTAGAAAGCACATATCAATCGGTGGTCAGCATACTCACAAGAGAGAGTTGGCGGAGTTTGTGTTGATGGAGAGCCCTGTTGAGGGAGCTGCGGGTTTTGAGGAAAACATTCTGAAAGAAAGGAAGGATCACAGATCCGGAATGTACGGTAGCGTGGCGTTGAATCAAGACAAAGACACTGTCCACCTGCAATGAGCCTAGTGCGATGTCCTTCGAAGACGAGACAGAGAAGCTGGGTAGGGAGTAAGGTTGTTGATGATGCTGAAAAACATAAAATTGACCGCAGTCCACCCCCGACTCCACCCAGCTTGACCCCGGCCAAGCTCGCTATTTGTCCGCCCGGCACCGGTGCTGAGCCACAGCAGGCCGCACCGCCACGGATCAAACCACGTTGCCGATATCAAATCCAACGTCAGCTCAAGCCCAAGCGCCTGCTGCCAAAGACCATATCCATATCCTAGCCTACTCTAGCCTGGGCTCCCTTGCCAACTCCTCCGGGCACCCTAACACGCTGATCGTATCACTCGCTGGTCTCCCTTAGGGTGCTGCTGACGTGGCTGCTGACCCTGGCCCACCTCCGAGCCCTAGGTACCTAGTAGACGTCCTCTTGTCTGAACAATCCGCGTGAAGGCAGGCCTGTACAGGCGCTGACTTACCTGAAACCGTGAGCTCGATGTCAGCACCTAGAGTCAGCTTCAATCGTACGTAGGGAGAGTCGCATTTCTCATCTCCATCTAGCTCCCATTGCCTTACCTTAGGGCAGTTTGGACAAAGCCAGGCTCTAGGTGCACCCGTTCACTTTAGAGTGTGTCAACGTGCAGCACGGAGCAACATGTACAGCCCACTGGCGACCATGGAGCCCATTCATCTTGCTTCAACTGAGACTCCAGTCACGCAGCTGTCTCCCTCACCCTCACACCAGCATTTTCCTAGTCAGCAGGCAGAGAGCAGTGGGCTGGACAAACAAATGCAAGACTCAGGTGTCTTGAGCGAATATTTCAAGAGTGCTCAGTGGTGAGTTTAAACTGAAGTTTCCCCTGAAGCTGGCCCAACACAGGCCTGCTCACCTTTCTGCTCACCTGCCTGCACTGAGATTTTCATGCGGCGACATCATGGCCAAACTCAAACAAAAACGACCCATGTACTGAATCTTCTTCTCGTGTTAACAGGTCCCCTGATGGCACAACCATCTTGACAGACTCCTCTGACCACAACATCAGAACCTACATTGTGTCAGTACACCTTTCTGTCCTCTGAAAAAGTCTTGAAAACTGTAAGAACCTAACAAACCCCACAGCCCCCAGGATCTTCTCGAAGAACGACAGTCTCCCCATCGGCTTTCTCCTTATTCTGTCTTGCCCTCTGGAGAGCCAACTTACGCATCTGCCTTCTACCCCTTCTTCTCGCTTCAGGAGCCGTCGTCTGCCTTGTTCCTTTCGTCTGTTAGAGACCATCCCATTCGATTGGCTTCTGCTCTCTCCCCGACATCGCTGGCGACCTATTCTCTTGTGAACCCAATGACCGAAGCCTTCATAACACCTCATTGCATTCTTTACCCTACTGCCTTGGGCGGAACTCACTTTCTCACTGGATCGGATAGCCTTATATGCCTTTTTGATGTTTCTCGGCCCGGGAATGAGGGCCCTGTGACTTGTATGCCCACAATACCAAGCAAGCGCAAACAGTTGGTTGGCGGAGGCATTGGAATGAAAGGTATAGTCTCTGCGCTGGCGCTAAGTCCGGATGAGGGCGGAATCCTGGCCGCCGGTACGTTCTCGCGGAACATCGGGCTTTATGATTCAAATGGCACAGGGCAATCTCTTGGGACATTCAGTGTCTCGAAGAATGAAGCCGATCGTCACATCGGTGGAGGCGGGGTTACTCAACTTCTCTGGAGCCCTTGCGGACGATACCTTTATATAGCGGAACGCAAGAGCGACGGCGTTCTGATTTATGATATCAGAGTTACCGGGCAACTTCTCGGATGGCTTCGAGGGCGCAACGCTCTTACAAATCAAAGGATGAAGATCGACTTGGTTCCAACGACGGACGGTCACGGCCCCGAGATATGGGCTGGCGGCACGGATGGCGTATTGCGATCCTGGAGAGACACTGTACATACCGTTGGAGCGCAGGATCCGACCTGGGAATGGAAGGTTCATAATGGTAAGTACAACTCTGACCAAGTCGAATGATGGATACTAAAAAATGAGACATAGACTCAGTGAGCAGCACTGTCATGCATCCGATGGGCAATATTATGGCCACAACGTCCGGCCAAAAGCGCCCGAGAGAACACTTGGATGATATGGGCGAACTCCCCTTGATTCCAAGTACTGAAAGCTCGTTGGATGTGTGGCTTCTTCCTGGTGTATCTAAGTCTTGGACAAGATCGTCCTCATCGTCCTAGATGAACGCGTGGCTTCCTCTTGGTGTATCTGCGCCGCAGACAAGGTCGTTCTCCTCGGCCCAGAGCTTTGTTTTCTGCAATGAGCAGGAAACTATCTTTCGTCAGGGTAACTGGATTTGGCGGCTGTGTGCTAAGTCCAGTGTGGAGGCCGATGATAGGATGTAAGTTGCTTCAATGGGTACGTCAAGATATCGATTCATGATGTCGACCTTCGAGGACGGCCATGGCTTACGCTCGCGAAAGGAACAAGGGAATCGGGACTCATTTGGCGACCATACCAACGCCAATCGCACTCAGGAGCTGCGAAAGCCTCGAGCCTCGAGTTCGAGCGCACGGTTACGGTTCTAAGATCGAAGCCGGTGACATTGACATATTCCCTCGTTACTAAATAGAGCTTCAAACTTCAATTGCTACTGGGATGTCCTATTGCCTAAGCTAGGCTGGTTCAACAATGGGATTGTGCAGAAAATGCCGCATTTCTTTATTGACGGTCGACGGTTGCTATTGTGTTGCACCTTCGAGGCAGCTCGGTATTGTCCCTGAGCCACTACACCCAACCTACCTAGGTGAATGAGTACTCCCGAACTTCATCTCAACATATCTGCCGCTCCAATATTCACTGCAGAACTCTCTCCCGACGTGCCGCTCCTGAACATTGCTGTTCTCGTCACTGCCGAGCGAGTTCCTGTTGAGCAGATCTCCTGGAGAACACTTACCTCCCATTCACTAACAGCTCCGCTTGTTGACTCCAGCTCTTGACGGAAGCTACTATAAATATTCCCCAGTTTCTCTCAACCTCTCCCTCCATATTTTCTCCATCTTCACTCCGAAGTTCACTCTTCATCTTTCGTTTCCAATTCTTTGCCCAATCCTGTTGGATATCATCTTTTCGATCGTATTCATCCACTTATCCATCTTTCTATCATCGAGCTATCAAGATACAGCCAAGCTTCTAATAAAGTCTGTGCATCGCGTGCTAGAGTTGTCCAATCAAGGCCTCTTCGGCATCGCAGCCATGGAGCCTAACCCGTTGGAAAACTTGGATGATCATTACCGCTCTATCTTACAAGAGGCCATCCCTTTCAATGAGGCTGCCTGGCAATCAATCACCAACGTTTTGTACTCCAACCCAGCGTCTGTGTCCGAGCCTACTAGCAATCCCCCATCTATAGGCGAGTTCGGACCCACCACTTCTGATCCCAGTCTCAGCGACTCACCGTTGCCGAACGGACCCTTGTTCAACCCCTCCGAGGGACAGAATGCTTTTTCCAGCATTAGTCTTAATGATCCAGGATTCCTCGCGAGCCTCTCAAGCAATGGAATGAATGACAACGGATCATCTGGTCAACTTGGAGGCTCGGACGAAACCACTTCCAACCCTACTGAGGCACCTCATGAACAGGGCCTCACTAACGATGCGACGCCTATTCCGGTCGAGGAGATGGCTGCTGGCGCCCTGAAACCTACGGAGAATCCTCCCGCCTCTACACTCAACTCCTCCAGTGAACCGGATCAAGATGCTAAGTGCTTTTTATGTCGGCAAACTTGGGCTCGACTTTGCCGCTCTGATCCTGAGACGGTAGATTATACGAGTGTGGAATTTCATCTTTATTACCAGAAGCATCATGAAGTTCATTTGAGGTTGCATCCCACAATCGAATACGGTGTCTCGAAGACTGATGAGGAAGAGGAAGACGCAGTTGATAACTATGAACACAACAGCGAGGCAGATGATCTTGAAGGCCACGACAGTGAGGAAGAGGAAGATCAATCAAATGAAGACTGTTTAGATGCTGCGGATGATGAAGTAGCCCTTGGGCCTGATTTCTTTCAATCCAATCCAATGGAGTTTGTTGATTATGCTGAGCAACGGGCAACCACTGAGCTATCCACAGAAGGCAATGGAACCATTGAGCAGTCGATTCGTCAAGCAGTCTCAGCAGCCGCAGTTAGGCAACACACAGAAGGCGACGAAACAAGTGCACAAGGGACCTCCTATGCAGAGGCTATAGAAGCGGCGCTTGTGCGAGAAAAACAAGTTTTCAATGGACGCGAAGTTCCGAAAACTACTGGACGAGACAAGCTCTATCTTGCGGTGGCAGAGACTGCACTACAATGCACTGAAAACTTCGCCGGTAACATTACCAAGTTCGAGTCTCTCGATCACGCGCGGCAGGAATTGGCCAACAAGGTCACTCGTCCCCCGCCTGATGCTACTATACCCACAAACGCTGCGCAGGAACGGGCATACGTTAACGCCTTGCTCAAATTCATTCTTGACTTGGGGTTCTCAATAGACAATGAAGGGGCATTGAATCGATTCAAAAAAATCTATTTGCCCCACAAGGAAGAGATTGAACTGTGGTGCTGGGGGGTTGTGGTAAGTATCTCAAGGAATATTCAATAAGTGATGTACTAACATAGTTTCTATAGGACATCGTGAAACAACGCGCGATAAATGGACATCCAACAAGAAAACCGGGTTGCAGTTCCAATTTCAAGGAGAGAATGGCCGCGATAATGGAGTGCCTTCACTACCGCAAAACAACCTACAGCTCGTGCCAGACGAACAATACCTTCGACAACCTCATTGCCGATCCAAAACAGACTTTGCAGTCAGGTAAAACCAACAAAAAGGGCAATGCAAAGAAAAAGGTCCAAATAACTATGGGCAAAGAGGTCGAGGCCACTCAGCGACAAGCTTCGAACACCACCACGCCGGACACAACACTTGACGCACAGAACAAGAGGCAGTCAAAGAAGAAGACAACGGCGCAGCAACATAGATCTAGCACGGAGGCACCGCGAGGACAAAATAACGCTAGAGCGGAGGAACAGGGCTCAGCGCAACCGCAAAATGCCAACACAGCCCACCACCCTTCACCCGTGCCAGAAAACCAAAATGTTCACGGAGTTGCTGACGTTTCTCGGGACATGCAGGCAGTGCAACCTTTGATCCCTTCGCCTCTCGTTGCCGGTCAGCACGGAGTGCTGAACCACGGAGGTCATCCAAATCTCGCAGCTGGCTGGCCCTTGCAATACCAAGAACCGTATTTTCCAGCGAGCCCGGGCGTTAGCGAAGTTCCTGGCGTCTCTCGAGACATGCGGGCAGTGCGACCTGACGGCACCTTGCATCCGGTTAACGGTCAGCATGGATTGACGGATTACGGAGGCCGTCAAAATCTCGCAGCGAGCTCTGCCCTTCAAAGCCAACCACAGTATCATCCGCGATATGCTACGACCATAGATGATAATGGTTCTGAACAACAAGCACAGAACCGTCCAGTAGAGCAGTACTCGAACACTTATCATGAGCCGTTATTTGACCTGATGAGCTCGGTTGACATTGACATGATCACCCGTTGGGATACGGCGGCCTTTGAAGACGAGAACATGCCTCATTTGTCACAAACTATTTCTATTCCTCCACATGTCAATGCTTCCGGGTCTCATCCAGCTACTCATTATAACGAAAACATCCTTCCCCAGCAATTGAATGGGATTTCCACTGCTCCCGGCGCTGGGCAAACTTTCAACAGTCATCAACACCCGGGAACTCGTCGAGCTCCAAACAATAGCCAAGTTCGCCGCGCTGGTCAAGCTTCGCAGAATAGCACCAATACCCGTACCCTGAGAAAGCGTTCTCACACGGACGAGGATGCGCTTGTTTCCACTTCTCCGCAAGGCCCAAAACGTCAGCGTATCTCACGCTTTGTCCCGAACCACAATGACTGTCAATCATCGGAGCCCTAGTGAGAGCACCAAGTAGAACGCAGAGATCCCTCCAGGAAATACAAAATAAACAAACCGACGAAAAAAAAAAGTAAAAAACACAACCCAAAAAAAGGAGAAAAACCAAACCCAAAAAAAAGACGCAATGATAAAGTCAAAAAAGTCCTCAAATCATCAACCGCCTCCTCATCTACTTCCAGCGACATGATTTCCATACGCATGGTTCTCCAGCGACATTACGATACCCAGCTTTGGCATTGCATTTACGCGATATCCTCGTTCAAGCGCAGGAGTCAAGGGAAATCGTGGGAAGATACCCAGGGTGCACAATGCTTACTCTACGGGGAGACGGTGTTTGGGCGTGGCTTCTGATGTCTCTTTTCTCGTCTCTTTTTATCATGTTTTTTCCTATGTCTTTCCTTTTTTAGTTTCCTTTTTCAGATTTCTTTGTTCCATCTGCTTCATTCAGACAGCGACATCTTGTATTCTCCGTCGCATCCGGGCTGTTTTGGGACTTTCAGGGCTCGTCCATTTATCTAACAAGTGCCATTGCTACATAGAGGTGCCATGCTTGGTGAGAAGCTGGCCCTCATAGATGTCTATAGAGGTTTTTGGAGGAGACCCATAGAAACAGACAATAACTACATTGGCAAAAAAGATTTCCTTTCGTAGTAAGCAAGTAACTTTGAGCAAACGTAGATAGTATTAAAATGTGACGCTTACAATGTTTCGAGGTAGAAGTTACGACGTTAAAATCTGCCGGGGCAGTCTACAAACATAATAAACCATCGAGAGCAAACTTCAATTGATCAAAAGCCACTAGATAGTTGGATTTTCGGCCGCTGAGCAGACTCAAGGTAGCGTCTTCAGCTCGCAGAGCAGCCCAACGGCCAAGAGGAGGACCCGGGCGCAGAGACACTGGAGATAGCACAGGGTCGTATCAGTTGCTTTTCTACGCTGCCTCATCCCCGGACAAAGGAGTGTTGCCTTGGGAATAGCTTCAGCGGAGGCGTAACAGAAAATCAGTCCATGACATGAGGTTGAAGAATGAGGGCTAGAAAATCACATGCTCTGCCGATGATAAGGTAGCTCCAGTGTCACGGGCCCAATGACGTTATTTCCCCGACCGACCCCTCGAGTCGTCCCATCCCCGGATTCAAGGCCGGCGGGTTCCTCCGGAGGTGTTCTTCTTTTCTTTGTTCTTGTATCCCAGATTGAAGTCGTTGTGTTCATCCAAAAGCAATTCGTTCGTTGAGCAATATGGCCGAAGATGACTATGAGCTGGTATGCCTGCCTGAGGTCCACTCCACGAGTCCACTCCCGAAGCTTATCTTAGCTAACTTTCTGGAATTTTGAACGTGTTCTAGGACTCTTACCAGCTGTACCTTCGATATGAAGAAAGCCCACCGAAAGAAGACTGGAGAAAAGCCGCGCTTCGCGGACCGGCTTTGCCGACAATAGGAAATGCTGTTGCTGGTGCCGTTGGCGCTGCGGCGTCGAATCTCGCGACTTACCCGCTAAGCCTTATCATAGCAAGATTGCAGACTCAGAAGCAGAGGGGACGGAAAGCGAGCGATGGCGAGAAAGCCGATGATGAAGAAGAGTATGCGGGGATCTTGGATGCGGCGCGGAAAATATACGCGAAAGAAGGGATCAGCGGTCTTTATTCTGGCCTTGCGCAAGACACGGTCAAAAGCGTGCTCGATGCATTCTTGTTCTTCTTAGCGTACGAGTTCTTCAGGCAGCGGAGGATTGCGGCGAGATTTGGTTCGAGGCGGAGGTCGAAGCATACGGGTTTGCCTGTCCTTGATGAATTGGCCATTGGGGTGTTGGCCGGCGCTTTCTCGAAGTTTTTCACGACGCCATTATCAAATATCGTGGCAAGGAAGCAGACGTCGGGGACTTCAGCAAGCTCGTCGCAAATTGCGTCGAAGATTCGGTCGGAGAAGGGATTTGGAGGTTTCTGGTCAGGGTATTCGGCTGCTCTTATCCTCACGCTAAATCCGTCAATCACGTTCTTGCTTAACGGAATGCTCAAGTCAATTCTTCGTCGGAACAAAGGCCAGCCGTCAGCTGCAGTGACCTTTTTGTTAGCAGCGCTCAGCAAGTCCGCAGCGTCCTCGATCACATACCCCTTCTCAATGGCCAAGACTCGCTCTCAGGTATCAGACTCCGGTTCGAGTTCCGGCAATGATGGAGCGAAGGAAAACAACAATGACTCCGATGGGATTTTCTTCGTACCGTCAATAATATCGAACGTCATCACCATAGTTCGGACTGAGGGAGTCTCAGAGCTATATGCCGGCCTCCGCGGGGAAGTTCTGAAAGGCTTCTTCTCTCATGGTTTCACTATGCTTGCAAAAGACGCCGTATATGCTGGAATAGTGCGCGCGTATTACCTCATTCTCATTCTCAGCAAGCGCTATCCCAGCCCAGAGGAGTTGCTTGAGAGAGCTCGAGAACGGGCTGAGGAATATGCCGAGGCGGCTCGAGAAGGCGCAAAGGATCTCGCAGAGAAGGCAAAGAGCGGGACAGAAGAGATTCTGGATAGTCACACTGGAAGCGCAGCAGTTGACATGACGTCCAATACGACCCCGGTTGATGTTGATGCACTGGGATCGAATGAGACGGCGGAGATGGTCGGGGACTATGTTGAGGACGAGGCGAGGGAGTGGAAGAGTCTGTACCACTGGTTCTGGGAGAAGGAGAAGCTCGGTAAATCATGACTGTTTTTCAGTTTGTAGTTGTTTGTAAGTTGAGTGATTTAGCAAGCCTTGATTTCGTCACTCTTGGGTGTTACTTGCACCTGTCTTGATAGCCACGCTAGGAATTATAGCCAGGCCGAATGGCTATCGAAACAGGTGCTCTGAGCTGTGCATGGCTTATGCAAGTTATGAAAGTAATGATCTGCGCCCTAGGCACGGAGCGGGAGCCACATGCGGTGGTGGAACCGATCTGGCCGATCCGGTGGGACTTCGTTTCAGCCCACCACAACCACGGTTCTCTTCTCTTCCCCGATCTCTCTCACTCGCTTCCACACTTTGTCTAACCTTTTTCTCCATGTCGACGGAGCCTCAAGGTGGCCCTGGATTGGGGGACCTGGAAAAAGAACTGATTTGCTCGGTAGGTATGCTCCTTTTTGAATCTCCCGTCTCGGGTCTTGACAACCGCGGGGAGGGTGCCGGATTCCAGACTCGCTATCGTGCAGGCTATCGCTGCCCTTGCATCAATCGAGCAACGATAACCCCAGTCGCAATCATGGTCCTCGTACTTGGGAAATCATGATATTTCATTGAGGCCGCTCACTGACCGCTGCGCTAGATTTGCACAGATTTGCTGTTTCAGCCGCTTACACTCCTCGATTGCCTTCATACCTTCTGCGGATCCTGCCTGAAAGAATGGTTTCATACACAAGCATCTCGTCGATCTCCCTCTACTCCTCGATTTACCTGCCCGTCATGCCGTGCGAACGTCCGCGAGACTCGACCGAATGCCACCGTGACGACGCTCTTGGACATGGTCCTGACCGCTAATCCCGAGCGTGCCAAGCCAGCTACCGAACGAGCAGAGATAGAGCAACGTTATAAACACGGGGAATCAGTATTTCCGTCTCTGTCTTCTCCGGGGAATAGCTCCGCAGGGTCTGATGAAGAAGATCAGAGGATATTGGAGGAGGTTCGCCAGCTGAGTCTTCAGGACAGCCGGAGTCAGACGAGGACGACGGGCCAGCGGTCACGACAGTCATCTCGAACACGGCGAGCGGAATCTACGGATCTTAATGGACAACGAGAAGATGGCCGCTCTCGGCGGCGGCGGGAAGAGGAGCGTGCAGCTCGGCGAGAACGCGGAGCTCGAGCAACCGGACGGCCACAGAATGCTAGGGAGCGGTCGAGGAGAATCGAGCACCAATCAAGCCTGCGATCGTTGCTGAGCTTATCGGATACAGAAACTATGGAGGAAGAGATTTTACGGCAAATTTTCGAGGAAGGATTGCTGGATGATATTGACTTGGACAATTTGGAGCCCGGACAGGAAGAAGAGCTCAGCGAGCGCATTGCTGATGCTTATCGCCGAAGACACATGTTGCGCACCCGCTCTCAGCGACGGCAAGATACGCCAGGGCATCATCAAATGCAAAGGCAAGCTCATTCTCGTTCACGGTCCATGCAAAGACCGCAAGAATCTACCAGCAGCCCCGCAACTCCGAGATCACCACTCCTCGAACCACCTGTATCGCGTCCAGGGCCCTCAAACCACCAGAGACGTCTCTCTGAGCAAGGAAGCAACCGGAGGAGGAGAACGTCTCCGGTTCCCTATAGCCCGGCTTCATCATCAGATGTCACGCTTAGTCCTGCTCTTCGAACATCAAGTGACACCATCCCCGATCGATCCCGGAATTCTCATTCTCGACCTCCGCCATCTGGATCTGTTGCGACGCGGCCTCGACGTGCTCACTCCTCTGGCCAGAGCGTCCCTCACATCTTAATCGGTGATCGAAATGGGACGTCTAGTCATAGTCGTACTAGATCCTCTATTGATTCTCCGAGGTCGACTCCTCTAGCAGCACGAAACCCTCCGGATAGTCCGAGTTCTCTACGACCGCGAAATAACACGTCCGAGATATCTACAAACAGTTCTGTTCTGGCTGAAGTCAACGGCCCACGTTCTCGGCCGTCCTCATCTCGCTCAAACGCGTTGACGCAACCTGCCAATTCGTTCCTCGAACCGAGCATCTCATGCGATCGCTGCGGCAAAGCTAGCATCCAATATGACCTCCATATGACTTGCTCGCAGTGCAAAGATGGCGACTACCATCTTTGCCTCAGATGCTATCGCCTTGGCCGAGGTTGTTTGGATTGGAAGGGATTTGAGAATTCAGCGCAGGCCGAGTTCGTGAGAATGAGGGCGTCATCGGCCAGCCAGGCAAATTCGCAAGAGTCCCAACATGTCCTACAGTCTTTCAAATATTCACGCCCCTCAGAGACAGCTCTTCGATTTGTGCGAGATGGAAGGGAGACAACTAGTGACGATCCCGCCCGCAGATTGCAGCAAGGGCTCTTCTGCGATTGTTGCCAGTCATCCGCTAATGAGCTCTTATGGACCTGCAATCAATGCAACCAAGGGGACTGGGGGTTCTGCAACAAATGCGTTAACAAGGGCAAATGCTGCACGCACCCCCTACTCCCGATCTGCCGCATAGATCGGCCCCCTCAAGATCAATCCACCGCTGGCAGCAGCATTAGTGAATTCAGCGTTCTGACTATTTCAACTCGATGCGACGCCTGCTCCTGCGCAATCCCCACCTCAACCCTTCGATTCCACTGCCTCCAATGCAATGACGGCGATTACGATCTTTGCGCCAACTGCTACCTGAAATTCGTTGCGACATCGAAGATTCGCAAGGAAAACGGTCTCAATGGGTGGCGGCGATGTCTGAAGGGGCACCGCATGATCGTTGTCGGGTTCGAAAGTTACCCCGAAGGCCACCGCCGAGTTATCGCACGCAATCTCGTCGGCGGTAACGCCTTGAAGGACAAATACCTCCCGTCAACCTCATCTCCTGCCCAAGCCGTCGGTACACCCACTTCAGAGAGTCCAACAACTGTGGGCGACTGGAGTTGGAAAGAGGGATCCGAGCGTCGAAAGAAAACCTCCCGTATACGCTCTGCATGCAATAATGATCGTGACCGCACACCGGTCCCCGAACCGGGCACCCCTTCCTCAGTTAATCCGGCCCAGCCTCAAAGTCCCAGCACGGCAAACCCAGCTCCTCGTCGCTTCCCGCCAGATGGCGGCGTCGGCCTTATAGTCCATGCAATGTGGTCCTGGTACCCGGAAGAGGGCGTCCACGACGAACTAATGTTCCCGCGTGGCGCGGAAATCACCGAAGCAGAGAATATCAACGATGACTGGTATTGGGGTTGCTATGCGGGAATGACCGGATTATTCCCTGGGTCGCATGTTTCCGTGGCCGCGGAGATTGTTTGATATGGAGTTGAGTACGTTTCATACAAACATCGGTGGTTCTCGTCGCTTTTATCTTTTGTTGTTCTTCTTGTTTATTTTTGATTTAACGGTATACAAGCATTGCATGGCATGGAATGGCATAGTAGCCTGCATTACATGCCCGCCCACGAGGACTACGCCGCCACGACTTACTGCATTTGCATTGCATGTGATATGACAATAATGACATGACATGATACCTTATGTACTTACGGAGCATCTTCTTGCATGAACGCATCTCTTTCGATACTACTTCCATTTTTGTCGTAGCAGCAGTTCTTCCCGAACGCCCCTTGAGTACTCTGTAGTAGGCAACGCCACGGATCTGCAGTGCGCTCTAACGGAATATCGGAGTGTGGCGTGCTCGAGGATGGCGATGCAGTGCCGTCCAACTGGTGCCTAGCAAGTGGCGACTGCGTTCTGGAAATCGGATCCAATCAGCTGAGTTTTCTGGATTAGAGTGCTACCTACGGAGTAATAGTCCTGCTGGTGATGTATGACGTCAGTCTATCTGGACCTGCGGACTGTGATCAATTACGCCGGCTGAAATTGATCGTAAGGATGTTCCTACTTCTAATAATAGAGCCACTAAGTGCAGTTTGTCCAGGGGCATGATTTACAGGGAAGGCGTTGGGGAGGAACTTGGTCGGTTCTAGGCTCGGTCAGTACGTCTTCCTATAATCCGGAGTAATGTCCTTGAGGCTGTTATTGGCCACTGAGTTCCGTACATGTACGAGATCAGGAACAATAAATAAGAAAGACTCGAAACATTAAGTTCATATTGCAGTCTCGGTATCGTGATCATAATCATTACTGCAAGGTAGCATAGCCATAGCTAAGATAAACCGCCTCCGCCAACCTAACCCAAGGCACCGCAATAGTAAGGATAGAATAACACACCACAGAAGAAAGCGATAAGAGAGTCATCACTCATGACCGGCATCAAGCATAGCATCAAACATCAAAGACCCCAAGAGAGAGAGAAAGATAAGCTCACTCCAACATGGCAACCAACAGCCTCTGATAATCCCCACTCGTCTCACCCCGAACCCTCTTAACAAGATCCTGCTTGTACTTATGCTGATACGCGCCCTTAACATTCGCCACATGCTGACGATCCCAATGGACACGCACAACCCTGACGACAAGCTTCTCATCCTTCGTCCCCATGCCCTTCATGCATTCTTCCAGGAGCACGGCGTCGCGCATCGCAGAATCCAACGCTGTCCGGAGCATATGCAGCAGTGCATCCTTCATGTGTCCTGAGAATTCCTTTTCGAGATGGGCTTCGAGAGAGGTGTGGTAGCGCGCGGAGAAAGCTTGGTTCAGGGCTTGGAGTTCCCTGTTGGAGCTACGGGCGAAGATTGCGCAGACTTCGTCGGCGTTGTTGACCATTCGGGCGGCTGTTGCGCCGTGGATGTTCTGGGCTTCGGATTCGATAGTGCGTTGGTCGATATAGGCAGTTTCTTCGTGGCGCGCGGCGCGTAGAACGTGGGCGAAGAGGTTCTTTGTCTTGAAGGAGAGGTCGCCTTCGACGTCGCGTTCGAGAGAGCGGCGGTATGTCCGTTCGTAGGAAACCTTGATAGCGTTTAGATCCGCATTTGATCGGCCTAACAGAACATCATTAAGAAGCCACTCCTTAGTGCCTATGCCCTGGACAGCCTCGCGAGCCAATGCGGTATCGTGCATAAGCGGTCCATCGATGATAGCAAGGAGACCCTGGCGGAAATAGCTGCTTGTTTCCGATTTGACGTCGCTGTAGAGGTCGCGGCGGAGGTGTGAGGAGTATGTTGCGCGGACGGCGGCGATCTGGAGCGGGTCGAGCCTGGCCAGAACCTGGATGAGGGTCTTCTCATCCGTTCCGAAACCCTTCATGGCTTTTCGAAGCGTGTCGGCGTCACGGCGGAAATCGCCGGTGGCTATCTGTCCCGGAGCATAGCCCAATGAGGGCATCGACGGGGCGGGCGGAGGAGGAGGGCCATAACTTTGTCCGTAACCTTGTGGAGGTCCCTGCGGAGGGGGTTGGAAGTGCTGAGGGTGTTGCGGAGGTTGAGGCGAGTGCGGTTGTGGCGGGAACGGGCCTTGGGCGTTATATCCAAGGTTCGGTTGGTTCGGTTGATGATATCCTGGCCCAGGAGGTCCATAACCACCAGGAGAGTGGTATCCGGGGCCAGCTTGTGGGTATTGGGATTGTGCGCCGTACGCTGGGTTGTGAGACCCGACGTGTCCGGGAGGGCCTGGCGGAGGTTGGTATTGGCCTGGCGGTGGCCAGCCATGTTGATTCGGTTGGGGAGGGCCGTAACTAGGCTGAGGCCCGTTCTGTTGATATCCGGTGTACCCCTGCGCAGGGGGAAATTGTTCTAAGGACAAGACATTAGGTTTTGGAGGAACACTGGAGCTATACTAGAACTCACGGTTGGGTGGATATTGGTAGGACATAGTCGCGATAGAGAATACTCCCGTAAATGATAGAGAAATCAAAAACTATGGAGGAAGGAGGAACTGGAGATATATAAGCTGTTTGGATGCAAACGAAGCATGACATAGCCCCGGAAGAAGAGGGGCATGACGAATTAGGCTTGGCGCTATTGGATTGTGGCTCGCGCTTCTAAGGTCCCGCCAATCATGATGAAAGGACCGTTGGGGCGCAGCATTAGTGTACCGTAAGGCTGACTGTGGCAGTGCCATCAGCCCACTTTCCTTCAGTTCGTCTTCTGCGAGTCGGAGAAATAATAGGCGTTGATCTAAGGAACGGTAGCTCACGGAGAATATCGTCTTTAACTCAACCTTGTCGGCTCGCAGACCCGCTCATGCGTTTCCTGAGCCTGTGTCAAAACATGACCCTTTCTCCGTGTGACTGAGTAGTAGCTATATATATGTGGCGCATACTAACTCACCACTTCCTAAGTTGCATTTATAACCAAAACCATTCTGTATTTCTACTTGGCCCGCCAGCCCCGGTGGAAATATCTTGCCAGTATTCCACATTTACGCGCTGAAGACTTCGGAGTCTCTGAAGGCTCCAAGTACTCCTTGTACTGAGGCAGCTCATAAGGTTGTACCAACACCTCCAGTCTTTGAGCTACTGTCTGCGTCCACGAGTGGTCTCGGCCTAGCAGTTGCTCGTAGCCTGCTAGGGCTCGACGATACATACCCTCAGCTTCTGTCACTCTGTTCTGAGCAGCCCAGAACTCGGCAAAATAAGACGCCGCAGCCAGTGTGTGGATGCTATTAGGGCCCAGAGTCCTCGTAAAGCCAGACACTGCTCGCTCATACATCTCTTCTGCAGCCTTGAGTTTACCCCTTTGCTGATATACAATAGCAAGGTTATACATTCTGTCGACTGTGGCGGGGTGGTCTGGCCCATAAATCTTCCCTATGCCTATGGACCGTTCGAACATATCCTCCGCCTCTCCCAGTCTATCTGTGCGCTGGTATATACGGGCCAAGTGCCAGTATGAGTAATATGTCTGAATATGGTCAGGTCCGACGATTGCCATCTTGCCTTTGAATGCTGTTTGGCACATTTCTTCCGCAAGGTCTAGCCGTCCGCAAGTAGTGTGGAAGTCCCCGAGATGATCAAGGCTCTCTAGCGTCGATATGTGATTAGGCCCGAACATCTCATGATACTCGGATTGTGCGCGCTGATACATCTCCCCTGCCTTTTCCAACTCGTTACTGCGAACGTAGACATGCCCAAGGTTACCGCGTATCATAGGAACCATGGCTTCGTTCGATCCTAGGGCCATGTATCCTGAGAGTGCCTGCTTATATGCCGCCTTCGCCTCTAGTAATTTCCCTTGGACTTCGTGAACAAGCGCAAGAGCATAGATCATACTCAGAACTAGACGATCAGACATGAAGTCTGGTCCGAGGCCTTCCCGACAGATAGCCAAACCCCACTGGTAAATCTCTTCTGCCTGGCTCAGTTTGCACTGGCCAGCATAAAGATTTCCAATGCCGTTAAATGTAGTCCGAAGCTCGACACTATCAGTCAGTCTAAGGGTACGCACTTTGGGCAGGATATAAATAGCGTGAGGAAGCAGTCGTTGTTGAACAATCCAGGAACTCGCGTTCTGAATGCTCGGAACCATGTGCCCAACAGCGATGAAGGCTAGCTCCTTCAGCCGGGCTGCGTTTGGCTCGTTTTGGCTTTCTGAAATTGAGAGGCACCAGTCTCTCACGACTGGATGCATGGTGTAGCTGTCGTCTTGCAGCTTTGCCCCGATAAATGAGAACCCGAGAAGCGTTCTCATTTTTTCCCTGAAGACCAGTTCATCTGACATGACAGAATCAAACCACTTCGGCCGATTTGGACTGTAGGCGCCGTATTGCAAGAGTTGAAAAAATATATCCTGGTTGTCAAAGTGTGCGAGCACTAGCATGAGCTCGGCTGCTTCCGGGTCTCGTTCCCTTATTGCCTGATACGAAACGGCCCATGTCTGTAGTATGTTTCCTTGTTCGTATTGTCGGACAGAGCCGGATTGTGACTGCAGGTTATGCCACGATTCTCGATAATACTGTAGGTATTTGCTGAAGCTCGTTCCCGTCTCACGTATAAATGACCCTGCAAGAGTGATTCCTAGCGGTAGGCCATCTAAATGTTTGACAAGGTCGGCGACGTCTGCACTGGTCAGAAACATGATAATCAATGCACGAAACATAATTACCTCTATTGATATCCTTCGCTTGCTCGGCTTCCTGGCTAGATATGCCACTGTTTTGTAGGAGAAGTTGAGTAGCGTGGGTTGGATCCAACTTCTGGAGAGGAAAGGATCTCCCTAGCTCACTCAACTTCAACAGCCGAGACGTTATCAAAATTGAGCCATGATCGGCTGCGGGGAAGAACTGTCCAACATCATAGCCAGCATCTGCTCCGGGCGAGTATTGGTCGACGTTGTCGAAAATAATAAGCCAGCTATGGTTGTCTTGTAAGGCCAACCATTCCAAGACTTGAGAAGCATTCCGCTTGACTTCCCCTTCGTTTCTGGCTGTTGTGTCCGAATCTTGGCCTGGCAGTTTTGGCAATGCCGAGCTCAGTGATTGCAGAAGCGTTTCCTGGCTCTTGCCATTCAACCAGAGGACGGCAGTGAAATCGTCCTTGTGAGAGCGCGCAAAACGCGTGGCCAGTTGTGTCTTTCCCATGCCCCCAAGCCCATGTACGACTGCCACCCTCTGGGACTTCTGACTTGAAGGTTGTAGATGCTGCCAAAGATGCTCGAGTTCATCATCTCGCCCGATAAAGTTCTTTGCTGTAGACAGAGCAGTGACGTCGAATGGCACATGATATTTGCGCTCTAAATTTCTTTATTAGAGATACTGTCAAATATGCGATATCGACGCACCTTGACCACGCCGGGCAACGGAGGTATACAGAAGAAGTTCTTTCGCATAAGCTGCTGCTACTGCGGATGCGTACCCCTGCCATTGATTATTTTTGTGGGAATCCGCATAGTCACAGATGCCACGAACGACTATTGAGGGGAGATTGTCCATTATACCGGCTGCTTCCATCTCAATGCAGTAAGCACCCAACTTTCGTCCCAGTTCGTCCCGCAAGTCGCTATTTTTTACCACTTGGTTTGCGGATGCAATAAGGCCGTAGTGCACAACGGGTGTGTGATGCTTCCGTGAAGGTCGGGACACGGCCTTGGATTCGTCACAGTCGATACAAGTTGGGGACGTTGAATCGGGGTGGTCGTAATCAGAACGGTATAAGCGATCCTCTACAGCTGGACGAGCAAAAGCAGTCTTGCTCTCAAGTCCAGCGTAGAACTCCAAGAATCTACCGTCATGATTCATATGCCTCGCTTGCAACTTCGACAAGGCAGTCAAAAGAATCTGGGGTGGGCGACTGAGCATCCCAGTTGCCTGAAACCGCTCGCCTTTCAATACCTTCCCAAAGTCATACTCAATGACTCCGCCGTGGCCGTTCGTTGGTTTGCTGACCACAATGTCTCCAAGGCGGATATCTGCACTTCCAGGGACTGCGCCGCCGAGTCCAACCATGAGTCCAAAGCGAATCGAGCGAAAGGTAGACAGCAGTTGGACGACTACTGAGCTAGCCGAGACGGTGCCGTACTTGCCGCTGGGTAAACAGGCAATGACAACATCATGCTCTCCGATCCGTCCGAGCGAGTAGGAGTTATGGTCATTTGACTGTACCGGCAAGGACTCGTGTATCTCATCCAGCATAGCTTCCGCAGCTGCCGTTTCCACGGGTATCGCACAGATCCAGGCTACTGTGTAATCATCATGTGAACGGCGAATTTTGGGCGTCATGTCAATAGATCACCAGCTCTCTTCACGGAAACATCTATAAACTGACCGTGTCTCAAGAGGATGGAGGACGAAAATGCGAGCGGACAATGTGATCAAAAGCCAGAGACGCAAGGCTGATTTGGAATTGCAGTTTGTGCCACCAAGCAGGATAGCAGAGCATTTGAGGCTGTGTCCCCTAAGCGCCTGAAAGGAGTTCCAACCCAGGCTCACGCAAGCTGCCCAGTCAAAGAACTCAGCGCTAAATCAAGCATCGCTATAGGGCCAGCGCAGCAAGCACTCAACAGCTGCTTTTGAAGCGATTCTGAATCCAACAGTTTTTCAAGCTTCGTTAAGCGCGCCGTGATACGAAACAACGGCGTTAGAAACCAACACTTTTTGCTTGCATTGAGAACAACTGGTCAATGTCTGGACTTGACTCTCCCGAGCGAATGATCTAACCAAAAGCTCAGACGAACTTCGACCAGATCAGAATCAGCAGCATCAAGGTGAAAAAAAAGATAAGGCATGTCCCTAGCCGTGGTTCCACGATGGCGCACAGCGCCAAAAAAGGTCAGGGATGGGGGAAGCGAAAGCTTTCCGAATAACTTCTCTGCGATACCAATCGTTAGTTTTATTGATGCCCTAGGTAGTCCAGTATACTCACGCACATACCATAATGCCTCCGGAAATTAAATAATATCTTGACCGATAAAAGCTTTGAGAATTGAGATGGATGGAGGTGAGACTGTTGTTTTGAGATCATCTCGTTTCCTTATCTAGGTCGAGGTTATAGCCCCCCCGCCGGCCGCCTCGTAGCACTCGCTCCTTCCTCTATAATGCTAAGTTTGTACGGAACTACGGCCTCGATTTTAAATTACGCGTCTACAGGGATTTATAGATCAGAAGATGTCGATTGCCAGTCCTCAGACTAATCCCATATATTCGAGCCACAGGCAACTAAATAGAAGACAAGTGACAATCCCTTTCAGTGGAAACATCAAGCGAATCAATTCAATTCATTCCATAATTTGTATGTGTATGTGAAGAAAGACAAGCAAAGCACCGTCCCAGCAAAATCCCAAGCACCGACCGAAAAATAACACCCATTCCGAAACCCAGATTCCCATTGCATTGCACTCGCGAAATAACACGGCGGGGTAGTAGAAACGTCAAATGTAGAGATGGTGGAAGCCAATCTAGCCACCGAAACCGTAGAGGGTGCGGCCCTGGCGCTTGAGGGCGTAGACGACGTCGAGCGAGGTGACGGTCTTGCGCTTAGCGTGCTCGGTGTAGGTAACGGCGTCACGGATGACGGATTCGAGGAAGGACTTGAGGACACCGCGGGTCTCTTCGTAGATCATGGCGGAGATACGCTTGACACCACCACGGCGCGCGAGACGGCGGATAGCGGGCTTGGTGATACCCTGGATGTTGTCACGGAGGATCTTGCGGTGACGCTTGGCGCCGCCCTTGCCGAGACCCTTGCCACCTTTTCCGCCTGGATGATGTGTTAGTATATACGATGGAACAGTAGACGCGTCAATGTTGAGGTTGAGGGGTTGAGGTAGGTTGGTGATGGTGATGGGTTGACGTCACGTGTTTGGTACAAATCGCGACCGCGTCCGCGTCCGCCATCCAACGCGACGACAAGCATCCAGAAAGAACTGATGAGATAAAATGTAGAAATACTTACGTCCAGACATGATGAAGATGTGTTAGGTAGATGAATAGGCTTCTTTGGAGGATAAAAAGTGATGGAGGTTGATGATTTTGATGATGGAGAGGTGGTGGCGGTTGATGAGTACAGAAAGAGGGGAAAAGGAAAAGAATCGGGAGCGGGAGAAGGGGTTTAAATAAGTGGGCGGTAGGCGAGAGTGATTTGAGCGCGATTTCCCTCTGTGAATGACTAATACCGTGGCCGGTCGCAGGGAGAGAGTCAAAAAGCAACGTCAAGCGCTGATTGGCGGGTGGGGGCAGAGAAAAAGGGCGTTATGAACGACTGCTTTCCAGGCCGCGTTTTGGGCGGTTCTGATGTGGTGCGGGACTGCCGCTGGTTGGGACTTGGGAGCGCGGGAGCGGGAGCGGGAGGTCACGTGGCTAGGAACATCAACCACCACTGCACCAGGATCTCAGATCCACCACCACGCAATCATTCAATTACTGTTTACTAGGATACACAAAGGCTATGAGTGAAAATGGTCGAGACGAATTGATTCAAGGCTGTCTGTTGTCTGTACTGATGCGTCGGCTGCATCTGATATGATCCCAAAACTCCCGCGAAATGAACCGTAAATACAGCTGAATGACCGAACACTCCCGACGAAACACGAAAATTTAAGAATGGACAAAACCTCCTGACGCCATGCATGAACACAAATAAACAGACTAAATTAACACCAGAGTTGGGCTTTTAAGCATGTAATGAGCCTCCTTAGAAAAAGCACGCCGTTGAGAAAGCCGGCTGGCCAAATGCATCCACAGCGAAACAAAGCGAGCTTTGAATCATGCTAAAAGAATGAAGGAAACAATCCACGATACCATGATCATGGGGAAACAGATGATATGACATAATTGCGTTGGCTGCAACTAGACATGGCATCGTGATAAACGTCTAGGATGTTGCAAGCCATCTCATAAGACATGAAATCAAATAAGCAATACAATAGGCAAAAGACTGGCGCCTCGCGGTTTATGGTGCATCGCAGAGGTTCTAGCCGAATGCTCAACAGAAATAAATCGTAGAACTGCATAAAGATGAAGCGAGGCGCGCTAACGAGAGTTGTTTGGCCTGCAATCAAGCAGCAACCAACTCCCGAGATAGGCAACAAACGATACGGATGCGGTTTAGCAAGAGAAGTGACGTGGGAAGATCGACGGTATTAAACTGAGGCATCGCAGAATATGAGCATGATATTGTCCCCTCGTAAGACGAGGGGAGCGAGCAAATGTGACATTTACCCACTGATCATGGCGGGTGTTTGAGTTTCTTTGAAAAGCCTATCCTGCATAGGCTCAAAGTAGTTATAAGAGTAGGTCGGCGGAGATGCTGGTGAGCTTCGTGAGCCTTCTGCACTCTCCGAGGCAAAGCTTGGTGGTGACGGCGGCGAAGAGGAACTGGGGTTGGGCGCAGTGTCATTGATCTTGGGCGGGCGAGTAACCTTTGGAGAAGAAGCCGGAGAACCGTAAAAGCAGTATCGGTCCACGAGTTCTCTGTACACAGGGGACTCGCGGTTTGGCTTGCCCGAAAGCATCGAAGAAGGCTTCTCGGGACTCGATTGTGCGATCTGTAGGACAGGAGGAGATGTACTTCGTGCATCGGACCGCGACACAGGAGCTCCAGACTTGGCTCGGGTGGTCAACATGGTGCGATCATGTTCTGGTTTCGTACGCATAGCAGCCGACAACGATGACTCGAAATCATAGCGATTGCCGAATACCTGATGGGGCTGCTTATCGCGGCGGATAGGAACGGGACTTTCTGAATCATGATGGACATCATCGTCGTCATCCTGCTTTTCCTTCCGATTATTGAGAGGAGGACCAAACGAGATGTAGCGATGCATATCCGAGAAATCCTTCAGAGAGGAAGGCATCGAGAGAGGACGGCTACCGGATCCAGTGAAACTCCTGCTGCGAGGCAAGTTGGGCCGAGCGCGTGCCCGAGGCATTTCTTGGTTTTGTGCCTTCGGTTTGGGTATCTTGGTAAAATTCACTTGATAGTCCCTCATCTCATTGTTATCCCAAAACTCATGACCGGTCACGTTATACCGGATACAGACGAACATGGTTTTCTTATCCAGATTTGTCTGCTCATCCAGCCTGATATTGAACATGAACCGGTCATAACCATCGTGCAACTGCTTCTGCCGAGCATCATGGCTGTACGCAGCCGTCACTTCCGAGGTGGTTCTCCAGTTATCGAATGTGAAGCGGGCTGCAACATGCTTTTGGAAGGCAAGGTTAGCAACCACTACCAAACCAACCAAGGAGTGCTTGTCTGTCGAAAGAAACAAGCGCTCGAGGCGAACACGGGGATGGGGATGAGAAGGAGGTTTATGAGGAAAGTTTGATAGCCGTAGTCCCCATTCGAAGGACGGGCCCGACGGTTCAGCATGAAATGGATATTCGCTGTCGGCATCCAGATCCTCCACAGGTGACGATCCAGCACTGACAGCCTGAGGCTTGTCGAGCTGCAAGAAATGGCGGATATGCTCCAACTGGGCGTCAAAATGGACTGCCTTTGAATACGTCGGTGTCCCGGGCATGCTTGATGGCCGTCGACGAGCCGAGGATGGGCGTAACGCTGGTCTGACAAGCTCCCCAGACTTTTTGCGCACCATTGGTGATCTTGGTTCAATCTCGACATCCCGGTCACTGTCTTCTGGGGAACTGGTAACAGCTTCCTCTTGCTTTCGATGGATTGAGTTCTCGACAAAGGACCGAGAGCGAGAAACCATGCGGCCATCCTTGGTCAGAGAAGGGCGGCGGGGTCTGCTTGCGCCGACCCCCGTCTGCTCCCCTGATTTTGTTGCAGGCATGTCCCCCGATGGCTCCCCGGAAGGTTGTCTCTCAGGAGACGCCGTTCGTCTTTGCTCGATTGACCGCACAGCTGCCTCCAATTCCTCCAGCTGGTACACATCCCTGGCCGGGCTACCTGACTCTTCATCACTGGAGCTTTGCCCAGACTCTGGGGGCGAGAGGAGGGCTCCAGGTGGGATCGGTCCCTCGTTGACAGGCGAAGGCGATTGCCTTACACTAGCATAGACATCTGTGTTCCGGGTTTGTTCCCAGCCGTTGTCGGGAAAGACAAATGACTTGCTGTTGGATGGAGACCGCCGGTGTCGACGGACATAAGAAGCGGAAGAGTAGGACGGGGGAAGGTTTAGATTGTCTGCATCAGGGTCGGCCACGGTGGGTGAGCTTGGGGAAGGAGGAGTGCTGAGGTCAGAGTGTTCAATGTGCAGCGAAGAAGGCGACGTCTTCAACGGCGCAGTGTATGGCATCCGGCCGGTCTTGTGCAGAGGAACACAAGCAGCGGGCGACGGCAAGATATGGAGAGAAGGAGAAGCGCTATTTGCTGAGGCGGTATGGAGTAATCAAGAGATCAACGGAGACCAGGCGACGTGTCTGTAAATAAGATCTAGTTCTTGAGTTAGCTGGTTATCAATCAGGGTATGGGTTGCACGAAACGACGGACGGAGGCGGCGGTTTCGAATGCTCACAGATGTACACGCAGGGTTTAAGCAACAGAAGCGAAGCAATAAATCACTGGATTCATCCATGGAGGTAAGCCTTGAAGCTTCAATGGAGCAGTGAGGTCGGGTGGTCCGAATGAAACAGGAAGGCGCGATGGAGGCCTCTAGCAGCTCAGGAAGGCAGGCAGCTGAGATAGGGACAGGTACCACGACACGACGCCTGTCACACCACGCAAAGCAGGGAAAGGCAAAGTGAAGCTCAACGAGGACGGTGGAAAGTGGCCGGTGCGACGGTTGAAGCGGCAGAGCACAGGGAAGGCGCTGGGAGCGAATGAACCATACCTTTCATATACGACATCAGAACATTAAAGCCCAGGACGATCAGGCGAGGCGGAACGCGGCGGAAGAGACAAGAAAGTAAGAAAAGAAGAACAGGCAGGAAGAGAAGAAAGAAGATCAGTCAATCAACCTTGGTAGTGGTGGTGATGACGGGATAGATAAGAAGCCAGTGCAAATCAAGGCACAGGCGACAAGGGCAGCGTAGATAAAAGAACCAGACCCAGGGATCCAGGCAGAGGAGTGGGGAGGAGAGGAGAGGAGAGGTCGGGGAGGCGTTCTGTAGCAGGTATATAGAATGGAATAGATTAGGGGATTAATGGGGGCAATTAATAGCAGAATTAATGGCTTGATATAATAATATGCAATAATCGTCATTTCGTGGTAGTATAAGAGACTAAACCTGCCAGTCACCTCTGGGACCCGCCCGAGAGAGCTGCATGCACGGCGCACGCATTGACTCTGGGCGGTTGATGATAAGGCAAATGCGAATCCGGAGAGGATCTGACCGGCGGCAACGAAATTTCTCTTGTCGAGCTCGTGAGGGGCAAATCTCACAGCCATTATCAGCGCCATCCATGGTCGCATTGGCCTCATGGGAGCTTTCAACCAGTCTAGAAGGCCGTGTCCAATTCTTGGAGCTGTCAAGGTATGGCACGCTAGTACGCTACTGCTGGGTTTCTTTGATCTCTTCCCGCGCCCAGTCCAAGCAAGGCACTTTGACGGCAGCGCCGGATGATCGCTAAGAGCAAGATTACCTGATGACGATGGCCGATGGCCGGTCAGTGGTTTTTGATATTTTTTCGGCGGCTGGATTGATACTAGCCAACCTAAAATAGGCGATCGAACGGTCTGGGACGGTGGGACGATCACCCCCCATGAAGCCATCCAGCGCCCCCGGGCCGCCAACGCGGCGGCCTAGTGGTCAAGCCCAGGCCTGCCTGTACCACCACGGTATCATTTCGCCTCCCGATCGCACGATCCCACTGCACGTTGAGTTGAGCGCAAAAAACTCTGATATACTCCCTTTTGGCTTTCTTTTCCTGTGCGAATCTCCTCGGAGCATTCGCTATTCGCCGGCTGGCTGGCTGGCGAGCTTACCCCCAGCCATGCAAAACCTTGGGAGTCCAGCGGTGAGTCTGAGAGGCTTGAACTGAATTCCATGCCGTTCCAGGAATGACAAAAAGAAGCATGGGAAGTATCTAACGGCTCGGAATACTCCGTACATCTCATTTCTCTCTCGTCGTCGCGCACATGGCGTGGAGGAGATGAGGCCGCCAGATGATCTTCATGGCTGCAGCTCCGGACTCGCGGAGTATTGTTCTGGCTGGTCCACCCCGAGTCTGGAGTCTGAAATGCATGTCTGGGAACAATGAAGGCTAACCAGGTCTGTACTAGAGCCTCGGAGTCTAAAACCCGCAATCAAGGCAGCGGTGCATTGACCGTTCCAAGTTTTTCTCGAGTCTTTGTTAAGGCACTTTTTTGCTTTTTCGGATTCCGCCTCTCCCTTGAGCGAAACTGGGAATAGCATCATCTCGCACCGGGCTTTCCTCATGGCAGTTTGCAGGCACCGGGCTATCTTGAGAAGCCTGAAGCACGAGAAAGAGACTCCGAGCCCACTAGTCGCTCTGATTGACCGGAGATAAGCTGTCCCCTGCTCTCCCCTATCCCCTCTTTTCTCCTCCCCTCTTCCCTCCCTCCCGAACCAGCCGGATGTCTGGACAGTCCAAGGATTCTCGAGCAGGCATCATGACAGGAGGGTCCTGTTTGAGATAACCGTAGGCTCTGTTGAGTCTCCACCCTCGACCCACTAGCACCTCCAGAATCTCAGACTAAGGCATCTAGACCTTTTTCCTTAGCGCTCCCCATCCAACCACGACTGTCCACAACCCTGTCCGGGGACGATGAGGTTCCGAATTATTTATTTATCTATCAGCTCCGGCATCGCCCAGACCAGCAATTGTGATACCTGTCAGAGATACATCGTCTGTCTCAAGTCAGAACATACACTATACAGCATATTATGCTAGACAACTATCAATGTAGCAAGAGGAAACAGGTGAGGGTCCCTGCCTCAGCCTCTTGCCACGGACAATTCGACGCAGCGATGCACAGCCTTCGAGTCAAGACTCAAGTCGGGAGTCGGCAATCGTCACTAACTCGGAAAGGCATGTTGGATTCCTTTAGCATCAGGATTCAGGACGCACTTGCGCTGCAGAAATGGGGCTCCTATCGTGGGGTGCGGGCTGCGGAGTATTTGAGTACGGATCAGCAGTTCTTCATACTGTTCTGGGTGCAGATACAGGATATATGTGACGGCATGTAGAATGCGCCGCGATCTCGAGAGCCTGCTTGGAGATGGAAGTTACCCCAGGTCTGCCAGAGATCTGAGCTTCATGGCTCGGTTGGATCAAGAATCCGCTGGCGCAGCAAGCTTATCTACCCTTGCTAAGGATTCCCTCATGGATGCCGGCATCGTGAAGTCAATCTACTGATCTAGATACCAGCGCTGATCCCCTCTATGTGAGACCAGGAACGTAGCTGTCGCTGAATCAAGGGCGCGTCCTGCCAAGGAAACGGGGATGGATGACGTCAGGGACCGCCCTCAACGGCTTCACTCCGGAGTACGTACGACACACGAACTCTCCTCCACTCAACACCGTCGAATGACCCATGCGACCTGCACAGACCACCACTCGCATTGGAATCGCACACTGCTGCTGGCCAATTGCTGCTTTCCAAGCTATGCTCGAGTTGGCATTGATTGGCGGCGAAGAGGTCGTGCATCCCGCTTGGCATTTGAGCAGACAATCTATATTGTTGCCAACCGATTGCGACCTGCCGGTGATTCGCTGCAAACAGCTGCAAGCGCAGGCATGAAGAAGATTTACTCTAGGACTGCCGACCGTGGATATGGTTGGCTTACAAATCCGAAGGTGTTCAAGCTTCATCAGGAGAGCTTTCTCCAGGTGTTGGCGATCTGCCTACTTCTCAGTCTCGACCCTCCAGCTGGCAGTGAGCGAACCAAGAACCCTAACCGCACCATCCCGGTGGCTCAGTCTAGCATGGCACCCTTATTGTGGTCCTTATTCTCCTGTACCTGTCGTGTAACAGCATCCGAGCCTAGCACTCGGTCATATATCAGCAATCACTACTACCCTGTGGAAGTGGGATATCTATCCGGACGTAGTCGAAACGAATCACAATATATTTGGCGCAAAAGGGTTGAGAACCGAGCTCTCACCGACCCGTCTCGGCGTCTACTGACCCAGTAAGGGACGGAATGCTCTCTTCCTCTCCTGCACATTTCATGCCGGAATTCGGAGGGCGGGTTGGTTTTGAAATCGATGCATGGCTCGTGGTTTGCTGCAAGGTTACCTCGTCACAATGTCAATCAAACCCCGGGCGCTTGTCTCACGCATGCCACTCTTATCAGGCCGCTAATTCATCCTCCGCTAGCCGGTTGTCCCCGCCGAACTGGAGATAGTAGCAATCATTCCCCTGGATAGTGGCACAGCATTGTATTTGCCACTGCTGAATCAATTTGCTAATTAGCCGGCATTCAATACTACCTACGCAAGGAAGCGACCCACATCTAATAACGCCCATCGCTGCTCACCAAAGGAAGTTTTATTACTGCCTTGCCGGTGGCTGAGCGAAGAAGAGCATTGTCAGTTCTGTTGCACTTCGATCAACCATCGGTGCATATTGGCCGTCCGTTGGCGACATCCTCGGCCAATCATGGGCTGCGTCCTATTCGATGAAGCCAGAGCCCATGCATCCCTACTTCTTAATACCGGCACTATTGCATCGGCTACTGGCGCCCGGTCACCCTGGGTCCTAGTGGGGTGCTATCTCGTCCATATGAAAATCATTGTTTTCGCCTCCAGAATGCTTACGGGATCAAGAACGAGGTTGACTAGGGCTACCAATTGGAGTGCATCGTGAGTTTGGATCTCAAAACATCAGGATATATGGCTAATACGTTGTTTTAGGGCTTGTGAAACTTAGGATCATGGGAGGGAGACAATATGCCCCTTGAAACTTATCTCCTTCAGTCTCGCGCTTTGCTCAACGACTGATCCCTGTCATGTACAGTTTCTGCGTTGTCAAAGCCCATCTCCTGACACTCAGCACGGACGAAATAGTCGCTCATCGATAACTCCCGACCCTAACGTCTCGACTATCTCCTGAAGGCAGCCCATGCGAACGACTACAGCGCTAGGGTGGATTATAGGCTGTGATATCCCTGCTCCGATGCTTCCAGATCAACAGCGCCGAGTCTTGGAGCCTTCTCTTCGGATTACCTTTTCCGGCCCGGCCCTAGCATCAAGGTCGCTGCGTTAGTTCTGGCTCTATGTTGAAGAGGCGGTCAGTTAAACTTCATGATGCCAAAGTCTATTCTTCAGGTTGATGTTCATCTCCTAAGAGGTCGAAGTCGAAGGATTGTAAGACGGAATTCTCGAGCAGTGTCCGGCAAAAGCAGTGTTGACGAGATACAAAACGCAAACCTTCCCGGGATCGGAAATGAATCTATATTGAGGAAGGGTCGTTCCCTTAGCGCCGTTGGGGTGGTGGTAGCTTAGATGGATACTTTACTCCATATCGGTGATGCAGCGGAACCCCATGGGGATGGTGTTGTTGCGTCCCGGGTGCATAGGGCATCTGTAAACTGATCAGCAAGATTATGCAGAGGGTACGCGCGGTTTGCTGATATGGGCTCAATTACCTTGTAGACCAATATAGTAGTTCTATTCGGTCGCGAATTGGTAAGGTGGCCGAGTGGTTAAGGCGAGAGTCTTAAGAGGGAACGTTCCCGAAGAGATCTCTTGATGAAAATCGCCTGGGTTCGAACCCCAGTCTTACCATCCAATTTTTTTTCAACAAAGCAAACTCCAAACTCTTACTCAGATCCACCTGCCATTTCTCCCCGCAACCGAAGCAGGGACTCTGTTCCTACATCCTCCGCCGCTCTCCAACTCGCAAAGCCGTATCTGGTGAAAGACGCGAACCGGACCAATTGACTATACGACCGACAGATGGACCGTATTCAACGCTCTCCAATAATTTGCTCAAGACGCCCGCTGGCGCTCACCGCTGCGCTCACTCAGTCTGAAACAAACTTCGACCTCCATGCAAAGCATCTGCAAGCTCTCGGGCACACTGCCCCTCGATTCTGACTGCTTAATGGCCGGAGTCGGACTGGTAAGTTAGCCGCTGGAGCTTTCGCAACCGTGCGAATAGGAGCTGCAACGCTAACACTCCCTCTCGGCGCTACAGCGAAGCTATTATTGTATCCCGGACCGCCATGGCGCTCAACGGCGGCGGCGTCCGGTCAGAGTCAGATATTGCGAGAGGGCAGCGACCAGACACTATTGCAGTCCAGACCACGCCAGCCCGTGCGGTGCAGTCGATGGCGCATTGGCAGTGGGGCTCGAAGCTTACAGGGTATAGTAGTGCCTATTTTAGTGTCGCGAACTGACATTTGTCTGCAGCCACTGCACGCAAGTACAGCCCGTGAGGCCAAAGCTCGAGCCTCGAGAGTCGACAATGGCGCCGCAAGGCGCTATCCATGCATATACATGCCATGCCAGTGCCCACGGACCCAGCATAGCATTCATCGAGGGTGCGGAGTTCGATGAGACTGCACTGTAGTTGCGCCACAGCCTCGGTGAGGAATAACTGCGCTCAGCTATCTCGGAGACTTTGTTTGGAGTCATCCTGGACTATACAGAGTATAAGATAATACTATCGCGGATCAACCGGATCTTCAGTGCTTCACACTGCAGCGCATTGCAAATCCAGCCAATCTGCCTCCTACTATTGGACCCGACTGGACTGCCGCTTGCCACCGCTCATCGCCATTCCTCTGTATGGAGTACCATTAAAGCAGCATCAAGCACAGCACTCCGAGCTTCGGCCCTATCGAGTACTCGGACCCCCAAGGACCCTCTTAAACTTAGATCGCCTCCTCTAAACTTTATTCCCCGAGATATCTGATATTTTATGCCCTCCTTTAGCCTGCGCTTGACGCTCCTGCCGACAACACGACTGCCACCGCCACTAACTAGAGTAGCTGGCGCTGGCGCTCGACATCAGATAGCGCCGGGCGGGACGCAACACAGATCCGAGCGCGATCAACCCCTCCTTCACTAAGGCCGTGCTCGCGCTGTCTTGCGTGGTCTGGTCCGGACGTGGCGAAGCCGCGAACACATGCAAAGCCGACATCCGTCGAATTCGATGAGATGGCCAATTTGGCGGACCGCCATGGCGTCTCCTGAATAGCTTCCATCCCGGTCGAGAGTTCTCCGTCGATGAGCTGGAGGCGCGGGCGGGGTACATACGCACTGCTTTGCCTGCATCGATGATACATTTTGGCTTGCTATACCCATGGAGGGATATAGATGGCTTGCGATTGCGGGGTAGATAACGACTTACAGTGCGCCGTTACACGCTTCGATGAGCATGAGCATGAGCTCCTGCTAGTTCTATACGAGCTATAGCTATATTAGCCGCAAAAGTACTGAGGTTTTCTGGTGCTGGCGATGGCTTTCTCCGAGGCTGGCTGGCGAAATACCCTTCCCCTCCATGGGATTGTTCGATGAAGATGTCGCAGCATGGAGATGAGAGGGGAGGAAACCATGTGCCCTCTTGAGCCTGACTGCGGAGGCGTAAGGCGTAGACCGCGATATCCGCCAACATGTCTTCCTCCTTCTCTCATCGAAATATGGTCCCATCTACAGAGGACGGTGCGAAGACCCTGCTCATCCACCGCGCGTCCCTCCCTTGGGCACCATCACTTCACGGTGTCTACGACGTCTTCCCTCCATTATTCTGTCATCGTAGATGCAGCGTAGGAGCTAGTATTCAGAAACAAGTTAACTCGCCATGTGAAGATGCGAAGATGTGGTACCACCCCTCGGTCCATACCGTCCTACTACTCTCTATTCTTCACGGCAAAACCAACTCATCTCTCCTGTCTTCCCTCTCTGAACAAGCTCTTACTCCCAGATCGCAAATACGAATGGGAAGCCATGGATCTTACACGCCCTCGTTCGGGCAGGTGAACATACAGTATACCAAGAACCATCGATCGCTCCCCAAACTTGATTGAGTATACCAATCGCCGCCCAGCAGACAATACACAATTCTTGAACAGACCGGGGTAGATTCGAACTGCGTGCTGCCAGTCGAGCCTCGCTTATTCGGCCGAGTCGAGTCTTCTCTTCCCGGTCCGGTCTGGTCTTTATTAGGCTACCTACAGTATCGGATCGGGGGATCATACCATCTTACACCTGCAGTCTTACCATCTTGCCACATCAACATCAACATCAACATCAACTTACCCACTCAATCCAGCTACGGTAGGTTACACTCCAGGCCTCCACCTTACCCACCGCTTCGTCTGTTTCCCATCTCTCCATCCAAGTCCTAGCGCTGATTCGAGTATTGAAATAGGACAAAGCAAAGCGAACGGCCGACTCGAAGATCCCACCCTACTCTTCCCCACCGCTACGGCTCGGCTACGGCGGCGATCCCAACTGGCAATATCTGTGCGAGAGAAGAGAAGAGAGGGAAAGGCTATCGGGAGTATAACTTGGGGAAGGGTAGGGGCGGTGAACGTTGAGAGTAGGTAGAGAGAGCGGGGGATATGTCCCTCGAGGGCTGGGATAGCGCTGGTCTGGGCTTGTGCACCGCGACAGGAAGGGAATTACCCTACTATGCTACATCTCCCTAAAGGAGCTCGGCAATCACAACCCAGAATAGATTGCCAGAAACTGAATGAGGTAGAAGAACCGCATAGCCCTAAAACTTGACGGACGTCTGTCCCATAAAGACTTGTACTCCGTAGGGTCGGCCCCATAGATCAAAGTCTTCCTTCCCCATTGTATGAATTTATCTAGTATTCTAGGTAACCTATTGGCGATTCAGGTTCCAGCAGTTTGATTTATATAAACTGCCCGAGCCAGCACTAGCCGCTCTCTTCAAAGTACCAAGGAATCACGAGCCAGGAGATGGGCCTTTAACGCCTCATAAGCCACTGGCAGACGTTGGATATCTTCCGTAGTAGCCATGCCGCTTCTGCTTCAGTTCTCCAGAAGTCCTCGTGGTGGCACTGTCCAGTCCATCAGCCCCCATCCCACATCGCTATCTCGATGACCCTAGCGACAATGACCCGACCCGATAATCCTCAAACTCACTTCTCCCATGAATCTCCAAACTCGCCAATCCCACCCCCTCGATATCCTCAAGCGGCGCAACAAAGGCCATCTGACTCCAACTGAACTCCGTATTCCGGCCCCCATACACAAACACCTCAAACCGGCCTTCCAGCTGCCCGTTAATCCAGACCACAGCACCATGTACGACATCAGTGGAGACGGTGATGGCTACTGGTACAGCCTCGGAGGCGTCGATAATAACAGGCTCGTGCGTCGAGGTTGTGTTTACCCAGATACGGCCTGGGTGGCCGGGGTCCAGCTCTAGGGCGTCCTCCGGTGTGACGGAGCGGAGTGGGTAGATGTAGCCGTCTTCAATGAAAGATAGGGTGCCGTCGTTGTTGAAGGAGAAGGTGTTGTCGTTGCTTGAGAGCGTAAAGGGCCCGGTGGCTGTTAAGGTGAGGGTGTAGTTTAAGCCCTTGCTGCCTTTGCCGAGTTTGACGGTGTCGTTATCGGAGGAGGAGCGATTCCAGGAGACAAGAGGGCCATCACTGTCGTTTCCAGGGACGGGAATGACACGATCCAGATCCTGCGTCGGCGCTAGAGGTGAGAAGAAGTCGATGCTGGCGTCTAGTGTCTCCGGTTGAACTTCAGGTCCACGGATACCACTCCACGCACGGGCGCCAACCAGGGCAATACCCCTGCGCATAGCATAGTACATCTCCAGCTTCGTCGAAGCATCTGGACCGTTGTCGTTCCACGCAGCCATAACGGCGCCTTTGAGAAATGGCTCATTTGGCTCTGGCTGTTCTGTTGTGTTGACATTGTTAAAATCAGCGGGCGTCCACTGCCACCCGGGCTGGTCGGCAAAGTTAAGAATACGCGATTCGTTGAAGAACTGCGGATATGGGGCCGGGATGATGGGCATGTGGTCGTTCTTGATGCTCATGTATGCCCACCAGTCCTGAGAGTTGATAATATTGTGGCCCTGGTCGATGAGCTCGAGGGGGTCGGACTGGCCGTATTGCCAATGCTGGATGGTAATATCCATGTTGATGCGGAGATTCTTGTCTTTTGGCTCTTCCATGGGCGTGCCCCAAATGCGAATGCTTTTGTCCGTGGTGGAGTTGATAAAATCGGCCATCTCGTTGACGAACCCAATGTAATCGTCCGCCAACGTAGAGTCGTACTCGTCTGCACCGACATGTACCTCCTTGACATCGAACCAGGGCAGGAATTCAGACCAGATGCGCTGGATCGTAGGCATAGTGTCTGGGTGAGAGAGGTTGAGCAGGTCTCGTTTCTCAAGTGCAAGCTCGGGCTTCCACTTGGTCACATAGAGACAATGGCCGGGTGCTTCGATCTCCGGGATAACAGCAATGCCTCGCCGTGCGCAGTGGCTCTGCATATCAGCATAGTCCTCTCGCGAGAGGGTCTCGTTCTCGCGGCCATGGAGGATACCCAGCAGAGACTCATCCTCAGGTAGCAGACTAAAGTGTGAATAAACGTCCTGCCATGTCTCATTGCGGCCACGGTTGAGTGGGTAGTTGTCGCTGAGATGGTAGTGAAATTCGTTCATTTTGAAGAATGACGCGTAGCTGCACATCTCCTTGAGGAATCCCTTGTTATACCATTTGCGCCCGGCATCAAACATGTACCCACGGGTGGCGTAGGCTGGGGCATCCGTTGTCCGGCCAGAAGGCAACGTGTTGTTCCCGACGAGCAGCATCTGGAGAACAGTCCGGGTCCCCCACCACATACCTCTTGCACCGACACCGCCGATAAAGACGGACGAGGACGAGATTTCGAGCTCGTAGCCCTCGGATGTAAGCTCGCCGCTTTCATAGACCATGGACGAGTTATCGCCCGTGAAGGCACCCAGGAGAATGGCGCCATTGGCGTCCGCAGGGTCTGGGAGTGACTCGACTGTCTCGAGCGACCAATCCACACCTGTGATGCGGTTCAGGTCCTCCAGGAAGACCTCAGCGAAGTCATGACTGCTCGGTGGGATGAGAGTCAGCCCATCCGTATCCTTTGAAGAGGCAAAGCCCGCGTCGATGTAGATCTTTTGAGAGCTGGCTGTCAAGTCCCATATCTCCGCGGTGTCCCCGTCATTAAAAGCGGGTATCGGCGGTAGGATCTGGAGCGGTGATACAAGAGCCACCATGTACAGCAGGGCTGCGATGATCCATGTGCACGCCATGATGCCGGAGTTGGCCGTTTGGGTGGCTGGGGAGAGTGCAGACCGAGAGGGGCCATTGTTTTGTCACGTGCATGACTGGAATGTTGGAGTACATTGCGGGGTTGGGAATAGATCAGCCTAGTCTGGTAATGGTTCAATGAAGATAAAGAGAGAAGCGCAGTTGATGAGAGAAGAGAGAAGAGAGGAGAAGAGGAAGAGCGAGACTGACAACCATCGCCGGAGCCAAGTGGGGCCTGCCTCGGAGCACTCTGGTCGTCTCTCCTACAAGGTCTTGTACATTGACATTTTCATATCTGATGAATACATAGCATACATTCATAACTAGATCCAGTTAGACATCTTATATACCAGACATTTCCCCCGTCTTACTTAGTGGTGGTGCCTCTAAGCCATACGGTCGATCGTATACTTCGTGCCAAGACCTGGGGATAGCGCCCTGTCCTCGCCCCGGACAGGCTGTGGCCTCGGGGAATATAAGATAAGCTAGGTCAAAGGAACTCAAGTCACTCTGTATATGATTGCGGCCGTTATATACCGTATTAGTCCTTCATCGGGTACCTGGTAGTGCCATCGCTGGCTACAGTCTTGGTCTTTGAGATGATATGAAATGAAGAAAATAAAAAACAGAAATCCACACAAAGATCCAGCTTCATGGTAGGAAAAGAAGTCAAAGACATGTTCATCGTAGAGTATCACGTAATCAGACGCAAATGAGGAATGTTCATACAGCCGCCAAGGTATATAGACAGAAACAGAAAACAGCATGGGGAATCCCAACGCAAGCTCATGCAGATATAAAACAGAATCAACCAGTGAAGCAAACGCCCGGATCGAACGCCACTGACTGGAATCATTAAGTAGTTAATAAGCGTAGTTCAAATGTCATCAATCATCTATCATCATCGTAATAAGTCGTGGAAAGTCGAGGTCACACACTTGCTGTGCGGCGCTTCTCGCTCGGCTTCTGAGTATACGCGATCAGCAACTTGAACCCCGTTCCTCGTTGCTGACACTCGCGAAGGACCTTCTTGTCGGCCCAGAGACTGCGGTCGACATCACCGTTCGGAAGCACAGGGCTCTCATAGCAGCGTGTGTACCACCAGCGTCCAACGCGAGCAACAATCTTCCGGATGGACTCGTCATTAGACGGGGAGGGCGAAGGGTCGGAAAGGAGATCCCCAAGAGAGAGAACGGTATCGTTTGAGGACGATTTCTCGTGCGTGTTTGTGTTGGAGCGTTGGCCCGGAGAAGAGCCGGATGTAGCAGAGAGCGCTGTGGAGGATGTAATGACGGCGGTTGTTAGGGTGGATGGGTTGGAAGAGGCTGTGGAGGACGAAGAGGCGGAGGACCGGACGATCATGCCCGCGACGGGGATGCGAACCATGCAGCGCCGCAGGCCATCGAAGCCGTGGCGACCGATTAGTTTCTGGATATTGTCGCTGGCCGGCTTAAGGCTAATACTGGCGTCCGAAAGGTACATTGTTTCCTTGAGCTTTCTGACGGCTCGGCGAGTGCGGACGCCCATGTTCACCATATCATGGTCCAGAATGCTCATTTCGAGGTAACCACCTGGACGCAGAACCCTTCTGCATTCCGAGATGATATTGTTCTGGGCGCGCTCGGAGCAAGCGGCCGGAAATCGTAGGACAGTCGCGGCGAAAAAGCCCTTAGGAAATGGTACGGGATCCTCCAGACTGGCGTGGTGGATTGTATGATGGTTTGACGGCGGTTGCCAGGCTGCGGGATGCGTTGAAACTGTCGGGCTAGGTCCTTCGTGGAGGCAATAGACGTCAGAGTTTGGGTATGTCAACGCACAGTAGAACGACCAGTCATCGTTTGCGAGTCCATCCACTACTAGGATCCTAGCATGCTCTCCTTCTCTAACATGATTGTGCGCTGGGCTGAAAAGAACTCGCCCGAAAGATAACCAGCGGCTGGTCATTAGAGATCCCGATCGAATATTTGTCTGGGCCGTTGGACCTTCGCGGTCGCGCTCGGCGATATCAAAAAGGATAGTGTTTCGCTGGCGACAGTTCTCAAAGCTCGGCGATGGGTCCAAACTCGGTGAGCTAAGAAGTGACTGTGGCTGCTCAACAGTGATCGCAGGTGCGGGCATAGCCATGTTGTAATCATTGTTCTGTGTGCCATGATCACGATAACGAGCCATCATATCGCTCACTGACGGCTGGGAAGTTGGGCTAAGGGATGAGTGAAGTGCATTGGCAATCTTAGAACGGCGGAGATGTATAGAGTTGACGCTGCCTTCAGGTGAGGCTGGAGTCAGGGAAACCGTTGGCTGTTGAGGCGATGTCGTAACAGAGAGCTTGCTGTTGAGCCCAGCTTGAAGAGCACGGCTTGCCCTTGCCGCCAACTCAAACTTCTCTTGAGTTTCTAGTGCTCGAGGGAATGGAACGTTGGGAGTCTCTGGTGAGAGAACGTGGTCAATGAATTCGTCGTACTCACCCCAAATCTCGTCTTCCATAAGATCGCTCCCGGGTCTAGGAACCACGGCAGTGATGGCGGCAAGGCTCTCCGATTCGCTTGATGTTGAGAATATCGAGTCCTTTCGAGGAGGTGAGAATGCTAAGAACTCATTCCTCGAGTAAGGGCCTGCAAGAAAGTCCAACACACTCCCTTTCATAGGGTCACGGAAAGGCGAGGTCAGATCAAATCCCATATTCCCAGCTTTCCGAAGCGACTCGGGAGCTGGGCCATGTATGTTCCTGTCGGGGCTGGAGAAACTGTGCAATTGGCCAGAGGCTGAAATAGTTAGCGACGGGGACTCAGCCACACTAAATGGTCTGGAAAAGGACTGAAAGGCTGGTTTGTGCTGTCGGTCTCGCCTGGAAACAACGCGCGGAATCCGTCCCACTGATGCTAATCGACTTGGGCGCATTTCTGGAGTGATTTCCTGCTTGGGTGCAATAGGTTCTTGTTGAGTGGGTTCCTTTGGACGGGCAATCACATGAGCTGGTCGTTTCATGAGGAATTCGGTATGTAGTTTCGGCGGGGACGGAAGTAGAATGGAGGGTTTCCTAATCTTCAGACCTTCAGGCACTTCGACAGGGGGCGTGTCTTCGTCTTCCGTTTCCTCCGTGGGTGGCGAGTCTTCGAGCTTGTGAAATATCTCCTCCAAAGGGTCAGAATCAGTATCGACTAAAGCATAGTGAGCGGGAGGTCGGCGACTTCCAATTGTAGCGACTTGGGCAGGCAGTTGGGATGCAGCGGTCTTGTTCTTCTGACCAGGAACCGCAGACTCGGAATCTCTTTGGAAAAATCGCCACTTCATATTGAGTCCACGTTTGGAGGGCTTCTTCATTTCTGCGGCATTGTTTGTAGAAGCATCAGAGTCCTTCCGTTGTGATGGAGTGCGAGTAGGCCGGGCATCTGGGCGGGCCTTCAGTTTCTCAGGCTTAGTTAGGGTTGGGACCATGGTGCGGCTGTTGGATGCGGAGATGGTAGCCGGGCTAGAAAGATCTCTACGGTGAGAGTCATTGAACACACTTGTGCTTTTGGAAGCCGTTGACGATTCGTACCTGAATCCAGCGGGTGCAGTCTGTCCGTGGACAGGGCCAGGCGCAGACTTGGTGCTGAAAGTGCTTGTGCTTTGCTCACTTTGAGTCCGCGACAGAGTTGCGCCGTCCATACCACCGCCGTTAAGATACACCGGCTCCAGGCGCGCCAAAAGGAAATCGTCAAGTTCCGTGTCCGCCCGGCTTCTGTTACTAGCCTTGCTCGAAACCGACTTGGTCGTGCTCGTTGACCTTGCTCTTGAGTCACTAGGACTGCTAATACTGGGCTTGCGCCCGCGCTGAGCATATTTTCCGTAACCTTCATGCCCCGTTCCAGCGGCGGGACCCTTACGCGCAGGTCGACTCTCGATTTGACGGGCACCCAGTTCGGGTTTCGATTTCTTGGGGAAAAGTCCGAACCTTCGAGTTCTTTCAGGGCTGAAGTCCGCAGACGATAACTTCGGCGTTTTGATCAATGTTTTCGGTGGATTGCGTGCTAATTCTGGCGAGGCTGGACTGCGGACTCGGGCAGAGGCAAAAGAGTTGAGGGAGTCAACAGACGTAGCTGCCGATGGATTGGCAGCCAGTCCTGCGGAGCTTTCTGCGGATATGCGCCGCTTATGACCTTTTATCGCGCGGGGCGGTATGTTAGTTTGGACGACGGGAGAAGGCTCTACTTCCAATTGATCGGTCCCTTCCCTACTTGGCCTAACAGGAATCTTGACTGACGGTCTAGGCACGGTCCGGGCTCCAACGGTACCAGCTGAGCCAGGGTGTATTTCGGCCGCGGTCTTCTCCGTCATAGAGGCTTCAGAGGCTCTCCTGGTCTGCCTCGGAATACTAGACTGCATGGATGTCCTTCTGGGCAATTGACTAGGTACTGAAGGCGGAGACTTCGCAGTATCAGGCCTGTCCATGGAGTCCTCGCGGCTACCGCTGAGTAATGACGTAGCGGATCCATATCCTTGGGCCAGATGAGGTGACTTTCCAGCTGCTGGACTGCTAGGAAGTCCAGGTTTCTGCGTATTTGGTGAGAAGACTGGTAGTCTTGTTTGTGAAGGACTCGGTTGTCTTAGTCGAGTTCCAATCTTCATAGGTTGAGTAATCCCAGGCGAACATGACGACAGCGAAGCGGGAGTGGACGCGGATGTCCTGCTCCATACTCCAGGGGATCCAGAGTATCTTGTCGACGGCGTGCTGGCTGACGGAAATATGGGAGTGAACGGAGGAAGATTCTGCGTATTGATCGTGGTTCGAAGGCTTGCTAGCTCTTTAGGGCCGTTGTGTACCTGCTGCTCCGCGGAGGAAGCTGTAGCCTGATCCGGGGAAACCATTGGTGACGGAGTTTTCCTGGCTAATTCTGTCCGACTGGATGATTCAGACGAACTAGGTTGGTAGCGATCTAGAGCAGCATTACTCGGGATAATCACATTTAACCCACTGGGCCTCATAGACTCCGTCTGGAGCTTGCTATTGGCGTTGTGCTGACCTATTGTAGGCGCTTTCCTCCGTAAAACATTCCGTGGCCGAGCTTGGACTGGCGGGCGATTGTCGATAGGAGTCTGGGACACGACAGGAGTATGCAGGGCTCGGCGCACGTGCCGGTCTAACGTGGACTGAGAATCCGGCGGATGAGTGGGTGCGCGAGGCGGCATGTACGGACGAGGATCAAGGACGGGGTTCGACAGTGCAACGGTTGGGCGGTTCTCCTGTGCTTCCGACATAGAGGCCGCCCGTCGGGGTTTTGTTGGCCGTATTGACGGTCGTGAAATCTGTGGCCCTGACGATGATGGATTCACCGAACCATAAGCGCTGGACTGAGTGGCGATCGCCGGCGTTGAGGCGTTTCGAGCTTGGTGCCCAAGGTCCCTCAACCTAGGTATTCGGCCACCATCAGACCTGTGCGACATGGTGCGACGTTGGCTTCAATGCCCAGCTCCAATCTCCCGGGTATGAATCAGAACGTGGCGCAAGATGCTGGGAACGTGGAATCATTCCGTCTTTAGTAGCTGGCTGTTTTATGAAGACACTAGAAGCATTTATTTAGTGAGTATAGTCGACAATGGTCAAAGAGGAAGTGTACTCACACTTTGAAACGTGGTACAGAGCGTGTACCTGCGATTATAAGACCCGAGTCAGGTTTGCGTGGGCGATGTATATCTAAACGAGAAACGGAAAGCGCAAGCCACGCAGGTATTGTTCAGTAGAAAAGGAAACCAGCCCTTCCAGTAGACTATAGATGACGTCGCGCAAAACGAGGCAGCTAGTTAAATATATGAAGCTGTAGCTCGACCATAAAGAAAGCGAAGGAAGAAGTAGTAGTAGGCGACAAGAATGTACATGCCCAAGCGGCATAGGTAGTGCCAGTTATGCAGGCGCTCCGCCACAGGCAGGTCCGGTGTGGCTAAGAAGTAAGAAGGCGAAATAGATACGAGCTGGGTCTGCACGACCACGTCAGAGTCGCATATACTTTCAGACCGCAACTAGGTTCGATAAGGAAAGGCTATACCGACGGGTTTACGCTGTGCGTGTAACAGGAATAAACGAGAGTAGAAGGACGACAGAAAGCAAGAGGAAAAGTGGGATTGCGGCAGTCTTGACTCTTGAGTCAAGATAGACCTGGATTCTGGACCTTTTTCAAACGTGAGAACGTGCCTCGCGCTAATTCTAACCCTGCTGGGGCCTCTGGGTCTAGTGTGGGAATCAAGATCCTATTCGCAGGGCAACGATCCGTCTAGAGACGACGATGGGGGATCCTGGCGCGATGTGAAAGATCGACGCCGGTCTCGGATTCGATACTGGTGTGACGACGGCAATCATTGGCGCAAGAACTGCACATTTTTTCTTCGCATTATCAACGGCCTCAAGCGGTAGTTCGAGGGGTAAAAGCCGTCAGACCGTAGACGCCGTTGGGCGATGGAACTGTGGGTTACGGGAAAGAGACATGTCGACCCACTCTTCGTTTCGATATTTGCTAGCGACGACAGGTAGTCTACACCGTACGAGGTCAGAGGCGCGATACTGATAGCACCGGGTTCGGAATCAGTTGGACAGTGCGAGGTGACAGGTTGAAGCTGGGGCGAGTGGCGGGAGATAGCGCAGAGACGGGCTTAGCAGAGCGGCCATAGAAAAAAGGAGCAATAATATCAGAATCTCCACTCGCTGAAGGCAGAGACAAACAGCGTTGGAAGTTTGATGGGCACAGGCATTCTGCAGTACTCAGGACTCTATTTGGCCAGAGTCACTGGAGCAGAGTGGTCTGATTTGACGTTGAGTCGGAGAATTTGCCCAAGTTGTTGCAAAGTCAAGAAAGGCACAGTCAGCAACCGGTCAGGTGCTGGTCACGGATCAAGCGATCAACCGGAGAGACCGAAGATTTCTTCGACTTGCATCTCTACGTCTCCCAACTGGCTACTCCAAAATACTGATAATGCATTAGATCAGTCATAGTGCCTAGCTTCGCTTCATTGCATATCTTCTCAGTTGGTTTAAGCCCAGGTTCGCTTGGACTGCTAAAAAAAGTCGCGTCTACCCCACTACTCGGCATGCATACGAGCAGGGCGCAGTACCAGCTACAAGGTCTCTATCGACTCGGTACTTACGGAGTATAGGCTATAGCTGAGAAAGTCTCTTGATTTGCACTGGACTTTCAAAGATTATCTTGCTAACAATTAACTTTCCTTGTTCAGCGGGACTACCCTTGCGATGGACAGTACAAAGAGCATTTGGAGCTTGGAAGGTTGGCTCCGAATCCAAACCTTTCGTCACACAGCCAACGCAACCGCACGGCAATAGAGTCTCCAGATTGGACAAGGACAGCCGTACGGTCACAGATAACGATGTCGCTGAGAACGCCGTCCTAGCCAGTGGCGGGTACAAAAAACATCCTCGATTTGAAGCTGAGACCTCCGTGCAAAGTTACGTTGGAACGGGCCGTGAACCAGACAGCGCCGCTCTCTGGATTTGAACGTTTGGCATTTAAATCCGGGGCAGTCCTGACCGTTCTATGGCCGCTGCTCGAAGCCCGGGGTCGCTGAGCCGTGGGTCCAGATCCGCCGCTAGACTACCGCTGAGCCTGGCGCCAAGTTGGGCGGTTGGAGGTTCGTCGCTGACTAGGACCGAGCGACCAACAGGCGCGAAGCAACGCGGCCTAAGTTCTAGCCTGATGGCCAAAATGCCAAATCAGCAAAGGGATTCGCCGGCGCAAGGAATGGCCATGGCGACGCCGAAGTACTGAAGTGGAGATGGCGGTAAATCAATCCGTTCGATGGGGATTGACAGGGTTGCTCAATTTCAGCCACCGAAGCCAATCACAGCCTTGGACCCCAATCGGAGAATAGGGTCAATGCCGGTAGTTGCAGTTAAACTTCCTGGTTTGTTTTCTCTTTTGTTTACTCCTCCGATCTGGATAGGATGCAAGAAATCGCCTCCTGGAGCTGCAGCAGAGCGTCGATCGGTTCGCTGCAGGAACCGCTGCCGCGCCGCAGTTCAGCTGTGTCTTTGCCTCTGTGTCCTCGTGACTTGCATAGATGACGACAGCGGACTTGGACGCATGTACGAGGCAGAGCTGAACTGATAACTAAGGGGTTTCAATTTTCAAAATTGCTCTATCACAGTGATGCGACCGGCACGTGGTTTGGTCTAACGATATTCAATGTTAGACTCCCGGACTGGACCATGAGACCTGTGTCGCTCTCTCACTTGGCGCGGTCTTGTCTTTGCAATGCTTGAGATGGCAGATTTTGTTCGGCAAGTATATTTCGCTTCATGGCCTGTACACCATCAAGGCGTGTCTTGTTAACCACGGCAAGAACCATAGTCAAGGTACTGTAGAAAAGTCATCCGCGACAGTACTACCATTAGACTCTATGGTTCAAAGTTCTATATGATCTTCGCTTAAACTAGTCCACTAAGCATATTCTCGATGAACTTCAGCTATGGTCGCCAACACCAGATGTTATGTACCGTGACCCACTCGTCACTCCGCATGTACCCTAATCCAATGATGCGAAACCTACCGAGTGTCATGTACTATATTGGATGCGGTCACCAGCCGCAAGCCACGGCTGAAGCGACTACTAATTCCACAACAGAAGTACGCTGTGTTCTGTTAGGGTTCAGATTAGCTTGTGGATCTAGAGGCATATGTAACTATGTATATTACCAATCACCGCAAGAAGGACACATACAAAAACCAAAGTACAAATTAACTTATACTATAGAAAAACAAAATACAAGTGGCTGAGCAAGCTTGGTAAAACATGGTATGACAACAAACTCTCAGTCAGAATCCAGCTGGCTGACAAGAAGCATAAAGCCAGAAACGCAAAAAAAGAAGTACAAAACAAGAAGCACAAAGGCAACAGCACTCTAAGGACTTGAGGCCGGAAGCCACAGCTTATCCGCATCAAAAATCTCTCAGGTGGTCAGAAGCCATAGGATCATGCATCATCCACCAGGTCCGCTTACTGTGGACTATCCTCAACGGATCCTCGGGCGAGAGGACTTTGTCAAGGTCACTCCCAAAGAGTTCTTGAAGGATCCATCGCAACGGCGGAAAAAACTAGGACCAAAGAAATACACGTTAGCTGGGGGGACTGGCGCCGAGAAGCCTTTCAAGTATAGATCCATGCCGGAGCTTACATAGACTGGGCCACACCTTTCCCGTAGCGATGATCAATCTCCGTGTCTCTCGGGTCAGGGATGCATGTGCCGTCTCTCATATCTTGACCGTAGTGGACAGTCTGGGTTCGAGCCCCGCGAGAACTACCTTTGTTGCTTCTTGTCAGCCATCTAGGTCATGCCCTATGGTACGATGACAGGGTGGATCATTATATGGAGAGCTCGCTTACGTCGATCATGAGCTTGAAGATCCCTCGTGGCATTGCGGTCCCCACGACGGGAAAGGGCATGGAGATTGTGATGAACCTCGCATTTCCCGTAGTAGTCAGCCGGTGGTGGCCTGGCAGAGTGCGAAACACGGACGCAATAAGTATAGTGGATGATTTGACACATATTCGTGCTCTATCCAGGTAGTATGAGCAATAGATGGGTATCTCAAAGAATAAAGCTGGCCGGCAGTGCAAGGCAGATAATACTAAAAAGAAACGATTGAGGCTGGAGAAGATTGTATGCTTTTGATAGAACTGTAAGACTTGCTTTGGGGAGTACAAGGGATGATACTTATAGAGAAGATGGCTTTGGTATAATAATATCGCTATAGCCTTCAGTACACGAGTCCGACAACTCGGGACGAATCATTTTGGCCATTATAGTACAATCTGAATCACTCTGGCGCTTGAAGATAATGTCGACGATTGGATACCATGGCAGGGATTGACAGCCTTGTTTGAAGCCCTCAGCGTCTACAGGGACAGATCCTGGGCTCACTCCTAGTTTGATGTTACCATTAAGATCGCGTCTTATACCCGGCTTTATGCCTACTAGGGACACAAACGGGAGCATGAAGTCTGAAGACACTGAACTGCTTGGTTCTCGCCAGGCCAGGCTCTTTGCAAGGCTTTGTCTCTACTCAAGACACCCATAGGCTGCATTCAGAAGTCGACGAACATGAGTTATCATTGCTCAGTAGTTTGAGCGTCCATGATCCATGCCTACATCCAGCACTCCGGCGCCTACAGTTGCAGCCTTTCACCTTGAAAGAAGCAATTACCTTGGCTTTCAGCCAAGACAGCAATAGCCACAAGAACCGTGAAAGGAATCAAATCCCAGGTGTCTACAGTTACATCAGGCGCCCATGCTGATGACGGGCCAACCTCAGTGCTGCGATAGAGAGCATTTAGTGTCGGGAAAGCATTCGTGGATGGTACCAAGAAAAGATGCGATATGCCCCGACGACACCTAGATATCAGCGTTGCCGCCAGGTCTATTGCGGCACTGCGGCACAGCAAATGAGCGGTTAAGCTTGTTGGAGAAGGTGAACTTATTAATTCCGGGGTAGGGAGTAGGAGGCTCTGTGTTAGGCGCCGGAATGGTTCTAGGCAATAGGCATTCGTTGATACTGATACGGAGTTTCCAACATCGCCGCCAGACAAATGTATGGCGGCAGCAGTAGTAGCAGTGTTTATTTGGGAATGACAGTGCTAAAACGGCCCAGGCCGTGCTTTGTACTTCGGCGCCTAACCGCCGATAGACCAAATAGTTGATCACAATTATGACTTTGGCGAAAGGGCTTGTATTTCCAGCACGGTGTTCGTTCGCAAGTCTTTGGTCTTGTAGCCGTCCAAAATGTCTCCAGTTCTCCACGCGATCAGGCACCCGGTCCTGGAGGATTGGGATTGGCCAGTGCACTGCCCGAGGAGGCCAGACCTCTCCGTTTTGATTGGAAAACACCTGCAGTAGGGCGACAGGGGTAGACAAACAAACACGTGACAGTCTTCCTGGGCGCGGGGTTTCTTTGCTTCGAGTCATCGTTTCAGCCAGAACTCCAACTCCTTCCTCCACCTCACCTGATCCTTGCAAACAGAAGTCTTTGTCATGGCTGAACTCACGACCCTCTCCGGAGACCCCTTTGATCGTACGGCGTTCGAATCGCTGCTGAAGCGACGCCTCTTCTATACCGAGTCTTTCGAAATCTACCGAACTTCTGGAAACCTTACTGGTGACAGCAGAGGCCTTTACGACTATGGACCCCCGGGCTGTGCACTTCAGTCCAACATCGTGGACCTATGGCGGAAACACTTCGTTCTACAAGAGGATATGCTGGAACTCGATTGCACTATTCTGACGCCCGAGGAGGTTTTCAAAACGAGTGGGCATGTGGACAAATTTGAGGATTGGATGTGCAAGGACTCGAAGAAGGGTGACTTTCTACGGGCCGACCATTTGATCGAAACAGTGCTCGAAGCTCGATTGAAGGGTGATAAGGCGGCTAGGGGGCTTGCCGTCGAGGTCGAGAAGTCCGATGGCACGACTAAGAAACGCAAGGGCCCGAAAGTCAATGATATCAAAGCCATGAAACTTGACGATGCTCAGGTGAAGGAGTACGAGGAGATACTTGCGAAGGTATAATATTGCACGCTCCGCTTTAGTTCTAATGCTTACAATGCCATCCAGATCGACAACTACGACGGGCCTGAACTCGGCGCATTGATCGAGAAGTATGATATTCGAAACCCAGATGGAAACTCGCCGGTTCTGCCGCCTGTCCCCTTCAACTTGATGTTCAAGACAACACTAGGGCCCAGCAGCGCGTCTCCAGGATATCTCCGACCAGAAACCGCGCAGGGCCAATTTCTAAACTTCAAGAAACTCCTTGAGTATAATCAAAACTCCATGCCTTTTGCCTCAGCTTCAATTGGCAAATCTTTTCGCAATGAGATATCTCCAAGATCCGGCCTCCTTCGCGTGAGGGAGTTCTTAATGGCAGAGATAGAGCATTTTGTTGATCCAGAAGGTGGCAAGAAACATCCCAAATTTGGCCTGGTCAAAGACTTGCAACTAAGCTTCCTCAACCGCTCAACTCAACTTGCGGGCAAGACAGATCTGCAAACGACGAGTCTCGCGGATGCAGTGGCTAGAGGAATGGTGGATAATGAAACCCTAGGTTACTTCCTCGGTCGTATCTATCTCTTTCTGCTTAGAATTGGTGTGGATAAGAACAAAGTCAGGTTTAGGCAACACATGGCCAATGAAATGGCTCATTATGCGACTGACTGCTGGGATGCCGAACTTCAAACAACCTACGGATGGATCGAATGCGTTGGGTGCGCTGACCGGAGCGCTTACGACCTTACAGTTCACTCCAAGAAAACGGCTGAACCTCTTGTCGTCAGAGAGCCGCGGCGCGAGCCTCTCAAAGTAGAGGAGTGGCAGATTGATATCAACAAGGCCAAGCTTGGACCGACATTCAAGAAAAACGCCAAGGCTGTTGAAACGGCTCTGACAGCTCTATCTCAGGCAGAGCGAGAGTCTTCCGCTGCGGCACTGGAAAAGGAAGGTGTCATCTCAATCACTGTTCCTAACCTTCCTGAAAAGACAGAGGTCTCAGAAGACTTGATTAGCATCGTCAAACGAACTCGCGTTGAAAATGTACGAGAATACATTCCAAATGTCATTGAGCCCTCATTTGGCATAGGCCGGATCTTCTACAGCCTGCTGGAACATGTCTATTGGCACCGCCCGAATGATCCTGCACGTGGAGTATGTATACCCCAGTTTAGCTTTTACACCCTCAGCCTACCTTGTTATAGCAGAAACTAATACAATACCTAGGTCCTATCCCTTCCCATCACGGTAGCCCCGACAAAAGTCCTCATCGTCCCTCTCTCCACCCATCCGGACTTCGCACCCCTCACTTTGGCCATTTCTGAAACTCTCCGAGCCCAGGGCATATCATGTCGCTCTGACGACTCCTCTGCTAGTATCGGGAAGCGATATGCCCGGAATGACGAGCTGGGGATACCGCTCGGTATAACTGTTGACTTTGACTCCGTCAAGGATGGTACAATCACGCTGCGTGAGCGTGACAGCACCAAGCAGGTTCGGGCCTCTCAAGAGGACATTTTCAGTGCAATCAAGAGCTTGATTGACGGTCGCGAAACATGGGAGGATGTTTTCAAAAGACTTCCGGAGTTTTTGGGGCAGAGTGGTGATGAGTAGATTAGACAAGACCCGGTTCTCAGCGGTTACTACTTGTTATTGGTTGAGCAATACACTGTTGTTTCTTACATGTCACTGGAATCTTGACTACATAAGGGTACTGGATGTACGCGACCTGCGTGCAACTAGGTACAATAGCAGGGAGCTAGGGTACGTCTTTCCTAGGTACCTCTCTTCCGACATCGCTCTGGAGTATCCTGTAAAAAGTTAGTTACTATCTACTCTAAGTACGCCCCCCAGTTACCGCAGTATTTTCCGATCTAGTACTCCGTACGGAGTGCTCTGTAGAAACCGACGACCCCAGTGCCACATGGCAAGGATTGTGGCAGTGCCCGGAGGAATCTGTCCAATGACGTATCCCCAACTCGCCACACCCACAGAATCCCTGCCACATCAGCAAAGCTCAGCTGTTGCCTGCCATCGGGAGCTCCGATGCTAAGCTCAGATCTGCCATCGGCGTACTTGTCCGACGCGCTCAAGTTGCCTTGCTGACTGCCTGTCCCGCAACGCTGGGCCCTTGTTGACGTGGTTCCACTGACTCAGAGTAGGACTTTAGGCGCCTGTGGGTGACTCGAAAGTCCGAAGATAACTGGATTTGCGCTTGGGGTTGCAGTCGGGGTTTGTTGCGGCTCTAGCGGTGGGCTGGCTGCGGCGCTGCGGAGGGCAATGCACATACTGTGACACATACCTGGGTAGCTGAAGATTGGTGATGCGCTCTGTGCTGTTGGTCATGGTCTTTTGTGATTGACTTTGATACTGTGCCGCGAGCGTGTAGGAGGCAAATATGGATACCAATGCCATTTCGGACAACTTTTTCAAGAGTCTGCCTCAGCATCGCTGAGGCGCAGTTGACGCTGGAAAACGTGCCTGGTATGAGCAAATGGTCGGAGAACTAACACTCCGTATCTCTTGCCCTACCTCGTAAATAGGTAGATTTCATACCACCTTCACACGCCGACAGGTTTAGGACCAGCCATAGTTAGGGCTATATGGAAGCGCAACCAGAGAGGCAATTTCTTCAGCATGGGCTGATCGTCCTCCCTGGGTTCCTGCCTTCCGTACCGAGACCAAGTTTTCGAGATCTTCTCTCACAACGGCCAAAGGGGTCATTTGGTCCACAAAAGACGCAGTCGCTATCAATTCTAGGGGCGCGGCACCTCAAAGGTCCGTTGCCACCAGGCCTGCGCTATCAAGATATGGGATCTTTAACCGGAGCCTGATTTGAGTTCAATCCCATACCAAGGTCAATGGCAATCACAATTAGCACGCTCCGCCAATTCTCTAGCCCCTGTACTCGTCATGCTTTCGAGGCAGCTTTGGTTCCACCGCTGACAGATTGCCGGGCAGGCCGAGGGCGCTCGCAACGCTTGACACATTGACAATCTTCCGCTGTGATTGTGAGGAAGAAACGGGAGTGCGGCTTTGATGAGGAGTAGAGAGCCGCGTGCATTGAGACTATACAGCCACGCGAAATGGTCGACATCGCATCCTTCGACTGATAAGATATCGACCGCAAAACCCGCACTAAGGACGATAATGTTGATTTGGAATCCATCATCTGATTCATAGCCGACAACGTTTTCTGCAGCGTCAATCCGGCGTTGAAGCCTGGATTCCCAAGCCATGTCCGCTGAGACAGAAGCGCATCTCACGCCATAAGCGGATGCCAATTCAATGGCAGAGGCCTTGCACGAGCATCGGACTCCTCTGATGCGCAGTTAGTATGATGGAGCTCCCTCTGCTGCCTAGCTTTCGACAGATTGCTGCCACGCTTTCTTCACTGTGAGGCTCAAGCCTTCTGTCATTGCTCTGGTTATGAGATGAAATGAATCGTATCTCGAGATCTGCCTGTCACTATGGTAACCAGGCTTTCTCTTCCAATTGCCAGTTCATATCCGCTGACGGCCGACGTATGCGAAGCGTCCAATAGGAGAAGTCTGGTGTATTGGTGTATCGCCTCGATCGGCGGGAGAAAACTCTGTGGGGCACGTGATGCGCTAGTCCCAATCCGGTATGGTGTGGTGCCTCAGGCACCCCCCGTGCCGACATCCGCCAAGGACATGTCATCGAGTGTAGATCATATGTTGCGGGCAATCCTTTTGCTACTTCGAGGCTCAAGTTTCCTCGTTAGGAGTTATTGCGAATAATCTTTCTGACTGTCGCGGGAGAGTGAGGTTGGCTCGACATAGCACTTTCTATTGTTCTCGTGGTGTCGTGGCAGAGCTCTGTTCCATGGAAGGAAATCCGACTGAATGGCTGGAGTGTTATCTAAGCGGCACGTGACCAGCTCCGATCCAGCCCGCGTCGCGTCCAGTCCGGGATCTCGAAGCCTCGACTCTTTGTAACCACCTCTTTCATCAACACACCCCTTTACTTTTCTCCTTTCAACCCTAGAATGCGCCGCTCTGAATAATCTAAATATACTCAGTACCCTTGTTGCGCACTTAACCCGACTTCCTTTCCTCCCAACCTCAATTCCATCCGTTCGCCTCCGACAAACACTCCCTCCCATCCCTGAAGCACAACAATCCTCTCATCAACACTACCAACCCACACAATGGCCACCGACTACGCCAAGAAGACGAACGCCGAGCTCATCGAGATACTCAAGTCCCGGGACCTCCCCCACACCGGCAAGAAAGCCGAGATGGTCGCGCGCCTGCAGGAAGACGACAGCTCGAAGCCCGCTGCGCCGGCTCAAGAGAACGCCGACGATGTAATTGACTGGGAGGACGACGAGGTCCCCGCCGCAGATGCATCGACTAAGCCCGCCGATACCGAGACGGAGACCGCGACTGCGCCCGCCCCTCCCGCTCCAGCTGAAGAGGACATCAAGGCTAAGGCAGAAGAGAGCAAGACAGGCGCGGAAGCGCAGGCAGAGCCCGCTCAAGAAACCGCAGAAACAGGCACAGTCGTGCCGTCAGGTGCAGAGGAACAGGCCGCCCAACAACCCGCGGAGGAGAAGCCAGCGCCCAACTTCTCGATTGGTCTGTCTGTGACGGATCTGGAGGAGGAATTGAAGAAGCGCAAGGCGCGCGCGGAGAAGTTCGGTATCACGGAGGACTCGCAGGCTGCGATTGACGACGCGGAGAAGAAGCTCGAGCGCGCTAAGCGGTTCGGCACGGCCGGCGAAGAGGCGCCCAGTGCTGAGAGCGTCAGCCGACTTGACCAGGCTTTGCCGGAGAAGTCGCGGAAGAGAGGACGTGGTGAGAACGACCAGGGCGGCCGTGGCGGCAAGAGACGGAACCAGAACGGGCGGAACAACAACCAGCGCCAGCGTGGTCGTGGTAACCGCGGCCAGGGACAAGGACAAGGACAGAAGCAGGGACAGGCCCAGAAGCCTGCAGCCGCCACCAGCACCTCAAACGGCTGGAGCGATAAGGACAAGGCGGCCATGGAGGCTCGCAAGAAGCGCTTCGCCGGCGGCGCGTGATCGTAAACGACGACGACTACTGTCGACATTCCTTTCGTGAAATTTCCCTATCTCGATGTCTTATATCTATCTACTACTGCTATGTTGTCAATCATATTCGGCGTTTACGGGTCCATTCTCGATATCCATTTTGCGTTGCAGCTCTACTCTTGCCATTCGTCGTACCACTCGTAGCTTGCGTCAACTGTTTTTCTGCTGGTCAGAATTGATGATTCATACGAAAACTCTTTGCGTCCGTTTCAAACAAAACGGATCAATTGACTAGACACCCGCTATAAAGATCACGGATGTTGTTAGGGCATTGCCTTCGGAAACCCTACCGTACCGTACACTCTCATATCCCACGTTCAATAGAAAGCTTGAGTCGACTGCCTGTCAGCAATAATCAACCTTACCGGGTCGACAATCCTTAGGCAAGATCTGGAAACTATCTATATACAATATAATGCAATATATTGCCACGTCTAGATTAATGCTACAAGACTCTTCCACCCAAGGCTCTAATTAAAGGACCACAAGACACAAACGCATATACAACGAACAGGGAATAAGGTGCATGGAAAATATACCAGAAAGCCGCTCAACCCGCGAAAAACGAACAGAAAGCCAAAGCCAATACCGAGAAAAAGCCGCCCATCTCAGAGGATGTCCTGAAGCATGATCACCCATAGAACCAGTACTCTGCCGTATAGTCTACCGTAAACTCCGCGGGCATGCCTTCGCACGTCGCAGGTGCCGATCCGCCGGCTGTGTGGACGCGGTATACCTCCTACAAGATAGTGTTAGTCAACGAGAACAATAGATTAGGTGACGTGGGAAACTCACGCGATAACCCCCCTCAACCGCAGTCAACTTCAACCACGCCACATCCCCGGTGATGCCAAACCCAGGCTTCGACGGCGCATCCATCTGATCCGCCTTCCGAGCAGCGATCCAATCCGAATTATCCCTTCCGGCGCCGCGCAAGTCAAAGAAGGGCGTCCCATCAGCCGTGAAATAATGCTTCCCGACCACAAGGTCCTGCTTGCTCAGGCGTTGTAAAATAATCGCCGACAGGTCCGTGGTGCTGAGGGGCACGGGCTTGAGGACGTCCGGGAGGAGATGCAGAATCGATTGGCTGCCGGTGGAAGCGCCGTATCTGGCATCGAAGGCTGCAACGCAGGAGGCGTCGAAGAGGGTAGCTGTTGCGCCTGTTGCTTTTGGAGTCGCGAGGTTCGAGCTTGAGGCGCAGGTGTAGTTTTGGGTTCCGCGGCCGAGGGTGATGGCTTTTGCGGATAGGCCTTTTGATGGCGCGGTGAGCGTTGATGAGGCCAGGGTGGTTGTGTCGGTGATTGGGCAGCCGGTGAGCTGGGTGTTTTGGAGGAAGTTTGAGACTATTGATGTGTAGAATGATGAGGTAGCGGCTGAAGAGAAGGGTAATGCGTTGACGGTGGTGATGGAGAGGAGGGAGACTAGGGTGAATGTTGCCCAGTTCATGGTGACTCTGATTAATCTGGTTCTCGAGGCTGAAGAAATAATAGGCGGTGTTGTTCGAGGAGATGTAAATGATCGCTCAGTATAAAAATAACCGCTAATTGATATTAGATAGAGATGGAGATGGTTGGTGGCAGATCGCGAAGAGGCCTGAAGCTCGAGGCTTAAAGGTACTATCCGTCGTTCCTTCTAACAGTGCTTCCCTTGGATGTATGACATGCAGATAATGAAGAGTCGATTGCTGTTACTCCAATCTGACGAGAAGGGAAGGTCCAGGGTCCTTTATATGAGTAACAAACACCGCAGGGTTGAAGGCGTTTATCCCCGGGGCCTGAATGATAGCAGTGGAGACTGTAGCGAAAAAAGCCGAACGAACGTGGATCCAACGTCTCGGACAGCTCGTGCTCGTGGACCTGCATGGCTGCAATATCGGCGGCGCTTATTCCAAACTCTGTTGGTTTGATCTCGGTTGCACGCGAGACGCAGCAGCTGCAGCCTCCCAGCAAATACGGAGTACACCGTTTCTTCATGTCGTTTGATGGGTCCCAAATCAAACAGCAAGCGCCTCGCTTCGTATCCATTTCAGTTCCATTTCATCCCAGCGTAGCATTCACGACTCTTTCGTCAAAGCTGACGGCGAAATTAATTTCAGGAGCGAGGCAGACATCGACAAAGACTGCCATTGCCGCCGCGCTCGCGCCAATGGAGCTAACTCACTCCGGGAAATATACCCAACACGAGTCGAGCTGCGCCTTGCCACGACTAAATCCATAAATCCACTGTGGAAACTAGTTCCGTTCAGGTCCTTTTCTTTCAGTGAATTCGGTGAATCGTCGAGCTTGGAGATGTTGGTTGCGGCTATGGCTCAATTCCAGCGTTGAAAGAAAGGGCCAGAGCCGCCATGTAGCATCGACCAAGCCACTAGATCATAATGTCTCCTTCCCACCAGTCCTGAATGGCTCGTCCGTAGCTCTCAGGTTCCAAAAACATATGGTCCGTGATTCCTTCCAACGTGGGGTCCGAAATCATACCGAACGGGTCGAGGTCTATCGATGGCACAGCCGCAGCCGGGGGCTCCGCTTGAACTGCTGGCGGCGTTGTCACCGTCTCCGGAGGATGCGTGTAGATCTCTTTTGCGACGGTCTTGTGGCCTGTAATTCCTGCGGACCCTACGAGAGGGAAGTTCGGATCAGGCGTCATTCGCGCGGTCTGGCGTGCGGAAGAGTCTGAAAGAGTCGGTCCGAGGAGTTGACTCGGTAGAGGAGAGCGACTTGCCCGGTCGTAGACTAGCAGCTCCCATAGGAGTTGAGCGTTGGTGGTCCACGCTTGCCGCGAATGGGGGGCTTGGGGGTCGCCGGCGGAGACGTTTTCTCGAAGGCGCGTGAGTCGGTCAATCTAAAAATGGGAAGTTAGCCTAGTCTGCCTTTCAATATTCGCTCTAGCGAACAATCTGGAGCAGATATGCACTGCGCGCTTAGATGCATAGCCTACCATGTTCTGGACGTGTGGCCATCGCTGCGCCAATGGATGGAGGAACCGGACACATTTAGTGAAGCCACGCCGCGCCTTCTCCCGAAAGCTCGGGTCGTCCACGAAACTATGTTGGAGGTGGATCGTGGCCACGATAAGCACGCAATGCGCCAGCAGTGGGTCGCAGACTTCGAATCCCTTGTGCTCAATTAGATCAATCAGATGGAGGATCCACGCGGCGTTGTTGGTAATGGTCTCGAAGGACTGTCGAATGAATGACTGCGGCATGGTATGTCGGAAACTGCGCAGCCGCCGTGATAGCAGAAACGGGTGGTTCAGAAGGCACGGAATAGCCAGGTAGAGGAACTGTGTAAACAGCCACGGGCCCCAGAACTCACGCCGTTGGTTCAGCTCGTGCAGGCGGTGCTCGTGGAATCTGTTGGCATCGTAGCGGTACTTCAACGGTACCTGGCTGTCGAACTCCATATGGCGGTAGGTAACGATGGAATAGTCAGAGTGCGGCGACCAGGGAGCCGGTGCATTTGGCTCGACACGACTCGCGGCGTATGCCATGGCCATGTTCCAGACTTCACCCACCTGGATAGCATAGGAAACTAGATCGAGGTCCTCTCTGGGCGACACAGCCTGTCCATGTTCTGCCATGGAGCTCAGGGTAAAGGTAGGAGAGAATCCCGACCAGGTATTGAAGGGCGTGCGAACACCCGCAATAAGCCGCGCCGCTGATACCCCATCCCCTTGAAGGTTTTGAAGGAAGTAAATACTCCAAAGACACCTCCGCTTCTCGTCCGGATCAGAATGCAACGCCCCCAAAGCTTCCCCCGACGTATTAACGCTCTGCGCCAGATACGTCGCCATATTAAGATGCAGCCCAGCCTGGACGGTATCACCCGCTTCAACATCGTCAACCCACACAATCACAAAAACAAAAAGATAAGGGTCCCATACCAGTGAAATCAAACAACGCCAAAAGACAAAGCGTCTGCAGAGTCGAGAGCTCCAACGGCCCGCGGCCAACGCGCTCCATAACAAGGCTCCGAGCCCGCCGCGCACAGTCCGTGATGTAAGGACGCAAGTCACTCCCATCAGGACTCCGGCCGAACCGAAGACCGATGGCGTGGATTGCGAGAATCAGCTCGGGGTCGCGAGCCTCCAGGGTCTCGACGAAGGTGTCCGGGTGGAACAGCGGGAGAGGCTGGTAGTTGCAGCAGGTGAGGAAGAGATGCGCAACAGTTGAGAGATCATTCTGCTGGAGGTTCGGCAGCTCGTGCTGGACGAGCGCCGGCCGCGAGACTTCAGCCGGCGTTGATGTGTGCGGTCTAGTGATGGGTTAGAAGGGCGTTTTCCATCCATCAACCGGCGGTCGCAGCTTAGGGGTGAAGAGGATTTTGATACCTTAAGTTCCGCGCAAGCTCCTCCAGCTTATCCTCAACGCTCGACAGCCGTTTCGCCTACAAGGGAGACCCATTAGCCCAGTCCACCACATCTGGCCGGACTCGTTCCGCAGGCGCAAGACAAGACACATACAATATCTGCCGCGGGCATCTCAAGCCCATCCCCCGGCGCATAAACGCATTGCTGACCCAGCCGCTCACAGAAAGAGCACACGGGCTTCTCGCCCGGACAGCGCGACTTTTTCCGCCTGGTTCCATCGTCATCATCAGCCGCGCTCGAAGACGGGGACTAGGGGGCAACCCACCGGCAGGGTTCACAGGCCTGTCGAACGCGCTTGAGCGGGCGCTGCTCGTCGGCCATGGTCTAATTAAGCTATACGCGAGCTAATAGGAATAGAGTTGGGCTGGAGACATATCCGGCTGGTTCAAAGGGAATCTTGGCATGGTGAGGATTGAGGATTGGGAGATTTTTTGCGGGGCGGAAAAGGCGGGAAGCTAAAAGCACTGACAGCACTACTATCCAACTTCAGCGCAGCATTGGCAAAGGGCGTAGAAATGCCCCTGGACGAAACTGCATAGTGACCTTCTTGGGTGACCGCAGTTTCAGATACCACAAGGGCTCACTGAGGACGGACGTTGGGCTGTCGTACACGGGAAACGGCGTCAGAGTCCAGAGCTGAAGTGACCAGGGCACCGCGTAAAGAAGGAAGAATACGAAGAGGATCAGGTCTTTTAGTGCAGATTATTTGCTAACATCTATGTACAAGTCAGACTGACCGAGCGCAGCTGCGCAGCACGGCGGAGTCCATATTATTATGCCTTTTCGCACGTCTAATTAGATAATATCGTGATAGTAGCGACAGTAGGTGACACAATCATGTCCATATCCCAGCGAAACACAGCGAGTTGAGATCGTTGTGTTGCAGATTTTGTTCCCATACCCCCTGACCCTGCCCTCTGCAGTCGTATCGAGGACCAGATCCCACCGGGGTGGCAGGAAAGCAAAAGGGAATCGCAGATGTCCCCGTCATAGTGATAAACCGGGCGCCCGAACGAACGAAAAGGAATCCATGTCACGGAAACGCAAGCAACTGACGCAACCCATTGGTATCAGAAAACGGAACCCATGCCTCACAAAAAACCAATGCCAAACACCCTAGTCTAGCGAGAGAAAACGAAACGAAAACAAAACTGGACCTCCGATAGGAAAAAGCCGATACCTCTATGGTCATAAGATGATAAGAAAAAAGTCGAAAAGCATCACGGGGTATCCATCCGATCCCTGAACCTTGCTTTGCCGAATCATGAGAAACAAGTCGAGAGCGCAGAAAATAAAGAGATATTCGGGGTATCAACTCTCTGCCAACATGGCCGAGACAGAAGGAAGAAAGTAGCGGAAGAAGTATTAGGCTGTTGTACAATGGATCGGGATCCAATCGGGAAGAAAGTATGGTGCCACTGTGTGAGGTGCGTGGGGAATTCGAAAGCCGAACCATGCACTACCATTCACTCCAGGTGAAGGTCCAGTGGTCAGGGAATTCAGGATAGGGCAGGTCAATCGAGGCAATTACTCTTCGTCATCGCCCGAACCTCCCTCCTTCCCACCCTTGTGGACCTTCTTGTGGCGACGGAGATTCGAGACAACGGAGAACTGTCGACCACAGCCTTCCACGTCACAAGCAAATGCTGTAATTCATCCTATTAGTATCACAGAGCGGAAAATGAGCTGGTTTGCCTGGGACTTACGCTTCTCGCCAGTGTGACTGTACATATGGGTCTGTAGCGACGATGGTCGGGTAAACCGCTTGTCACACACCTTGCACTTGTGCTTCTTCTGGGTGTTGGACGGCATTTTTGAGCTGAATTGGCTCATCATAGACTGGGGTCCCGGGGGTGCACTGCCAGTGAGGAGTGTGGACGGGCGGGGAAGAGTGCGTGACAGGTGGCCATTCTCGTAAGACTCTGAAGTCGTTGAGCTGTAGTCGGTGACAGACGACTCTACCGACGCGACGGACGCGCTGTAGTATGGGTAGGAGCCCGCGGATGAAATGGACGAACCGGCTGAGTGTGCTAGGGGGAATCCGTAGGAATCTCCCGAGCCTCGAGAGCCCCGGGGACCATAGACATTTCGGGGCGTCAAGTCCTGGCTGAGAGCCACCATGCCGCGACTAGCATCTAGCGCATCCCCGAATGTAGGACCGGATGTGGGTTGTGAAGAAGCAACGCGAGCAGCATCACTAGAGCAGACAAAATGGTCAGTTAAAATCCTGTAGATAGCTTTCCGGTGGTGTCCTTACGCATGCGACATCCTGCGGCTGTCCTGGTGGACCGGGGAAGCGTAGCTGATGGGTGCATAGCTGGTTGGCGCAAAGCTGCTGATCGAGGGAGCAGTGGTGTAGGCAGGAGTCTGGTCGAACGATGTCCGGGGAATCTCATGATGAAGACCCATCATGTCGGGGGCGGGATAGCTCGCAGATGTGGTTGCGGAGGAGTAGTTGCTGCCAGCGACAATTGAAGGCGCAGAAACAGAGACGGAGTATGGCAGAGGGATGTGAGAGGGGCGGCTGGTCTCCTCCTGCTTGATGCCCAGAGGAGCCGGGTAGACGGGAGGCGTCGAGTGAGACGAGGAATGGGCGGTGGCCCAGGGGTCTGTGAACTGCGGCGCTTGACTGTGATGCGAGTGCTGGTAGACACTGTCAAACCCCATTCCGCCGCCGTACTGGCGGTTCTGGTTTTCCATGACCATCGTCATTGAGGGTAGTCGTTGTGAAGGAGTGTGAGTGTTTGGGTCTCGCAAGGCTGTGCTGCTCGCAACACTGCGGTTGGAGCGATAATCAAGGGATGGACGGTCGAGCGACACGAGGGGAGCAAGGTACCGCGATGGCTGACCGGGGAGGAGGAGAGGCGTAGGCAATTGAGGTGCAGTGATCCGCGCAAACTGGGGGGAGGATGCGCGCAGGTGCAGATGCTGTGTTTCGTTGGAGTAAGAAGAGCGACAATCTGAGGCAGAGGAGGGAGAGGGAGGAAGATGAGTTGAGTCTGGGGAAGGGCGATCGACGAAGCTTATGAACAAATACAGGATCGCAGGGACGAAGGAAAGCCCTGGCGTTCAGCGCTCTAGTGCCACTGACGACGTGCCGTCGGGGGACGGTTGCAGATCGTTGCTTTGGGCCGCTTAGGCTTCGAAACCGCGTTAGTCCCAAGGGAGAAGGGCAATAATAAATCTCAAATTTAAGTGTGCGGAAAAGGAGAGTCCAATTGGGAACCAGTTCCTCGGTGACCCTAGACCCAGTTTTGCTTTGCTGCTGCTTTTTCCGCTTTGATATTAATTCAGCCTTTTATTATTTCTGCACTCCAGTCTCCAGGGTCTCCACAGGTTGGAACCATGGGCACTCTGTCCCTTAGTGGTGACTGCATAGCTATCCCGATGATTATTGAGAGAGGAACATGCACGGAAACAAAGACTCAGCTTCAGAAAAAGCAAAACGGCATTAGTCGAAGCAGGGGGGATGGACCAGGGCGCCCTGGAAACCGTCCGTCTGAAACTCCGGGATCGGAACATTGGACGGTACCTACAGCAAAAGCACTCGGTCAAAGAAATACGTACGCACCCAGTGGAGGGCTCAGAAATTCGATCCAACCCTCCTGCAACTGCATGATATGATGATAGCAAGACGATGGCAGGGGTAGAGCTGAGCTCGAGCAGTGGGTTCGCACCAGGAGGCAAACAGAGCACAGACTAGCTCAGATCCATCATCCAGGTACAAAGCAACCTTCCCTATCCAGGCAGGCATGAGAACATTTCGACTCTGTATCTGAGGATTTGCTTCTAAGTCCATATGCGGGAAACAGTGCGGTTGACGGTGGGTAGGTTGCAGGGACCTATGAAAACAAGAGGCTTTGAAAGGGGGGAGGAGTGGAGTTGGACACCGTCTGTGCCGTGTCCTCCATAAAAATTGGTTATTTGTCACATCCAGTGCCAAGCCCCAGCTAGATGCATCAACCAGGGTTCGCTTTGAGCCCTGTCCTCACTCTCAAGGCATCCTGAGTTGGTGGCGGGGAAGACTGTAGTAGATACGAAGTAAATCGAGATTCGAGATACTAAAATAACAACAGAACAGCTGCAGAGTGATCAATGCCATACGCCATCTTCTAGGACCGTTGCGCGAATCAAACAGCCCGATTACTATATAGTTTCACCGTGATCCTTTCATGTCTGACCATGACCTCATCCCATCCAGTCGATTCAATATATTCGACGAGGCATAGCCGCACAATCCGTCGTAATTATTGTTCTCACGACTCGTCATCAAGATGATGAATGGCCAACAGCAGGATGGGGCAGACGGCTCAACCCGATGGAGGGGCGGTCTGCTCGCTAACTCATAATATAATTGCGAATGGTAAGAAGTACTAACTAGCGACGCTGCACGGAATGAAGAAGAATATCATGGCTCTTGACGCCCTAGCATGCAAGTACTGCATAATATCATAAACTGTGAACTGACGACCAGTTGAAGAGAGTCCCTCTGCGGAGTGACGACATTGCCGGCACCCCAGTCGCATCAATCCTGCAGAGATCTAACTAGCTCTCAGATTAATATACACAGTCGAATAGCGTCACTCTTCCCGGAATCAACTGAGTTGATAAGTTCCCTGTCATCGCATCACCCCGCACGGAGATGACACTGCATTACTAGCAAAATGACCATGGTTGCGCTTACGCGGGAGAGGGCTCCAGGACGATATGCTTGCTGAATGGCAAGCTTGTTCCAAGAGTGATGACGGTCAAGTGGCCGATAATCTTCCAGAGCCAAGTCGCGGAGAGTTCTCCGTCATGATGAAGACGGCATCGGCACTCGCTTCCACCCATACCAGGTGGTGCAGATTCAACGGTCGCTCATGCACGAGACTTCATCCGTGGTCTTCAGGTTCCCTGCACCAATGTATTTATCAGTCTGACAGGCTTTTTCCGTCTGCGTGAAACGTCGGCTTCATTCTTCTTCGTGGGGGTTGAGTTGAGTTGGCTTGGCCTCCACCACCGACGTCAGTGGCCACGAGACGCGCTGTCACTGGGTTAGCGGCATAGCATCAACTGAACCGACATGCATTCAACAGCATCACAGTTATTATTCCGTCTAGGAATGAAGCGAAGCATCCCGCGCGGCCAAATTGGAATCGCTATTGGCGCTGGTCTGCATTCGAAGGGTCCAAGCATCAGCACTGGAGTAACAAATGAAGACCTTGCGACCGTAAGACGGACAGTTTCTCGCCGTCTGCATCAGTGCATCCCAATTGTGTTCATGCTTCTGTCGCGTGTTTCTGGAAGACTATTGTTGCACTCGGGTGTTCTTGCGATCATTGGCATGATCGAGATCTTAACCTTAAATCCGGGGATAGACAGTGATCATCGAGGCTTGTCGTACTGATTGGCATAGGGACATCCTCGAGGTTCGAACTATGAATTGGCGGCTATGGACACATGGGCACATTTCATAAGCTGTGTCACTTGTTAGAGTAGATACTTGAGCTCGCTCTCACCTATTATCGCGACTGGCTTCTCGGCAAGTCGCCTACACAACGCCACGGCAGACAAGGCTCCTGAGCATCCCAAATCCGGGCTTAATCTGATAGGCACAGCTCAGCAAATCGCCCGCCAAGTTTATCTGAACGCCTGCGGTGATCATGGAATCGGTCGTCGCTGATTCGACGATAAACGCCCCCGCGGGATTGAGCGACAGGGCTCCCGGAAGGAAGGCCGCAGCAGCAGATGCGGACGATGGCTCATGTCCTTGCCACCATGTTGTACCACATTCCGGGCTCTTCGATTTCTGCTCCTCAGGCTAAAGTTTGGGATGAACCGGTTCCTTGGAATTATTGAACGGCAAAAAGTGCAGACCCGACTGCAGACCGCGTGGCTAACAAAAGCAAAGTGAAGAAAGTTCCAACCTTGAATCCAGTTCCACATGCTCGAAGTGGCAGGTGCGTCTGCTCGCCTCGGGGTCGGGGTCGGGCTCCATGCGGGCTCTGCCAAAAGACTAAAGCCCAGCAAGCGGGCCCACCGCCCACATGATCTCGCACGGAACTTGACGATGGATTCTTCAAAGTTCAGTCCTTCTGCCTCCTCCACTCCTCCTCGTCCCAAGCCCACTGAGCGACCACCTAAAATCGACCCGCCGACCACGTACTCACCGAGTGGAACCCGCGGGAAACTCAGCGGAATATACCGACGAGGAGATAATTCCCTTGAACAAAGTTCGAGTTGATGAGAGTCACGGATGCCGTTTGCCTCCGACCTCGGCACGGAGCAAGGCAGACTACCCTCTTCCGGACAGTTTGGACGGATCACACTCGAAAGCCAACAAAGAGCTTATACCGGGAGTCATCCGTGAAGTCTATCTCACGCCTGCAAGTATACTCAACCAATCAACGGTAACACACCGATCAACCCCTTGCGTTCTTGGTGCAAAGAACTGACCAATTCAAGTCCAGGTAAAAAAGTACGATTCGGAAAACCATCATCATTGAGACATCAATCTAGCTTTGACGTTCCTTTTGAATACCTAATGCTAGACCCGCCGAACATCTTGAATCGATATTCGATATGTTTATGCTTGACCGCTGTTCAGTGGATGTACGCCCTGATTCGCTGTGCTCTTCAGGCCCGCCTTTCGCTAGACCAGAAATGGCCCTGGGGACATCAAAGTGCTTCCAAGGGACAGGGATCTTTCTAAACCCGTCCTGGCAGCTCGTGCATTACGGTTTTAGGTAAAAAGCGGGTCGTTGGCACGGCACATCATCCCTTAAACGCGTAATCGCCCAGAGCCTCTCACCCAATCACCCAGGCCTTTTTTGAGACCCTGTTGGTCCTTTTCCTAAAACTGCTGCGGGGTGCCCTGTGCCGGAAATCCTCAGTCCACGGATGTCCTAGCCTGGACTCCCTGCTCCAGAGCCCCGTTCAACTTCTCACACGGACCACCCAAATTTGCGATCCTTTTCGAGTCTTGACTGTCCTACAAATCAGGAAGGTGAGCCACGATCCTTGGCACATGCTGGTGGCTTTGGACCGTGTGCTTGATGGGTTAGATTTCGCCTCGACCAGGTTGTCGACATCGAGTGACAAGGGATGCTGTCAGGATTAGGACCTAGCTGTCCAATCCGGGCAACAATTTTCCCAATCTTGACCGCGCGCCCTCCGAAAGGAAGGTGCCTAGTACGGAGTTTGTGCATGATTTTGACCACCTGAATTCGCAGAGTCGGTGCACCTCCGGAAAGTACAACTTACTCCGTAGCGTTTCCCGTCCGTGCGCCGTACGGTGTAGCAATTGGACATGATTGTGGCAGACTACCATCAGCCACCAGGTCAGCGCCCTGAGATCCCTCTAGGGTTCCGGTACGCAGTCGGCAAACAGCCTTAACTCTATTCTCAAGCCTTTCCGCTAGTCCACATCGTGCTATTCGGGTGCAGGATAGCATTCACATAGCACGGTGATATGATAATGCTTTTGCAAATCGGAGTATGACAGCAATCGTCAGGAACAGTCGATCCGCCATCCTGGTACAAGCGCGATTAGCGAGCGATCGAGATGAAACGTGTGAGGGATCGACTTGACATGAAGGTTTAAAAATATATACAACCTGACTAAGGCCCATCTGTCATCTGCATAGGGTCGATCATAGACGGCAGATCGTCGTTGATTGGCGTTTCACGAACGATTGACTCAGTGTATGAGCTTAGATAAGCTCAGACCACGGAGCTCCATGCTCCTCGGACCTCCAGTCTCCAGTACGGATCCTCAATTCTGCACAGACGAACCTCGACTCCGGATTTCTGGACAACCCGGACCGTGGCCGCGTGACTCTTGAATTTGGCTCTTCTTTCAGTCTCTCGAAATCTCACTTTCCGCTCCGAACAGACTTCAGCGGCTCTATTGAGAAGGTTCAACATCCGCGAAGCATCCATTTTCAGTTTTGGGAGTAGCGTTCAAGTTCCATTGTCGGCTCGCAGGCCCTCAAATTTGACATGGCTGGGTGTTCAACCAATGGACGCCATCAGCAACATGGATAAGGCGAAGTATCGAGGGGAATTGTAAGCCACCCACGCCACCCGTGACCCAGGGCCCCAGGCCATGGTCAGTCACAAAGAGCGGGCCTAAGCAGCGGAAATGAACGCCTCTGCCCCGCCAGGGAACCCTAGCCAATTTAGTGGCTTGCTAGGCCTCACTTAATCAAACCCCAGGCACGGCAGATAATCGATAGCCGAGCTTGGCCCGGCCTTGATCGTCCAATCACCTTGTGCGCCCCACAGGAGCTTACGCGTGCACATCCATCTTGACCCAATGACCAAGCTTTTACTGAGACGCCTTGCCTGTTCAGAAATCCAAAATTTGCCCGCAAAAGTTCCCCATGTCTTCCGTGAGGGGAACTGCTCTGTGAACTGAGAATCTGTGACAATGCAGCCTGCATCTAACTACTCTGCATTCTACGGCCTCCTCCTTGCCATCCTAAGTTTTCGCCTCTCGTCCACGGCACAAACCCGTCGCCCGCAACCTGAGTACTGAGTCGGAGAGCAAAGGTCCTATGGTACCCACCAAAACCGCCACATTCCTCAAGGTGCCAAGCTAAAGCCGCCTGAAACACGCTACTCCGTCCAATGACCCCACCTTTGTTGAGGCTTGGCTGGATTTGGATATCAAATATCATCACTCATTTACTCCGTAGTACCATGTAATTGTATCGAGCCAGGGGCATATGATTCTACGGAGTGACCTCACAGTCTGACTTGGCGCCTGCAATTACGGGAGTGATATCTATGCTATTCTTGGAAGCAGATGATGTGAATGAGATGGCCTTGACATCATATCGGGATATTCTTCAGGGGCCTCTCGAACTGAACCAGCTCGTTGCTTGTCGTCTACGGAGTAATGCGCCAGCCTTGGCCCAAGCCAATTCGATAGACCACTGGACTATGTATGAAGTTCGCGCAACAGTGACATATCAGCCGGGATTCAGCCCGACGGAGGCAGGGGCCTTGTCACTTGTGTCTCCGCGGAGTTATACGAGAGACCCTATAGCCTAGAGCCTTGGACAAGCTTTGGCCGGTCCCCATTCGAGAGTAGAGTGGACCCAAGAGGTTTCCTCAGCGTCTGGGTTTGTTTAGATAGGGCCTGATCTGTTTGCACCCCGGTCTCTTCCCTTCAGGCCCTCAGGGTCGCCCGGCTGCGGTGTCGCCGCGACGGTGAGAGAGGACCAAGCCAGTGTCCGTTTCATTGGTCGTATGTCGCAGGGGTCTTCCGGAGAATGTTTTGAGTAGATTGAGCGTACGTCCCGGCAGTTGTACGCGCAATGCATCAGCATCAGATCTACAGACTGCAGCGTAAGCAACGGCCCCTGGGGGCAGCTTGGGTACTCCGTATGATCCTCCCAGTGAAACAGGTACCAACGTCTTTATGGACCCTGCAGCAGCCTAGCTCAGACTTGATACAAGATCAGCTCTAGATACGAAACCTCAATACTCAACAGTCTCTGGAGAAGGGACAGGTATACTACGGAGTATACTGGCGCGGTGCTGAATGCATTGGCTGGGGCGCAACTGCCCAGTGGCCATCCCGGTGTGCATCTTGTCGGCGAACACCTCGTACTCCGTATAGGTTTTGCCTTCAATACGAGAACTGGCCCCTTTTATCACGATCTGGTACGGAGTAAACGAAGCAGCTTACCCGTCGGCGGCTCAATGCGCATGCCCAGGTTGGGCAATTGTGGGCGACGAGGTCGACACGACGACAACCCTGCAACAATTTCCTTCTAGAAGTCTGATATTATTCGATAAGCGAGCATAACGCGTGGCTTTGTACCATGCTGAGCAGTCATTTCTATTCCACTTCTGTTTATCAGATCATGATTTGACGACGGTCAGTCTGAGCATGGAGGCCTCATGAATCGACGGAGCATGCCTTCTACAACAGGGCCCTTGCCCGACCCGTCCCTCCTGGAATACAGTTGCATCCTCTTAGCCTAAACCTATCAGATGCGTACTTAGGACTATAAACCCGTCGACAGGATGCCCCTTGGCCGCCAGCATGATGCCGCTGCGACGCAAGACGTTGATGTGACTGTGACTGTGAAGGGGCACACTGCATTGCAGCTGCATGATGTGGCTTGCATAGACGTCCTCGATCCAAGTCTGCTTCCAATGAGACGCGATTCTCACGAATCTAGCTTTCTGAGTTGTTTTCCCTTCCCGAAAAATTGGTTCGTTCAATCTCAACAATTTCAAACTGGGCTGCTTCCGATGTAAGCAGGTACTGAGTTCCCTCTCAGGACGGAGTATTCGCTATGCAAGTATCCTATCCCAAATATTGGTTGGTCCAGAAGAATATATCTCCAGCCAACTACGAAGTAGAGCTGAAGCAACCGACTAAAAATCGACCTTTTGTGTTTGCTTTGCTTCAATGGTCCCAAACTCAGAGCCAGGGTATCCAACTCATGCTCTCAGCGGAAAAAGCAAAACCAATCCAAGATCCGTTCGTCACACCCATGAACGCGCTCCCTCTAGGAATTGGGATCGCAATGCTGCTCGTCCCGGACCCCAGGTCTTCGGACTACCGTACTCGAAAGAGACATCATTCCAAGCCACTGCGTCTGCAACCAACGCGAACTCCCTATCCAGGCTATCCTTGCTACGTACTCAGCCTCACCTCCTGAGCGGAGGATAAGTGAAGCTGAGCAGGGATCAACCCTGCTGGACTCGAGTCACGCTGAGGGGAATGGGTAAAAGGTGTCGCCTAGCACAAGTGGACGCTTTCTTTCCTATCAGTACAGGCTTTAGCCTTTAGCTATAAAGCTTTCGTTTTACGCTCAAGCCCCGTGGCGCCGCCGGGTTTCTTGTTTGTTCAGACACACGGAAAACTAAAAGTATTCAAAGATATGGTTCCTTACCTCTTGTGGCTTGCACTATTATGTATCAATTGACCCAACCCCGCCTTTCGGTTTTGCTCGGGGTGAACAAGCAAGAACATGGAGGTCAGCTTGTTCAGGTTAAGCAGGCACGCACCTCAATCCTCATCCTCGAACCCAACGATTACCCATGGATTACATGCAGCTTCTCGTACAGAACTCTGCCAGGAGTCGCGAGAAGTTCTTACGTACCCTGAGCAAGGACATGTCCCATGTCCCAATCAGTGCCTTACCCTCCCCTCATCATCTGCACTGCTGCACCCTCCCCTCCAGGAAATCACAACCGCATTGATATCGGGCACGGCATGGCATGGCATACCTGCCGCATCTAATTCTATACGGCATCCATTCCAGCCCTACCAATCCGATGCCGACCAAGACCCTGACAATCCCTGCCCCTTCCCACCCCCACACGCCTCCTCCGTCCCAGGATCAGGTCAGGATCATCCGTGGCGGCAGTAGAGTTAGACTCGTCACTCCGGGCCCCTTCTCCGCGGCGTGCTCGAGTCAGCATGCTGCCTCATGCTGCCTCATCCTGCCTGTGTGGCCTGTAAGGGCTCTTGAAATCCGCAAAATCACAGCCTTGGCCCTTTAAGAATGCTGGTTCCCCACACACGCAGCCGCCAAGGCCGCACATGACAGGGGGCAATGGAGATGGGGAAAAGGCTTACGCGGCACATTGCAACAACCCTGCACGAATGCTTGGCGCAGCACGTCTGTGCCTGTAGGCTCTGAGCAGTCGCGCTTGTAACTTGTGAGTCTGACAGAACAGATGCATGGGGCAGATGCGGCTATGGCCCCCAGCCAGTGGCGAATTCTAATCCTACGCACGCTGACTATGACTCCTTGGTGACTCTATCTCTACTACCAACTCCTGCTAGCAAGGCGTCGAGTTCGACTAAGCTCCAGCCTACCTGCCTGCCTGCCTGCCTGCCTTGTCTGTCCCGCGTTGGAGTACTCCGTACTCACTACTCCATAGCGTCGTTGACGCCGTTTATTTCTATTTTAGCCCGGCGCACTTGCGAGAATATGACGTAGCATCCTCTAGAGCACACGTACTTTATCCTGTGAAGGACCAAGACACTAACTAGTCTACTGCAACCACTCTGCACAGTGCGCTGCTGCTATCTGTGTCTTATGCACTGTAATCTATCTGCCTGAGATAGATGAAGCCAGGGATCGGGCGCCGCAGTTCGGCAGGAATGGAGGGCCTAAGCGGCACAGGCAAGGGGTTTCAGCCTTTCAGGCGTCCAGCTTGAGCTTAACAGTCTTCAATATATTAATTTACTTACGGAGTACTCCGTACTCAATGACAATGACGTCGGGCACTGCTATACTTAGTACACCGAGTCCGATTACATACTGCGTAGGCTTGCTCCGGTAGGGCCAACGCTATACTAGTAGTAGTACTTCACTCCGATGGAAGGAGACTACGAGGGTCCTGGTGGACTAGGAAAGGAAAGAACTATCGTGTACAAGAAATCTCATTAAAACAACTCCTGTATGTATATGTAACGAAGCGCCAGCCAGCCAAAGGACGAAAACAAACAGAGCACAATACAACACGCCGGTAATGTCATTGGAATGGGTTGTATAAAAGACAGTAGGTCGAAGGTTAAGGCACGGCAACATTTTGGGCGTGGAACGAACCAAAATCAAAGCAAAAGCCAGATCAGATCATAATCAGCAATTCGTCGCGCTTCAATCCGTCGTCTTCCAGCTCGGGGTAGTAGGGGACGATCGCGTCCGCGCTCTGCACGTAGGCATCGTTGTACAAGCGCCAGTAGGGCGTGCGCACCTTCCGCGCAGAGTGGAAGAGACCGGCCCAGACGTAGTTCATCACGGTTCCCGTGCCGACGGCCATGCGGATCGCGTCGATGGCTTCGATGACTCGGTCGATGACGTGCGGGCTGGTTTCGAAGATGTTGGGGAAGACCAGGTTGAGAAGGTGGACCATGGCGTCCTCGCAGCCGAGTCCAACGACGCCGAGCGCGATGTGCTTGACGACTGTCGCTGCTGTTTGGCGGTGGACTTGGTCGCGGTCGATGAGGGCGTCTTCGAGGAGAGGCGTCACGGCGTAGACGTAGTCCTTTGCCATCTCGCCAATGTACTCGAAGAGGAAAGTCATCGCTTTCAAGACACCATTTTGCACGTTCAGTTCTGGTACGCGGTACTCGTTCATCAGGGCGGGGAGGACGGTGAAGGGGGCGCAGGTTTCAGCGACGATACCAATGGCGACAGCTGTACACACGCGCGACTGGCGTTCCTGGACACGGAGGTTGTTGAGTAAGGTTGCCAGGACATCCTGGGGACCAATTGCCTTGGCGATGAAACCGAATGTGTTGTTTGCGGCTCGACGGATACCTTTCTTGTGAGCCTTCAGCATGTCGAGCAGCTCGAAACAGATACGCATCCATTCACGGGCGTTGACGGACTCGGGGCCTCGGTCGGCAATACGACCGACAAGGTCAATGGTGTTTTCCTGCACCTTCTCGTGTCGGTTTCGCAGGATGGGAGTGAGACGGGGAAGAAGGTCGCGAATCGGAGGTTGCATCTGGTTGATACCAACAACGGTGACAATGGACCGAAGAGCACCAAGGATGGAACCTAGAACCTCTGGGTACTCTTCACCGAGGTATTCGTAGAGCACAATACCCAGCTTACCCATCAGCGCATCCTCACCACACTGCTTCATAACCAATGCAATCCGCGAGATGAGGTCCGCTGCTTGTTGGCGCACAGTGGCGGACTTGTTGTTCAATCTCCAGAGAATCGTACTGACAATTTGAGGGAGGTATGGCTTGCAACGAGTTCCAAGCGCATTCACCACAGTTCCAAACCCGTTCAGAATGATAATATCTTCAATGCTTTGCTCTTGGAAGGCGTACAAAACACCATCGATCAATCGTTCCTCAAGTCTCTCCGAGACATCTGCGGCTCCAAGGGAAGCGATCGTCTTCTCTACTGTCTCCACGGTCATCTTTCGGTATGGCTCGCTTTCGTCCTTCAAGTTGTTGATAATGCGCTCCAAAATCTCACCAGCACCGACCTTCTGTCCAAGGTCAACAGTGGTGTCAACCACTTGGCGGTAGTTCCTTCGATCTAAGGCCATGCGCCTAACCCAGAAACTCTTGAAGAAGTCCACCAGCACGTGTTCCTTGAGGTAGCTGGCGGTGACACCATCTGTACTCGCGCATTGCGATACCACTTTGAGGACAACCTTCTTCATCTCCTCGTCAGGAGATGAGAATTCTCGGAGAAGAATCTCCATGATCTGACTAGTGTAGTAGTTTGCATATTCCTCGTCCATGAGAGGAATAATGTAACCGACCGCCTTGAGGAAAGCAGCCAGACCCTTACCACGCTGCTTGCGAGCTCCAGTCCAAAGAGGGTTGAGGATTTCGTCGAAACTCTCGATACCGTACGGGTTGGCCGCTTCAGCCAAGGCGCCAACAGCCAGAGCGGTGACCGTCCTGACCTTGGCCTGTTCATCGCTAAGGTTGTCCGCGATACAATCAACGAGACCTTTCAGATGAGGGAGAATGGCGCAACCCATGAGGATAGGAATCTGCTGGACGATCTTGACACCGGTGTGTCGGGCTTGCCATGACTTCTTACTGCGACACACGGCTCGGAGGAAGGGGAGGAGAGCGGGAATACCGAGGGCGGAGGCGACGACGGCGAAGGCTCGAGCGGTTGTGTTTCGTACATATTCGTCAACGTGGTCAATATCCGGACGCATTGTACTGATCATGGTTGCAAGACCAGCGGCCTTGGCCAGGTTCGAGATAATTTCACGACCCTCAACGCGCGCATAGTAGTCTTGGTCAATAAGCAATGGCTCAATAACGACCAAAATCTTGTGCACGTACGGCCGGACAAGATCATCCAACTTGTAGAGCACACGGTCAATGACTTTGACCAGCAAGTGACGCTCTTGATCTTCCAAGGATTTCTCCATAAGCAGCGGTAAGATCTGGTTAAATAAGGCACCAGCGCCAAATTGTCGCGCATTGTCAGTGAGTTGACGCAAGGCAGTTTTTCTCATTGGCGGCGTGCCGTTCTTGACCTTGAGCAACAGCCTCATGATTTTCCGTTCTTTCAACTCCTCAACTGACATTGCTGATTCGTCCCCAGTATCCATCAGCTTGCCGAAGTACGCCATATCCTCCGGCTTGAAGAACTGCAGGTCACCAACACCAGGAATTTCGGTGGGAAGTTGCTTGCCGAGAGAACGGGCACTCTCGGGCTCCTGCATCATGAAACCACCAACACCGGTGGAGCTGGCCATCGGAGCCGGGGTTGCCATGAGCTTTCTTGCCGCTGTTCGGATCGGAGCATATCCGGGAGGAGGCTCGAGGATCTTGTAGCCTTCTGACGGGAGCATCATGTCCAGCTCCTCGTCAGAGAGAGGAGCATTGCGGCCAGAGATATCAGTTCCAAAACTGGTTGGCATCATAGGCGCACCTACTTGGGAAGGATGCATAGGCGTTGCAAGTCCTTGGTTACCAACAGGTGTCGCCGACGCAATCGCTGGCGCTTGATCCCAACGTGAACGGCGCTTCGGCGCTTCCTCGCCACCAGGAGCAGGTGTCTGGTCCCAACGCGACTTTTTAGCCTTAGCATCATCATCAGAAGGAGCAGCGGGGGCTTCGTCCATGGGAACCACATCCCAGCGTTGCTTGCGCTTGCGACCAGTAGCGACAGACACCGTCGAGCCGGCCTCGGCGTTCTCCTTATCCTCGAGCTTCAGAGTGGCCTCGTGTTCCTCGACGCCGTTCTCACCACGAGCCTGCTTCTCTGCGATCAGCTTCTGGACACGCTCCTCTTCTTTCTCAATCTCACGAAGAGCCATAACCTCACGGTACGTCTGGCCCTCTTCTTCAACGTTGGCATGAGTGTTCGCGGCGAAGGGATCGGCCCGGGTGGGCGTCAGCGGTCCTCGGTCGAAGCGACGCTTCTGGTAATCAGTCTCCCGGTCGGAGATCCTGGCAGCCTTTTCGCGTCCCAGAAGGATGTCCTCCTCTTCAACCCCATTTCCCCGGGCAAACTCGTCGATCTGGCTCCGCGTGGCAGTATACTGCCCCACCAAGCGGTGGCTATTGTCCGCATCCTCCATATCCTCATCTCCATCGTCAACAGCGATGGAGGTGCTATATCCCGCATATTTGTCGGCACCATCACGATCGTAGAGGGTGGTATCGAATGACTCGGTCAGGGAGGCCTTTGTCGAGTTGTCAGTGCGCTGGTTAGACGGATCAAAGGTCCTTGAACCTTTTTTCGCGGCCGCTGCCGCGTTACGCTCAGCCTGGAGCTTTCGGACAGCGTCGAAATCCGCTGCGGTCACGATTAGCGGAACTCGCGGTGATTTGACATTTAAGGCCTTACCGTCAGACATATTGTCGGTGGGAAAGAGCTAAAGACGCGATGGAGAGCAAGCAACCTCGGGATAGAGCAGTAGCAGCCGCTACATCCGGATAAAAGCCGTAAGAATGACGCTACGGCGATGGTTTGCAGCGAGGAGTTGCTATCTGAGGCTGGACGGGGGCGCAAAATGGGATGAAGTCAAGACCGACGGGAGTGGATGACTAAGTGTCACGTGTCACCGCAACATCTTCCTCGCGCTATGCTCTATGTAGAGTCTCCAATTCTTGCTAGACAGCAGGAGGCAAATTTCGCTTATGAGCTTAAGAACGCATTGGCATCGCCACTGTGATCATGTCTTTATATACGCCGGTATTGATTTGTGGCTATTACACGCTGTGGAATCGGAAAGCGGGGAGCAGAAATATATACTTCGAGCCCTTTCCAAAGTAACACAAGGACATATTGTCGAAATGGAGACACCGACGCCGAGCTTTAGAACTCAAGCGACCCTTATTTGAACCTCTATAGTCCATACAACTATGTCGCGTAGCATCGCCAGTTTCGGCAAAAGAACGCCGTGAAGGGATGCGGAGTAAGACCTCATTACTGGACAGTTGATATGATGTAGATAAGTAGATTCACTTCTTGATCCCATCTTCCTTTTACATCACATTACTTCGACCCAGTAAAATCTCATCTCTTCAAAACATAAATATCGCGGTCAGGATGGTTATCAGACCGAATACCTACTACCTCCCACGAACGGAGCATACCCCTAACAACCCGCTGCGCGTCCTACACTACAAAAACGTCCTTCCGGAACCCAGAACAGAGGACGAAGTAACGAGGTTCCTCATAGCTCATAAATGGGAGAAGCGGGCTCGCTCGTTCAGGGCATGTCCGATGCAACGCGGTACTGACATATATCCTCTAGGGCACATGGGGACCTATCTGGCAGCGTCATTTTCACCCTAACAGCCATGAATTTTACGTTGAGAGACGCGCGATTCGGTGATTCGTACCGTCTGACTCCTGCAGGAGTCTTTCAGGGATCTTCAACGCTACTTTTAGGAGCAGCTGGCGGCGACGGAGTATCCGACGTCGGGCTACGGATCACGGTTCCTACGGGAGATGTCATTGTCCTTCTTGCGGGGACGGGACATAGCTCGGTGGAGAGTACCGATGACTACAGGTATATAGGAGTATATCCGGAGGTATGTCTTCGCCAAGGGGGCGGATGACGACTGGCTGTGCCAGGGCTGCCTACGGTGGCGGAACGAGTTTGGCAAGACGCGAATTAATAGCACGGCTTTCAAAGACGGGATTGCGAGTGTTCGGTTTCCTGAGAAGGATCCTGTCATGGAAGAGCCGGGCCACTGATGCAACTGTGGTCGTATTCCCTGCATGCGAAGTTCTAATCTAAGCTCGATTTTTTGATTAATCGAAGACCGCGGGCGAGGTTCGATCTTACTCCTCTAGGTGAGTAGATGAGCAAATTAATTGTAATGGTATGATGTGTTAACGACAAGAAGCAGTCTATTCACAGATATATTAGACTTCTCGACGATGTCAGAAGACTACAATGGAAGCAAGCCAAAAGATATGCCCAGAACGCCCGATGTGACAAGTGAAAAATGTCGAAAATAATGGAAGTTGAAGAGACCGCACCTGGCAGTCATTATAACAATCACAATGATTAAGTTTAGCGGATGCGGTCGAGCCTGGCGCGGTTCATGGCAAGCTGATCGTCGACGTTCTCGCTCTGAACAACTGTTAGCTCCAAGTAGTTCGTACCAAACTGGAAAACAATCCTTACCTTGCCCATAATACGTTCCAAGTGTCTATTCTGTTCGTCCAGCTCGTGACCCGTCGCCTTAGCCAGAAGATTCAGTCGACCTGTCGCGCTAGAAATCAAGTTCAAGTTCTGTTCAATCTCATCCTCCATCGCCTCATCCTCACTGTCTGCCTCGAATTGGTACTTGGCACGCTCGGTTACAGACGCCTTATAAGGCTTGTTGATCTTTCTGTCCTCCCGCTCGATTTCCCGGAAGGTTTGCTCCATGCGCTGGTTGGTCTTGAAGGCCTCGCTCCTAGTTCCGGCTTGAGCATCGCGCACTTGTCGGTGGTTGTCCATGACTCGTTGGTCACGATCTCTCTTCCGCTGGGCACTAGTAAACGGGTTCGACACATGCACGGCAAACATGCTCTTGTTCAGTGTCTTCAGTTCCCGAGCCTTTTCGTCTGCGATACGCCCCTCCACACCAGCAACATCGAGGTTCTTCTCTGTGTTGTGGATGTATTCACCCTGGGCACCAAGGCGAGCGAGCGTCTCTCGGGATGTCTCTTCGGCTTGTGCGGCAATGCGGAGGGCATTCCGAGTCGCTGACACATCACTTTGCTTCATCATTCGGATATCCTGCTTGATGGACTGGATTTCTTGCTCCTCCTCTTCTTCTGCCGTGAGGTGCCGTTCCTGGTAAGTATCAGCACTATACGAGTTGCCGCCGGCCCCGTAGCCGCCACCGGCGGCCTGACCAGGCTGCCCCTCGGAGTACGGGGGTGGTGCATTGGCTGGCTGAGCCGCAGCTCTCTCGCTAGCACCTCCGAAGAGAGCAGCCCGGTTGTCGTCGCCGGCCGCGGGGCCATTGGGGTCGGAGCTGCCTAATCCGCCGTAACCACCAGCACCATATCGTGAAGTGGCAGCAGCGCCCGCGCCGCCACCGTATCGACTCGCGCCGTATCCGCCCTGGTTGCCGTATGCGTTCGGTGCGTAGCCTTGATATTTATTGTCGCCAGGAATTTGAGACTTGTTGTCGCCGGGGATTGAGTTGCCTGCTGGGTAATTGGGAGGGCCGCCGAGGTCGACACCCGGAGGTGGGGGAGCTACACCATATTGGGCTTTCGCTCTCGTGTAGGGGTCGGCAGGGATAGGTTTGGCGTAAGGGTTCGCTTCAGCGGCAGGACTCTTGTTCTTCGATCTGGAGCCGAAAAGAGCGCGGCGGCTGGAGGAATCGTCGTCGCCGGCGTCAGACGACTTTTTGAGGCCGAACCGCTTCATGGCGCAGTAACTGAATGGTTCGTAGATATTGGTTCGAGCTCTGAATAAGAATTGATAAAGATGATCAACAGAGAGTGTCTATTGACTGGGAATTAGGAAAAAGAAAGACAGAACGGCGGAAAGAAAGCTGTCAAGTGTCAGGGGAGCAGCGGCAAAAGTGCCTCAAGACCTCCTGAGACACAAAGGCAGCTATGTAATATTGATACGCACTATCTACGCTGTGATCTTGGGCATCAGCAGTAATGACCGTATCAATACACAGGCCGCTGGAACCCCGCCATTCCGGAAGAGGCTAGCGGGGTGGCTGGACCCTTCCAAGCCTCAATGCGACGCCGCAGTCAACGTCAACTGTCCCACTCCCTATGCTTCCAGCAACTCGTCTTTACGGTAGCCATGGCGCCGTTTCCTGGGTCTGATGCCGACTATTCCAAGGACAAGGCCCGCAGAGACCTGCTGAATCTGCTCGAAGGCGTGAGTAAGGCTTCTGGTTGCCGCTATTTTCGGTTCCTAGGCTGATGCATTACCGCGATGTAGGTCCGTGGGAAGAAGAACTTGGTGATTAGCCAGGGTCTTGCTGGGCCTGTTGGGCTCTTTGTCAAGTTTTCGCAGCTTCAGGAGTACGGCGTAGATCGTGTATTTCTGCTCGAGAACGGAAACATTGACTCTACTCAGCGCAATGTGGTGTTCCTGGCCTACGCCGAGAAGATCCGCCAGGTGCGGGCAGTGGCAGGTACGTTATGTGATTAATCTAATACTTCACGAGTTATGATTTATGTTGAAAATGCTGTAAAATGTGTTGTTTATTGCCATGGTGTTTCCTGGGAGCAATTAAATTACGCAGACTTCTTACCAACTCTACGTAATCAGTCAAGCTCCCTATATGGAAGTTTTGTCTAGCGGCTCATCCCTAAGGCCCTCTTTCTATGTTAATTGAATGGGCGCCATCAGAATGAGCTAACATTCTTATAGAGCAGATCCAAAGACTGCAACGCAATAGCAGTATAGACCATGAATTCTCAATCTTCTGGGTCCCAAGGCGGACTCTTGTAAGCAATAACATCCTCGAAAGCACGGGAATCATTGGGGATGTGAATATTGCGGAACTGCCTCTCTACTTTTTCCCCCTTGAGCAGGATGTTCTGTCTCTGGAGTTGGACGACTCTTTCTCCGACTTATACCTGGTGAGATCTTTCTCGCTGCCAAAATGAACGTTGTTAACCCGTTATGTAGCACAAAGATCCTGGGTGCGTCTTCCATTCTGCGAAAGCGCTCATGGACATACAACAGAGACATGGCTATTTCCCTCGGATAGTAGGCAAAGGGGATCATGCTCGACGACTCGCTGATCTTCTGCTGCGGATGAGGAAGGAGCTTGATGCGGAGGAAAGCTCAGGGCTGACAGGACTGTCTTCCCGGGGGCTTCTGCCCAGCGCGAGTACCGAGAGCCTTATAATTATTGACAGAGAGGTAGACTTCGGCACCCCTCTGCTTACCCAGCTCACATATGAGGGCCTCATCGATGAGCTCGTGGGGATCAAACACAACCAAGCGGACATAGATACGTCAATCGCAGGGGCTAGTTCAACTCCTCAAGCCCAGGAATCTTCCAAAGCATCGCAGCAGGCCAAACAAGGCCAGAAGCGGAAGATTCAGCTGGATGCGTCTGATCAGTTGTTCAACCAATTACGCGACGCAAACTTCGCCATCGTCGGCGATATTCTGAATAAGGTCGCGCGTCGCTTAGAGACAGATTATGAAAGTCGTCATACAGCAAAAACCACGACGGAACTTCGTGAATTCGTGACCAAATTACCATCATATCAACTCGAGCATCAAAGCTTGAGGGTCCACACGAATCTCGCCGAGGAGATCATGAGGAATACCCGCTCAGATACTTTCCGCAAGATCCTGGAAGTGCAGCAAAATGACGCTGCAGGCGCGGACCCAACCTACCAACATCCTCTCATCGAAGAGCTTATTGCCCGCGATATCCCACTCAAGACAGTCCTCCGCCTACTTTGTCTCGAATCCTGCATGTCGGGTGGACTGCGACCCAAGGACCTGGAGAACTTTAAGCGCCAGGTTGTTCAAGCATACGGACACCAACATCTGCTGACATTCAGCGCCTTGGAGAAAATGGAGCTCCTCCAGCCCCGTTCATCCGCCACCACAATGCTGATCCCAGGTACGGGCACGCAAACAGGATCCAAAACCAACTACACCTATCTCCGGAAGAATTTGCGCCTGGTCGTCGAAGAAGTCAGCGAAAAGGAACCTGAGGATATCGCCTACGTCTACAGCGGGTTTGCCCCGCTCAGCGTTCGCCTCGTCCAGTGCGTCTTGCAGAAATCATATGTCATGTCTCTCATGAAAGGTGGCCCCGCTGCGCACGCGAATACTGCATCTCCGGGCTGGCTTGGGTTCGAGGACGTGGTTAAGAGTGCGCGCGGTTCGACCTTCAGCATCGTTCAGAAAGGTGATGATAAGGCTGTTCGTGCGCGGCAGACATTGAGCGGTAATAATGCTACAAAGACCGTTTATGTGTTCTTCCTCGGTGGCATTACATTCACGGAAATTGCGGCCTTACGGTTCATTGCGGCGCAGGAGGCGCCCAGGCGGAATATTGTTATATGTACAACGGGCGTTATCAATGGGGATCGGATGATGGAGGCTGCGATCGAGAAGGGGAGCTTCGCGTTGGCTGAGGCTTAAACTAAGATATGTTGGCTCACGTGTCTGTATTTATAACCTTTCTAGAGCCGTTACAGCATTTGATAGCAGTCATGATACAAGTAATAGTGCTTGTTACATTAACTGGTTTACGTGCGGCGGAAATGATAGAAACGTGTCAACCAACGCAGTCATCTGCACCATCCCAACAACAACAAGCCTACCTGACATCAGTATCTAAACCCCGAATTAACACCCATCAACCTCCCCTGATACCTCTCCATGACTTCGCCAAGCTTAATCATAACGCCCGCCGCCAACGTCCTCACCCTTTCCCGCGGGTCACTCTCGTCCTTCGTTGCCGGCGTCCTATCGAAGACATCCCCAACCCACTCCCTCAACTCCATAACCTGTGTCGCGAACTCAGTAACGAGTCTCTCCTCCCCAGACGTCCCAGACTCAACGTTCATATCAACAACCGCAAGGAGAAGCGATAGGAGCGCGGAGAGGATCGTAGGCTCGGAAGCTAGAGGGCGCGCGTGCAGCGAGAGCAGGAATGTCAGTGTTTGTTGCGTTAGCGTGGGGAGGAAGGGCGTGTGTGGGCCTGATGTGGCGAGGATGATTGTCAGGGTTTGGATGAAGAGGGTTAGCAGGTGGGGGACAAAGAAGGGGTTGTGGGAGGGCGCGGTTGAGCTATAAGGCAAAGTCAATTAGTTAGCTGGAGTTTTTGCATGTGTTTCTGGCGGGTTACTTACGACGTGAACTGCATCATCATGATCTCGAAGCGCCCGGATAGTGGGTAGAAGAAGCCCTCGGCGAGGACCTTGTATAGGTCTTTCACGGTGGATTTCTGGCGGTGCGCCTCGCGCTGCTGGCGTCTTTTCTCGACCTCCATGCGGGATGAGAATGTGCGGACCTTGAGCGCGTTCGGACCAGATAGTGAATCTGCTGCGTCTGCGGCGAGTGGTTGGAGCGAGGCCTGCGCGATTCCTTTTGTTATGCTCGCGATGGGAGACTCGTCGGTGGCGTAGAGCGCTTCGAGATTCGCAGGGAGCCGTTTTGAAGGGAACGATGAGTCAGGTAGGGCCGGGAGACCCATGGCTTTTGCATCGTCCGCCCCGACTCCAGCTACCTCTCGCGCGCTGAGACCTAGGGCAGTAAGAACCGCGGACCGCTGCGTTTGAGACAAGTCGCCGTCGAAGAATACAGCGGCGAACCAGCGGGCCATCTTCAAGGGTTGGGACACGATAAGGGCGATCATGCTCTGCAGACGGAGCTCGTGAAATTTCGGGAATTTGGACTGCTCTTGTAGGCCGACAAGAATGAGGGCTAGCTCCTCTGTGTGTTCGGCGAGTTCTGTACCGAAACCGGTCTTGCGTCTGATCAGCCCTGGGGCTGTTGTAAGGCCTAGTTCATATCGGTCTAGGTTTTCTGTGTCTCGTAGGTAGATTATTAGGTCGCGGATGTACCTGTCAGCGGTTAGTACTTGTTGAGCCTTGCCCATCTAAGCACTCACACTGGGGCTGTTGGTTTATTGCGTTCTATCAGCGTAGGGTCATCGTCCTCGTCGTCCGGATCTTCATCGGGCTTCTCGTAGGGGATCAAATCATCATCCTCATCTTCGTCTTCCTCGTCCGAGTCGTATATCTCTTCGATAGCTACAATTTTCGCCGTGGCTGGACTGGCTTTTGCAATGGGGCGAGAAGCACTGGAAACCCGACTTTTAGTTTCTAGCCCTCTAGGCTCCCTCGATGTATCCCTGAAGGCTTTGAGCGAATCCAGAGACCCAACTCTGTCGTCAGTCTTGACAAGCTTCAAGTACCACGTAGCCTCGTCGCTCTCCATCTCTTCCAGGTCGAATTTCATTGCCTTTCCAGGCTCTTCAATGAGTTGCGAGATTGCGGTGCCGATAATCATTCCCAGGAAGCGGGCTCGTGTGGAAGCGGCTGCTAAACGGTTGGAAACAGCGTTGAGGAAGACGCTCGTACGCCCAATACTCTTCATTTCACCTGGGTCAAGGCGCTGAAGATAACCTGCAGCAAGAAGAATAACCTGGGTGTTTGCTATACGAAGTTAGCGGTCTGCTATTGATAGTAAGAAAACCAGGAGCAAACCTTCTTGGCTCCTCATGGGAGCATGTTGGATGAAGATTTTATCCGCTGACTGCTCGAGACCTTTGACAAGTAGACCTGCTATCAGATCTGTAACTCTCGGATCAGCAACAGCTTTTTGCATGATTCTTTCGTTAGATAGACATTACCTTTCTGGTGAGCTAGATTGACAACTAAGGCCCTCCTTAATGTCACTGTTTGTATGGAGCCCCCATGGCCCTTGGAGAGCCATTCTATGAGTTGGCTTTCTAGATTAGACCGTTTCAATATCAGAGCTGAACACAGAGCAGCGATGCTATCGATGGGTTGGTTCAAGTCCATGTCGTTTTCACTGAAACTCTCCATAGGGAAATGCTTTTTCTCGATATCACGGAGGATGGTATCCAACAAAGTCAGTTGCTCAGTCCACCGAAGATGGTCGAAGAGTGCTGTGTATGGTTCCGAGCGTTTTTGTTCGATGAGGAGTTTAATGTATATTTCTCTCACCAAAGGTTCTAGGGAGTATATTAACATGAGAAACTGACAGATAGTGGTGCATACGTACCGTTGTAACCGAGGCTCAACGCTCTTCCTAAGAGATGAGCAACCGCCTTCCATTGCTCTTCATCACCAGCACCAAGCTTAGAGGCCATATGAGAAATGTTGGCTCCCAGCCATGAGGCATACTGGGAGCCGGTTCCAATCCAAGAAATCTTCATGGGAAGATCAGAGCCCCCAGCTAGTGAGATGGCTTCTGCTGATACCGAGAGAATCCTGCCAGCTGCAAGATGGGAGACTAGCTCTTTCCACGCCACTTGCTTTTGAGTAGCATTGTTGTAGACAGCATCAATATCACCATTTAAACGCCGAACGAAATCGGTAGGTTCCAGTAAAGAGGAGATAACTTCAAGAATGTTCCGAATTCGAAATCCACTCCCCGATGCGTCTGCCTGCTGGGAGGATGCCCGCGACTGAGCTATAAGGGAACGCAGCTGCGTCACCAAGCAGCTTATGCCTGGAACGCTGCTGAGACATCTCAGAAGCGCCGCCCGGAATTTGGCGTTGCCGCTAGCTGAACCTTTAGATCCTACTTTGATGGTATCCCAATGATCGGGAATTGTGATGGTGACAAGAGCATTGAGGAGTTGAGCCGATACTGGGCTTGGGACCCTGATATCAATAGTAGATGTTGGAGTGCTCTTTCTGAACGGATCCAGAACAAAGATAACAGGAGCGAGTTCCTTCTGGTTGGGCTTCGACTTCAGAGTCGCCAGAATATGAGCTGGGGACCAAGAGTCTGTGCTGGACTCAGCGGTTGGCGTACCCTCTTTCGTTTCTAAGCGGGAATCATCGAGTTTCTCCTCTCGGACCGTGAGAGCTGGCGCCTGATCATGGCGTATTGTTTTTATCTCGGTAATTAGCCCCTCCATCTTCAGAGACGCTCATTGTTGGCGTTTTGTATAAGAGAGAGCCGCTGTAAATCGTGTGGTGGAAGAATCTTTATGCGCACAAATACATGGTTAGTCAGCGAGTAGTTGTGCTTGCACACGCAGCAAGATGACGTCGAAGAGAAACAACCTGAGGGATATCGGAGAACATAAACAAACGTCTCAATCCGCATTAAGTCATCCGAGCGATAAAGATGTCCTGAGTTCGGACGGTGTTGTGCTATGGGACAGTTCTACAATTGTCGGCAGACGACGTCGAGGTTTGGTCACGTGAAAGCCGCTTTGTAAGTGGTCCGTCAGTCAACAACGGTCAAGCCAGTTCAACAACCTCGCAGTTCCCAACAGCCTCTAGGTATATCCTTGATAAGGTCGCCTTACTATCTTTATTGAGACGTGACTCAGAGAAAAGGTACAACTGAACTTGGATTCGTGAGGTGGGTCACCTGGCAATCATGGGAGCAGGGGATCAATGGTGAGTCCATCCAGCCACCCTTCTTAGTACCTACTCACACATCGTAGGAAATATCTTTACAGAGTACTATCAAAGTCGGGTCCTTACTCTGACCCGGACTGGGTTCCCGGAGAAGAAACAATAAAGTCTTTGGAGGAATCTAAGATATTGTATGTATCTAACGCTGTCTACCTTGAGCCTGGAGACACTACTAACGGTTCCTAGGGTGATGTAAGTGAGCATTGCTTGATTGCACTTCGACTCAAACCTCTTAACTTTTATCTTTTGTAGTGGAGCTGGAGGGTTGGGATGCGAGATCCTGAAGAACCTCGCCCTGTCGGGCTTCAAGGACATCCACGTTATCGACATGGGTAAGCCCCCAATTTCTGCCGGAAATTGTGGCTAAGTATGAGCAGACACTATTGACATCTCCAACTTGAACCGACAATTCTTGTTTCGCCAGTCTGACATTGGCAAACCCAAAGCAGAGGTTGCCGCCGCATTCGTTGAGAGGCGAGTCAAAGGGGTCAAGATCACACCTTTTGTTGGCAAGATCCAGGACAAAGATGAAGATTACTATATGCAGTTCAAGATTGTTGTTTGCGGTCTTGACAGCATCGAAGCTAGGCGATGGATCAACTCGACATTAGTGGGAATGGTTGATATGGAGAACCCGGAAAGCCTAAAACCTCTCATTGATGGCGGAACAGAAGGTGCGTTTCTTCCAACGTTGCAAAAGAAAGATCTAACGTATCGCAGGATTCAAGGGCCAGGCGCGTGTGATCCTACCTAGCCTCACATCATGCATCGAGTGTCAACTTGATATGCATGCTCCCCGGCCAGCCGTACCGCTCTGCACCATCGCCACCATCCCGCGCCAACCTCAGCACTGCATTGAGTGGGCGCACCAGATTGCGTGGCAAGACAAGCGCAAGGACGACTCGTTCGACAGCGACGACATCGAGCACATCGGTTGGATCTACAATGCCGCGCTTGAAAGAGCCAAAGATTTCAACATCCCCGGAGTGACTTTCCAGATGACGCAAGGCGTGGTGAAGAACATCATCCCAGCTATTGCATCAACAAATGCGGTCATCGCAGCCGCCACGACATCCGAAGCGCTGAAGATCGCAACATCCTGCAACCCCTTCTTAGAGAACTACATGATGTACGCCGGAGAGGAAGGCGTCTACACCTATACGTTCGAAGCGGAGAAGAAGCCGGACTGCCCTGTTTGCGGCAACCTCGCACGCAAGATAACAGTGAACCCCGACGCAACATTGGAGGAGTTCATCGAAACCCTTGGCGAGCGACCCGAGGCGCAGCTGAAGAAGCCGAGTCTGAGAACAGAGGAGAAGACGCTTTACCAGCGCTTTCCGCCTCAACTGGAAGAGCAGACGCGGCCGCACCTGAAGCTGAAGCTTCGCGACCTTGTCACGAGCGGGCAGGAGGTTGCCGTCAGCGACCCGGCGTATACGATTGATTTCCGGTTCCAGCTGATTTTCGGTTGATCGTTCGCGAGGTAGAATGGCGTTACGAGAGAATGATGCTTATGACTAGATATTTGAGAGATTTCTTAACCAGATTTTTCTATATCTTTCACCCTGATCCAGACTCCCAGTCATGTAAAGAAGGTATTGGCCCACTTTTATCGCAAAGGTACAGCAAGCAAGAAATCAACAACCAACGCCGGGTAATGCTTTAAATACTTGAGGAATTTAACTATCGTAGGAGGTCCGTCAGGCCCCTCTTCCACCGGGCACATTTCAGCTTCAGGACCTTGACACTTTCCAGGAACAGGATGTCGCTGTCAAACTGCCCCGTGCTTTCGATGTTGAAGATGAAGTGATCGCGGAACCGGCCCAGCTTAACCTTGCCCTGGAATTCCTCGTGCCTCAAACACTCCCTGCTAACTGTGTCGTTGAAGGCGTCGCGGACAACAGCCTTCAGCTCGCCGCTGTGACCACGGTACTCGGCGTTCTCTCGCTCGTCCTCGGCGGTAATCGACTCAAGACCGATGACTCCCTTAGGGAAGCACTTGGCGAATTTCTTCGCATCTTCTCCGATAATAGGACGCAGAATCTTGATGTCCGGCATCAAACGGTAGGTCGCGGTCGCTACAGGGGAGAACTTGGCGTGGTCTGCTCCAATGCCCTTGATACAGTGCATTTCCATCTCGATCTTCTGACCCGGGCGAAGCTTAGCAACGAGGATGTCGGGGTGAACCGCCCGAATGGCGCCTTCGTCGCTGAAGAACTGTTCCTGGCGACCAACGGGGTGGAAGACGATGTCCTTGGCGTAGATGTGAGCGTTCTTGTACAGCTTGCGGGGGTCTGTTTCGTCGCGCGCCGCATTCGGGTTCTTCGTGCACTCGACATCGAGGCGCAGAACGACGGTGTTGTAGTCTGCCAGTTCGCTTGCGCTGCCGGGCTCGTCTTCACTTCCCTTGTTGTACCATTGCATCCAGTTGAGGCCCTCGACTGAGCCCTGGAGGGGGATGAGACCTAATCGTTGCGCGAGCACCTCATCTTGGATGACGGAGGTGTTGTTGTGAACGTAGACCCATTCGATAGCGAGGGTAGGCACTTCGGCCATAACGATGCGGCGGAATGCGTTCGCGATCGAGGCATCAAGGCCGATCAGGGAAAAGGAAGCCTCGAACTGCTTGTTCTGGTGGAATTCGACCCGGAAGCCCTGGAGGAGATTAGAATGAGGATGCTAATGGAGAGGCGACAAAGCATACATCTCGGAATCTATCGACAGACCATTCGTGTGACTCGCCGGGCCAGTGACCTGGGAAATCTGTGGAGGGGATGTTGGTGACCGTTTCTGCATTGACATCGATCATCTGGGAGTCGTTAGCTGATAATTAAGACGCTGGGAAAGGGAAGCATACACGTCTGCGTTCAAGCTCTTCGTGCGATGGGACTAGGGGAGCCATCTTGATTATGAATGCCCGCTCTGGACTATAGAACGAAGAAATCAAAAAGTTCTTGAGAGAGACCGGCAATATTTTTGCGGGCTGCGGGCGGAGAAGACCGGCCACTATACTGTACAGCACTAAACTCTTTTTACTGGCTAGAGACTTGGCGCGGGTCGAAGTCGCTGCTGGCGGTGTCCTTAGCTTTGGGGCAGAATAGACGGTCGCTGGAGACCAACCAGAGGCGGGCTGATGACCAGCTCCTCCACCACGTGACCGGCCAAATTGCATCTCATCGCAACCTCCCGAGCGTCACCCCGACAGCGAACCCTTCCGACGAAGCCCCCCACCAATTGCGTCCGGACTGAGGACAGTCAGCCTCTCCTCTCAACTCTCCCACTCACGCCGCCCGAATGGCTGCCTCCTTTGCTCGCCTGGCGGGCAATGCCCCCAAAAAGCTGTGCCTCCGCCCCTCCGGCTTTGCTCGCAGCACCCTTGCTCCCAGATCACGGTCGATTGCGACGTCAGTGCCTCGCCGAGCCGCCGAGCCTACCAGCTACCAGGCCACTCGACTGATTCCGACCGACCCGAGCTTCTCACATTTCGCCAACAAGGACTCTGAAGTACCGGAGCTCCCCGCTGGTCTGGAGTCCGAGGCTGAGGGCGTCGGCCGCAAAATTCGCCATTACACCGTCAACTTTGGTCCTCAACATCCTGCCGCTCACGGTGTGCTTCGATTGATTCTGGAAATCAATGGCGAGGAAATCGTCCGCGCCGATCCCCACGTCGGATTGCTGCACCGTGGTACCGAGAAGTTGATTGAATACAAGTCATATATGCAGGCGCTGCCTTACTTTGACCGTCTGGATTATGTCTCTATGATGACGAACGAGCAATGTTTCTCGCTGGCTGTCGAGAAGCTCCTAAACGTCGACATCCCCATTCGGGCCAAGTACATCCGTACACTGTTTGGAGAGATCACCCGTATCCTGAACCACCTCATGTCCGTTCTTTCACACGCTATGGATGTTGGTGCTTTGACGCCATTCTTGTGGGGTTTCGAAGAGCGTGAGAAACTTATGGTACGGTGTTTAATCAGCATGACTCCGATGTGATTGCAGCTTGCTGATATGCTTTGCTGATAGGAATTTTACGAGCGAGTATCCGGTGCCCGTCTCCACGCCGCCTACGTCCGTCCCGGTGGTGTCTCCCAGGATCTTCCCCTCGGCCTCCTCGACGACATCTACCAGTGGGCCACTCAGTTCGGTGACCGTATCGACGAAACCGAGGAACTCCTCACAGACAACCGTATCTGGAAGGCCAGAACCCAGGGCGTCGGTGTTGTCAGCGCCGCCGATGCGCTCAACATGAGTTTCACTGGTGTCATGCTCCGTGGTTCCGGTGTCCCATGGGATATCCGCAAGTCCCAGCCCTACGATGCCTACGACCAGGTCGAGTTTGACGTCCCCGTCGGTGTCAACGGTGACTGCTACGACCGTTATCTCTGCCGCATGGAGGAGTTCCGCCAGTCCCTCCGCATCATCCACCAGTGCCTCAACCAGATGCCCGCTGGTCCCGTCCGCGTCGAGGACTACAAGATCATGCCCCCTCCCCGTGCCGCCATGAAGGAGAATATGGAGGCCCTCATCCACCACTTCCTCCTCTTCACCAAGGGTTACGCCGTTCCCCCCGGAGAGACCTACTCCGCCATCGAGGCCCCCAAGGGTGAGATGGGTGTGTTCTTGGTCTCCGACGGTAGCGAACGACCCTACCGCTGCAAGATCCGCGCTCCCGGATTTGCCCACTTGGGTGGTTTCGATCAGATCTCTCGCGGCCATCTTCTGGCAGATGCTGTCGCTATCATTGGTGAGTAACTAATATCTAGATATTCTCAGACCCTATCACTGATGATCATCTAGGTACCATGGATCTCGTGTTCGGTGAAGTCGACCGGTAAAGTCATACATGGATAGTCGTTTCTATCTTCTGTACAAAATGCAAGTCCTCATAAACAATGAAACAAAAGGTCTAGAGTCCATTGATTACTCCACCGCTACCCGGTGGACGATAGCGGATAGCGAACATGTGGGGGTTATGATAGATGTGGGAGAGATCCAAGCACCGTCTGTACCAGTTCATTTTATGGCGTTGAGATTTCATTTATTAGTATATGTTTCTTTTGTTTCCGTCCTGCGATCGAACACCCTCTTATTTCCTTTTCCTTCCCCTGTGTATAGTGAACACCGACTGAATTTCGGATTGGATATCTCTAGTAGTATGTAAACGGTAGCTGGAACCGTATGCTAATCTGGAAACGCCTGTCGTAGTGCCATCGTTAAAATCATGGATGGATATCAGACGCCCTTCATCAACCGTGTTGTGCCTAGTCGTAGCCCCGTGCACATGGTCGGTAGTGCCTGCAACAGCATATAGACCAGCCATGTTCAGACGAGAAGATCGAGAAGCTAGTGGGGTTACCGAAGAAGCAGGGACCCAAGCAGAAGAATGGCGATTTAGAAACAAAAGTAGCGAAAGCATGCGCCCGAACCCATGCAAAGCAAAAAAACAAACCACCCCATGCCAAATGCCAGAAACCAAAACCACCCGTGGCCCGCATCATGCTCATGCGCCCATTCCCCATCTCCGCCAAGCTCTAAACGTTATCGTCATCATACATGAAATTGATATCCCGCGGTCGACGCCGATTATACGACACGAACTCGCTATCGCCAGGTGGTCTTTCGTTGCGCGAGTTCGCCGTGAGCATGCTTTGTATGCTCATGCAGACGCTTTCGACCGTCTGCACGGGCGACCATCCAGCGGAACTGAGGAGATCCAGGCAGATGATGCCGTTGCTGTAAATGTGCGGGTGGATTGGGATTGGGCGTTTCGTGTTAGGGTTTGGTGTTGAGTTCGGCGGTTGTTGCGAGGTAGGTGGTTGTGTGGGGGCTGTTGATGGTGGGGCTGGACGATTGGGTTGCGATTGCGGTTGTGATTGTAACTCTGTTATAAATTGAACTTCAGGTGGTTCTAGATAGGGTCATATATGTCAGCAACATGCACCAGGAATTGTATGATCGGCAAAGGCCGCGACAGCCGGAGAGAGGAGAGGCAATGATGAAGGAACGGAATCTATACCAATAGGATACTTCGAGCTAAACGTAAAGCGCAGCCTGTACGTCTCGCCCAGGTAGAGCGGGTTGTTGTCTAGCACTTGGATGTCCATTTCCCACTGCTGCAGGTCGTCGGCTTTGTGTAGCGTGATCCCGGGCGGGAGCTGTTCTTTGATCTGGAAGGTATTAGCCAGTGTACTGGTTGAGGAGGTTGGTTGGCGTCTTTGGTGGTAAAAGAGAAACCGTAGGTAGATATCGTACCTTGATGAGCTCCTTAGGGGCATCATTAGCATGCGAACAGGATAGCAGACACATCGACAGCTTTCGGATAAGGCGGGGTAAAGGTCCGTACCTTGCTCAGTCGCTTACTTGCAAACATCCCGGGCTTGCGCCTTCAGCCAGGCGTCGGAACTGAAAAGCTCGATTCTGGTTACTATTTGGGCGGTGGTCGGAGTCTGCGGAGGAAGAAAGTTGCCCGGACAGCGGGCAAAATGCAGGTGATGACGTCTAGTACCGCAAGTGATGCGAGGTGATCGGCAACGAGCGTGCTCCGAGTAGTTTGTAGACGCAGAGAACGGGAGTGACTAGAAAAGGTGTCTAATTTAGCGATAAATGAATGTACACGGCGTAAGAGGAAATAGAGGTCGGGTGGGGTGGAGGTGAGGCTGTGAGGCAGCGGGAGCCGTTGATCAGGTCACCTGGAGTTCCCACCCGTCTGATTGGCCCCACGTGATGGGCTTGTATACACAGCTGGACAACAACAAAGTAGGTATCTTTATTCCTCTCAGAAGCTGAAACTAAGAATGGCAGGAACTGAGAACTTGCTGATACACTGCTACCCATCATATTTTCCTGTAGATGCATACAGGCCCCCACCAAGTTGATTCCGAACACCAACACAAGCACCCAAGGAAGCTACCTGGGAGTAACTGCATTCCACCTGTTTCTGGAATGATCATCCAGGTTAAGGGACGCCAGCAGAAGGACTGGTAGACTAGACTATAGTGAAAGATCCAGCATGGCTGTGTTGGGTGGATAAGAGAACCAGATCAGCCATGATCAACACCAGGACTGTGGCAGAATTAGGCCCATGATCATAGCTGATTCTTCCAAGCACATAACATGTTTGAGAGCACTAGCAAGGCGCCACCAAGGCATCCCGAGGGTGCCTGGTTCCTGGCAGAAACCAAGTGGTGGGGGCTTTTCCAAAGTGAATCGTTTTTCACCACCAACCCTGCTGGCCTCCCTCTCCCTCTCCCTCTTCATAAATCACCACCACCTCGGATTTCGCCACACTTCTCCAACCACCACAGCCCCAAGCCTTACTCCCACTCTTTCTGAATCCCGTCCAATACCTTACCACTTCTTTATTATTTTCTTGCCCATATTAATTCAGCAAGACCAGAAAACCTGCTGTTCCATAACAGCATTCTACATGGTAACACAATGACTGCCCAAACATGCTGACTTCAAGTCTAACAGTATTCACTTGTTGCAGCACATAGAACCATACAAGGGATATCTGTTCACAGTCTGCTCGTGTTCACTGTCGCAAGAAGGTCTTATAGTCCGCGATGGCCATGACTCTGTCTCTGCAAGCATTGCAGCCAAAAAGGGCACGATCCAATCTGTCCACGAGCCAGGTGCAACAAGGACTCACAAACACACGCTTTTGCTCAGCTGCCATAGTCGCCACAGAAGACATCCAAACCAGGGCCATGGAGCAGTTTTCAGGAGGGTTTCCCAAGCCTGCGGCCATCTGCAACCGGAGACAGGAACCTATTCTCTGCGAGGCAGTTTGAGTGACAAATGATCCCGTGAAGCCATGGGATATTACTAACCTCTCTATCCAGAACCCATTCACTGTCTGGCCCGAGGTCAAGTTTCTGCCAATTGTCCCAACCTTGACTACCTTCCTGGAGAAACTTGCCGACCAGCACAGGTGAGACCTCGAGCATATCACACGAACTCTCTCAGCCCCCTGCAAATCAATCAGTTTGGCTGACTGGTTATTTGATGCCACAGATTTCATGATAAGAGATCGATGCAGACGCTCCCTCGATATTTCAGAGAGAGCAGTTCAATCACCCAACCAGCACAAGCACGACTTCAGGCATATTTCACTTACTTTCTCTCACCCCCTGCAAATCAACCAGTTTGGTTGACCTCCTAATTGATGAGACAGGTTCTATTCTAGGAAATCGACGCCGACGCTTCATGGATACTCCAAGGGACGCAGTTCGCGCACCCAACCAGCACAGTCTCAGCCCCTGCAGATCAACGGTGTTGCTGAATCCCTAGTTGATGCCACAAGTTCTATTCTAGGAGATTGACGCCGCCCCTTCATCAATACTCCAACGAACGCAGGTCGCGCCACCCGGAGACTCGAGGTTCCTGGCGAGCGGAAGATACATATTCTTGACGACGCTTACCGACCAACGAAGTAACAAGACACGCAGCAACTGACTACGACGACGCGGAGCCTTCTAGCATTGAAGTGCCATGCCCAACTCAACAAGAATCAGGAAACACCGAGCCTTGCCCTGCTGTCTGGTTCCAAAAACAGCCCGACATCATTACCACCGCGATCCGACACGTGGAAAGCAGGAGTTGAGGAGCATTGCGACACGCCCTGGCTGCCAGACCTAGCTGGGCACGGGATTCGATCTTGTTGTTCGTCCGAATGGACTCATTTGCTTCTCAACACGATGTGCATACAAGACATGGTCAGAGGAGCTCCACATCCAAATATGCATTTGGAAACACTCATTTCACAGTGAGCACCCTGGGACAGCGTTATGTGAAATCCAAGTCATAATTCTCACGCCAACAATTTCACGTGGCAAGATGACCGAGTGGTTAAGGTGGTACGTTCAAGCTATACTTGTAACTTGTCTGATTACAATCAGATCCGTACTGTCGCAAGACGCGTGGGTTCGAATCCCACTCTTGTCATGATTTTTTTTTTACGCAATGACACATGGATCATTGGAATGGCCATGTAAAGTCAATAGCTTGGCACAACCCAATTTTACCTATCCTGTCAAGATTGCTAATTGATGCATAGACGTACTATTGAGAAAAATGGCACCCTGTACCCGATAGACCTGCGTAAAGCCCAAAAACTACACAATAGAAACATCTGTCATTGGAAAAAAGTAAAGGGGAATCACTTGAACAAAAGAAGAACCCACACAATTGAAGGTATTTGATGATTCAGATGTCGACAAGATGGGAAAGAGAAAACCACATATATTATACTCAACCAATGCCGCCCAATACGTTCAGAGGAATCGGAACTATGACTGGGCTCGCTCGCGAGCCTGGCGCTCGACCTTTTCACGTTCTTCGTTCTCCTTCATCTCGCGTACCTTGGCGAGGACGACCTCGCGGAAGATGGCACCTCGCGCGATCTTGCTCAAGCTGCGCTTCTTGGTGCCGCCTGCTTCTTCATCGGCGGATGAAGCAGGGGGTGTATTGCCGCTTTCCGATGAGAGAGCGGGGAAGGGTGACAGACCGGGCTTGCCGGATTCTTCTGAGGGTTGTACATCGACGGCACTGGGGATATCTTCCTCGTCTTCCTCCTGCATCTTGAGTGCTTCGATGCGGTTGGCGAGTTTGATGATCTCAATGCCGCGCTTGAGGCGAGAGCGAGCAATGTATGCACGGATTTCGGGAAGCAAGTCGCGGTCGCTGGCGGATTCTCCCTTCAACCAGGGGTGCTTCAGGGCTTCGTCGGATGTGGGCCGCTTGGACGGGTCGACCTGGAGGAGGCTGAGGATGAAGTCCTTGGCGTCTTTTGAGACGTCCTTCCAGTAGCGCTCGTGGAAGATAACGCGGCCGGATCGGCACTCTTCGATGAGGTCGGTTAGGTTCTCGGATCGGAAGGGCGAGTATCCGCAGAGCAGAGTGTAGGTGATGACGCCCAGAGACCAGACGTCGACGGCTTTGCCGTGCCCTTGCTTGAGCATGACCTCGGGGGCAGCATAACCGAATGATCCCGCCATGCTGGTCAGGACCTCGGCTGGGTTATCCAACATCTTCGCGATACCGAAATCGGCGAGGACTAGTTGCGAGTCGATTTCACGAGTAAGGTAGAGGAGGTTTTCAGGTTTCAGGTCTGGTAGACGCTTATTAGCACCCTTTGATCGAGAGCAAGTTTACGACGGAGACAAACCTCGGTGGACGATATTCCGTTGATGCAGGTAGTTGACGGCGTCAAGGACTTGGCGGATTGTTTGCGAAGCATCCTTCTCTGTGAACTTGCCGTACTCGCAGATTCTGTCAAACAGTTCACCACCAGTGGCCAATTGAGTGACGATGTAGAATTTGTCCTAAGGCCATTAACGCCAGTCCCCTCCGCAAGTGTTCACCCCAAGTACTCACCTTGGACTCAAACCAATCAACAAAGTGAACGATGTGAGGGTGGTTCAATTTCTGCAGCAGGTCCAACTCGTCATAGACCATGCGCTCGTTGCCCCGGACATTCCGCTTCAAGATAATCTTAACTGCAACCTTTCCCGATGAACAATCTGCTTCGCGGACAATACCATATGTTCCGGCACCGAGGGTTCTTCCAAAGCGATACAGCGACCTGCAAGAGCACAGTGGTTAATACTTGGCGAGAAGTCAGACGACGGGACAGGCGTACTTTTTCTCGTAGCTCTCGGGCTGTCCCGACAGCTTACTGAACATACTTGCAACTGTGATAACCTTTGGTTAGCGAGACCGCTGAAGTGCACAAATAACCAAATGACAAGAACGAGGAGTTATGAGCGACGGCTGCTATGATGACAAGGGAGAGAAGGCTCAAACGAAGATATTCAAGCTGGCGGCTCTACCCCATATACCTCACGGGCTGTATTTCGGCGAGGCTGACTGCGGCTGAACTGCAAGGGCGCGGGGCAGAATGCGTAGGACCAGGCTATCGGAGATATTGAAGGCATTGGGCTGAGATAGAACCGAGTCGCCGAGCTCCAATGAATAACAAGCAAACGTTACACTTACAACTCATGGTGACGGTGTCGGTGGTCGTCAACGGAGGGTGATGCTGACAGCGGGGTCCGGACTTGAGGCTAAAGGACAACCCCGCACGTAGGAAGAGGATGAGAAGCGAGCGAAGGGGAACGCAATCAGAGTCTCGCGTCTAAATTCACTGATAAGATTGAGCGAAGTCAGTACCGCAATCGGTCAATATTATCTCGCAGCGTCGCGGCTTGGGATTTCGGAGTCGCTCTGTGGTGAGGGTCAGGGGAAGCGGGGGAATAATTCTCGTGATCGCAGAATTCCTGGGACGGCCCAGCGATGCAGCAGCAGCAGGTATAAGAAGCCCCTCACCCGAGCACTTCTCTTTGGAAAAAGAAATCAAGCAGGCACTTACCGATTCTGCCTTCCAGCAACAGACGAGTGATGATTGGCAAAGAAAGATAGGAGAGGGAGAATTAATGAAGAGAGAGCTGGAGTTGGTGCCTGAGAGCTGAAGCACAGTCTGGCCTGGCCCGTCCAGCCCCAGCACAGCCACCGATCAGAGCGTTGAGTGGAGCGAGCGCGCGTTTCGATTCCATTTTTAGTCTGGCTGGACGCTTTGGATTTCAGCCCTGGCCTTCGTCCTTATCGCCCTCATCTGGATGAGGCAGACGCAGGGGCTCGCAATTTCCGCTCCTTCAGCCCTGTGGGACGTGTCCCTGGTCTATCTACACCAGTGGCTTTCGCAGAATCCTGCATCCATGCAGTCTACTGTCTACATGTTTACCGCACGTTGACAGCTCAACCTCAACTTTCAAGGGCAAAGAAAATACGAGGAGATTCATATATATTAGGGCCACACTATATTTAGGCAGCCCGAACACTCATCGCGCTATTGAATCACCCGCCGAAGGCTTGAAGCGTATACCCACTCACAACCACCTCGGCTGAATCAATTGGGCATCAAATGCGGGTACCACGCTTGGAGAGGTTCACTAAACCTTCAAGCAAGGCTTAGAAACAGATTAATAAGCCATCTTGGCAAGGCTTAAAATTTTTACTTTAAATTTTTAAACCTTAGTACTACTTAATATTATAAAGTATTAAATTCTTAAGCCTTGGTCCTAATACTAATACTTTATTTATATTTAAACCTTATATATACCCTTTATTTAACTTATCCTAAGATAACTAACTTTAAATACTAAGATTAAATTACCTATATTTTTAATAATATACTTATTATTAAGGTAATATAATAATACTTAACATATTTAATATATATACTAAGACTATATATAAAACTAAAAAATATATAAAAAAATAATACCCCCTAAGCTAAATTTTAATATATTTAATATTAAAAACTCTCCCCCTAAGCCTAAGCCTAAATTAAAAACTAATATTATTAAGCTAGACTTTAGCAAGATTTTACTTTTTATAGGCTTATTATATAAGAAAGTCTAGAAGTTTAGCCTTATAATATTTAGTAATAATAAATTTAAAATTATTATTAATAAAATTTAAAAATATTTATTAATACCTTTATACCCTATTATAAAGAATTTAAAAAGCCTTGTAAATTTAGGAATTTTTTATTTTATTTATTATTTAAACTTAATTACTAAGGCCTTAACTATAAGTTATTTTAATAATATAATTATATAAGTAATATTATAAGTATATATAGTCCTAATATAATATATATACTTAATATATACTTTATAAATATAGTTTTATAAGTTAGGTTTAGATTAAGCAAAGCTTTAAAATATACTACTATTAACTTAATTTAATAATAAATAGGAATATAGTAAGGTTTAGTATTATATATATATATATACTAGGCTAAAGTATTACCTATAAATTAATTAAGCTTTTTTTAATTTTCTTAGCCTTAAAGATACTAGCATCCCATGTTTTAATTATAATTAGGTTAATTTTTACTTTTTTTAATACCTTTGGGCATGCTAAAAAACCTAATATTAAAACCTTAAGCCTATAAATATTTTAAAAAAAAAATTAAGTAGTTTTACCTTGGGTTTTTTTATAACTAGTAAATAAAAAGTAAAAAAAAAAATAACTAGAGTGCGCCATATACCTATAAGGGGTATTTTATATATAAATTTAAAGTTTTATTATTATTTAAGCGTAATAAGGTATATATTTTTTATTATTTTTATATTTATTTTATATATACTAATTATTAATATAGGCTAAGTTTATTAAATACCTAAAAAACTTTAATTTTAAGACCTGGTATATGGCCTAACTATTTAAAAGTCTTACCTATACTATTAATAAGCTATACCTGTAGTATTTTCTTAAAATAAAATATAAAATTATAATACCTCCAGGTAAATATGTTTTTATTATTATAAATATTATATAGGTTACCTATTATGGTAAGTTATTCCTATCTTTTTATTATTATTTACTAATTTTTTTATAAATTAGGCTTATATAAAGCATGGCTTTACTAAGCTTGTATATATAAAGTATAATACCTAGTTTAATTTATTTATACTAAAAATATATAAATAATATTTATATATATTACTAGTAACCCGTGGCTATTATATATATCCACCTTTACCCTTGTATTTTATACCCCAGGATATTACTAATTAATATATTAAAGTATTTTAAAAGTATAATATTCTTATTTTTACTACAAGTATATACCTATATTATTTATGCTATATATATACCAGGCATTTACTTATAATATAATTACCTAAAGTAGTTTTTAGTTTCACCTAATTAAATTAATATCTAAAAATAATTTAGGTTCTTTATTTTTTATACCTTATATAAAAGCTTAAATATTAAAAACAAGCTTACAAGCTTAATCTGGAAAAAGCGCCTTTTATAATATAAAAAGGGCATAAATATTACTAGTATTTTTTATAAATTTAGATTTAATAAAAAGTAGCCACATGGGCAATAAATTTAAAAGGTTTTTTTTTTAAAAAAGACTATAAGTATTATATTATTTTATGCTATATAAATACACAGGCAAATACTTTTTAATAAATATAGTTTATTTAAGTAAATCTTTTTTTTAAAATAATTCAAGGCAAGACTAATATTTTTAGTATTATAAAATAAAATAAAAAATATTAATATAAGTTAGCCTAGTGCTTTACTTATACTAGGTATATATTAATTTTATAGGTATTTAAATATATATATATGCCTTTATTAACCTTAAGATTTAAAAAATATATTATACTATATTTTACAAGATTTTTAAAATACTTGCCCAGGTTAGTTAATAAAATATATACTTTATTTATATTTATAAAACTAAGCATGGGATTTATATAATTATTACTAATATATATATAAAGCAGGGTCCAGGGCTTGGTAATTACTTATTTAAAATTAATTTATTAATAAGCTAAAATAAGTATTTTTTATATTTATTAGTTTTTTACTAGGTTCACGTGAAATAAAACTTTTATAAAAAATTTAAAAATTATCCTGCCAAGCAGGCTATTTATAAGTTATAAAATTCCTTTTTTAAAAAGAAATTACTTAACAAGGTAAAAAGTATTAAAAACCTTTAGCTTAATAATAAGCTAAAATAATAGCTAAATTATAAAATTTACAAGCCCTAAATTCTTGGTGTATTATATCCTAGCTAGTTTAAAATAAATTATAAATAATAATAGCTTGTAAGCAAGTATATAAATATTAATAAAAGTTTTTATTTTATAAATAATAATACTACTAGTTAAAAGCTTTTTTTACTTAGTAAAATTTTATAGTTTATACCTTTTTTACATATGCTTAGCACAAGGCTAATATATATCTAGTTTTTAAAAGGTAACTAAGAAGCTTTTTACCTGGCTTAAATATTAAAAGTAAATAGGTATAGGCTCTTAGTAGTAGTTAAAAAACCTAGTACCTTAATAAGCTAAAAATATAAAATAATAAGTAGCTTAAAATTAAAAGTTAGCTATAAACTAGTAAAAAAATCCAAAAATTTTATATAATTTTTATAATTTTTTTAACTTAGTTTATATTATACCGCCCCTAGCTAATAACTTTAATAAAATAGTATTTATAATAAGTGCTAATACTTTTACTTTGCATATACATGGTATAAGGTCTATATTTATTATATTTAATATTTTTTTATTTATAGCTAAAGGCACACCTAGCCCTAGCTAGCTATTACTCTTACTAAATATTAAATAGCATGCATATTAGGAATCTATAAGCACTATATTTAATAAGGCCTTAAAAGCTTAACAGCGTGCTAAAAAATTATAGTAAAATAATAATAAAAAGGCAGCAAAGCTAGCGTTTTTACTTAAATAAAAAAGGTAAAGGGATTTAAATAAAACATTAATAAAGGCAAGATTAGAAATAAATAATTAATTTTTTTAAAATACCTTTTTTAATATAAAATTAAATTATAAAAATTAAAAAATATAAAGTTATATAA